AGGAATTTGTAGTATGAATGCATGGCCTTCTGAAACCTCTACCCCTGTGGCTTTGTTTCTCATCCTATGAAGTTGAAACTACCTTAGGTGTAATAGTTACGTCTCTAGCTACATAATGGTATACTTAGATGTGATGATTTCTTACTTTTGAATATTGTCTTTGGTCTTTTTGTGAACATTCGATTTCACAGACAACTAGGGGGATTGCCCATACGTTCTTTACACCAGTATGTAGCCCTCGTCTCTGGCTTGCATGCCGTGCAACTTCAGTTGTTTCACTCTGGATTTGGCTAAGCTATTGGTATTCTTGTTCAATTTGGTTGTATTTCGAGGTCAATTCTGGCTCTTTTACTTGTTTTAGCCACAAATAGAGAATACAAAAAGAAAATGATTCTATCTAACGTCAACTTTCCATGCAAGAATTTACCTTAAGGCATATGTGAAAAGTATTACATCTTGGCAATTTTATAAATAGATATTGAATAGGGACTACTAATAACCCCGCAGAGCCATTACTTAAGCTGATCAGGCGGATGATTCCTAGGATTGAAGGACTTTTAAATCAATGGCTGCAATTTGTTCCATATGCAGTATTTGCAACCATTTTAAGATATACCATTCCTGCAGGTAATCAATTAGACAAGCTCAGGTAGACACGGCTGGTCCAAAAGGGCTATTCCTGTAATAGATAGTTGATGAATGAGCAGTATTCAATATATAATGCTGCTGTATACCATCAACAGCAGTACTTCAAGCATTTCAGAAGACATTGTTAGAAAGTGCTACGCATTTGATGCGCCCATGTACTTACATATCATTCTGCTGTAAAGTGAGACACCATCAAGTGTGTTCTATATTCAGTACGTAGCTATTACAATTATCACGATCTGAGACATAAAAGTTAACACCACTGAATAGCATGCTATGCGGCTTTAGGTGTGATATTTTTTCTGCGAGTATGTGAATGAAATTGTCCTTTGTGATATAGGTTGGTTGGTGAGTTACTACTATTCATTGGCTGCGTTAACTTTTGACCAATGGCAGGAAATAGATGGAATTGAATATTCTCGTGCCAATTACCAATTATCACCGGTGCTCCATTCAGCTTTTTTTAAACTTGTATTACTAGATATTCGTGATTTATACTTGTGGTTCGTGCTAAGGTGGCAGTAACAGCATATATCCGTTATTCTTAAGTATAAGCAAGATGACTCAGGTAAAATATAACCTCTTCACTTGAGTTTATCTATAAAAAGAGACTACGTTTCTTTTATGAGCCCACAAGTTTTGACTTACTCGATTTCTCTTTCGTTTTGAATCTATTTCAGCGTTTCACTACTTCTAACAGTTCCTACAATTGATATATACCCTACACCGACGTCCATCCCAGCTTCTCCCTCTAAAATGGGTTCCTGTTCTCCCGAATCATCAGCATCTCCCCGACTTAACCAAGGATCTGCTACAGTACAGTCAATTTCAATATAATAGTAATTAATAGTAAAATGAATTTAGTGAGAAAATTGTATCCATAGTGAATAAAAGTAAGACTAGTAAGAATACCCATAGTAAAAGAAATAGTACTACTACGCATATCTATAGTAAATAAAAATAGTACTACTAACAATACACATAGTAAATAAAAGTAATACTGCTATGCATACCTATAGTAATAAGAGCCAGCCCGAACGTGCATGCTATCAAGCTGTGATATAAAACTGTAGCACAAATTTCTTCGGCAAGTATACAATAAAGTGAAGAAAATAATAAGTGACTATAAGATAACAGTAGGCAGAGGATGAAACTAACAACAATAGTGATAGCGGCGCCCAGGTTACCACATACTACCATTAACAGCAGCAATATGCCACTCCCTTACCATTCAATTTACCAGCCCATATGGCTGCCCATCACCCTCCAACCTCCAACCCGCTGTTTCGGCTTATGCTCTCGAGTTGGCTTTTGCACCCAAAATGGTGACCCTAAGCGCAAGCACTAGCGCCGCCTCTTTCCTTTTTTTTCAGCCTTATCCAGGCGAGCCAGGCAGTGTTTGCACGTGAGGCAAAAAAAAAATCAGAAAAAAGAAAAGCGTATCAGAAACACGTAAACACCAAAAAAAAAAAAATAGAAAAGAATAAGAACAAGATCTACCTGAAGAGATAAAGACGATAAACACAAACCATATTAAAGATGTCATTCAACATTCCATACACAGCTGTAAGTAGAAGATAGGAATAAGGAGGAAAAAGCGAAACTAAAAGGAGCGAAAAGGCGTTTGTTCTGGCTGTGCTAGCGATGTTTTCAGTGCTACTTGGATGTTCTTTCTTTCCTCTTTGCCGTTGTTCATTGTAATGAAAAATAGATTGGTCAAATAGGTCGAAATGGTCAGATTTTTTTCACTGTTTACTTTTAACTGTATTCTGTCCATCAGTACAATACTAACAATATGTCATAGCTTACTCAAATCCCTCAATCCATGAACCTCGAGTCGGTTAAGTCCAACTTGGGAAAGTTGCAGAATTCTCTCTCCAAAATGCGCCCTCCTCAAGAATTCTTCGATGTCAGAAGAATTTCAAAGCCTGCTAACTTTGGTGAAATCCAAAGCAGAGCTTCCTACAATTTGGGATATTTTTCAGCTAACTACGCTGCTATTATTGCTCTTTTGAGTGTTTATGCTTTAGTTACCAACACCTTGTTGTTGTTTGTTATAATTTTGGTCGCCGGTGGTTTATTTGGTATTACCAAATTAAATGGTGAAGATTTGGTTATCCCATTCGGTAGATTCAACACCTCTCAATTGTACACAGGATTGTTAATTGTTGCAGTTCCGTTATGTATCTTTGCTAGTCCTATTTCCACCTTGATGTGGTTAATTGGTTCCTCTGGTGTTACAGTTTTCTCACACGCAGCCTTGATGGAAAAGCCAATTGAAACTGTTTTCGAAGAAGAAGTCTAGATCTTTGATAAAAGACAATAGAGGGGGTGTGTGCGTGTGTGTGTGTGTGTAAGTGTAAGTGTGTCAGACTGATAATGGCTTAAGAAGAAAGAAATCCAGCCAAATCCTAAAGAACGGTGCGATTAAGTAAGCAGAAGAAGGTAATCCCTAAGGTCAGATGACGGGAGAAGTTTATGTTATGTAATAATTATAGAAACATTGAAATTGTTGATGTAGTGTTGTAGGGCCAGTAAGGCTGGCGTCTAGCCTAGCCTAGAAATGGACCGTAGAAGGAGTAAAATTTTCACCTACAGTCCACCGGAGTCATACCTCTGATAATGTACCTTTGCACTTCATGGAACTGCTTGTGGTACAACAGGCGTTACAGACTTACACGCATGCGAAACAGGCGAGCGCAGGCGCCCACTCCGTACGCTACTGTCTATACTTGAGACCTGTTTCACTTATGTTTCATATTTCGAAACGTACCGTCTGGTATCACTCTCTCCGCGTCATCGTCCCACACTCAGCTCTCTTCCTACATCGATATTTACTTTACAGAAACTCGTCAATTAAGCATGCTAAATATAAATTATACACAATTTCAGTCCAATGTGAAACTGGCACCTGAAAATAATAATAATAACTTTGGTATGTGAGCTGCTTAGATACCTAACTTAGTTCTTCTCCAGTGTCTTCTCTTGGCGTTGTATCTGATAGTGTTACCAGTTCTCAATCTGATCCATTGTGGTAATGGTCTGTTCTTGTTTTGAGCCTTAGCTAACTTTTGCTTGGTCTTAAAGGACTTTTGGGACTACAGGTATTATGTTAGTATGAAACGGGTTCAGAAATATAGAATAGGGGGATGAATAGACCATGCACATGGACAAGGGAAGTGGCGTAAGTGACCTAGAAAGGTGTTTAGCTTATGCTTCATGATGGTTTATGTTTTTATTACGTGCGAGGTACCTTTCTGGCGATGATTTGGGTCTAATAATTTACTCTCTATCCACTTCATCTTCCTTGAATTTTAATAGTGTCTCCATATCGAATCATCTCCTTCTGAAGTTCGCCATCTTTCGCCTTCTCGTTGATTTTTAGATCACTTAGGCTCGCCCTTGTCCCAACAAATCTACAATCATATCATATATGTACATACAGGCATCTTTAATAACTTAGTCTTGTAAGAATAGTTACAACAGCTCACTGACTTTTTTGACTTTTTTTTTTACTCACCTCAACTGGCGCAGAATGGCAAGCACCAGAGCCAGTAGGAGCTTTGTGTAACGAAAATGAAACTTTTTTCGGACTAGATGCAGTGCCAGATGGGTGTGTCGTGGTTTTGGTAGGTGTGACTGTTTTTTTTCTCGAGAAATTTTTGGCATCGCTAGACAGTCCGTGCGCACAGTCTGCAGTGCCCAGTACGCAGTGGTCTGCTCCACTCTGGTCTGCTGTGGTGGGCACTCCTCGGGGGACGAGGGGTGGGGACTGGTTCTCTCATCCTGCACGTACAGTAGCCTATGCGCTAACGTCTTACTACGGTTCCTCGCAGACAGACTTCAGACTCCAGGAAGAAGTGACACAAAACTCAATTTTCCACTGAAAAATTTCATTAGATTTTTTTTTTCACTCTCTCACATTTTTGAAACACCTCTCATACATACTCTCTTTTTGTTTGATTCACAGTAAACATCTTCAAAAATGACCAGAACTTCCGTCTTAGCTGATGCTTTAAACGCTATTAACAACGCCGAAAAGACCGGTAAACGTCAAGTCTTGATCAGACCTTCTTCCAAGGTTATTGTCAAGTTCTTGACTGTCATGCAAAAGCACGGTTACATTGGTGAATTCGAATACATTGATGACCACAGATCTGGTAAGATTGTTGTTCAATTAAACGGTAGATTAAACAAGTGTGGTGTTATCTCCCCAAGATTCAACGTCAAGATCGGTGACATTGAAAGATGGACTGACAACTTATTACCAGCCAGACAATTCGGTTACGTTATTTTAACCACCTCTGCTGGTATCATGGACCACGAAGAAGCCAGAAGAAAGCACGTCTCTGGTAAGATCTTAGGTTTCGTCTACTAAATGTATTATTAATAGAAAGAAGAATATATTTTAGATTGCAAGAGGTAATACTGTAGAGCTTAGTGTGTAGAGCATAGAGCGCGTAGAGTAGAGAACATTAAGAGCAGAGATGATACTGCAAGTACAAGTGCACATATTGCTCCTTTAATCCCATTTTTCCTATTCTTATTTCCTCCTTCCCTTCCTTTTCATTCTTCGTATCTCCTAAGTATGGAACCACAACTCTCTTTCAATCCAGGCCATCTCTACACCTATAAGCTCATCACCGTCTTAACGCTGTACATGTCAAGCTTAGCAGATAAACGTATCCAGTCACATGACCTTGTAGGGCTTCGTCCCTAAGAGTGTGCGTGCACGACACTCATTTGCAAAAAAAAAAAAAAAATTCATTCCCTCGCACCAATGTAAACTTGAAAAACTAGTTGGATAAAAAATTCTAACAGTAGTTGGAAAGCTGAATATAGCATAACGAATCCATAGTCCAAATATGTCTGGTATGTGTACTTAGATGTCTATATAGACAGAGGGAATCGAATATAAAACAACGAAAGATCGACAGCGATCGTATTTGGGAATTGGGAACCAAGCAGGGCGGAGTACTCTTTTTTGTAGATTGGACACAGAAGAGAGTCGATGATTTGTGAATTTAAGATGGAGAGTACAGTCGTAGCCAGCGAAACTGAGCAGGTGGGATTTTGAAGGAACGTCCGGAAGATGCAGATAAAGGATGAGATCCACATTTTGATACCTAGGGGAGAGCCCGGCACGTCGAAAGATGGATAGGGTTGTTCTCTAGTAGTAAACATTTCCAGTCACCCGTCCACCAGTGGACCGCCACAGACTTAAGCTACTCTAGTAAAAATGAGTGTGTTTTACTTCGTCGCCAAATGTCTTGGTGTGCATCGGTGTGAAAGTATCGATGAGGTGCTTCATATTCCCCCAGCTTGTATTGTATGGCTAGCCTGGATATTTCAGTTGATTTTTTTATATTCTCTTTTACTTTGCACCATCACGTATACTAACATTCTTTTAGCTGTTAAAGATAACTCCCAAGTTTTTGGTGTTGCCCGTATCTTTGCTTCTTTCAACGATACTTTCGTTCACGTTACTGATCTTTCCGGTAAGGAAACTATCGCCAGAGTTACTGGTGGTATGAAGGTCAAGGCTGACAGAGATGAATCCTCCCCATACGCCGCTATGTTGGCTGCCCAAGATGTTGCTCAAAAATGTAAGGAAGTTGGTATTACCGCTGTCCACGTTAAGTTGAGAGCTACCGGTGGTACCAAGACCAAGACCCCAGGTCCAGGTGGTCAATCCGCTTTAAGAGCTCTTGCCAGATCTGGTTTAAGAATTGGTAGAATTGAAGATGTTACTCCAGTTCCATCTGATTCCACCAGAAGAAAGGGTGGTAGACGTGGTAGAAGATTGTAATTTCATTTGGATTTATTCATACAAACTTTTTTTTCTCCACTAATATTAAAGTAAGGATATAGCATGTCTTTACTTTGCTGCTGCTAGTTAAAAGGGAGTTATATATTACCGTCTTCTTTCTCTGTGTTGTAGTGACACACAAACCTCACATATAAAAAATGTACATTTATAAAAAAGATGATGGACAAGTGCAATGTAGTCATATTTTAGAAAATGGACAAGCGCAATGTAGCAAGGCAAAGTAGCAAGATTGTAGATAGTTAGGATATGTGTAGTATATCAAGGGAGTTACTTACCATCTCCAGCTGAGTGCTTGCAATTTTCCAGTAGAGTGGCTCTAACTCTGTCTTCGTGGAGTAGGTGGATGAAATTTTACTTCGGACTGCATATAGATTGCTGCATACATAACTAGAAGGTGTTGCACCCACCATACTAAAGGAAACCACCCTCTTGTTAGGTTCCTCTGCTATTGCTTGCGAAATTTTTACGATATTGAGAGCAGAGTCTCCTCTAAGGGCGACTAATAATGGTTGTGTTTGTGAGAATGGACTAATTTACTGGCTGGAAATATTTGTTTCAGAGCACCTATATAGTGTGCATATCGGCCAATAAACAGACATGGCTTTCCATTGAGGATTGGTCGTTACCCTTAAAGAGAGTAGTTCTCCAGATGAACGAGATGCAGTTACATTGGAATTAAAGAAATTCTTCTTACAGAGTCGATTACATTTGATCTTAGCAGCGATCCATATCTTCATGATACACCGGGCTAACACTCTTATATGACTAAAACGCAGATGCTTGTTAACGCTGCCTATGAGTTTTTCATTAGTAGACAAGGGAAGAACAATGCGTGGTAAAACATATGAAATACTCTCAAACTTCGTAGCAATATTTAAAGCGTTTGATTCCGAAACGTTTCTTGACGATATAAATGCTGGGTTCTGGAGCTCATTTGTATTAGAATGTCTAATAATTCGTTTAAGATCAATTGTGAGAATATGACTTGATATAGAGAAGAAAAGTGAATAGCATAATGGTGGGAAATGATCAAATATTATCTCTGGATTGGAAAGCCTCCCAAAATTTCTAACAAAAACAATATTATTCTCTAGATAAGATGCTAATAGCTATTATCATTTATGACTGGCTGCAAATGCATTCCAAGATGAGATGATGGTTCCCAAGGATTATCAGAGCTATTACATGAATTTAAAAATACTTGAATGGGCTTGCATCTTGTTCTTATTTCCATCGGATTTTGTTACTTATTGCGATTAGAGAACATTGGAGGTAAGTAGAGGCTAGTCTTTAGTTCATTAGCAGATCTTAAGCTCAAGAAGCTGGGCTTGGAGCTTTGGAACAGTCGGATGGAAGCCATCGGCATTCCTCAAGAACATATTCAGGAAGCACTACAGGAATCCATAATTAGAAAAGCGAAATCAAACGAGCACATGGAAACACACAAACAATCTACTTAATCAAAATAATGGAGATAAACTGTTAATTGCTATCAGAGCTCCACGTTAAAGTCACGATTACCATGGCCCATAATAATTTCTACGGTGGGTGCGAAATAAAGGTGCTGCATTTGGTAAGTAACCCAAACGTAACCGAGATATTCTATATATAAAAACGCATGTTGTTTTCATACGTAAGCGAACAATGGCGTGTTTAACGTATCGAACCATTTAATAGACTACAAGGTACCCAGATAAAGCAACCTTCGCTGTGACACTAACACCAAGTGGATCGTGGATACTTTCATTGAATCAGGAAAGTATAAATGACTTGGTCCGTATGCAGGTCTGCGACATAAACTTCCTATTTTGGTTGAGATATCCGGAACACTGATAAGCAATTATGGGTGCAAAGAGATCAAAGATATTTATAAATGTATGTGTATATATATAGACAGCAAAGAAGGGTATCGTATCAAGTATTTGCACGATATAAATTATATACTTTGAATACGGTTTGACACTAAATTATAGCAAAAAATAATTCCTGCTTCTAATGGAACTTTAGTGTATAATATTAAGCGAGAGACAATTCATCCCCTTATAATTATTTCACAGTATTAAAAAGAGAAGATCGAAAAAGATAGTTAACCAAAGATGCTTGTAATTAGTATAATTTTAATATGCATAACAGCTATTGCCTTTTACACATCGCCAAAAAAGTTCAAGGACTCATACATTTCAAAATTTAATGACAAGTTTAGCAAGTATTTTAGGACACCCAACTCTACTCCTGCTCTGTCAAGAAAGCCATCCTACAGCTCAAATGAGCCATTAAAAGATCCAACACCTTTAATGATTACTCCTGATCAAGTCAAAAATTATGATGATAGACCATGGAGACCATTCAGATGGCCCTATCACCAAACTATGTCCATTTTCAAGTTGGATATGAACCACTGGCTCGACATGGATAAATACTACTGGCGCTACATTGAAGAGAAGAAGAGAATTTGGATGACTTATGGAAAGGAGAATATTGACTGGTTACCTGAAGGGTACGAGCCATCCTTTGAGTTGATGCAAATTGTTACTGACCACATGTTAAAAAGGTACCCTTTGTTGTTCACTTTAGTCGAAGACAAAGGTGAAGCCGGTGGAAAAATCGTCTACAACGAGTTAACTAAGGAAACCTTGGACATGACTCTCCCATTAAAGGAACAACCATTATTATACGTTTCCAAGATGGCTAAAGAAGACTTCTATGTTGTTTTAAAGAACCCTAAAGATGACTTACATTACCTTGTTGCTGCTGCAGTTCCTTTCCCTGGTGGATCTTTTGGAATCGACAGCAAACTCGGCCAGCACTTGGATGTAATCCACGAAGACGTTCCATACTATAAGGAAAAGTTGAAGAGATCGATGGAAAGATGGTTTGACAGATTAACTCCAAACGATCCGGTGGAAAGAGCCTCATGGTACATCTCATGGGATCACAAATTAAAGGTTAACAACGTTTACCAGTTACCTAAATTCGTACCAGACTTAAAGGCAGATATGGAATCCATGGATCCAAAGGATTTTAACGTAAGAGTGGAAAGACAAACATTAAGAAAGTTACCAAAATCTGGTGCCATCATTTTCACTAACCATCCAGTGTTCTACTCCATTGAAGAAATGAAGGACGAGCCATTAGTTCCAAGCTTGATTAGAAAGATTTTGTATGAAGGACCACAAGATATCATCAAGTATAAGAATTTCGATTTCTTTAGAGACTACATAGTGGGTTATTTGGATAGTTTGGTAAAGAGGCAGATTGATTTGGGTATTATCCTGGAAGACACTCCGTTGAAGACCTTACCAACTTATCCATTTGCACACTGGTCCAAGACCGATTTTGACTTGGTCAATGGATGGAACAATCCAAAAGAAAAAGTGAACTACTTGCAGAAGGCCAAGGAAGAAAAAGTCCATAAGAACCAGTAGAGAAAAGAAGAATTATATATATAGATATAGATATCAAATACTACACACCCCATACATATATACAATGCTATAGATAGGTCACCAATATAAGATAACAGGCACAAAGAAATGACAGCGATTTATCGAGGTACTCATCCATACACCACGAAAGGAAACCACGTGAAGTACTCTTGGTACGTTCAGTTTGTACCTGGTACATTGAGTCTGCGAGTAGCTAGTGATACAATATGCAAACCAGATTTAGAATGACCGTATACGGCTTCTTCCGACGACTACAGTGTGTATCGGGATCTTAGTCCGTGTTTTTGATAGGTGAAGAGGAGATTACGTAATGAGGCTAGCTAAAAATTGTGACACTCTATGACGAATAGCATATATGCTCAAAATTTCACCTGGTTGTCGTGATAGGTATGTGCCAGAGATCAAAACCTATGTGTTGGGCCCTATCTATCGCTGAGGTGAACTTTTCCACATACTCTCAGAAAAGGAACTAAGAAGAGAAAAGAAAAGAAAAATCCTATGAGCATGGAACTAACTAACCTAAAAGTAGATCTGCAGCACTTACATGACACATGACTTGAACTATTCCAATTATTTTTAATTTTTATTGCCCTGTGCACTTCTGTCCCCATATGTAGATCTCCTCACTTTGACAAGGTTGCCTGTCCAAAATATGAAATTGTTGCAATTGACATGAAACGAGTGAAGAATACCGCCCCACATACATATGCATGGACGAACAAAAGGTGAAATTTATACAAATGTATATGCGGGAATCACTGTAGACTACAACTCTTACCGTACGTACTCTGCTACTCTCTACATAACTAAGTTAGAACCTGTTTGGTCTACCTAGATAAGATTATAAAAAGAAACTGCGCGGTGGCACTGTAGGACGGAATTCGGGATCTTCTAAAACCGTTCCTGATTGCGACATTAGTTAGCGTAGGGCGCTAAATTCTTAATTGAATTTGCTTGGGTTACTGATATGAAATTTCAAGTTTTCTCTGTTCTCTGCTATTGGCACTGGACTTATTTAGATAGACATATGTGCATATTTAATCTTTGTATCTAAAAGTTGTTTTTTTTTTTTTTGGTTCTTCTTTCACCGCATGTATTATACAAGGACGTTGCATTAGACTTAGCTTTATATCATTACTCCGGTTACATTTCCTTAGGGCTTATTGGACGTTTAACGGTTTTCTTAGATTTTTCATTGGCATGCTGCGGACTTCCATGTCAGAAATCCAGGTGCGAGAGGATTCATCCATTCACTCTCATAATCCACAAGATGACTACTTGGAAATAGACTCACAGGAAGGTGAGCCAGATGATGAATATCCTGAGGGTGGGCTGCGGGCGTATTTGGTTTTGGTCGGATCATTCATCGGATTGATAGCTAATTTCGGTATGCTTAATTCTGTAGGAGCTATCCAAACCTATATCTCTATGAACCAGCTTTCAAGCGTTAAGTCGCTGACAGTGTCATGGATCTTTTCGATCTATTTTGCATTAGCGTATTTTGGTGGGATAGTTGTTGGGCCGTTTTTCGATGTTAGAGGTGCCACCATCCCATTGGTTGGAGGTTTGATCCTCATCGTTGGCGGGTTCATAGCAGTGGCCAACTGTACTCTGGTTTGGCAGTTTATTCTCTCATTATCACTTTGTGTTGGGATTGGTAACGCACTTTGCATAACTCCATTGGTTGGAGTGATAAGTCATTGGTTTTACTTGAAAAGAGGTCGGGCCATTGGACTTGCTACCACTGGTGGTTCAGTTGGTGGTATCATTATCCCCTTGATGCTCAGAGGGTTGTATCCAAAAGTTGGCTTTTCGTGGGCTATTCGTATTCTAGCACTTTTCAGTCTTGTGTGTATGGTAATTTCCATAGTGTTGGCTAAGGGTAGATTATCACTTGTGCAAAGGGAGAAATCTAAGGAAAAGTCTAGTACCAAGACAAAGAAAAAGAAGTCTGTGCCCGGTAATATAGACCTGGCTGACAAAGCTAGTTCTGTGATCACGACAACCTCTCCTCCCCTTACCCCCACAGATGATATATCCTTGCATACTTTGACAGAAAATCGCCATGAATCTTCACCTGCCAACAAGTTTAAGAATCTAATTGGTGGAAAAGATGTCAGGTACTTCAACTTTGCAAACTTACTTGACGTGAAATACTCGCTTCTTATTGCCGGCGTATTCACTGAAGAACTTTCGTTGATGTTGATTGTTACGTATTTTGCTTCCTACGCAATTGCGCAGAATGTTTCCGAATCTAACTCCTACTTATTGTTGACTGTCTTCAATGCAGCTGGTGTCCCTGGGAGATGGTTGCCAGGGTATGCATCGGATATCATCGGACATTTCAATGTAATGATCCTTATGTTGGTTGGACTTTGCCTTTCCATCTTCTTACTATGGCTCCCATTTGGAAGCAACCATGGGGTATTGTGGGCATTTTCTGTATTGGGTGGATTCTTTTCATCGTCTATTTTGTCCCTTACTCCGGTCTGTTTGGGGCAAATCACACCTGTATCCAAATTTGGTGAAAGATATGGAATGCTCTATTTCTTTGTGAGCATCGGTAATTTGTTTGGTTTACCTATTGGGGCTGCGATCATTGGTTCCGGATCCAAGCACAACTACGATATGTTTGTAGTTTTATGTGGTATATTGGCCGTCGTGGGTAGTCTATGCTGGCTTGGCAGTAGGTATTGCATAGCTGGGCTTCAATGGAATATTAAAGTATAAAGGAAAAGTATTTATTTAGGAAGGATTTTCGTATAGACTAATTGTAAAACATTTTATAAACTGATTTAAAACGATATGTATTAACCTATTTACTTTTATTTTCTTTGTCTTGCATTATGAATTGCTCTTCCGGCAGTAGATCCTGTGGAACTTCCTCCAGAAGACCCGATAGCTTCAGCAGGTGGTGCACCCTGTTGCGGTACTGGCTTCCCAGTTCTCACTTCTTCGAATTCACTGGCAAAGTCTGGTGCAACCCATGACAAAATGTAAGGCGCAGCCATAATACTACAACACACACCGAAAATAATCGTGTACATGGTGTTGGCAAAGATGAAACCGAATGGACTATTCAAAACCATGTCCCAAAGGGAACCCAGCTTCACCTCATAATATTCCTTAACGGAGCCTACTTTAATCAGAAGCGGAGTAGTTGAAGATCCAACCACCTTTTCAGATGTAACGTTATAGCTCTCCTTGTGCAAAAGTTCCTGGTATGCACGGACAACTCCTTCATCATCAACGATAACTCTAAATCTTTCTGGGTTCAATTTGAAATCGTAGGAACTGACAAGCAATTGATATTCGCTCCCTGGGACTAATTGGTCGAAAGAAAATTCAAAGTTTCTATTTAATGGTGCATCAAATACTTTGAATTCCTTATTGGTTTTAATTGGGATAAGAGAAGCTTTGATTCTGGACTGATAATTTATTCCATTGAGTACTCTAGATGGCTTCCCTTGAGCTTCCTTTTGAGCGTCAAGGTACTCACTTGGAAATCCATCAATTTTACCGAAAAGTGAAGGAGACTTTGCAGCAGCAATTGAAACATTCAAAAGCAACAACAAGGTACCAATAACAGTATTGAAAATCATTGCTAAGGAATGGAATTGGAAAGGAAGATGGAAAGAAACGGGATCTTACCAACGCCTGTCTAGCTTGAAATTTCCGGGGCCAGGTATGTGGTGGACGATGTTGTCACGTGACTGATCACGTTAGCTAGCAATCCGATGTGTACCCAGCGTACGGTAGCTAGCTTTCGTGGGTGTATCACTAGTATAAGCATCATACAGCCACTAAAAAGCAGCTTGTCGTATAAACAAATATGTGTCACCGGATAAGTTTAGATGTAATTGGATATATGTATTTTTACATACATAATACGTTCTAAATTATGTATATTTGCTCTTGCAAATGGCATAGTTAGGTAGGAACCTAAATCTACTTCTATTAAGTGAGAAGCTCTTGCTTTACTACCTTGAACATGCAACTTAATCCATTTATATGTGTACCAATTTTACCAGCTTCTGTGCTTTACCGCCATTTTTCACGCATCCTATCTCACCAGCATGCCTGCAGTAGTTTACCTTTAGATTAACCATTCATCATCTCTTGATCACCACTGTATCTTGCAACCTACTTGCCAGTGCTTTACCCGGACAACTCCAAAATTTTCCAATTCCTCAGTATTTAACAAAATTTATGAGTGGAAAATTTTCAAACCTTTTTCTCTTTTTCTTCTTTATTGTACACGTATGTGTATTATTGTAGGGCATCTGTTCTCTTGATGGAAGGATTTATCGTTCCATCTGTTTTCTACGGCAGCTGCTCTCTACAACACATACAAGAGTAAACTAGTCAGGTTTAAGTCAAATTAAACTCGGGTAGTCACGGAATTTGCGGGCGTTGCTGCGTTAGTGTCTCTTAGATTGACAAGTCTTCTAGATAACATTCCAGCCGTGCATTCTAGCCTTTCCAAATATTTAATACTTTATTCTACAATTTTTTTGTTTTGTGTAGCCTTTTTATTGTTTTCGATTATCTACACTTGGTTACTTTTTCTGATTCTCCCTACTAGGTATTCACCTATTGAAATCAGTACACCCCCACTTATCATAACAATATAAACCGATTGAAATTAAAATTAGCCCGAAAAACTGTTCTCTTGTAATATGACTGTACCAGGATCCATTGCTTTCGATTCCGACTGCGAATATAATGCTAACTGTAATCAATACAATTCTTTTCATCATTGATGCAATGGAGTATGACAATGCTGGGATCAGTCCAAGCAAATGGAATGATAATAAGGTCTGAAGGAAATGTGATAATGAGTCGAAAAATACCAATATAAGCAAGCTAATACTTTCACTTAAAGTGTCAATTGTACTCTCGTTAATAATATTTCCTGTGCTCGAATCTGTTGAAGTTGCTGCTGCTGCTGCTTCTGCTGCCTTGGTGGTGAATGCTTCAAAAATCTCTGGTAATTCTCGCGTTAAGAACCCCCCAAATGAAAATATAAAACCAATTATAGAACAATATAATATAATTGTCATTTTGTCGGGCTTCTCGTAGGTATCATTCGTAGATGCTGTTGCACCGCCAACAGCAGACAAGAAAGGGTTATTTATTTCTTGATTATTCTGTTGGACGGCTTGATTGTAGGACGAATAATGATTCTGTTCTTCCTCTTTCTTGACATCGAGCCTCAAATCTGATGTAGAGTAAGGTAACTTAATTGAACCTGTTCTTTGTCTTACCATTTTACTAGGGGAGAAATTGAAAAACGAACTATTACCTGGGGAATGCGGTGGAGTCACAACCGGGTTTTCATTATTGACCCTTACTTGAGGTGCAGTTGAAATCTTTTCAGAGCCGGTTCTCAACACCAAGGATTTGGGGTTGGTGCCGGGAAGTGCATCCCAGGTCACCAACAACTTCAGATATATGTTTTGCGCTGCATATGTTATAGCGCTCAATAAACAAAATATCAAACCCTTTAGCTGATAGTAGTCAATACTGGGTAATATGTAGGACGTAGATGTAGTTGAATCCTGGTCTACAGTATCAACTTTCTTGGAGTGAATCGCGTCCGACAAGATCATGAGTAGAACACCAAACAACAAAGGCACAAGCAGTAGGTACGTAACCAATGGCAATTTCACCCCGTAGACTATTCTGTACCCTGCCACTATCAACAAGGGAGACAATGCCTTAACACTAGACACAGTAGCCAAGGAAATTAACGAAGTTGCATTCAACAGGAATATTTTCCCCACAAGCAGAAAAAGTCCCATAGGTAAAATTTGAGCAAACTTAACTCTATTGAAGATTTTTAAACTTTTATTTGTATCATTGCCCTTACTACCGGAATTAAGTACAAGTGAAGGTGGTTCGACGGGAACACTTCCCTTTGGGAAATACCTCGAGGCAAACTCTGGATATTTGTTAGCAATCTCAATAAAGCAATATGAGAGGGTACCACCAATGAAAAATTGACACAGCAGCAAGAATAGCGGGTATGTGAACTTAAACAAGATCACTTTGGAAAGCTGCGAGGTTATCGACGATATAAGGTACCAAAGCAAGCAGGTTAGCACGGTTTTGGTTGGAGTAGGCGGCAATATTGCCTGGAATGCTTCAAGACCATTTAGGTTCATTTGTACAGTGCAAAAAACAGAGAAATACGAGAAGTGAAAATTTGGCAAATGATATTGAAATTGACCTAAAACAACGATCAAGTAGGCACTACTTAGTTTTAGTTATACGTTTATACGCTCTCGAGATTATATTTCTCTATTTATATGGTGAACACTTGGGTAAACCTGGCTCCGTTATGGTAGACGTTTTACTTTCACGTATGTGTAGAAGCTAAATATATTTATATGTACAGGTTTTGAACACTTGCCCCTTACTTTAAAATATTCATTAACCGAATGACATACTAGGCGGAGATACCAAGAAATGACAGGTCTAATTATAGCTCTTTGTTAAGGAATAATGAAGATAGGTGTTGGAATGTGGCTAGTTACTGGATTATATGCTGAATAGATTGGTCTTTTCGGTCTACAGGGAGGTCGATCCTTTTTATATTCTACTGTATTCTGCTACATGATAAGTGAGATCTAATCATAAATTCGTAATACTCTTTAAGTAATGCTAATCTTTCCATACACTACATCAATGCATGCGTTTTCTTTTGATGATTATTATTCTTTGGGAAGAGAGGTCGATGTTTACCACTCATACACTCTACCAGTAGAGTCTCCAATAATGACATTAACTTCTCCTCTTGCTAGCCTGTCGTCAGGATCAATTTCAGTATATTGTAGCACTTCTAATGCAGTCGGAGTTCCAAGGCAAATCTTTCCTTGGGATTGGCTGATTTTTCTAAAGTCCCATTTTCCATCTTCACAGCTGAGAGAGTAGATTTCAATTACACCATCGCTTCGACCAATTCCAATCAACTCACAAGACCAGTATATATGATCCTGGCCCGTAAACGAGCAACTTCCAAATTTGATAGTAGTGTAAGTAAGATTCTGATCCAACTGTAAATTGGAAGATACCACTACATCTCCGTTGATGGTATAGAGAACCAAAGCTCCAGACTTATTCAAAGTACATATATTACCAGTATCATTGGAAATGGAAATAAAATCTGGTTGGTTTCCGTTAATAAATCTTCTGATGAATTTTAACCTTGCTAAGTCCCACAACATGACTGTTCCAGATATATCCAAGCTAACTGCAACCTTATACGTTTTACTGCATTGTAAGTCTTTAATAGGTTGAATATGTCCACGTAAAATTCCAGATACTTCCAAAGCGTTATTTTTCTTATTGTGTCTCCATACGTTAATAAGCCCGTCTTGCAGTCCTGCCAATATCGTCCTATATCCAATCTGAATGAGACTTGTTATATTAGCCAGGTGGACATTTAAGAAGACAGTTTTGTTTACAATCAATGATCCTGAGCCCCAAGCTGCCTTTCTGATTACTAAATCATTTTCACAAGTGATAAATTTGGGTCTTCCAATCCAGCCATTACCATTGTTCAGTCTTCTTGATTTTGTGGATTTCTCAAGTTTGTCTATAGGGCTGTATCTTGTTTTGGATTCAAAGATAATTTTAGCTTCAAAACTTCTAGGAGTGGTCAAGTAATAATTCGGGATGTTTAATATGTCCTTCATTGGATGTGGTTTATTGAATATTTTTCTAGGGGTTTGCCCAAAGTTATTTATCATTCCTATAATTGCTCTCTTTTCAACTTCGTCTTTCACGCTGTCCAAATTAATTGCACCATTGTAGGATAAATGATGGAAAACATTTAAATTTTTAACTGCTTCTATTCCACTTTGTTTGTGACCAAATATTAATTCAATCCAGAGATGTAGCTTACCAGAAACGAATGGCAGCTCTAAAGCTTTTCTATTCATCTCAATGAATATTTTGGGATCATTTTTACTCCAAGGTGGCAATTGAACGTCATTAACAGAATCACCATTTTGCAATTTCCCAAATTCGAAATGGTTATGATTAGTTAAAAATTCTGGGAGATAAAAGAATTCTGGAGTCAATTCTCTCACGTCGGTTGTGTTATCTTTGGATGCAGATTTCCAGGCTCTTTCTAATGAATTAAATAATCTTTCAGCGTGATCAAATCTTCCTCCTTGAAGTAATAAATATGATTGCACGAAAGGTTTCATTCTAATTAAATACGAAGTTACAATCATAGCGGATGAATAATGTGTGCCATAGTGGAATGGTGGGTTCACCGATACATCTCCTTCCGCTAATGCTTCATATCTTTCTTTAAATTGATTAGCCCTATCACTAGTTTGAGCACCCATGGGTTTCGATAAGTCTCTGAAAGTTTTAGGGTTAGATAAATCAAGTGTCTCACTTGTATAATCAGCAATTACCCAAGGAAATACAGGGTATTGTGTAAGATCATTAAAAGTCCTGCCTGCCAATGTATTGATTATCATTAAATAATAAAAATTTGACATTTCTCCCTGTCGCCACTTATTTGTAGCAAGTGTAAGAGAATCTGTGAATGACGAAGTCAAGAAATCGAGTAGACCTCCACTTCCACCAAAGCTACTATTATTCGAAGCTCCATTTCCATTTCCTCCATTTCTAGAGTTGGAACCTGAAGTATTATTATCTCCACTACTGCCACCACCTCCAAACAATTTGGAAAATGAACTGACCAGTAGTTGCAGCTGTAAATTGATGATGGGTTGCTGTTGCTTATCATGATTATTATGATTTACAATACCATTCAAAGTTTTGAAAATAGAGTCCCTTTCCTTTGTTGAAAGGCATGTTATCAAAATACTTGCTCCGTCATTGAAAAACATCTCCAACGCAACTTCTCTTAACAAAAATTGACGTTTGGTTATATACGACAATTTATCGAGGCTCCAAGTTTTACTCTTATGTGAATTGCTATCTGAATCTGCATAAGTAGATTTAGATCCTTTGGATTGACTGTTAACTAGCTGTAAATATGGATCTCTCAAAGAAATAGGGGCATCTGAAATTTCAATTACTCCACCTCCATCAAGACTATGGAAATAATTTTCAATCAAATAAAGGTGTGAATTTCCTAAAATCATCAAGCTTTCAATAGGCGCTAAGCCATTTATTTGACTAATATTCCACAAATTGGCTATATGATCACCCACAAACAACGAACGAATTACCTTTCTATTCTTGTCTGTTGGCAAGTCTTCAACCATTTCGAAGTCATCCAGGTGGATCGTATTCACCAGCTTATTATCCTCGTCGATGACTTCCCAGTCAATCTCATCTAACAGGATTGAATCAGAAGACTTAAGATTTACGCCTTTGAATGGGGTTTGGGGCCCATTTACGCCACTCTTGTTCGGATTAAGAGTCAACGATTGAGCAAAGATCTTACTATCAATACTTTCGCGACGGCTTCCACCTTCTCCTTGTCCCGTCTTCACTGGAACTGTCATGTTATATCCTAGTTTTTCAGATTCACTCAATTGATCTTCAACTACCATGCGTTTTTTCATTCTATGTGCACCTTCAATATAATCTAAAACATATTTCGCTCCTCTCTCGTAAGCGTCAATATCAACAAGTCTTGACATTTCTATTTCAATGTTATGATAACTACTGATTCTATATTGTAAATTCTCCTGTTGATCTTGAATTAATCTATTATATTTTAAGGCTTCGTCTTCAACGATATTTTCCTTCAATAGTTCACAGTCTCTCTGACAAGATTCAACATAAGCATTATTCTTCCAACTCATTCCATCGCCAATAACAGTAGCCATATCTAGGACATTTAACTTGAGGTGTTCCTTGCTGACTTTTCCCCTAAGTAATTGCAAATTCTTGAGAACGATGTGGCGAAGTGTTGAATGTCTTTGTATGTACTTCAATGAGTCTTCGTCATTTTTTGTAGCAAGGATCTCCAAAAATTCAATAACTGCTTTAGTATCGGAATCCACATTACTACTTGATAGGGAGGCAAAACGATCTTGCTTTGAAAGATAGCACGTACGAAGTAGATTGAAAAGGTTGTTAACCAAACTTGGGGAAACATTGGGTAGCTTTAAAAAATTACCTAACAAGATTGTAATAAAATCAATCAAATTATTCTGTTTGAGCACTTGCAAAATGGGTACCAATTTGTATAATAAGGACGTTATGAGTGAATCGTATTGTATCTCCAAATCGCCACTTCCCACAAACTCCTTTTGAGCTATCTTAAGAATGATTAGAGGTCCTAGGTTATTTATCAACTTTGACGACCTTTTGGAATCTATTTCAATGATAGACAAGCAACAGTCGATAAAAACTTCTAAATCTTTTGCCTCGATCACGTATCCTTGATTCAAATACTCTTCGAGGTAAAAATTCAACAATTCAATGCTGCCATGAATAAAATTTTTATATTCCTCATCCAACTTTGAAATACTTATGAATTCATATATGTGTTCAAATATTATTGGATAGATTGCGTCAAGAGCTAGTTTCTTACTGAATTCTTTCAATGAACGGAAAAGTTTAAAAATTTTTGAAGGGTTTTCAATCTCACTTATAAATACTGAGGAAACTATTCCACGAAGCTTGGAATAAGTTGCTTGAAATTGAGAACTCAAATCTTTATCAACTTCTTTGTTTTTAATAATTTTGACTTGTCCAATCAACTCAAGCACTCCATCTAGCCATATTTTGGTACGATAATACTCATGTAGCTGTGAATTATTTCCTTCAAAACCCTTCTGCAAAATGTCGGAATAAAGGTTAAGAAAGTGAATTAAATCAAAGGAAAGAGTAGCGGCCGGAATCGATCCTCTTCCTATGCCTACCGCATTTCCTTTATTCAAAGATTTTAGGGATTTTGGGCTGGTGAAAGGACTAGACATCCTACTTTGAGACGTTAAAGAGTATGCACTACTTATGGCCATATTATTCAAAATCATCAAGAATTCTGGCATTATTAATTTCCCTCCACTATCAAATGCTGCCCTATAAATGGCTTTGACAATATCATCGTCTGACCACCAATCCTTCAAGTAGTGAGTCAAGACATCCACACCATGATTATTCTGGAAGAACCTGTGCATCGTGTTTGGTCCCAATACAGTCAATAGCTTAATGAGTAGCTGTAACCCACATAAGGTGATTTGTTTTGAGTAAGCATTGTTCTCGCTGTACCCAAGTAGTAACAAAATCCAATGTATCGATATTGATTTGGAGAATTTCTTTAATACTTTTGTCGATGAAGTTTCTGTGAGTAGTTGTGTCAATGTTTGGAGAGTTAACAACTGTGGGGTTTGGAAGAAATATATTGAATAAATCGTATAGAGCGAAAGGGACCTAATGGATTCAATTGAAGTATCATTTTCGAAAAGTACAAACAAGGCTAGGGCAGCAGAAGAAGTTGGCGACGATGTCCAAACATTTTCTGGCTGCTTTCTTGTGTTGTTACCTATATTGAAACCATTTTTTGAGTTTGGAGTAGAAGGTCTCTCAAGTGCCGTTGAATTGATACCCAAACCCAAGTGGGGAGGGGTCGATGGCTTTAATCGCTCAAGACAATGACCATTGCATTTCATAATTTGGATAAATCTCCCCAAAACTCTCAATCTATGAATTTCATTCAAGTTAAAATCAAAGTATCTTGCCTTTTTGTTCATCAATAATTCAAAATGCCTAAACCATTTCTCTCTCACTTCTCCTCCTTCTCTGACAAAAATATCATTTAAAATCAAAGTTCTATAACCAATTGGATTTAAAATGATGGAGTCAAACTCGTCATAAATTCCAAAACTTGATAACAATAAACTCAAAATTTCAGGCTCTATCTTACCGCTGTTCAGTTCTCTATACTGATTTAAGAGTAAAAGGAGTATTCCATACCCATTTAGGTCTTCAAACTCTCTAGCAAATCTCCAATTTGTATTGAGGAGGCAAAACAAAAGTTTCAAGGAGCTTGAAAATCCTTCAACTTGCTTTTCTTTCTTCTCCTTCTTCTTCCGTGAATTCAATTCAGACAACTTAAGAAGTAAAGGAGTACCACCAATAGCAAAAAGTGATGTATGAATTGATAAAGAAGAATGATAAAGCAAGCTTGAAGTTGGTCTTGTGCTCGAAGTGAGTGCAATGTTCCCCGCTGTATCAAACAAAACACTATCCTGACTTGGTTTATCCACAGCCAAAAAGTTGACCAAAGAGTTGATGTCGATATACGACGATGTTGCCGATGATGAGGATGAGGATGATGTTGCAGGGTAAGAAACCGCAGAAGCGGCAGAAGAAGCTGATGTGGACGACATTGAGGAAGGTCTTGCAGACTCGTTTTCAGTTTCATTTACAGCATTGCTCATATCATCATTCCTTTTACTTGTTCCGTTTCTGAATCGGCGGCGAGAGTCCTTTTCAGAGAGTGGCGGGCTACCTCTGATTTCTCTCACCTTCAATGCAAAATTAACTAGTCCACTAAATGTTAATTGATTTAAAAGGTGGAATATGTTTTCGTTCGTGACCTGTTTATAATCCCAGCTATAGCCTATCCCTAAGTTGTATAGTAAATTTATCCAAGCTGGTGGAAGTGCCAAATTCAAAACGGTCAACTGGCGTAAAAGCAATTCATCCTCGTTTTTTATGAATTCATTTTCATCATATTCATTATCACCTATGTATATTTTGTTCCACGTATGAATAACTCTGTAAATTTCTGGGCAAGGAATAGACTCACTATAGTCTCCGTCAATGAACAAGTTTAAGTTCTTATATCCATCGTAGGTAAAAGTCAAATGAGTGAAACCTTGATTTTTAGGTTTAAACTGAATCTGCTGGTTAAATGAGAATTGCATTCTAGAGTTGGATTTGTTGTTCAAAAGTTCAATCCTGAACTGTTTGTTGTTTAATAGTTGTACCTTGAGGTACGAAGAGTCTAGCGTTGTATTTGAAGACGCTATGGTGAATAATGTGGATAATGTATAGGAAGTGTTCGTATTCTCGTTATCAAAGTCAGCAGATGTTGATGACGATAATGATGGAGAAGGCGATGAGTTGGATGACGATGATTTACTGGAAGTCTTTATCTTAAACCATCCATTGATCGATAGCAATTTCAGAGAAGTGTTGTGATCAATTTCAAAAGGCAATGCAATGGACTTTCTCTGGAAGTCTTGGAATATGAAGAAATCGAACTGGCTAGGGTAGTAAGCGAACAATTGGTTAACTGTGTCTAAAAGAGTTAGCTTGGAGGTAGCTGACAAACCACTATACTTATTAAACATTGGTATGATCAATCTTCGAACCAGTTCCACGGAACTTCCGAATTCAAACAAGCTGATCAAAATCTTATTAAGTTGACTAAGTATGATGGGGTTTGGTATTTCATTTTTGCCTAATAGTTTAATCAAATATTCAATTACACAATCGTGGATGTTTGCCTTGTTGTACTGGTATCTTATTCCATATGACGTCTGATTAGTCAAGTACAAGAGTATCTCTAAGATGATTATTTTGAAGTCAATGTATATTTCATCCTCTAGCGACTCAATGACTTGCAAGACATGGTTGAATTGGACAAAGGTGTCTTCGTGGATAATTTGTGGGGTAGATGTGTGCTTAATAGGAGGAGCGATGATGATTTCATCACTGACAACTTCATTCAAGCATATCTCATCAAGATTATCCGTCAACTCCACCTGCCAATTGTTTAGTAACTCGGTGTTGATGGCATAATCCAGTAGTAGCGTCTTGCAGATGTAATCGATCAACTCAATGTCGGGGTCTGTAGACATTGTAATGTGGATATCAAGGTTATTACAATTGGAGTATACTTTAAAAATAAAAAATAAAATAAAATTGAAGACACTAAAGGCAAAACGGACGGTAACTAAATTTTACGATAAGTTGCCGCTAGAAACGGATTTGATAATGCCTGGGGTAAGAGCTGTTTAGCAAAGCGAAAGTGATTTTTTTATTTTTAGCGATCCGGTACTCAAAAATTTAGTGGCAGTTTGTGCGCAACTATTTAGTGGCTAGTAGTTAGCAGGTAGTGGCCAGTAAGTCAAAAAATTTATTGAAAAGATAGGACAGAGTTGGCAAAGAGGATGAAAGAAGAAGAAGGAGTAATAATATAACAATAAAAGAAGAAGAAGAAGAAGAAGAAAAAAAAAAATATACAAGATAAGAAGAAGAAGAAGAAGAAGAAGAAAATCATACGAGATAAGAAAAAGTAAAAGAGTAGAAGTAGAAATGTGTGGATGTGAAATATGGATGTCTAAGGAAAGAGGAAAAGTTGGGGTAGAAAGGTGAACACCGGTATTAAAATTCTAAATGAGTTGTCGCTAGAAATGCCTGGGGTAAAAGTGTTGCTAGCGGGGCAGAGTATTTGATTTTTAGCGATCCAGTGCGAAAATATTAAGTGGCTACCAGTTAGCAACTAGTGCCTGGTAGTTAGTGCCTAAAATTAGTGCCTAGTATTAGTGCCTAGTATTAGTGCCCAGTATTAGTGCCTAGTGCTATACAAGAAATGAGAAAAGGTGGCAAAGATGAAGAAGAAGAATATGAAAACGCACTGATAAGATCAGAGTAATTGCGGAAATGCGTAAAGTGAAAAATACATGCGCAAGTCGATACGAAGTGATGGGGTAGGAAGGTGGAAAGCGGTGTTAAAATTCTAAATGAGGTGTCGCTAGAGATGCCTGGAGTAAAAGTGTCGCTAGCAAAGCAGAGAATTTGATTTATAGCAATTCAGTGCGCAACTACGTGGCTACCAGTTAGCAGTTAGTGCCTAGTGGTGGATCAGAAAATACATTGCAGTAGATAGAACAGTGGCGGCAGAAGAAGAAGAATAAGAAAACACACTGATAAGAGAAAAATTGCAAAAATGTGTAATGTGAAAAATACATACGCAAATAGGAAGAGATGGGCGTAGGAAGGTGGACATAAAAGAAGGAAAGGTTAAAGAAAAAATAGAAAATAAAGTAAAATAGACTTAAATAATATAAAACAATATGTGAAGCACATTGAAGAAACATTAGGAAGGAGTTGCGTATCGCTTAAAGCCCCACCTAAACCACTTTCTTTCCCTCAAAACTGTATGTGTTTGTTTGAGGTTTGAGGGTTTTTTTTCTAGTTGTGATGGTAATCTCGTAATGACGTAAATGAAATTTCGTCTTTAAACGGTAATATTATTCGACTTGTACTATAGAAAACCGTTGGTAGAGGGGCGTAACTATGTGAAGAAAGTGAAAAATTATTTTCATCAAGCACTTAGGGAGCTTTCCTTTCTTTTTTTTTTTCTCTCTCTCTGCTGCCTCATTATCTTTGCAATTATGCTGTGCTACCGCTGCAGACACTGTTGTTCCAACGAAGTCTACAAGTAAAATGCGGGCTGTTTTCATTTTAGTGCATGAAATTTCGAGAAGTCGACCAAATGCAGGACCAACCGTAATGTACGTAGGTAGGGGAAGAGTGAAAGTAGATAAAAAAAGAAAAAAATAATAATAATCATGTAGAAAGCTGAGTCTAAAAAGGGTTATAATTACTTTAAATTCTGAAAATTTTCTTCTCTTGCTTGCTAAGAATATAAATATAAAGATCCTGAAAAGTGAAATTTCTAAATTCACAGATTGACAAAAAAAAAGTAAAAGGATAGTAAGCTAACTTATAACTAAAAGCAAAGCAAATTTAGTCGGTGTCAGAATTGCGTCACTAAATTCTCAATTTTTCAACTATACGGGGTCTCACCACAGAAGATTTTACGCGTTGATTGCGAGGCAAGATTGACTTTTTTTTTTTTTTTTCCCACTGTATTTTTAGCCCTACTGTGTCTTTTTTGATTTTCTTCTTTTTTCTCTCACAAAAGCATAAATCATTCTTTGATGTTTGATATTTCAGAAGAAGAAGGAGCAAACTTACCTGATCTAAGGGATATGGAGCTAAATAGTGATACATATAGCAGCGGAAATAGTGAGGCTGGAGGTGCAGATACTGCTGCTATGACCCCATCCACTCCGACAATTTCCAGCCCTGATAATGCCCATACCCCATCTTCGTATATTTTAGTGCCTTCTACTGCACATACTTCGGCTGAGGGTGCTGACAATAAAGATACTGGTGATGACATCTATGATAACAATAATAAATACAGTGAGAGCAACAGTGGTAGTGGACATGCTGGTGATAGTGCTGCTGCTGCTGCTTCTGGTGCTAGTGGTGCTGCTGCTAGTGGTGCTGCTGCTACCCCCACCAATATCTCGTCCTCATCTCACTCCTCTCACTCTACCCCACTAAATCTTGGACCCAATAATTCTGCATCAACTATTTCCACAGACTTCAACAATAACGATGATATTGAAATAGCGATCCCTGATGACGATCTCAAGCAAAGAAGATCGACGTTGGCCAGTCTCTTGGATTCTGCCACCTCCGCTTCCAAGGAGGGTGATATTTGGTACTTAATCCCAAGAGATTTTTTGGAAGATGTCCTCAATTTACCGGTTGAATCTTTTGAAGATTTAAAGCATGAAGTGGGGATCTTGGATCTAACCAATATTGTTGACAGAAATGGAATTCTTTACCCTGAAGCTGACGAGCCTGTTGATACTTACAATATCCCACCAAAGGTATTCCAGCATTTAACTGAATGGTTTGGTGTTAAAGGGCAGCCTGTTTCTAGAGCTTTGATTTTCAATCAGCAAACAGGAAGGAAAGAGGTAGAAAGATTCCCCAGCTACTTCCACATACATACTCTAAAGAAGTCAGGTGGCTCTACCGGTACTGGCAGTAACACTTTGTATTCATCATCTTCGTCGTCGTCGTCCACTTCGCTTGCACATCTGAACCATGGCCATATCGTAAGTAATCACAATGGGGTCTTTTGCTCAACCACTGGTACATTCTTGGATCTTTTCGAGGCCATACGAATTGTATTTTTGAAGGTGCCGAAGAGGAAATCTAATGCCAATGCCAATTCACAACAATCGAACAACGCTATCTTAAACTTTAGAGTTTGGTTCATCTCCACTGATTCCCTCCCACACGTAATCCTGATTCAACAGTTCATCAACGATGTCCCCAAAAAACAATTGGTCTTACAAAATCGCTACAATCAAAGATTGAAGGACCAAGGTTTAAATTCTTCTGAGTACCATATTTTGGTTGAATTGAAAGATACTCAAAGTGGACCCTTTCCAATCGACAACTATTTCCAAAGCCTTGTTAAATCTGGAGGAGACATAAATAACCAATTTGATCTAAACTGGATATTGCAAAATGGTGGTCAATCTGGATTGACCAACTTGGGAAACACCTGCTATATGAATAGTGCATTACAATGTTTGGTTCATATACCTGAGATTGACTCATACTTCTTTTATAATATATTTGAACAGGAGTTGAATGAGAGTAATCCTTTAGGATATAAGGGTCAAATAGCGATAATGTTTGGCAAATTATTGAAAAAATTGTTCGACCCCCAAGAACACCCGGTACCAAAGAGCAATGCCAATGGGCGCTTTTCATATAGTAATAATGTATCAGTATCTCCTAGGGATTTTAAATATACTGTGGGACACCACTCTTCGATATTCCAGGGTTACCAACAACAGGATTCACAGGAATTTCTTTCTTGGTTATTGGATGCAATCCATGAAGATCTAAACAGAATCTACGATAAACCATATTGCGAAAAACCTGAACTCAATGATAATGAAGTTAATGATATACATGCCATTGAAAAATTGGCCAATATTTGTTGGAAACAAAATAAACAGCGTAATGACCTGATAATCACTGATTTATTCACTGGCATGTACAAATCGACCTTAGTGTGTCCTGATTGTTCAAAGACTTCCATCACCTTTGATCCATTCAATGATGTCACTCTTCCATTACCAGTGAATAAAAAATGGTACCATACTTTTAAAATTGTTGATTTCCGTACGGACACAATTCAAATGTTGGAAGTTGAGTTAAATAAAACAAGTAATTACGATGATCTTATACGGTATATCGCTGAACATTTGGAAGCTGATATTAACAATATCTTCTTATTTGAGATTTTCAATAATTTCTTCTATAAAGATTTCCAATCGAATTACAATAAGCTTCGCTTTTATCCGATTAGTGAGATTATATCTGATCAAGACGATATAGTTGCTTACCACATTCCGCATGATCCAGAGAGAAACATTATCGTTCCTGTAATTAACTCAGTGTCTGACTCTGATAAATCTTACAATGTAGCCCATGCCTTTGGATTACCATTGTTTGTGGTTTTCAATAGAGAAGAATTGGGAGTGGAGGAAATTCTGGATAACTTGAAGGAAAGGATAAAAATGTTGAAAAGGGTAAAAAGTAATGAGAGAGAAAATGAAGATGATATGGAAGAAGAGAAGGAGGATGTTGAACAGGAACACCTGGAAGGTTCCTTTGACATCAAGTATTATATTGAAAGCAAATTCTCACATAGGAGTAAATCAAACAACCACTCTTCAATTATCCATATTCCACATAATAGAGCAAACTTGAATAATTTACCCAGTTTATTGAAGGATACTGAAGAAAAGAGATCGGAGCCTGTTCTCAAAGCTAGTTCAACGTTACTATCTCACACAGGTACCCAAGAGGATAGCGATAGAGACTCAGATGATTTTGTTGTTGTAAACAGCATTGAAGTCCCCAGAGTACCAACTGCGTTATCTTCAGCCCCATCTAACCTAACTCCACAACAACTGGATAAAGAAGATGAGGATGACGATGTAGAAGAATCAGTCTCTGCTACTTCTGGTCCGACCGGTTCTGATGCTTCACCTCCAACGGCTCCAAGAAACGTTGATATTCCTACAGGTTCTGAAATTGACGACGTTGAGGCTCACGATGACAACGATAGTATGAATAATATTGGACTGCTTTTTGATTCTGTGCACACTCTTAATAGTAGTGGTGGTGGAGCTCATGATGCACCAGTAGTTGGTAGCCTTGATGATCTCAACAAGATGACGTTAGTTTGTCAATGGGATCATGATGAGTATGTTAAGTTTTTCACAGATTCACCTGAAAACCATGCATGGATTGACCCTCCGTACATTCCAAATCCACAAGTTGAAAAAAGTAAATCAGAATCTTTGAAGGAAAAGAATTCTACTGTTTCATTGTATGATTGTCTTGCCAATTTTTCATCCCCTGAAGTCTTAGGTGACCAAGATTTGTGGTATTGCCCAAGATGTCAAGATCATAAGCAAGCTACGAAAACCATCCAACTATGGTCGATTGGGGATATCTTAACTATTCATTTGAAGAGATTTGAAAGTTCAAGATCTTTTAGTGACAAAATTGATATGGTTGTTGACTTCCCGATTGAAGGTTTAGATATGAAACAATTCGTCAGCAAAACAGATGGTGATGCTGATGAGGGCTTGATTTACGACTTAATTGGTATTGATAGCCATGTTGGAGGGTTAGGAGGTGGTCATTATACGGCGTATGCTAAAAACTTCAGAGATGATCGTTGGTACTTCTTCAATGATTCTAGAGTTCAACCTATTGATGACCCTAAAGCTGGAATGTCAAATGCGTATTTGTTATTCTACAGAAAGAGGAAGTCCGGAGAGAAATTGTTAGGAGACGAAAAGTTCCACGAGCAGGTTGAAGAGGGAAGAACGAGATTGGTTGAGGAGTTGGGTAAACTAAGGGAGCAGTCGATGATTGTAAAGGATCAGATTGATACATTCAGGTACAATGAGGCAGAGTTAGAAGAGGCAAAGAAGCTTTTGGCTGAACACGAGGCAAAACTAAAGGAAAGCTTAAAAGAGAAGGAAAATGCTTCTGTACAACTGCAAGATGAAGCAGTCGAAGACGTTGATGAGATGCCCACTCGTATCATATCACATTCCAAAAAATCGAGATCTTCTATCGATCCTAGTGAGGTCCTGAATGAAGACATCAATATTGCATTGCGTAGAAAGCAGAGGTTGATTACAAGAGACAATAAGCCCATTGGAGTTAAAGCGTCTCTTAATTCTGGTGAAGAGGGAGGGAGTAGCAGTATTGCTGGCTCTGATCGTGGGAACTCGCCCTTAACTTCTTCTGAAGAAGATAACTTGGCGAGCGATAATTTAGTTGAATAGACCAAGCTTATTTTTTTTGTAATATTCGGAAAAGGTATTTTATAAACGTATAGAAATAAAATATGAAAAATGATGAGCTACAAATGTAAAGTTCTTCGTAAATGTTATTAGAAAGGAATCAATGATTGTGTACTTTATAATTCTGATCTTAAGTTCGCTATTCTAATAGATTCCTTTAATAGAGCCTTCGTAATTCGAGATCCTCCACCAATTATACTTATATGTTTGAGTGGCTTTAATGAATCTTTGCTCGATATTATGTTGATTTTCAGAACAGCACAAGTCTCTTCAGCTTCACCTTCTAAGTCTGCTAACAAAACAGTGGTAGCAGCGGGAGCTTGATCGACATCCATATCGTCTTCATCTCCGGCTTCGGCCACCGGTTTTTCTACATCTATTATCCCGTAACTAGATGGCGTGCCAGCCTCTTTAATGCTCAAGTTTTCGTTGTAGTTGGTGTCTAACAACAAGTTATAAGATTCTCTCAAATGTCCAAAGTTACCACGACTACGCACAGGGATCCTAATATCAGTAGACTTGTCATCGATGTATGCTCTTGGAATCTTACAATTCTTAAGTGCACCTATCAAGGCTGAGTAGCATATGTCGAATAAGGGGCCCGATCTTGAAAACACCTTTACGTGGGCGTATAAGGTGTAGGACCAATTCTTCTTAGGTCTCAAAAGATCGTCATTTTCACCTGATCCATCAGGGTATATGATATCATTGTCTACCTTTGTTCCTACTTGTACTTTCAATGCTTCGTTGTCAATAATCTTGTTATGCAATATAGTTTCATAAAGCTTTTGTGATAAAATCATTTCTTCGTCAGTGGGGGCACCAGAACGGCCCCTAGAGATGTCAACCACTGGGTAAACAGATGAATAGTTTTCCAAAGAATCATCTTCAGCGGAAGATGTCAATGATAAGATCTTGTCAACAGAGTTTTCTTCGACAATTCCAAGTGTTATCCCACAGATAACTCTTGTATCTCCACTTTTAACTACAGACAGCCCTATTAAATTATTTTTCCCTACGTCGTTTAAACCTCCTTCTGACACTTCCATGGGTCTAAATTCATTGAACCCTCTGAGGGAAGGTCTTAACCCCACTGAAAGATGCCTTTGGAGCGAGATATCTGGAGCTATGCGGGCAAGAACCTCAGGTGGGAACACCATTTGTTTGACGACCGGATTTTCAGGCATATTTCCTGAGTTTTTGATGGATATATGGTGTTGTGTTTAGAGTCTCTTGATGGCCTTGTAGCTCTGTAAAGTTTTTTGATATTGCAAGTACGACTTCCGAGATGAGTTTATGTGCAGGACAGACAATGTTGCCATAGTGAAGAGAGAAACTTTGTTAATGAAGAGATAAAGCATGGATTAGAAGGGGCACCAGGGCTGTTGAGTCTTTATTGAAGTCAATAGCTGTTTAAGTGAGTATTTGAGGAGATAACGATTGAGACTTTTGAGAGGTTAAGTTATGGTGTGTAGATTTTTACTATGCTTTATTTATTTTTCACTGTTCTAAGGCGATGGGAAGCTCAGCGTTTAGTTCGAACGGCTGCAAATGAGATGAAATCGATAAGAAATACCCTGATGTATAAATATAGGAAACGGCTGGATGGAAGGTGAGTAGAAAAGGAGTTAAACGGCTCAACAGGTACAGATAAGCGGTCAGTAGGCAAGAATAAGGTTGGGTTTAGTGTGGTTCAATGTTCTGATGGTCATTTTAATTTTAACCAGATTGCACCAAATTCAACCAAGAAATTGTTTGAGTAGGGCTTAACACCATTAGGCGTTCAATGGAGTTTGGATTAAAGGAAAGACAAGAACACAAGCACAAGCACAACCATAGACAATCCAAGCCATCTCCCTGTATTTTTGCTACCCCAACATTTATTTTCTGCACCAGTAAACATAAGAGTCTCTTTACTCTATTCTCCACTTTGTCGGTGTTAGCTACGATGATTGGACTTAGGGCTTAAGTGAAGTAGTTTTCTCTATCTCCTGCCGGTGTGCGGATGTATTATGTCATAGTTCAAAGCAGGAGTTTTTTTCCAGTGGGCCCCTATGCATTCCAGAAAGCCCCAAGCAGAAGAAGAAAGTAGGGGAAGAAAAGAAGCAGAGGAAGAAGAACAAGCAGAGGACGAAGAACAACCAGAGGACAAATATGAGGATATGCTATTAGGCACTTGCCACTAACATACGGATTCAGGCGAATTTCTACATTTCTAAACTAAGACCCTAGCTCCACTTGCTCTCAGCATGTCTTTCCTAGAACCCCTTTAACGCGAACCAACAAGGTCCTTCTCTTGTAGTACTCTAGAATGCTTAGCTAGATAAACTCGGTTCACCGGTGACGGCCCTATTTTTTTCACCTTTTTTTTTTTTTGATTATCTTTTGCGCTTCCCTTGTGACTCAATGCAAGCGTTTTCTAAGTTTTTCCCCACCTAAGTCACTCGTTGCGGGCCGAATTTCTCACGGTTTATTATGTTCCCACGCAACTTTATTGGCTGGTTGGCGTAAATCAGACCAAGTTACACAAAAAATAGCGTTACATTATCTCGTTCCCTCATGCCTGATAAGAGTCAAACCAGTTCAGATACTCGCAATGATTGGCCGGTTGCCCTGCACTCATGCATACAGAGAAGGAAATCAGTGTCATTTTCTTGATTTTTTAGTACGTTAGGCAACCGAGCAGAGTCCAATTTTGGGGTTGGAGCGGTGAACTGCGACACCATGAATGGTGCATCTCTCCCACTATCTGTTTTAGGACACTGATGTAATTTAATTTATTTATTTTTTGTTGTTGTAAGGGAAAATTTTTCCCTTATGATCTGGTGAAATGGTTTTATAACTCTGACAATATTTTATTGAGGTTTTCTTCTTCTCTTCTTCTTCTTTTTCTCTTCCTTTCTTCTTTTCATCTCTTCACTTAACACGAATTTCTTCTGCTTGTTATATTGTTGATACAATTGTATATAAAGTCAAGAATTCAAAGAGCCCTTATCTCGTCTCTTTATACAGGAAGAAGAATAGTATTGATATAGGTTGATCTTAATTGATACGTTATTGTAACTACTACTACTACTACTACTACTACTACACTACACCACAACAACTTCTACTACTACTACTACTACTACTACACTAATATAACTACTGCTACTTTCGATTACAAGTCTTATTACAACTACATTTTTCCATATTTTATATTTTCTAGTTATCGTCCAAATTAGCATCCAAAGGTATGTACTACTAACTAAATGAAGCTGAACTGAAAAATCTCTGTATCGACTCCAGATCTCTTTCTACCTTCGTTGCAATGAATGCTCCGATTCCGACCAAAGAGAACGAAAGACCCCGTCTTGCCTAAACCTCCCTTTGTGGGGATCGATGACATAATGCTGGAGGCCCATTGGCTCTTGCCCTGTATCGCAATGTCACAAAACCATGGGGTATAAGAAAAAATTGAGAAATTAAGCCTGGGCCGGCCAGGCACACAGATCAAGGCATTTTTCACTCGGGTAAGGTAGAGAGAGTGGAATCCAAGCGGCTTTACTTCAGGTTCTTGCTTTTTTTTTGATAAAATTTCACTACTTTTTGTTTTCTCTTTCTCCAGGTATACTAACTCATCTAGAAATGTCATCTTATCTTCCTCAAGACGAATTTCAAACCAATATTTATAATTATGATGAAACTCCAGAGAACAAATCTTGGGCATCAGCTTTACCAACTGCAAAAGGTTTATATAACCCTGAACTCGAAAAGGATGCCTGTGGTGTTGGTTTCACATGTCACATCAAGGGTCAAGCATCTCACAAGATCGTCTCTGACTGTAGAAACTTGTTGTGTAATATGACACACAGAGGTGGTGAATTGAATCCAAAGGATGGTGATGGTGCTGGGTTATTATCATCATTACCACACAAGTTTTTAGTTAGAGAATTTGCTTACCACTGTAACGTCGACTTACCACCACTTGGTCAATATGGTACTGGTAACGTTTTCTTTAAGAAGGACGACTTGATCTTTGAAAAATCCAAGCAAACCTTCGTAAGCATTGCTTCTTCGCTTGGTTTAAAGGTCTTGGGATGGAGAAAAGTTCCACACGATTCTTCTATCTTAGGTCCTGCCTCTTTATCCAGAGAACCTTTGATCTTGCAACCTGCCATTGTCTTAGAAGAGACTTACTTTGGCGATGCTGCAATTAGTGAAAGTGAATGGGAAACCAAATATCAAAGAGATTTCGAAAAGAAATTGTTTATCTTAAGAAAGCAATCTTCTCACACTATTGGATTACAAAACTGGTTTTACATCTGTTCCCTTTCCAACAAGACCATTGTCTACAAGGGTCAATTGGCTCCAAACCAAGTTTACGCTTATTACCACGATTTAGTAAACTCTGAATACGAATGTCACTTTGCTTTAGTTCATTCCAGATTCTCAACCAATACTTTCCCCTCCTGGGACAGAGCTCAGCCTTTGAGATGGGCTGCTCACAATGGTGAAATTAACACTTTGAGAGGTAACAAGAACTGGATGAGAGCCAAGGAAGGTGTCATGGCTTCCAAATTGTTTGGTGAAGATTTAGAAAAGTTATATCCGATTATTGAAGAAGGTGGTTCCGATTCCGCTGCATTTGATAACGTTTTGGAATTGTTAGTCATTAATGGTGTCTTGTCATTGCCAGAAGCTGTTATGGTTATGATTCCAGAAGCTTGGCAAAACGATGCTCTCATTGATCCAAAGAAAAAGGCCTTCTATGAATGGGCTGCTTGTTTGATGGAACCTTGGGATGGTCCAGCTTTGTTTACCTTTGCTGATGGTAGATTCTGTGGTGCCAACTTAGACCGTAACGGTTTGAGACCATGTCGTTACTATGTCACCGATGATGACAGAATCATTTGTGCATCTGAGGTTGGTGTTATCGACGTTGAACCTGAAAAGATTTTGCAAAAGGGTAGATTACAACCAGGAAGAATGTTGTTAGTTGATACCAAAGAAGGTAGAATTGTTGACGATAAGGAATTAAAGAAGTCTGTCTCTTCTAGATTCGATTTTAAGTCATGGGTTTTGGCCAACATGATTGAAATGAACGATTTAACTGAAAAATTAAAATCTAGAGGAGTTGATTTACAGGAAGAAATTGATTATTCCTCGGTCACTGTTCAAACCGATCCAAGATTAGTTGCCTTTGGATACTCTCATGAACAGGTTTCATTAGTTTTAGCCCCAATGGCCGAAGGAAAGGAAGCTTTAGGTTCCATGGGTAATGATAACGCATTAGCATGTATTTCTGAACAACCAAAATTGTTGTACGATTACTTCAGACAATTATTTGCTCAAGTTACCAATCCACCAATTGATCCAATTCGTGAAGAAATTGTTATGTCTTTGGAATGTTATGTTGGTCCACAAGGTAACTTGTTAGAAATGAAGCCAGATCAATGTAACAGATTATTATTGAAATCTCCTGTTTTGTCCTCTCCAGAGTTAAACGCTTTGAAGAACATTGAAAAGGTATTCCCTAAATGGTCTGTTGCCAACATTGATATCACATTTGAAAAGCTGGAAGGTATTCAAGGTTATATCGATACCATTGATCGTGTTTGTCAAGTTGCTTCTAAGGCTTTGGCTGATGATCATCAAATTTTGATCTTGAGTGATCGTTTGACTTCTGCTGAAAGAGTTCCAATTTCTGCATTAATTGCCACTGGTGCTTTACATCATCACTTGGTTAGACAAAAGCAACGTTCTAAGGTCGCTATTTTAGTCGAAACCGCCGAAGCTAGAGAAGTTCACCATTTATGTTGTCTTGTTGGTTATGGTGCTGACGGTGTTAACCCTTACTTAGCAATTGAAACTTTAGTTCGTATGAACCATGAACACTTAATTAAGAAAGAACTTAAAGATGAAGTCATTTTCGACAACTATAAGCACGCTGTTGATTCCGGTATCCTTAAGGTTATGTCTAAGATGGGTATTTCCACTTTAGCTTCTTATAAGGGTGCTCAGATTTTTGAAGCATTAGGTGTTGATAATTCTGTTATTGACAGATGTTTCGCAGGTACCGCTTCAAGAATTAAGGGTATAACTTTTGAATACATTGCTCAAGATGCATTCTCAATCCACGAACGTGGTTACCCTAACCGTGAGACCATCAAGCCAGTTGCTTTACCAGAAACCGGTGAATATCACTGGAGAGATGGTGGTGATGCCCATATTAATGAACCAGCTGCTATTGCTTCCATGCAAGATGCTGTTAAGAATAAGAATGAAAAGGCATTCGAAGCTTATTCTAAGAAGGAATATGAAGCCATCAAGAACTGTACCTTGAGAGGTTTGTTAGATTTCGATTATGAAAACTCCACTCCAGTTCCATTGGATCAAGTTGAACCATGGACTGAAATCGTCAGAAGATTCTTCACTGGTGCCATGTCTTATGGTTCCATTTCCATGGAAGCTCATTCCACTATTGCCGTCGCTATGAATAGATTAGGTGGTAAATCCAATACCGGTGAAGGTGGTGAAGATCCAGCTAGATCTACTGTTAATGAAAATGGTGACACTATGAGATCTGCTATCAAACAAATTGCTTCCGGTAGATTCGGTGTTACATCATACTACTTGGCTGATGCTGATGAATTACAAATCAAGATGGCTCAAGGTGCTAAGCCTGGTGAAGGTGGTGAATTACCTGGTCATAAGGTTTCAGAGCAAATTGGTAAGACTAGACATTCTACTCCTGGTGTTGGTTTGATTTCTCCACCTCCACATCATGATATCTACTCTATTGAAGATTTAAAGCAATTGTTATACGATTTGAAGTGTGCTAACCCAAGAGCAAGAACTTCAGTTAAGTTAGTCTCTGAAGTTGGTGTTGGTATTGTTGCTGCTGGTGTTGCTAAGGCCGGATCCGAGAACATTTTGGTTTCTGGTGGTGATGGTGGTACAGGTGCCGCCAAGTTGACCTCCATTAAGCATGCTGGTTTACCATGGGAATTAGGTTTAGCTGAATCCCATCAAACCTTAGTCTTGAACGATTTAAGAGGTAGAGTTATCTTGCAAACTGACGGTCAAATCAGAACTGGTCGTGATATTGCTGTTGCAGCTTTATTAGGTGCCGAAGAATGGGGTTTTGCCACTACACCTTTAATCGCTATGGGTTGTATTATGATGAGAAAGTGTCACTTGAATACTTGTCCCGTTGGTATTGCTACCCAAGATCCAGAGTTACGTAAGAAATTCGAAGGTACTCCAGAACATGTTATTAACTTCTTTTATTACATGGCCAATGAATTGAGAGCCATTATGGCTAAGTTAGGTTTCAGAACCATCAAGGAAATGGTTGGTCGTGCTGAAAAATTGAAGACTAGAGAAGACTTGAGAAACACCAAAAATGCCAACATTGACTTATCGCCAATTTTAACTCCTGCACACACTATTCGTCCAGGTGTTGCTACTCACTGTGTCCGTAAGCAAGACCACAAGTTACATGTTAGAATTGATAACAAATTGATTGATGAATCTGAATTAACTTTGGCAAAGGGTTTACCAGTCACCATCGATTGTGATGTTGTCAACACCGACAGATCCTTAGGTACCACCTTATCTTACAGGGTTTCCAAGATTTTCGGTGAACTGGGATTACCACATGATACTATTCATGTTAATGCTAAGGGTTCAGCAGGTCAATCTTTTGGTGCCTTCTTAGCTCCTGGTATTACTTTGGAATTAGAAGGTGACGCTAACGATTACATTGGTAAGGGTTTGTCTGGTGGTAGAGTCATTGTCTACCCACCAAAGGAATCTGTGTTTAATGCTGAAGACCAAATTATTGCAGGTAACACTGCTTTCTTTGGTGCTACTTCCGGTAGTGCATTTATTAGAGGTATTGCAGCTGAGAGATTCGCTGTTAGAAACTCTGGTGCTACTATTGTTGTTGAAGGTACTGGTGATCACGGTTGTGAATATATGTCAGGTGGTAGAGTTGTCATCTTAGGTTCTACAGGACGTAATTTCGCTGCAGGTATGTGTGGTGGTATTGCATACGTTTTGGACATGGCCCAAGATTTCAGTGACAAGGTTAACTCTCAGACTGTTGAATTATCCCAAGTTACTGAACCAACTGAAATTGCATTCTTAAGAGGATTAGTTGAAGACCATCGTCATTACACCAACTCCACCGTTGCTGATGCCATCTTGAACGACTTCAACAGATTCTTACCAAGATTCGTCAAGGTTTTACCACACGACTACAAAAAGGTTTTGGAAACCGAAAAGAAGAAGCAAGCTGATGCCAAGAAAAATGAATTAAACACTTTCTTAAAGTCCATTAAGGAAGATCCTGAAGCTGATGTTACTAACGGTGAAGCTGCTAAGATCAAGAAGGGTCATGTTCACAGACCATCTAAGGAGGCCGCTTCCAAGGAACCAAAGATCTTGGATGTTGAAGACACTATTACTGATGTTGAATTAGAAAAGAAGGCTGTCGCTAAATTAGACAAGGTCAAGGGATTCATGAAGTATAAGAGAAGAAATGAGAAGTACAGAGCTGCAAAGGAAAGGACTTCTGATTGGAATGAAATGACTTCAAGATTATCGAAGGACGAATTGAAACATGAAACTGCAAGATGTATGGATTGTGGTGTTCCATTCTGTACTTCAGATACCGGTTGTCCAATTTCCAACGTCATTCCAAAATGGAATGAATTAGTTTTCCAAGACAGATGGTATGATGCTTTACAAAGATTATTGATGACCAATAACTTCCCAGAATTTACTGGTAGAATTTGCCCAGCTCCATGTAATGGTGCTTGTGTCTTAGGTATTAACAGCGACCCTGTTAACATCAAGTCCATTGAATGTGCCATTATTGACCATGGTTTCGAACAAGGTTGGATTGTGCCAAACCCACCAACTCACAGAACTGGTAAAAAGGTTGCCATTATCGGTTCAGGTCCAGCTGGTTTAGCTGCTGCTGATCAATTGAACAGAGCTGGACACTTAGTTACTGTTTATGAAAGAAGTGACAGACCAGGTGGTTTGATGATGTACGGTATTCCAAACATGAAGTTAGATAAGCGTATTGTTAAGCGTAGAACTGACTTGATGGCAGCTGAAGGTATTACTTTCGTCCCTTCCACTAACGTTGGTGAAGACATTACTGTTTCCGAATTGAAGAATGAAAATGATGCAGTTATCTTCGCAGTTGGTTCAACCATTCCAAGGGATTTGAGAATCCCAGGACGTGAATTGAAAAACATTAACTTTGCTATGCAATTGTTGTCCACTAACACTAAGGCATTATTGGACGAAGAATTAGCTGAAGTTAGAAAGACTTTGCAAGGTAAGAATGTCGTGGTTATTGGTGGTGGTGATACTGGTAATGATTGTTTGGGTACTTCGACTAGACACGGTGCTAAGTCAGTTACGAACTTCGAATTGTTACCAACTCCTCCAAATGCCAGACCAAAGGACAATCCATGGCCACAATGGCCAAGAGTCTTCAGAGTTGATTACGGTCACACTGAAGTTGCTGAACATTACGGTAAGGATCCAAGAGAATACTCTATTTTATCTAAAGAATTCGTTGGTGATGAAGAAGGAAATGTTAAGGGAATCAATACAGTTAGAGTTGAATGGAAACGTTCTGACTCTGGAGCTTGGCAAATGGCTGAAGTTCCAGGCAGTGAAGAATTCTTCCCAGCTGAAGTTGTCTTGTTATCCATGGGTTTCGTTGGTCCAGAAGCTGATAAATTAGAAGTTGAAAAGACCAAGAGGGGAACCATTGGCACTGCTAACCCAAGTGGTTACCGTGTTAATAATGACGAAAACTTGTTTACTGCCGGTGATTGTAGAAGAGGTCAATCCTTGGTCGTCTGGGGTATTCAAGAAGGTAGACAATGTGCTAGGGAAGTTGATAACTTCTTAATGGGATCTTCCAGACTTCCAGGTAACGGTGCCGTTGAGCAACGTAACTATAAGTTATTAGAAGAATTAGCTGAAAAGGTTTAATTTTACTGTTATTTAATGAAGAAGCATATGCACAGCATAAAGGACTCAAGGAATGCAGAACAAAAAAAAAATAAAAATGAAAAAAAAACAAAGAAACAAACAGAGGTAATATAGTTATATTAAAAAGATATCGAAAAGAGACTCTTAATAGAATTTGAATGAAGAAGGTAGTAGTTCTTCAGTTTAAAGTTTTATAGTAGTAAATAAATTTTGATTGTATTTTAGATCTGACATGGTTTGTAGTTTTCACTGTAGAAGTAAAAGCAATGCGGAGCATCCAAATGAATTGCATAAAAAATTATCAAGAAATTACCACAACCGGTGAAAAAGTAGTACGAAGAGAAGAATAAAATCCCTGGTAAGGCGTACTCAGGCGCCGGGATAATGCCAGTAAGAAAAGAGGTGGACAAAGAAAGTTCGAATTATTGCATTACTTGACGTCCCTAGTGCCCTGGGATCAAAACTCTTTGCATTAGAGATGGTTTCAACTATGAAAAATTTCGACATTTTTGCACATGATGCGAGAACAATAGAGTAAAGTAAAGGTGTGCGACATCTATTTTCGGTTGTATTTCGCATTGATGAGGACCAACTTGGGACTAGTTTCCTGGACGGTAGCTAGCAACAGTACCACTGTAAAAGCTTAACGAATTAGGCTATTTCTTCAGGAATTAGATTGATTATTGATGTACAAGCAGATAGGTCCTCATTGGTCCGAGGATTTTCCAAGACCCCAATCTGTGGGTTGCGGGCTATTAATAGCTAAAATAAAGGCAATGATCCAATGAAAAGTTTTTTCTTTTTAAGCCTGGCCTAAGAGAATTCAGAAAATAAATTGGATCGAGAAAAATAAATCCAACCCCCTTAAAAAATTTAAACAAAAATAGGGTAAGAAGGAGAATGTGATACAGATTTAGGTGTAGCCCAATGACCAGCAACTGTAATGCTATTATAATAATTATTATAGTACCAAAAAAAGAAACAGCTACAACATGTGTATGCTGGTGGGACCAGTTTCATGCCCCGGCTGATCCACAATGGAAGTCCATGTTGACGTTTTTCCAAACGGAGGCAGTGCAGTGGAAAATTCCAGGCTAAATACAGGAAAGTAGCCCCAGTAGAGGGAACAACTAAAAAAAAAAAAAAAAAAAAAAAAGAAAATCCCACAATAATGCACAATACCGCTATGATTTCCTAAAGGTAAATACTCAAGAATGGTCTTAGTTCTTCAAGCCCTAGCGGCAAAAAGATAGTTGGAGAACAGAAAAACAACTTGTAAACTGTGGTCAAACCTTGGTATGACCCCGACCCCCAACCAGCCACTCTACTCTAACTAACTAACACAAGTCAAGGGGAAATAGATTGTCAAAGCTTATAGTATAAATAATGCCCGTATTATTAAGTTGCAGTGACACACGTGCAGGATATTTCAAGTTTTTAAGATTCAAGCCATCTTTGTCAAGAATTTTTCCGCATCAGAAATGGATCGTTGGAAAATTTGGCTCAATATCCGTTGGCTGTTGAATTTTCACTGCGGAGGATATCTAGCGGCCTAGTCCCAAGAAAAAGACCACTAGACCCAATCGAAAACCACAGCAGAAATCAAAACATGTCCCAAAAACGTATGAGAGACACGTAGAGTCCCGCTGGTGGATATTTCCGCTTACTTTTATATATCTCTCGCACATAAGTATTTTGACGGGACCCCGTATATTCGTGCATTGCATTTCCAAACAAAAACAGTCTTGTGGGCTCTTTTCCTCCATATTGTCGGTCTCTTGTCCTTTTTTGTCTTTTTTTTTTTTTTTTTTTTTTTTTTCTTCCTCACTATTTATCTTATCTGTTATGTAAATATACTTGTAGCACGGTACAGGAATAAGAATGAAGTTAGACGGCGCATAAACGAAATGAGTTAATATACGGTTTGAAACGACAGTACCACTCCAAGATACGATCCTTGAACCCTCGTTTTCATGTGCACACACCTTTCTGAAGAAGAGATCCAACCGATCATTCACTCACTATTACCCCATGTTAGATCAAGCAATCTCACTCTACTATGTTTATAATCATGGCTGGTGAAGCTGGCTGTTTGTGTTTACTTTTGACGCAGAAGGAAAATTTGATTCATGTATACGCTTTTTTTGTACCCGCACTTGCTCCCGATTCTCCGCTAGCCATACTAAAAATGAGTTATTGTCAGTGCGTCTGCGGTTTTGGCCTCTTTTTTTTTTTATTTTATTTTTTCCTTTTTTTTTTTACCCTCGAGGCGGTAAAATTTTGAATAAATACGGCGCCCCTTTCTCTAATGATCGACTTTTCATAAAAACCCTCTTTCCCTCTCTTCTTCTTCTTCTTCTTCTTTTCTTTCTTCTTCAACTAGTTTCTGTTCTTTCTGCATTACTAATAACTAATTCATATATATAAAATGCAATTTAAGAACGTAATTGCCGGTGCTGCCTTAGTTGGTGCTGCTTTCGCTACCACTGTGAACAGTAAGTAAAAATAGTAACTTTTTTTTTCACTCTCCAATTTGATCCAGCCAAAGCGGATGGGTGGAAATCAGAAAACCGAGGAATGGGTTTAAAAGATTAAGATTAGATTTCGACCATGATAGTTTGGTCTCCAATATTTAGCGGGTGATCCCCGAAATGGGCAAATGGCATGATTTGGGCACTTTTGAGCCTGATCCATCACCATACAATGGCCGGTGGGTTGGTCTCGGTCCAACGTCGTCTTTTTTCCCTCGTTTCAATTTTAATTTTTTTTTTATTTATTTTTTTTTTTACGATGTTTCTCGAGATTGCTCGAGATATTCGAATTAGGAAGTTTTCCAAATTTCATTAAAAAAGGGCCAAAAATACTAACAAATCCCTCACTTTAGACTCCACTTTGACCACTGCTACTCCATCAGTCGGATCCGGATGTTCATTCTCCAAATTCACAGCCACTGCTTCAGCTCAAGTCGCTCAAATTGCTGCTTGTGCCACTGCTGTCGGTGATGTCACCATCTACGGTGCTGCATTCGGTAACATTGACCTTACTGGTACCGAACAATTCTACGGTAACTTGTTGATTAACAATGCTACCCAAGTTTCTGCCTTCAATGCTCCAACTTTGGAATTAGTCTCCGGTGAATTAACTTTCAACGGTTCCACCATCTTGGAAACCATTAATTTGGCTGTTTTAACCACCGTCGGTACTTTAACCATTAGTGCTTGTTCTCAATTAGATACTCTTGACTTGACCACCGGAATTACATCCGCCGATAACATCACCATTGCTGACACTGCCTTGACTACTTTAGAAGGTATTAATGTTGTCGAATTGAAGATTTTCAACGTTAACAACAACAAGGATATTACCACCATTAACTCCGGTTTACAATCCGTTACTGACTCTCTTGCCATTTCTTACAATGCCCAAGGTGTTAATGTTACCATGGATGAATTAACCAGCGCTTACGATATCTATCTCCAAGATGTTGGTTCATTGTCATTCTCCAACTTGACTACTATCAACTCTTCTTTGATTCTCGACAACTGTCAATTTGAATCCTTGGAAATCAAGAACTTGACCTCTATTGGTAACGCATTAGCCATTACTGATAACTCAGTTTTGACTGACATCAGTTTCCCAGCTTTGACTACCATTAAGGGTGCCTTCACCATCGAAAACGATGACGACCTTAGTGTTGTTGATGGTTTCCCAGTCTTAAAGAGTGTTTCCGGTTCCGTTGTCATTGATGGTTCTTTAGACAATGTTACCTTCCCAGATTTAACCAAGGTTTACGGTTCATTCAACTTGACCTCCACTGGTGAATTATCTTGTTCTGAATTCGAAAAGGAAAACAAGGACTTGACTGTCGCTGGTACTTCTAACTGTGTTGGTAAGACTGATTCTACCATCTCATCTGGTACCTTGAAGTCTTCTTCTTCCGGATCTTCATCTGAAACTGGCTCATCTTCCAGTGGTTCTTCTACCACCAAGAAGTCTGACGCTTCCAGTGCTGCTGTTGCTTACTTAACACCATTCTTGGCTGCCTTCATGGCCGTTGGTGCTGCTATTTATTAGTAGAATTGAGAGGTACAATTAATTTTTTTTTTTTAAAAAAAGGAAAGGAAAATGTAAAAACAGAAGCAAAATCTAAAACAAAAAACAATGCAAAACTATTCAAAATTGAATAAATAATTCATACTACTAATAATAACAATGATAATGAGAAATATTTAACCACTACGCTTGGGTATTTTTTTGTAATTTGATTTGATTTTTGACTGTCTGTCTTCCTCCTTTTAGTACTATTTAATTCAAAATCACATAAGCTTTTATGTTCTTCAAAAGTCGTTTTAATTTCTTTTTCTTTGGGTTTTTTTTAAGAAACTCGTATATATTTTGAATGCAATATCAATTATCACACTAGCTTGCAAGAAGACAGAGGAACGGAGCACAGTAGAAGGTACAGTTCTTAACGTATACCGTCCTGATCTCTGGGCCATACTCAGTGCAGCTGCTCTCTGGAACGTACACATGAAGTGTTGTCACGTGACATATGTATCGCACTGATCACCCTCAAAGGCAACCCTACCAAGACAGTCACCAGACTTAAGCTCAAGTTATTGTTACTCTTTATCTGTCGCTTGGTTTACCTTATTGATTGTTACTACTAAAGCATCATGAAATTATCCATCTTAGTGTTGACCTCGTTGATATCTGCAGTCGTTGCAAAGAATGTCATGAATCTTAAACAGTTCCAAGAAGCTTACGAGCTGGAGACTTCTAACTACAAGAGATGCGTTAAGGAGAATGGCGGAAATATCTATTTGACTGACTTGAAGTCCATACTTGGCAACATTAATGAAGTTGCACAGGGGAAATTAATCGATTTGAAGAAATTAGCGGAATCTTTGGGCCTGGAGAACTTGCAAGATGAACTGGAACCTATTCCTATCTTTGATGGTTCAAACAAGGAGAAGAGAGAAGCTAAAAACGTAGTCGCTCTCACCTACTTGCTTGAAGAGGTCGACAAGGAGATTTCGAATAATAAGAGAAGAGATTTAGATGACGGCAGAGCCTTCATTCAACAGTTGATCCTCAAACCTCAAGTTGTGATCACCCCTGACCAGCCTAATGTAGGCGGTTCACTCTTACAGTCTGCCCTCCCTTTGGAGAGAGACATCTCCATCTTCGCAGGCTACATTAGAGATCAAGTACCGGTTGCCCAGTTAACTGGCCAGTTGGACAACCCATTACTTATTATTGCGCCAACTGACAATGCGATTTCCAAAAAGTTGAACGGCTTGAAGCCATGGGAATTCCCTAAGGATGTTGAAGAAGATGAAGCAGCTGCTGAAGAGAACCTATCAAACTTTGTTGAATCTCACATCATAAAGGAAAGTGCAAGTTCCTCCTTAGAGCAGTGGGACGAATTCTTCAAGTCCCAGGAAAACTTAGACAGGAATATGGCATCTTTAAACGGTAAGGTTGTGTCGATTGTAAGAGAGGCAGGCGAGACTTACGTGCTTTCCTTAAAGGCAGACAAGGAGGGTATTTCAGCCAAGGGAAATAAGGTCGATAAGTTGGTTAGAGTTGAAAACGGGTTCATTTTGGTTATCAACGACTCATTGGTGGTTCCAGAATAAGAAACGAGGTAAAGCTTTCACTTCAGTTGCGCTTCAATTCTAATTACGTGAGTTAGCCATGCTCTGCTGTGCATGGTGACTTTCTTTCCAGTCGATTTTGGTTCTATAGGAGAATAACATCTACACTCTAATTCTGTTTTGTTCAGTTTCGTTTTTATTTTAAATTTTAGTTATGTGGTATTTAGGTCAAGAGATAATTGTTTACAAAGTTCAATGTAGGAATGATGCTTATAGACATCCAGGTATTTCTCGATTGTCTGTTCATTTCTATATAATGATTTGAATTATGAAAAATAAGTAGTAACTGGAGGAAAATAACTTATTATTATTAGCACCTTTACTCTAAAACGCTGACACCGGTCTCTTCTCTCAATTCCCCATTCAATGAATATTCAGCCTTCCATTTAATCTTAACTTGCTTCTTTAAACTATTTTCAATCACGAAATCTTGCGTGACCTTTTTGGAGCTGAACCCGTACAAGACGTCAGAAGTTTGTGGTTTCAAGTTCAATTTACACGATTTTGGAACTGCCATCAAAAATTTAAATTGATTTAAAGTTGTACTTTGAACGTTGGAAAAGTTAACTCTTCCAACCACTTGCTCTGGAGATGAGTTCGACGATAAATCAGCTTCAATTTTGAGGATTCCAGATTGGTTAATGAAAACTGACTTTGCTGAAGGTAAAGATGAAGGAGTTTGGACTTGGCTTGGAGTTGAAGATGGGAAGTCAAAACCAAAGGGATCAAGTGAGGTGCTAGTACTGGAGGAAACAGTATTTGTGTTTGATTGAAGCTGCGGTGATGGTGAATTCAAATCAGAGAGGAAGTCAAAGTTGCTGCCAGTGTTATTGACACTTGACTGTGGTTTTGGTTGTTGAATAGAATTTCCCAACGAAATGGAACCCCCGGCACCAAATAAGTTGTTCAAGCTTTGCGCATTACCACCCCTTTGAGCATTTGAGTTGCTACTATAGTCATTGGTGAATGCTAAATTGGACAAATCACTCAATAAATCGTTGTAGCCGGATTGATCCTTAGAGTCACTACTTATTGGCTCATCGTCATCAAAATCAATCAAGTTAAGCGATTGACCTCCCGCTGGTATTCCACTGCCCCTGACTTGAATCTGAGAGGCACCGTTGACATCGCCAGACTTCAATAATTGATATTTGTTCATAACCTGGTTAATATCATCATTCAAAGCCAACAATTCATTAACATTACTTTCATCTTCGCCACTACCTCCTTCCTCTATGATCTTGGTAATCTTAGGTTGAGAACTTTTAATGCTTGAATATAAATCAACAACTGCCTCATTATTTTGCTCATCAATGCCAGCGTTGCCCCCAGCTTCTTGTAAGCTTATCAACATTTCATCTAATATTTCAACCTTCCTCTTTAATCTTGAGATATCATCTGTGATTTGCTTCTTGTTTTCTTGAACGTTATCATCTTTAAAGCCTGCCATGATCTTCATCAATTTATTGGCTTCCTGTAAGTCCAGTGGCTTTCCTCTTCTAATTAATTCTTGAAGCTTAGCACTGTGAACAATTGCTTCTTCCTTCTGTAATTCTTCCAAGGACTTCAAACCATCGGTAGGGTTCAACACAGCAGCATCTTCTACCTTGACCTCTGGGAAGATATAGCCCTTTTGTGACAATAATCTATGCATATCTCTAATGTAGCCGAAATCTTCCTTGTATTTCGAAGTTCTACAGATGGTTTGATGCCATTCTTCGATCTGAGCCAAGATTAACCTGTGTAATCTGGTGTAACGAGGAGGAGGTCTTTCTGGGAACCTCTTGACCAATTCATTAAGGAATTCCTTACGAGAAATTTGCAATTGGAAGGGATATCCACAGTTCTTAACCAAGTTATCTAATAAAGCTACCGCCAATTCAGAAGTCTGCGGGTCTCTTTGAGAAATGAGTTTCGCAACGGCAATAGCTGCTTCTCTTGGGGTGGAACCTTGTTTTGCGTTGACATAGTCACAGATTTCCAAATTAAGCGATAAGTTTGGCTCGCTGAGGGTTGGACGGCATGCCCTGTCTAGTAATGGTTAGTATCAAAGGAACAAGAAATAAAAGGAAATTAAAAAACACTGGTGATTATCGTTTTGCGATCCGGGCTCTCCTGAAGTTGATGCCGTGTTCCACCAGCATCCAGTAGCCAGAGAGAGCCATCCTTTCAAGCGTCAGTGCGTGGGCACGCACAGAGACCACAAGGAACAGAGATCAGGACAGAGCCAATTGAGTCCTAATGATAGCATGTTCAAGCAACAATGCAATGGGGGGTCTCTCCGGCAAGCCCCCTAAATTGAGGCCCCCCACCTTTGGACACACAAGACAAGAGATCAGCCTCCGTGATGGCACTGCAAACCAATTGTTCCCTGATGTATTGCCCTGTCCTACTCTAGTTCTCTCCTGATTCATGTCTTCTCTCCCATTTGGTTGCTTGTATTCATTGCACGCAAAATACTTTCAATCCCGATACATACATATTCTACGCAAGAGCTTAGGGTTAATCTTGGAAAGAGAGTAAGAAGATGAAGATCCTGATATCGTCGACATATTTTCGTTTTCTTTTAGTTTTTTTCTACGTTTCTACTGAGACCCTGTACTGCAGTATATTTTTATCCTTTTTTTGATCTTTTTACTTCTCTTCAATAGCTCCTACTTCTCTTTGCCTTGTTGTTTGTCAATAAACTCCTCCAAGGATCGTCAAAAATTTCAATCCTGCGTGGTTGGCAACTTCTGGCGCCGGCATCAGAAAAGTAGCGCACTGGATCAGTAAAAATAGTGGAAAAGTCGGTAAATCCACGTAAAATGGGGGAGGGGGTCCCTATCAGTGATGGATGAGGTTTGCTTGGTGAAAGGACTGGGAGAGAGGCTTTCTTAGTGTGTAGAACATCGGTGCGCTATATTAAGTCAATTGGCGTTTCATGAGGAATGGAAGTTGACGAAGAGGACCCCTTAGGTCTTAGAAACTTGGCAGTTCAGTATGATTACTTGATGTTCAAAATTAACGATAGGCTCTCTACACTCTCCGATCAAACTTATCAGTCAGTTATTTCTAAGCAAAACGCTATCGAGAATAATTATATAGGCGACCAGTTGAAATTGACAGAACAAATCAAGGAGATTGACGATATTATCCTTTCTTGCAAAGAAATCGAGTTGGAGCTTATGAAGTTGGACCAGATAGAGTCGTTTGTTAGTGATTTTAAGGAGAGAGTTGTAGCATTAGAGGAACAATTTAGTAAGTTGATGTAGGCTTACACTGGGAGGAGATGAAAAAAAATGTAATGCAAAAATAAATAAAAAGGCATATAAAATTATGGGTAAATGTCGGTGTAGTGGATGGAAACTGGAGTCAGCGCGATAGCAAGTGGAATTCCATCGACAGACGTTGGAAAATCGAAAGATGGTGAAGACTAACTGAGGCTAAGTAGACCCCGATGACGACTGGGGCTCAACTCTGGTCAAATGCTTCACCAATTGCATTTCAGATTTAGTAGAAATAACAATGCTTCATGTATTAAAAAAATATATACGTACATTTATATTTTGGTTAATGTCTCTTCTTTTTCATATATATTTGGGCTAGTGTCTCCTATCTTTCATGTCATTTTTGTTACTGTCTCTTAGACTTTTACTATCATTTATTTTTCATACCCTTTTTTAAACAACTTGAGGGTCCTTTAAGCCAGAATTTTCACTCAACGGAACCACATGAGGCTCAACAGGGCCCTTATATTTGGGCTAGTGCCTCCTATCTTTCATTAGATTTTGGTTAGTGTGTCCTAGACTTTTATTATCATTTACTTTTCATGTCCTTATTAAACAGCTTGCGGGCTCTTTAATCCGGAATTTTCATTCAACGGAACCACCTGAGGCTCGACATGGCCTTTAGGGTGTCCCTTGGTATGCTTTTCAACCAAATACTTCTCTAGCAATATAAAGTTTCTTGAATTACATCTGTACATTATATTAATGAAATCTCCGACAATGGGAATCAATCCTATGGCGAAGTCGAATGTAACATTAGCAATCATTTTCAGTCTGATTGTTGTAGGTAACCCACCTTCAATTTTTTCGGCCTTACGGACCAACCTCAACGCCATGTAACCACACAAGAACGTACCAATCCAAGGGATTAATCCAATAATTGCTGCCCATCCTAATCTGAGCCCGCATAGACTCAATTGCAAGTCCAAAGTGTATGCTCGGCTCTTGACTGAGTTTAAAATTTTCAAGTCTTTAGGTGGGAGAATTGCTGGCAACTTTCTCTTTCTTTTAGCACCTTTCCGTTGATAAAAATGAAGATCCTCATCAGGGATAGTTTCAAAGTATGGGTCTTGGGTTTCACCTACTTGAACAAGGTGATCCAATTTGACCTGTAGCCATGTTAGTATTTCCACTTGGTTCAGCTTACATGCGGCTGAAGCTCTAAATTACAAGTCATCGGGAATATACATACCTTTTTCAAGAACATACGATAAAATATTTGCGACATTTTTCTATATCTTATCCAATTTAAAAGAGAAGGGTACGAGGTAACAAATCAAACAAATACTTTCAGTAAGATGTTTCACTTGGTGTTGGAGGAGTCATGTATTTATATTCGTCTATACATGTTTGTTTTGCTACCAACTGCGGCCTGCCTTCACCTACATGACGCAAGACAGAAGCAATCTACAATATGCAGGATTGCAACATTCTTCTACCTACAGGAACTCCGTGGTTGAGTGTATACCTTGTTACTTTGTTACTTTATATATTATAGACAGTGGTAGGTAACTGACAAGGAGACAGTCGAGATGTTCTAGACTCTCTAGATGCTCAGCACCGCTCTTATTTCTTCTTCTTCTGAGACTTCCTCAATTCTCTCAAGTCTGGGGGCTGCTCTATGCCCATTTCCTGCCTAAACTCATTTATATCTCTCTCTAAAATGTTTTCCCAATAAACGTTAATCAATGGCTTTGAATTGAGTCCACTCTTCATAGCCCATGGATAGTAAATGTTGTATAAACGGTTCTTTTGCTTGGGCTTCAATCTCAATGGTGCAAATAATGCCCCCAATCCAGACATTGGAATGCCTATATTCATATATTCTAACACCTTGACGGCAATCTCTCCTTCTATGATAATTGGCAATCCGGTTATAGCATGGTAGAAGTCGTGGCACTCTCTGTATCTCTGGAAAATGTATGCAAGCTCTTCGTCGTCAATGTATTTGACGGGCACTCTTGTATCTGGACTGACACCTTCGCGGTCAAGCCACTTGATATAAGTTTTACCAATGGTATTGTCAGGCAACAGCCTGAGATAATCTAAATCTAACAGCGTAGATGTTATTCTTGGTCTTTCTCTTAAGATAGATCTACCTACGGAGTCAGCCAACATCTGCTTTTGAAGTCTTTTGAGAACGTACGGGAAGGCAGTCGACTCTCCCAACCCTACAATGAACTCATTTCTCTCGGGATGGAAGTACGATCCAATTGACAGACCAGCAATCATCAATAACCTTTCAAAATTGAATAGCGGTACATGTCCTGCATATTGAGGCTTGCTTCGTTTAAAGTATTGGGGATACTGATCCACTGGTTTGGTAAGGGAGCCGTTGTCTTCAGATGCTCTCTGTTGGCTAATCAAGGCATTGACATCCTTGTAGTGAAGCTTGCCACTTTCCATTTTATCAGCTAGCCTGTTGTTCTCATTGAAAATGAAGGAGCCAAGCACCGTAGCAGCAGTAGTCATGAGAAAGCTACGCTTGGATACTTGGAAGTGCAGTAAGCTTCCAGTGCCCAAAGACACTCCTTTTACTGGAAGCATTGAGTTCTAGAATGATACGTGACGAAATTGATAACAAAAGACTCTTTCTTTCTCTTAAACTGAAGAGATCCTTGCTGTCGTTCTTACCTCTCTCTAGCCAGTTTCTTCTCATGCCATATCATCAGATTTTGTGAAAAGTTATATGCAGGAGAGTATGATGATGCTGCTCAGTTTCTGCTAAGCGTGAACAGCTTCGTATACGACCTATGTAGTGGCCAAATCAGTTCACTTGAACTTATATCGAGTCTTAAATGATTACTTCTCATAGAATGCTTTAGAATATACAATATCAGATCACTTCAGTTGAATCATCAGCCTTTTTATTTTTTTTTTTTTGTTATATTTCTTATATTAAATTCATTCTATGTAAAATGGGTATTAGTTAAGTATACACGAGAGTATCTTGGTAAATATGGCCATGCTCTTTCTTTTTTGAATTTGAATAATTTACAGTTGCATAATTCATTTGTTTAATATTCAGTTACTTAAAACACTGTTGGTCTATAATTGACAAAAAAGTACAACAAGACTACAGAAAATCCCACAAATGCAATTGTTCTAATTGGAACAAGTTCTTGTTGGTGCGGGGATTTGTAGTCTGAAGAAGAAAGCATCCTAGTGGGGTAGGAGTCTTGTTCTTTGTCTTCAATAATGCCAGATTCCAGTGCTTCTCGTATATCGTTTTTGTTTGCTTTGGTCTCGTTCCCGCTTTCTGGTGCCTCATGATTGTCACATTCGTTAGCTGCTATTATATCAACCTCATCATCCGAAACTGGAGGAGTTACGCTAATGGAATCATTTCTCTTTTCCCGATCTACGGAATTACTGTCGATAATATCATTATCATCGTCTCTAATACCACTGGATTCAATTCCATCTCGGATGTCAGGCAGTGGTAATAGAGATGTTGATACGGGAGGAGGCGTCGACAAAAATGATTGTCCAATAGCATTAATTGCAGATAATTCTAATGTCGGAGGTGTCGAAACTGGAGGAAGTAAATCTTTAAAAGTGCTCCTTGTTGAGGCATTTTCGTTTTTTCTTTCATTTTTATTTTCGTAATTTTCGTTAAGCTCATTAGTATTAGTATCGTTATCAGATGTAGTAGTAGTAGTAGCAGCAGTAGCATTTTCATTGATGATTTGATTATTCTTTTTGTTATTAGTGATATTTGAAGTTTTACTTTCGTTATTCGGCTTGTCTAGTAAAACAGAAGTACCATTATGTACATTTGTTGCGTCTTTTCCATCCTCATTGCTCCTGGCAGAAGTTTTGCTAAGATCGGGAGATTGTTGAGCAATTTCTTTACTAGATTCTTTGACTATATTTTTCTTACTTTGCTCAATTTCATCAGCCTTCTTCATGGCAAGTTTGTTTGCCTTGACTTTTGAGTCTAGTACATCAATCTCGCCCTTCATTTTCAAGATCTGTTGTTCCAATTGGTAAACCTTCTGCTCCTTCTTGATTTTGTACTTGTCAAATTCTTGCTTCGTCTTCTGCTGGGAGTTGGATACGTCTTCCAATTTATTCTCATACTCTTGTAATTTCAGTTTATACAGTCGATCCAAATAATCTTGGTTGATTTCGTTTAGTCTACTTTGATACTTTTTTACGAATTCTTCTAACGATTTCAACGTAGAGTTTTGCTGTCTGACTTTGGACAAGTTGTTAGTGAGAATAGTTATGGTTTGTTCGAGGTTTGCTGCATTCGTGATTTGAGAGTTATTGAAAATCCCACAGCCACCCTTTGGGTTCAAACCAAGCATTGCATCTTCCAAGTTTGGGTTAATATCCCCAAAGAGTGCATTTTCAAATGACATTGGGGTGTTTGGCAAGGAGCCTTGTTGTTCCTGCTCATGTTTCTGTTGCAGTTGCGACTGCAGTTGGCTATCGAATATACTCTGAATAAAATTGTAATGCTTCAAGTCTGTTCCCGTGAGACCATTGGAAGCATTTAGTTTACGTTTGTTAGATGATAATTTGCTGGAGTTACTATCGGTGTTATTGGCGTTGATGTTGCTGCCGTTATTGCTGCCGTTACCCGCTATCGAAGACCCAGACGCTCTTCTCAAGTAATTGGGCATCATATTGATGTTTTCAATCTTGGCACTGATCTTCTTGTGACTCGTATCCACTTCAATGTTGAATCCCAAGTAAATGATGTCACCGATTTTCAATTCAATTGGATCCAGTCCAATTTTCAGTTCGTTTACAAAGGTTCCGTTGGAAGAACCAAGATCCTTGATCATTAATTTCCCATTTTCAGGGTCAATAAACATAGCTGCATGGTTTCTACTCAAGACTCTGGAGTCGAAATACCCATTGTTTATCTCTGGTTTGATTTTGGAACCAGCGGGTCTACCAAGCTTCAATGTTTCTGGGTAGTATGGAATGAGCAAGTTCTTCTTTATGAACGTCTCGTTGAGTGGGATCAACGTAACAATGTATTGCATCTGCATTCTTTTATCTGGGTATTCCCTTGCTGGTGTTATCGATGAAACTGACGTAGACGACCCATTGCCTGACACGGTAGCTGAAGCAGCAGCAGCTGCAGCTGAAGCGGAGGGTAGCAGCAGTGACGAGATAACCTGTGATCTTGAGTTGGACCTCTTTCTTCCAACTCCTCCATTATTGCTATTTGATTGTGCTGCTGCGCTCCCATTGGAATGGAGACTATTGCCGTTCGCTAGTGATCTTGGTATCAGGTAACTTTGCTTGTTTGCTACGGTATTCTGGCTCTGGCTCAGGGCTGGGCCCAGGCTCGCATTTTGATTGTGAGTATGTCCTAATTGCGTGGAGCTCGTTGGCCCCAAATCAAACAGAATTGGAATATCCATGGCACTTGATATCTGAATGGTCTACACGATCTACAAACACACCCATATAACCACTATCAATGTGTATATACTGAGTAAGATATCCCCTAATTGACTGCCTCTATGATCTGGATTTGTATAAATTTTTTCCGCTATCGCGTGTAATTTTTTTTTGGCTCTTGAAGGTCGGTGCGTAGACGGTTGTATGCAGTACGAGGCGATAGTGAAGAATAAAGTTTGTAGTGTAGGGCGCACGGTAAAATAAACAAACAACGATGGCAGGAGGGAACTGATCAGACAAGTGAAACAGGCAGAAGTTAGCAGTAGGAAATAGTTTGTAGATATAATCAGGAAGAAAAAGATACACTTATAAGCTAGAAGCTGTGTTTTTATATTATTTTTTATTGCATTTTTCCGCTTTAGTTACTTTGTAGATGCCTTACAATAGCTTGTCTAACTGCGTGTCTTCGATCTCAGCATCGGTTTCATTGCTAGACGATTCAATCAACACTTTGGACGATGCAGCCAAGGATCTTGCCAGATTGAAAAAAGTGCTTTCTATTAAAAAAGTGTTTGGGCTAGTCCCGGAACTGGACTTGGAGAATGCTAAGCAGAATATCAAGCTGGAAGTGCAACCGCAGATTGGAAGTGTCTTGGTTAGAATACGGAGAGAGCTAAACACATTGGAGAGGAAGAAAATGAATTTAATTGGAAAAATTGATCTTCAAGAGCAAAGGTTGGATTCGGCAAGAGGAGGGAAGAGTTCATCAACAAATAAAAAAATCCGTAGAAAACTTGTCTACAGGGGCGATGTTAGTGATGAAAAGCTCACGAGGTTGATGTTATTGCAAAATAAGAAAGACAGGTTGAAGTACAGCTTGTCGAGGCACAATTTACAGAGCCAGAGAGCAAGATTGAGTAAGATACCGTCATTGCAACCCCAATAATTGAACATAGATCTAAGAATAATCTAGAAGTTAAAGATGGAAGGGGAATTTTGTATACTAGTAAGAAAATAGAAAGGAATAAAACTAATATAGTGCTGGGAAATTAACTTATGTAGAAATGGTAGTATCGAAATATCATTAATTATTTATACATGCTCGCTAAAAATATTTACGATACTAGATGAGGTGAAGATAGAGGTTCCTTAACGCACTTGTCACACTGTACTGTTTGATTCAGAACCAGGCTCGGTCTCTGTTTCAGATTCGTTTTGGCCCTGCATCGACTTGATCAAATCTTCACCATCCATATGTTCTAAACTAGTGATATTTAATCTCTTTGAAACCTGCTTGGCGTACTCGAATGCCACATCTTTGATATTCAACTCCTTCTGTTCCAAATCGGGTAGGATTTCATGCACACTTGTTGCAGTGGTGCCGCTCAAACCACACATGGTGAACGTATTCAAGTATTTAAGATCTGGTGCGATGTTCAAACCGATCCCATACGACGATATACCTCTTTGGATGTTGCAACCAACAGACGAAATCTTCAAGTCATCTTGAGACATCCACACGCCAGGGTTGGAGTTGGTGAACGTTTCAGATAATCCATATTTATGCTTCAATGTTTCCTGGACCGATCTCAATAGCACCGAATCAACGAAGCACCTTACAGTTAAGTTCTCAAACTTCTTCAAATCCAAGATAAGATAAGCCACTAGTTGGCCCTTCCCATGCCAGGTAGTTTCACCTCCTCTTTCCAACTGAAAATATCTACATCCCAATTTTTCAAATTCTTTGATCCTTTCTGGAAGGTTTGGATCTTGTTTCATTTTCTTTCCACCTGTGTACACATTTTCAAATTCAAATGTTAACAATGTTGGTAAGGGTTTCATGTCCAAAATTTTCTTTAAAAATTGGTCTTCATAGTCCGAAAGTGTAAGGCCCTTGGTCCAAGCCTCACGCTGTTGCTTAATTATCTTGCTTTCCAATTTTTTGAAGTGAATGTTTGCATTGACCATATCCGCTTGTATATCTTGACCAGTTTGGAAAGGTGTAATGCCTGGAAAATGAATATGACGTAGTGTCTTATAGTTTTCGGTTAACGGTATAAACTTCGTGGCACATGATGTAGAATTGTGACGTATGAATGATAGGCCAAGTGAGCGAGTGTTCATCTTGGCAGTGCTCCTTTGCTATGATCTATACGATAGTTAATTCGATATTACAACTTTTCAATGCTTAAGATCTTCGTATCCTGCGTAGATATTCTTTTTTTTTTTTTTTTTTTATTTTATTTTTGTTTTCTATCAGTCTAGAGATTGGAACGAGAAAGAAAAGACCCACCGAATTGTATATCCGTGTATTTCCACCAGGTCATCCAAAACCTGAGCCAAAATGTCCGATATTAGAAGGAGACGTCAATTGCCCATAAATATATCCCGTAAAAGAATTCCAAAGACATCGTCTGCTGGTACAAGCTCGCTATCAACTGCTGGCATACACAAAAATGATACTCAATTCACCGTACCGAAGTATGTGAACTATTCTTCACTAATATCCAGAAAAAGACAGAAAGAATTGGGCTCTTTAGCACCTTCATTGATAGTAGAGTCTTCTTCTATAAACAGTACTCCGGAATTTATACTACTCTGCAAATTGTTTGTACCTCGAACCAGTTATCTTAGGATCACAGAGAGTAGACTTATGCAGAAGCTACCAAATCTTATATACAGTACCACTGGAGTTTCTGGGTCGACCAGTACCAGTGATAGTTCCAAGTATACGCTTGCAAACTACCAATTACATCTTTTAATGGCCACCATTACTTCCAAGTATATCGATTCTTGGTATTCTAGCAAGTTAAACACAGATAACTTCGAATTTATAGAAATTATTTACAAGCATTTGTGCCATGTAGTGCGGCAGCTCGTCAATAGGTTGAGGAAGAGAGTGTTTGCAACCGTTAATTCATCGATGGATTTCTTGAATGAGTTCATTGAGATTCTCAATAATCATCTTGAGGAAACCTTGACCAGAAAATGGGAAGATGTAACTAACGATAGTGTTGTTTATGACGATGACTATGAAGACAAAATACGATCCTACCTAAGCAGGCGGAATGTAATATTTTCAGAACGAAAAAACAGGAAAGGTGATGATGAGGTAGTTGAACTAGCCGATCAGTCATTTTTCGATAGACAGAGCAATTACGAACCTCTGAGCGAAATTGTCTATCTTAGGGTACTAAGTAGTAAAATTGTAGGATTATTGTTTGAAGAAGGAGAACGAGAGACAGAAGAGGAAAATGAAGAAGAAGTAGACGAAGAAGAAGAGGAGATCGACGAGGAAGAAGAGCAAGGTGGTGATATACAGGCTATGTCACCAATTGGAGAAGGCTTACTTATATCAATTTTGGGGGACTTGGTGTTTGTCAAAGTACTAGAGAGCTTCTCTAACCCAAATTTTTTATTGGGCATTGTGAACACAGTAGTAGATAAGTTTGGTGATGAGGGAAACGAGAACGAAGCAAAGAAGCATGGAGCTAAGGGAGCTGGGCTAAAAAGTGGTGCAGCCCTGATTGGGTTTATTGGCCATTTACTGAATTTCAGTTCTGCCGCGTATAATATTGTAGAAAGTTTTCTCGACAACATTCAAATATACACGAATAGAAATGAGGCCAAGAGTACCAAGGAGCAAACCATGGATGAAAATATCCTCAACTCTTCAATATTCCGGTTAATTGACATGGTTACCCAGTTTTCTGATCGAAAACCGATACTCACCGGCTTTTTGAAATATTTCCGATCTTTGATTTTAAGCAATTCGTATATTTCATGCAGAGTTGATTTGAAGTTGAAAAGTATCATATGGGACAATACCTCCATGGCAGATGATTCCTTAGCCGAGATCATCGCAAAGTTGAGAATGAGTTTATTTGGAGAAAAGGATAAGGATAAGGATAAGGAAAAGGAGAAAGAAATAGGTAATAGCACTGATGAGAATAGTAGTACGAGTGAAGATCTTACAGTTGAAGCATTGGCTGCGAAGATTTCAACGGTTTTGACGAAAAAAACCCCACAAAGTGCATTAACGCCGGGCTTCACATATTTGCAAGATGGCCAACAAAATGACATCTTAAGATTACTTGGTGTCTTCAAAGAGAATCAGGACCTAAACAAATTGCTAATAATTCAGTGGGTCGACTTGATCATGGCAAAAACTTTCCCGGAGTTGACTGAATAAACGTATGCTCAGACGTCAGTGGGTTGATTCTTCCCCATAATTTCCATGTGTGAGCATAGAAAATAAAAAAGAAATGATATTGCATCTGATCACGAGATGCGATTTTGTGATAATATAATGAACAACGATTAAGAACAATTTTATATCTGGCCCATTGTTATTGTTATTCTCTCGTTTAACTTAAAAAATTTGTATTTATTATTATCATTATAAGTAGAAATAGTGGTAACAGTAATAGTGATTTTAATATTAAATATTATTAGTGTTATTAGTAACATTCCAAATTTGTTTCTATAGATGATGGCTAAATAATAGACAGCCGTTTCACATTCGTTTCATCACCTAAAAATTAAATATTATATTCACACACTTTAGTATAAACATGACCGACATAATCTCTACGCTTAGAGATGATACAAGATTCAATTATTCGGATGTCGTGAGAAAGATCCAACAAGAAGATAATTCAGTCCCACACCATGCACACTTGCATAACACAGTAGAGTTGTTCGCATTCGGAAATTACCCACACTACGTAAAGTATCAACCACATTTCATTGATTTGGATAAAACCCTTTTGCTTAAACTAATCAAATTAACCATATTGGCAATGTGCTCAGAGAATGAGGGCAAAATAATACTGGTAGAAGATATGGAAAGGGACTATGGATTAGAATCTGCTATCCATCACTACACACAAGTGGCGAACAGCACCACTGAGGTTGAACAGTACCAATTTTCCAATGATTGTCACTTACTCGAGAGTATACTATTTTCGATGATTGATGATTCATTGATTAATATTAAGATAGACGATATTTGTAAACTGATCAGAGTCGTAAAGAGTTTCAAACTTAGAGATAGCTACAACAGAAATGATGTTAAGTTGTTGGTATTGAAGGAAGAGGACATCCCCAGAAATGCAGGAACATCATATGCCAAGTTGGAGAAATGGCTAAACGAGAACGTGAAACCTGCTCAGACAGAATACGGAACGAACTTGAAGAAATTTAATGAAAAAAACATAATGAATCAAAACTGAAAGCAAAAGAAAACCGAAAAGTAAATAACGAACAAAACAAAACAAAAATAAAAAATGACTACGATAATGATTTTACTAGTAAATAGATATAAAAGAACAGCAACTGTTTGACAACAGTACCAAAATGGTACCAAAATTTAGTAGAAAATAAAAAAACTTACATATTACAGAGACTATTTTTAACTTATGTTTATTGTAAATGACTAATATACTGCTTTCTTCCACCTCCATGCTTAAGCTTTCCAAACCTTGGAAATGACAGAAGCAATTCCTCCTTCCTTGGTTTCAATTTCATATAAACCATACCCGGCAACACCTGTACCGAAAGTCAACAACCACATGGCGTAGTTGTGAATACTACCGTACACTCTCTTTGGGATATAATCAATGATACACGATTGGAATCCTGCATAAACATGGTACAACAAGAGGGCACTTAAGGAGGAGTCAAGCAAGGTTGAAGTACCGGTGAACAATGGGGTCAATACAAGTGGTACTAAACCAACAGATACGAATCTTTCAGAGGTCCAGTGATATGATCCGTGAGTCTTGGATGGCTTTGGGGCAATATAAGCATCATTGACAGTTCCCACAATATGACCCGGAGGTTGAGGAATGGTTTTAATTCCACGAATAAGTACTGGTTTGAAGAAGCTAGTGGTGAGGCTTCTTGAGCTTGATAATCCAACACGACTTAAGGCCAACATGACTCAATAAATATCAATATAAACGTTGTGTGAAAAGAGTTTACAGGTAAAAAGGTATAGGCTAGTTTGGTTTTTTTTCTTTGCCTAGTGCGTATGTATCCCCGGAAAATTACACTTGAAATCGCGCTAATTGGTTGGATTTGCATTGAGTATATACAGGATAGGAAATTGTGAGTCCTAGTATGGGATGCACAAGTTACTAGAGAGGAAGGTATGAAGTTGACAACAGCGTAGCCAATTCTTTTAGAAGTGGTATCTTTCGGGGTGCAGATGATTTGAACTAGTATGATTTTTCACTATGTTATCAACTTTCCTTCAAGAGTTTTCTAGTCTCTATTCATTTTGGGTTAATCTAATTCATCGTATTCCTCCAAATTTGCAATCGGTTTAGCACTGCCATATCTCTCTGTTAACGCCTTTTCTATTATCCCCAAAGGCCCTCTATTGTAGATAATTCTACTGAATCTTGCCAAGGTTTCATCGTGCCAGTTTCTACGATCCAATTCATAAACTTCGATTCCTTGGGTCATTCTTAAGCACCTCTCACTATTCACCTTATCATTCATTTTGGCATACATGGTAGACAAGTTATTTAAAGTGCTAATCAAAATTGGTGCAGCCCTAGATGTTTCATTGTACGAATTGAAAAGTAAGTCTACGACTTCTTCACCCCAGCTGATAGCGTTTTCCTTGAAGCCCTTGGCCCAAATAACTTCACTGATGTGAGCTTTGATTTCCGCGATTTGTACCATGAGGTTCAATGGGCTGATATCAAATAGTGGGTAGTACTTTTTCAAACTACCATTTTTCTCTGCAGAGACTCTCTCTTGGATATCAGTCAAAACCTTCAAGTTAGATAAGTAGATATTCAAAGAGTTTGACAAGACTTCATTTTTGTCCAGTTTGGAAATCCCACTTCTCGTCGATTCTTTGGCATATAAAAAGGCCATTGAATTTAATGTGTGTAGAAATTCATTGGTCACCTTGCAGTTTTCTTGAATCAAGAACTGGTTATCAATTTTCAACGAAGGATGTGCTCTAGTCAACATTTCAATTGTCCTCATTAGATATGCCACCTGAACTTCAGTGCTCTGGCTTATCTTACCCAACAACTGTGCAGCCAGAGAGATTTGTTCTGCGTTACCTAAATTGAAAAATATTTCATCATTATCAATAATTTTTTTTAGGATTTTAGTTGCAGATTCTGGTTTATTTCTTGATAGTAACGATTTGGCATACCTTATGATGATGTTTATATAGAAGTTAGCAAATTTATTGGATTTCTCATCAAGTAAAACTTTAGACTTTATCATTGGGAAATCAAATTTATCGTTAGCATCGTAAGAATCGAGCTCCAAGTTGTCTTGGGGTTCCTCTTCTGATATTGATTGTAGAATTTTTCTATAATGCTTAGCTGCGTACTGAGGACTTTGAAGAACATCATCTTTATTGATTGCCTTGACAGCTTCAATTTGGTTTGGATATGAGATATCAAATGGAATGTTTTCCCTTTCATTTGCATCCAGGTAGATCCAATATAACAGCCCTCCACATATTACAAGCCCACCGAGGTAAGCTCCTGCTAACATATTGAATACTTTGGAAAACCCACCCAAATTACTTCTTTGACTAGGAGTTAGATTGATGAACAGCCTAACCGATTGCCTTCTGTGTAAAGATAAGGAGCGCGCGTTCGCGCCCGAACGTAAGAGCCTAAACATACTTACAGTATTACCTTCAGCGAAATATATTGGAGTAGTTTGATCCTCAAGCGCAGTGCCATCAATTATCAATGGAATTTTGATGTTAGCCTTTTTTTTTTTTTTGCGCACGGTATGGTTTAAACTTTAGGCTCTTGGAAAACGATTAGCCTGTAGGTACAAAAAAGAAGGGCAGTGTCATTTGTTGATATTTTATGTAGAAACACCCACATAGGTAAAGGGTAATTGTTTTGCTATATAGTAGACAACTTATGTCACACAAAGTATGACTAAGGTTCGAAATCAGCATAAAGAAAAGCCTACGGGTACTGATCTCGAGCCTACGTTTGTAGAAAGGTTGATTTATAACTGGCTCATTACTGATCCAAACTTAAATATATCGACAGCCAAAAACTATCAGGTGCAACACCATGATAGCATGAAATATATCTTCTTCTTCGGCGGAAGGTTAAGAACTGTCAAAGGAAGACCTATTGTAATCCTTACTGGGGCTTTAATTATAGTTCCAGCGGTACTATTTTGGTGCTACGAGGCAAAATGGCTATGGCATAACGTTTCTTCAGCGCCAGTAATAATTTTTTCATACATGTGGATGTTAACCTTTATGTTTTTCATTAGGGCTAGTACTTCAGATCCTGGAGTGTTGCCGAGGAACATTCATATCCCATTAAAGGTTGATAAGACGACCAAGCAATTTGGCCCAACCGCACCAGAAGAGTACTATAATATAATATCGGTTCCATACTATCAAAATGATAATAATGGCAGAGCTCGTTCGAACGATGCCTCGATTAATTTAAAATACTGTCCAACATGTCATATATGGAAACCTGCAAGGACAAGTCATTGCAATGTTTGCAATTGCTGTGTACTCCATCATGACCATCACTGTAAATTCTTGAACAATTGTGTTGGACCGAGAAATTATCAATACTTCCTTTGGTTCTTACTATGTGCAACCATAGGCAATGTGTTACTATTCATATTGTCATTCATTCAGATCTTCTACTACAAATTAGAGACTATCCCACTGGTACAAAGGTTTGAGCAGTCTATAAATTTGCATCCAGCAGCATTTTTCCTAGCCATTTACTCATTTTTCACTATGTTATACCCAGCGCTTTTATTGGGATTCCATTTAGTATTAACATCGAAATATTTAACTACAAGAGAATATTTAAATAATGTTTGGGGAAAGAGACATAATCCAGATTTTGTTAATTTCTTCGACACTGGTTCTATGTGGAAGAACTTATACATTTCATGGATAGGGAAGCCCAAGGGGGTCAGCATGTTCAGGCTAATAGATCCATATGAGCCTGGAGATCTTAGGTTGGAGAAGATAAATCCATTACCCACCTTTTGACATAGAGCCAAGGCCTTAGTCAGAACTTAATATAATGAAATCACACGTCACTTATTTTTGTAATTGTAGCCATACATAGATATCTAATCTAATACTTCATTGTAGCATTGACCCTCAACAATAGTGCAGACTATTCTGCAACACTTTTTGATAGTGCAACATGCGCGGTATGATTTGGCGCGTTATAATTTTTCATGAACCTTAAGAAGCACCTAAGTGATCAGCACTATATCTGTATCTATTCTTCCAGTATATATACCATATCTGACTTTAATTACGAGCCTGTACATACCAATATAATATCAAGTAATTAATTTTTAAGAAAAGATTTAACAAGTGCCAATTCATATTACTTTTATTTGGTTCCTGATACATATAAAACTACTGAAAGGAAATATAATCTACTGGTGGTGGATCCATTCAAGTATATGACTGAGCCAACCTTGAAGAAGGGACTTTCTATCACGCCCTTTAAGTCACTTATACCTACTCAGGATCTTGCGCCACTTATAGCCTCGACTTCGATAGACACAATAACCCAAGGAATTGAGCAAGTAAACCCCGGTAGCTCATCGTATAAAATTCTACATGATGAAATAAATGCAGATCCATCGAAATACGGCAACATCATAGATCACGTTGCAAATGAATACAGTACGTTCAAAGATCAAGAATTGGATGAGTTGGTATTCAAAAGACAACCTACCATAGGAGATACTGCTGCTTCGACTAACTCCGCAAATGACCCTCCATGTACACAAATAGAAGGTGAGCTAGAATCTCGAATATTCAATTCCGTACACAATTGTGAAGTCAAATACGTAGCAGAGCCCGTCAAGAAAGAACAAGATCCCATTGTAAACCTTTTAATAGAAAACATGAGTGAATCACCTTCTGTTGGCGAAAAGTCTTACTCAAGAATTTCGGAATTGCCTACAAGTGAAAGTGGTGATGAGAGTAAAGTTAAACGTAAATTGGAAGATGATACAGCACCACTCTCTTCTCCATTGAAAAAGCAGACTTACATTAAATTAGAAGAGATCAATTCTACAGCAATTAGTGATATTAAGTTGCTAATTTCTCAGCTAGACGATCCTGAGGCAATTGCAGATGTATGGTTGGATCACGATAAGCAGATCGTCTCTACATCATGGCTCATATTACTTCAAGATAGACTAATACGAGTAATTGACAGTTCAAAATTTGAAGATTTGGACATAGATTTTTTAATTAAAATCCAAAATGTTTGCTTTACGTGCATTTCGGAGGGTATTGCTCAAGACTGGTCCAGCAAATCGACTGAATTGACGAACTTTACGTTGAATTCGCTATTATCTTGTAAGACCATCTTACTCATTATGAGGCGTAAAGGAGATGAAAAGAAATTACTTGTGGCCGAGCATTTGAAGCTGGTTATTGACTTGAACTACAATGTCATAGAATATTTGATAGTCCCCATCAACCAGGGGAAATTGGAGAATCATTCAGCTCTAACCATGATCTCTTACATTTGTGACAACTTAACTTTACTCACAGATTATGTCATGAACAATAAAGTAGATGATCATTTTCTTACAAGATTAGAGTATCTTTCCATATTTGCGTTGTACTCCGAAAATTATAAAACTAAATCAAATCAACAAACTTTGTTGGTCAACTTGTGCTGGACTTCTGCTCAACTTATTATTGCCATTTTTAAATCTCATCCTGATCAACGACAATTTATCATAGAAGAGATATTGAGTGGATTTGCTTCTTCCAAGTTGAGCTCTAACTTCACAATTTTCCGAGGTGGTACTGTTCTAATGGTGTCCGTCTTATTGCTCAACCTTGTACAATCCTTTGAACTCAAAAAGGTTGCTGTAGAAGCAGCTGAAGTTATTGGAGATAATCATGATGACATCTTGCTTTTGGAAAGTAGAGTTAGATCACTTGGTGAAGATCTCATGCATTTGCAGGATCAAGCAAGGAATATTTCTAGTGACATAACAATGATTTTGATAAATAAGCTAGTAAAGCAGGCAAATAACACAGAATCTTACTTGAAGGAGAATTTTGAAAATTTGATTCAAGATTTGCTATACCTTTTACCATTCCCAGAGTGGTCAGTATCCGAATTTTTACTAAATAGTATAGTGGAAGCATTATTCAAACTACTTGAAAATGGTACTTCTACTAATGCTTCGAATGTGGAGAGCTTTGTGCTAGAATTGATAGGAAATGTGGGTATTAAACTTGCTCACAACATAGTTCAAGAAAGATCTGCCGATTATGATAATGAATCACTTTATGTTAAGACACTTGAGTATGTGCAAATTCAAAGTAATAAGAACATTAATTACAGGTCGAATTGGAACTTTCTCTTGTTAAGGTATCTCTGCAAAGAGTTAACTATAGAAAAAGAGTACTTAGAACAAAGTGCAATTAAAGGTTCTAAGGGTTACAGAGTTGAAGTTGGTGGTGGTGTATTATCATCAGAGGCCAACAATACAGAAAAAGGTAGTCCGGTGACGTCTGTTCAAGTACTTTTAGATCATTTGGCCAATTTAAAGAGTCCTTTGAAGTCAAGTCTTGAATATACCGATCAGTCTGCTTCTTTATATTGCCCCGTGTTGCATTCGTTTGAACTTTTTCATCAGTACAAAAGATTCATCAAAATAATAATAAACTCTTTGAATAGCTCAAAAGTTAAGACTAGATCAAAGTCGATAAAAATTCTTTCAAGTATAAGCGAAATCGACCCCTCCTTAGTTTCTTCCATTGAGAGTTATATTATCAATAAATTATCTGATCCGTCTCCCATGGTCCGAGATTCAGTATTGGATTTGCTTTCAAGTATTTTGAAGCCTGATTTAATCGACAAATTTTACCAACCGGTATGTGAGAGATTGGTTGATTCAAGTATTCTGGTCCGGAAAAGACTGATACGGCTTATTAAAGAAATATACTCCATGATTGATATCAATGACAACAACAGTAGAAAAGTGAAAACCTTTATTTGCACGAGGATGTTAAAGAAGTACGAAGATGAAGAAGACTCCATTGTTGAGATGGCTAAATCATTTCTATTGGAGGCTTGGATAAGTAGTAGCGATGATTCTTCTAAAAATTGGGTACCAGTTGAAATTATGATGGACGTAGTTTCATCTCCAGTCAGTAAAATAATTGTTTTGTTTGAAGGTTTTATAGGAGATATCTTACCGAAGCATTTCCCTGATATCAAACTGATAGTTGATCGAGTCTTGGATTTCGTTCTAATTGACGGAAATAATAGAGCTGATTTGGAAAAAGGATTGAGGCTACTCTCTATGTTGGTTAAATGTAATGGGAAATTGATGACTCAAGACCAATTGATATCCCTTCAACCTGTACTTGTTGACGACAAATCTACTGGACAACCAATTTGCTTTTATACTTTGCAAATATTGAAATATGTAATGATGGAAGTCACCATTTTAAGACGGGATTTTCTTGAGGCAACTGAGCAATCAATATTGAGGAGGCTTACTAAGTTCTCTTCTAAAGAATTAAATGAAGCCATGCCATGTGCTTGGAAATTGGCTAAGTTAAGTGGAGGTTCGATTAAACTCGCAAATGCATCTATATCTTGTTTAAAGCACATAAGACCATACATAAGCAGTGTGAAGAATAAAAGAGAACAAAGCATAGATCAAGAGGATCAGGAGCCGAGAATTCGGAAATTGCTTAATCTTATTGGTAGTTTTGGTAAATTCGGTCTGTTTGAAGATAATAGGGAAAATTTTTTGAAGGCGAATATTGGTTTAAAAGAAAATGAATCTGTGATAAGTTTATTGGCTAAAGTCGTCCTATTTTTCTGTAACTTTCAAGAACAGAAGAGGAAGTCAATAGGATCCAACAGTATCAGGAAAACTGCAGTTAAAAATATTGTGGGTATTTGTTCTTCCCATCCTAATCTATTTGTTTCTGAAACTGTGTTGAAAATCTTGGATAGAGAGTTTAATGCCAAGTATGACGACGATGATATTTCGATTAAAATCGTTATAGTTGAAGGTCTAATCGAGTTTTTAGAAAAGGAAAATGAAGATTCCAAGAAAAGGCAACAAGAAGGCAGTACCAAAAAATTTGCTGTTAGCTTAGAGGGTAACTCTAAGTTTAACGTTAATGATAGCATTTGTGCTTCAGTTATCCAAAGATTTAGTCCTTCTATTCTTCCTTTATGCTTCTATGACCAAGAGAGCTATTCATATATACCGATTAAGTACTTACAACTAGTTGTGAAATTGGGGTTTGCTAACCCAAAAGTCTTCATTTCGCTGATTATTGCTCTAGAATCAAGTACCAACGTATATATCAAGCTGCTGGCAATAGAAATGCATCAGGAACTTTTCGAGAAACACGAATCATTGACTGATACAAGCTATGTCGAGGGGATAAAATTGGCTTATCAGTACAGGTACAAATACAGCAGAAACTTTGTGAATGAGAGGTTCTTTTTGAAAAATTTATACTCCTTAATATCCTACAATAGAACTTCGAGAAGGAAATTCATTCAGTCCATTACTAAGACTTTCACGCCTCCAAATTTATTGACCATCGACCAGAGTCAAAGAAACCTTATTGTATTTACCATATCTAACTTGTCTACTATAAATTTCGTTGCACTTGAAGATGTCTGCTTCATAGTTTATCAATTGGATATGCTTATTCGTAAAGAGGGAATTGATATCTTCGAAACAATTCGAGATCTGGATACAAATAAAGAACCTAGTGCTTCAAACTTTATGGCAGTTCAATTATTTATTGCATTTCTTAGCTTCAAGCAATTTTTGGAGTCAAGCTACAACTTAAGCAGATCGCAAGTAGAAAACTTCAACCCTGCCAGGATTGATCCTGATTTAAGGGCTGCCCCAAAAATGGTTAGGGTTGACGATTTCATCTTAGATAGCTGCATCATAACTAATGCTTTAGATAATTCGGATAATCAAATAAGAATCTTGACAACGTTTGTTGAGAGAATGAATCAATTTACAAATTGATCTACAGCTTTTTAATGTTATTGAATGAATATGATTAGTTTCTTTATACATTAATCATGTTTAGTTGAATGAATATAATTAGTTTCTTTACATTTTAATTATGCTTTGCATGTAGGCTATTTCTTAATTTAGCCCTTTCGCTTTTCCACTCTTTCGAGTGAAGCTTCCAATTCTGAGATATAGTGAAGTTATGAGGCTCGATATTTGGGATTTCTATACCTAGTTTGGCGACTTCTTCAGTGGAAGTATCCTTAGGCTCGGGAGAATTAGAAGTAACTGGTGTAGTCTTAGTGCTGGTATCTAATGTTTGTATGAATTTAGGAGGAAACACTGGATCTATCACTAAAGATAAGCCATTGTGTAGTTTTAATTTTATGATTTGGCCATACTTCTGGCACCTTTCCGACTTTCGTTTATTCTTTAACTCATCAAGTGATAGTGAAAACTCACTCTCAACCAGATCGCTGTTGGGTTCTAGGTCATTATGAATGCTGTGGCCATTTGATACAACGTCACCTGCATTGAAGGTATTTTCCCCTCTATGTGAGATTTTATGGTTATATTGTTTGATATCTAGCATTAACTGATCTTCTCGTTTCTTCCAGCTTGCATATTTCTTTAACAAGCGTTTAATTTCATAAATTGTCAACACCTTCTTATACTCTAGCTCTTTGTAATTATGTGGGTCATAGATTTGCGTTATACTTCGTATATGCTTTACCCAATCGTGTTGCTCAAGTAGACGTAGCAGCGTTTCCAACGTATCACATTCATTAAGGATCCTTTGCCTGTCTATGTTCGTCATTTTCTTTTCTTCCTTTTTCATTCTCTTGTGGAAGAGTTCATAATTGGAATCTTGCAAGGGAACGTCTCTAGCCTTTCCTTTGGACTTTCTAGGAAGTAACTCTTCCCTTATTACAACAGAGTTTGCTTTGGAAGTCGGTACTTTGGGTTGCTGAGACGAGCTCGAAGCGCCGGATTCATTGTACAAATTTTCAAAGTTTAGTGAAGAGGTTACCTTGATGGGTTGATCTCTGAAAAGTAGCTTGTTAATCTTTTCAAAGTTGAATAGCGTAGGATTGGATCTCCGTATTTCATCCTTTGATCTCAATTTTCTTTCATTTGGCATTTAACTGACTTGGAGATATGTGAGTACTAAAAATGGGTCACTCTACGATGAAGGAACTAGAGATACTGAGGATTAGTACGGGTACCGACAACTAGATGAAGCAGAGAGGGGAGAAGGTAACTGGAATTTGATATTGGTTCATGCAGGAACATACATTGATTTCTGATGGGCTGAAGAGAACCAGTGCTCTATATTTTATTGACGATTCAGCATTTGTATTTTCGTTCATCAGATGCAGTTTCACAATTCTCGTTCAGGCTGTACTAGCATTGGCACCATGACCTTTATCAAGAGTCAGTACACCGATGATGTAGCCTTCAGCCAAGGCTCTGTCAACTTTTCTGATTCGTGCGGCTCATCTATTTCACATAGAGCGCGTTAAGAACAACACCAAAATTCCCAACCGGTAGGTACTCTTCTTAGTACGAGCAAGTATTACAGTAGTTTGGGCTATAGAATTACCGTCTAGTGTCTAGAATATAAAACTAGGTAATATGAGTTATAGAGGGAAAGAAAAATCTTCCTCGCTTCCCTTTGAAGATGAAGAGTTATCCCCAAGACCAAATTCCTTCGCACCTAAGAGAGCCGGTGGCCCTTCGTTTGGTAGATCCGTAGGTTCCTTGAACACGAAATTGCTATCCTTTCTTTTGATTATATGGATCCTCACAATACACTACTTCGAACGTATAGTACCTAGGCAAACAATGAATGCATGCCAATGGGAAAAATGGGAAAAATGGGACGAAGACTCCAACGTTAAGAAGCAACAAACCGCTCCGCATAGAATAGCCTTGATGCCAGACCCTCAAATCATTGACGATCACACATACCCCAATAAGTCCAAAGCTTTCAATTACATTACCACTTTGATTAGTGATAATTACCTTCGTAGAAACTATAAGTTTATGCAAAACATATTGGACCCTGACACTACCATATTTTTGGGTGACTTATTCGATGGTGGTAGAGAATGGGTTGAAGACGATGAGAAGTGGTTCAAAGAATATCAAAGATTCATGGGTATTTTCCCCTCTAAACCTAACAGGAGAACCATAATGTCTATCCCAGGGAACCATGATATTGGATATCAGGAGATCAAACCCAAGGTTACTAAGAGATTTTCTGCGTTTTTCGGTGAATTGAACAACTATGTAGAGATTGGGAACCATACTATTGTAATGATTGACACAATTTCCATGTCACACCCAGATCCTGAAATATCGGCTGAACTGAAGTTGTTTCTTCAAAATTTGGATGATCAAATCAATCCTCAATTACCCAGGATTTTGCTCACTCATGTGCCATTATATAGATTTACCGACCAGCAGTTGTGTGGTCCACTTAGGGAAAAGGGCGATCCATTCCCGTTGCAAAAGGGATATCAATACCAAACTGTTCTTGACTGGGAAGTATCCCAAACATTGTTGAAAACGGTTGACCCCGATGTTATATTTTCTGGAGATGATCATGACTACTGTCAAGTAAAGCATAAGTTCAATTTCCAGGGAATTGATAGAGTGGCCGAAGAAATCAGTGCTAAGACGGTCTCTATGACCTGTGGAGTAAAGTATCCTGCCTTGCAGTTATTATCATTGAACAATCCGTACGATCCAAACCCAAAACTGAAGTTGGCTGATGATTCGACGAGCAGCTATGTAACAGAAATGTGCTACTTACCACTGCCATATGTTGCGCTTAACTCATACATCTTCTTACTTTTGGTGACAATTGGAATAGTGGCGATGGTATACTTATTCCCAGCTCTGCTTGTTAAACTAGCAGATAAACTTCCAGTTGTCATCTCTAAGAAATTCAAGCATGATGACTTACCTCAGTGGAAACCGCTGCAGTTTCCTAAGAATTCGGAATTCTTAAGATCCTTGAGCTTGGAAAGAAATTGGATTTCATTTGGATTGCATGTTTTAGTAGCCATTACTGCTGTATATTCATTATTTGGCTTTTACTATTGGTACATATAAGGACACATATAAATTTATAAGAAAATGACAAAGCTTAGGCTTCTATAGAAAATATAGTCTATGCTAAATATACTTACGTTTACAATTCATTCAAATTAATTCTTTATGTTGTATGTTATCCATTTAGATTTTCATTCTACTTCTTCCCCTCCTACTTTATTGAGAAGAATCTTTCTATATAACTTGGGTTGAAGTCAACTCTTTTAGAAACATATTGCCTTATAGCATATGGTTTCATATTGGCTAGTTGACCCTCTCCGACCAAGGAATTGATCAAGTCAGGATGAACGGTGAATAAGTTACCGATCTCCTTTAGTAACTGGAATTGTTCCAGAAGGTCACTGATTTTCCATTGGTCAATTATACTTTGGTACCGGATGACATCTTTGGTAAGTATAATACCACCAGTGGAATTCACTGCGAATTTCTTATAATGCTCAAGTAACTGATTGAGTAAGTTCAAACCAACCTTGATAAGGAAATTCAAAAGATTCCCACTATTTAAGAATTGAGGAACCTTTTCATAAACTTCAATAAGGAAGTCTGATACTTCTTCACAAGCCTCAGTATCTTCTTCATCAGTAATATTTTCAACTACAAAGTCCTTCTTCTTTTGTTTAGTGAGTAAAAATGCAATTCTGTAAGAAATCAAGTCCAAAGCTTCCTGGGTGATTATATTGATTGCAGTTTCACATCTTGATATGTAATTGTTAGTTAAATTGCACATTCTATTACGGATTTGAGGTGCATTTATGGCACAGGGCAAAATGATTTTTTTGATCGATGATGAGATAAGGAAAAGTGCTTCACTTGTTAAATTAAATGCTGCTAACCCATCAAACTTGTATTTGTGGGGTGGTGTGGAAAGTGAAGATGATGAAAGTGAAGTTGATGATTTGATGAATGAATGCTGTTGTTTGATTGAATCATAAGATACTTCCAAACATGATTCGATATAAAGCTTCCCAAAATCGAAAATCAATATTTCTAGTATTTCAAGTGAAAATTCGGGTGTCTTGTTAGGAGTGAGTTCTAAGACTCTTGCAATCGATTCAATTGCCAGCTTAACAACAGTTTCTACTATACCAATGTTTACGGTTACATAGTCGGGATAATCAGGTTGACTCTGTGGGTTGAATGACTTGTCTGAGGAAGATGACTTGTCAAGACGTGTTTTCATAAAGTTTTTAAACTGAGAGAGTCTCTTACGTTCTGAGAAATGAAATGAAAACCTATCGAGAGTTGAAGAAAGTGCACCCGTATGTCCACCTACTCTCTTCCCCTGGGCTGACGCAGAAGCTGCGGCTGCGGCTGCTTCAAGGTCTGCTCTTTCTTCCAAGTCGTCCAAACTTGTCAATCTGCTTTCCAATTTTCTTTCCCTCAACTCCTCTGGGTGGTATTCAGTGAACTTCGATACAATGCCGTAGATGGTATCCTCCAAGTTTTTCTTCTCTCTGCTGAAGTAGATATCCTCCAGTGTATACTCAATAAATAAATCATAATTACACTGATCCAATATTATTGCCAACTCATCTTCAGGGTCAAGGTCGTTCGTGGATAAGAATTCTTTAATTTCACTGGTGAAGTCATTAACCAGTATGAAAAGTGAATGCAACACCCTCACATGAGCCAAGGAACCGACAGATAACGAGTATTGAAGTAACGAACTGATCTTGTTCTGGATGATTTGGGCGTATATTCTCTGGATGAAAATCTTAAGCACGGGTGTTGAGTCTTCAAAGACTTGCTGCACTATCCTTGCCTGCGCCTTGATAGACATTCGCAATCTATTCAATAGCTGATCTGTGGAGTCGTCTTTAGCAGAGTCTCCGTAATTTGGATCCATCAATTTGATCCAGATGGCCTCGTTGTCAAGCATTGTCGAGTCTTCAGTGTTGTCCTTATCAAGCATGAAATCATGCTTACTCACAAATACTTGTACTACAGTGGCCCCTCCGTTGAATTGATGCAAAATGCTGGCGATTTCTCTCATCTTTTCATACTCATCGTTCTCAAAGTAGTTTTCAAACTTGATAAGCAACTCTCTCTCAAACTTTTCGTTAAACTTCAAGATCGAGTCAACACATTGTTGCGCTTTGGGGATCTCCGGCGAGACGATCTTTTTGGCAAGAGTCAACAAATTAACACTTGTCTTGGCACATTTCATTCTATCGTCGAACTTTGTGCTGGTACGTAATGCATCCAAGGGCTCGTACGAACCCTTAGTGAAGAATCCGTGATAAGCCCTTATAAGGTATATGGTTTCCATGGAACGATCTCTCGAATTCGTGATTTTATTAAGGGATTGGCCCAAGGGTTCAATCTTGGTCGTGACCTGTGATATCATATCATCTAGGTCCGTGAATTTTTCAGTGATCTTGTCCACCTTGTCACTTAGGGCCAACACATTCTCACTGTGCCTCAACTCATAGTTTTCCACCTCTATTTCAATGTTTCGTTTTCTATCTTCACCCTCTTGTGTCAACTTTTTCAATTCTCTTAACGTGGATTCGAATGTACGAATATATGGCTTGGGATCCAAGTACTCCAACTTATTCACTTCAGCACCCTTTAGGAAATGATCTCTACTCAACTCCTCGATAAATTCATTGACAGTCATCCCACCAAGGAAGTTGTCCAAGGTAAGCAACTTCCTTATATCTTCATCCAAGTCGTATATGGAGAAACTCATGGCAACTGGGGGGTCCTAAGCTAGCAATTGGCCTTGATTTGGGTGTTGTTGGGCTGTCCTTCTCCGCTTAAGTAGAACAACAAAGAAACGTAAATAAAAAATGAGTAGGTGGAGAGTGTTATATGCAGGCGCGATTTTTGATAGGGACTGGTGACACAAGATAGCAGAATGAGAGTGAAGGCAATAGAGATATATTTGAAGATGGAAGAAAGAGGGAGAAGGGGAAGTGGACAATAGAGCTACCACAGTATGGCTATTCTACCGATATTATCCAAACTAGCTTGTTTCAGGCTAGCAAGAGACCCGTGTTTCAAAGTAGTCTATGTTTTATATGCAGGAGATATATTAAAAGGTGATAGTGAAAAATAGCAGTAGAGAGAGCCAACAGTGGATAGATGGAGAGCGATAGAGAGCGTAGAACGATAGAGCAAATATTCTACCCAGTTTGTCTTTCCCCGAGCGCTTTCTAATCTGTAACTTCTCGATATTCTCAATATTATAGTGGCGACCCTCTTCTTAACGTGTGTTTCTACCACACTTACCTACACCGTCTACATGCTTACTAATTTTTTTGGTTCAGACCTGTTAAATTTATACTAGAGAAAATGAATTTCTAATTAATCTAAGTAGCCTTGAAGGTGATGTGACACTTACCACAGTACTTTCTGTCCTTCATGTTGGCCATGAAGACACCAGCACCACAAGTTGGTTGAGGACATTCTCTTCTCAATCTTTCAACCTTTCCGTCGTTGTCAACCTTGTAGTAGTTCAAGACAGCTAACTTGTTCTTTCTGTGCTTGTGCTTAATCTTCTTTGGGGTGGTGTAGACCTTCTTCTTTCTCTTCTTACCACCACCTCTTAATCTTAAGACCAAGTGTAAGGTGGATTCCTTTTGGATGTTGTAATCAGAGAGGGTTCTACCGTCTTCTAATTGCTTACCAGCAAAGATTAATCTTTGTTGATCAGGTGGGATACCTTCCTTGTCTTGAATCTTAGACTTGACATTGTCAATGGTGTCTGAGGATTCGACTTCCAAGGTAATGGTCTTACCAGTTAAAGTCTTAACGAAAATTTGCATTATGGCTTGTCTGCAAAAATTGCTTCTTTCTTACCAATAGGTCTAGAGAAGAAGAAAAAAAAAAAGGAATCCATCCAAGGAAGAGAAGAGAAGGGTATTTGACATGAAAATTGTTCGTGAGCAGAGTGTTTGGTGAGTGAAGGCGAAAATTTTCTGGAAAATGTTAGTAATCTGAGCACGTGCATACACTTTCTTTTCTAGGGCTGAAGCCCTGGATATGTGAACTGGTGTGTGCAGGACATATGCACCCCAGAATTCGGTTGAATGCGCCCTGATGAGTCTTATCTTTATGTAAGTTGAGCTTCGTGTTATAGAACTAAATTAATTAGATTGATAAAGTGGTCCATACAATGGAATTAGATAATCTAATTGAAGAAGAAAGCCTGGTCTGTATCAAGGATTTACATATGGCTTTAAAGAGTTTATAGAACAAGGACTAAAAACTAGTGATCCATTTCTATGTGAAATGTATTTGGGCTGGGCTTACTTGGGTTCAGCTAATTTCGGTAAATTATTTTGGCCTAATGGTTTCATTCCATTTTTCTTGCACTCATTTGCATGTACCCACCGGGGAGAAGAAATTTGACATATGTTCCAACTATGACCATGTCTAAAATGGCTCCTGCGATCATTTGCTAATAACTACATAACTTGCAAGGCCCTCCTATAGTCAAATTATCTAACAAGTTTAGTTTAGATCTAGATTTGCACTAAGAATGTAATCGAGATTTCAATTGTAGTCGATCTTCGATCTCAGCATGCCGCATTAGGGAAGAGTACTATACATATTTCCTCTTCTTCCCCAAACATAAGTCTGCGAGATATGAGTTCCTGCTTACAAGCTTCATAAATTCTCATCATTTAATCCAATAGTGGAGAATGAACTCTGGTACAGTCCATAGCCATTAATTCATAACATTGATGTCTACTGTATTAGAATCATATTACTGGATTTTATTCAAGTACTGCAAAGTGATCTTTATTCCTTTCTCGAGTTTGAAAACTAACACAGGTTCTGTGAAAGCTAAAGCTTGATGATTACGCTTAGTATATCACTGGTCCTCATACCTCCCACGTTGCCTGTAAATTCTCGGACTTACCGAATGGGTATACCACAGTAGAGTGAAAATGGAATATTGTCAACAAGAATATTAGTAATTATTAACTAATGCAATCATTATATTAACTCATGGGAGCTAGGATTTCGGATCTTAATTATCTTCCGAGTATCTCATCACCCGACTTTACGTGGGTGTTAGGATGAAAACTAAACAGTTGATCTCGTTTTTATGCAGCAATTCGCTTGCATGAAGCATGTCAAAGGTTCTGCGCGATTTTTGGAACCTAAAATGCGGTCATATCGGTGCCTTTGCAGTATATAAGTAGAGTGAAAGCTACTGATGTTCGTTGAATTTCTGTTCAGAGTATCCAGTGTACTTAATACATCCCGATAAGCATTCAAATATGAGCGTTCCAGAAAAATTTGATTCAATTGGAGTTCTCGACTACGATAAATGGCTTGAACCAAAGCACTTCCAACACACGCCTCAAGCATTAAGAGATGACGATGTAGACATTGAAGTTGAAGCTTGTGGTATCTGTGGTAGTGACATCCATGCCGCTAGCGGTGCCTGGAGTAGACCTTACGTTCCATTAGCCGTCGGACATGAAATTGTTGGAAAGATTGCTGCAGTTGGCCCAAATGTTACCAAATTCAAGATTGGTGACAGAGTTGGGGTTGGTGCTCAATGTGATTCCTGTGGGAAATGTATCATATGTCATGATGGTAAGGAAAATCACTGTAAGGGAATTGTTGGAACTTATCGGGGGCTTTATAAGGAAACTAATACTCCTACCCAAGGTGGATATTCTAACTTTGTGAGACTTAATTCCAGGTTTACCTTCAAGATTCCTGATGCAATTTCAAGTACTGACGCTGCCCCTTTATTATGTGGTGGTATTACAGGATTCCGTCCATTGATGACTGCTGGTGTCAAGAAGGGGACTAAGGTTGGTGTTAATGGTATCGGTGGTATTGGCCATATGACGATCTTATTCGCCAAAGCCATGGGTGCTGAAGTTACAGCAATTTCTAGAAATGATAAAAAGCAAGCATTGGCAAAGGAACTTGGTGCTGACCATTATATTTCCACAAGTGAAGAGGGCTATGATGAAAAGCATGCCTATAAGTTGGACGTCATTGTTAACACTGGATCATCCTTTAGTGAAGGTAGTGTTAACAGTATGTTAAAGCTTATCAGACCAGGTGGTAGATTGATTAGTATTACTGTACCTCCAGCTACCGAAAAATTGGTGATCGATCCTTTCACTTTCCTTTTGTCTGGTGTTTCCATTGAAGCCTCTATCATTGGCTCACCAAAAGATATCGAGTACATGTTGGAATTTGTTGCTGAACATAAGATCAAGCCTAGGATTGAAACAATTGATATCTCTGAAGAAAATGTTGCTACCGCTTGGCAAAGAGTAACCGATGGTGATGTTAAATTCAGGTTTGTACTCACAGGTTACGACAAGTATTTCAAGAAATATGCGAATATTAAGTACACATTTCACCAATATGTTTTTAATTATGTAAACATGAGCTCTCATCTGTAGTTGATTCTTTTGGAAGTTATTTAGATATAAAGAATAAAGTTTCACTTCTCAGAAAGGCATTGCTCGTTTATACCAAGTACTCGTATATACTTAGTGTATAGGGCTAGTGAAAACACCTATCCAGAGGAAAGCAGCCTAAAAATCAAGCGTTCCAAAATTGCTGCAAATGCGTCCCTTTTCAGTTAAGCCTTTTTCTCTGCATGCATATATACGCAGATTAGAAATGCACGTACTAACCAGAACTGCTAAGGCAGATCCATGACTACGTAACTTGCAAGGTGGTTGCACATCTGCTATGTATAAACTTCTTTCCGCTCGCTATATATTAATAGCTAATTCCAAAAGTAAAAGGATTTTCTTTTGGTAAAACTCAATGGTTACTTCTCCAGAACAGGAATTCCGGAGGATGTGATTCTAGCCTCATCAAGTATTTTATGGTTCCAAGGTGCAACAATTATGTCGATAGAGGATTTTATATGCAAAGAGTAGAACTTCAACTTCTTGCAGTTCCGTTAAAGCAATGCCCTCAGATACAATTGCCAACACTGTCCATTTGCCATTCGCATCTCATATTACCGAGCTTGAAGTTGCCAGAGGACATAAGCGAAGTTTAGGATTGTTAGATTTAGTCTACCATGTGTTACAATTCAGTAGCTGATAGATAGACAAGCTCAGTTTCAAGACTAAGAGTTAAAGTCAAATATTGCAGCTCACTTATACTTCATTAAATGTCTTGAAGTATGGCTCTGTTTATCCCAATTCAAATATACTATTTCCAAACAGCACACAATCGTTTGAAAAATACAAAGATATTCCTGAATACAATTTATATGCTGCTGACGTGAAAATGAATAATAAAAGTGTTATAAAACTATTGTTAGAGTTATATAGAAAATGGAAAGTTTTATGAGACAACGGATCTAGAGAAACATATTTATAGATAAGGAAATTCATTACTGGTGATATTTTGAATCCATATCGTGAAGCAAACAATTCTAAACTTATTTTTTTTCATTAATTTATTGTTAATTATTTGATTGACCCTTAGAATTATCGCCTAATATCATAGATTGAAATATTCTACCTTTCAAAAACTAGCAGCCTTTTTACATGCATATTATACTAGTATAGTCGAATTGTACAACAAAGAATATAATCTAAAGCAACAACCCTATATGAATATATAAATGTGATATCTCTTATTTGTGTTTATTATGGTCTGATAAGGAATGTCCTGGTTTCTTTTTCTGTTCTTCTGCTTATTTGCCCCAAATGTGTACACCTTAAAGTGGCTCACTCTCTTTCTTCAAAAGTGCTTTCGAACATTCCTGTGTATACCACTCAGGATTTACCCCAGAAATGTCCCTCTCCTAGAGGCTCATTTGCAAAAACGTTTTTACTCATTGTTGCTTTGATACATTCCGGTTTATTATAATAATTTCTATGGATACACTTTATCAATTCTATTTCTATGTAGTGGGTTTAGCTTTGCTCGTCTAGTTCTGGTTGAAAGCTCCTTTACAGGTACATATAAATATAAATGTAAATATGGGCATTCGATCACTTCCTCTCTTGCCATATTCCTCCCATATTAGCTCCTGCATACACTTCTCTGTCCAAGTTTATAATTAGTCTCTCTCCTTTAACGCTATTTATTACTTTGCAGCAAATTAAACAACTTCAATTCCCAATCCACGGCTCCTCAACTATGTTAGGAGACGCGGTACTCGCAAATAGGAGGAGATTGGGCTTAGATAATAAGTATAAAGTACAAGCATATTCGAATGCAAAGAAATCAGATATTCATACTCAAAGACGCTCGAGGAGAAGGAAAAAGAGCGTCTTTCTCCAAGTATTCTTTTGTTTCTAAACTGATGTTAATTGAGCTTCTGCTCTCCGGTCCTATAACCTCTCTCACAAATCAAGATCGTCGTCCGAATCCTCGGTCAATATTTTAGATTTTTGCTTAATCGATCCAAAGTTGATCGTCTTTCTATTAATGAGTCCATGCATATAAAACAATTGTTCCAAGGTTTCGATATCAAACGTTTCTGGGTTATTGCCTAATTTTTCAAAACCAACAACCCTCAAAACCTCAGCGCCCTTAATATACCCAACTACAAACGGTAATACTTTTATACCAAGTTTAGTTACCAAAAATGGGGCATCTACTGCATTGATATTGTATATTTTCAAGCCAAGATGCTTTTCGGCTAAAATGTTCAATCTTTCGTTCATAATTTTACATTTGGCAAATTCCGGTTGCTGGAAATGAATAACTATGGGTGGTCCTTGGAGTTGTGCTGACGAGTTCTGCTGAAGAATCTCCATCAATTCCTTCTCATTTTGTATAGTTTTCAATTCACCTAATTCATTATTAATGCTTTGTGTAACAGAGGAGTTGACGTTTTTGATTTCTTTGCTCAATTCTTGTATTCTTGATTCTCTGTACTTGGAAAATATTTCCTCTTCTTCTCTCTCTAGTTGATCTAGAAGATCATCCTCATCGTCACTGACTGGAGTTTCATCAATATTATTGTTGCTCAAGAGTTTGGATTCTTGATATTTTTCTATAAGTTCAGACTGCTTGGAGTTCATGGTACTGTTAAGCAGATTTACGTAGCTCTATATCAGTTATCGTTACGAAGAGCAAACTATTCATAAAAGAATCGTCGCTTGGAATTTTCTTCGCTCTATTATTGTTTTTGGTTTTTCACGCGTAATCTTGAAAAATCGAGAGCGTTATTTGTCAAGTTAACATAAGTATGAACAACCAACAGTAGGTGAAAAGATGAGGTCTGAGAAACTCATTGAAATACCTTTAGGCATCTGACTTTGAGATGCAATATATTGCTTCCAAGAGGATAATAAAATCACTTCCCTCGGTAGTTAAGGCGCTTTTGCTTCATTGCTCTGCTTCGTTCAGAGCCTGGGCGCGAATTTTGGGTGCAAATTTCAGTGCAACCATTTTTCAGCTACACCTACTACAGCCTTTGAGAATGTCTTTGTCTAAACATTTAGTTTAATGGCCATTGTAAGACCACTATCTATAATTTATTGTTATGGTATGTTATTTACGTCCTATATATATATATATATATAGATTCCTTTTTTGATGCTAATTACTTATTTTTTTGATGCAAAATACTATTGGTGTATGTGAATGCTATGCTATGCTACGCTTTGAAAATCTCTCTTCCGACTATTTTTCTTCCTTTCAAGTTCTCTCTCAGTAATAATTTGAGTTAATAACTTCTTAAGCTCGTTATTTTCGTGAATTAACTCAATTTTAATCCTTTCATTCTCATTAAACTTCGTTAACAAGTAGTTAAACTCTTTGCAAAGTTTGAGATAGGTAGCTTTTAAGGTAGTGAAGGTGGAAATGAACCTACTGGTGTCCAACATCTTCGATTTAATCGTAGAAATTGTGTCCATATTTACAGTGGGTGCTTCGAATGCCATGCTGGTGAGTGGTATCTGGACAGTTGGTCTCTTGTCATCGTTACTTCCTTCTCCTTTTTGTTGCCCCTCGTGTATTTCCTGGTTACTAAGATCGCTGGATGATGATACTATGTTCGGTGAATCAAATGGAGATAAATCTTCGGGAGATGAAGAGGTAGATGGGTTGGTATTGTACTCATTAATTGATGCTAAAGCCTTTGAAATCTCGGCATCAAGCAATTCGTCTTCAATTCTTACCTGTGACATGCTATTTGAGTCCAACTCAATAAATAAATCATCTAGGGATGTCTTACTATTTTCTGGTGGATGCTCTAACTTCGCTTTCTTTAATTTTGGTTCCGTCACCATTGTAGTATTATATCTTATTTTTTTCTACTTTCTTTTGCAATTAATATTTTTTGTTTATGATTTTCTTCCTCTTCCTTCGAGACTTATTCACACAATGATCAACCCCTTCGTGCCTCTCTGACTTGCTTACACTGTGTAGTTGTGCTAGGTAGCTTTTTTTTAAGCTTGTAGAAGATCGATGAGATGGCTTGTTGTATGCAGGTGCGTCTTCTCGCAAAATAAACGAGAAGAAGCGCATCGAAAAAATGCCTTTCGCGCGATTCTACAGGTTAAAGAAAGGGTACTATGAACTAATGCTTGCATTTATAATGCCATTTCAATCAGATATATAAGTGTATATATAAATATGTGTGTGGCCGGTTGGAAATAGGACCGTAAATAGTGACATAACCACTTAAATAATGCGTGTGTATGAATTGAAGAAGGAAATACTGTCTTTCCTTAGACTTCTCTATGACTTAGAACTGAAAATAAAATTAAATGTGTACCCTCATAAATATGCTAATATTGAAGTTGAACTTCGTTTGTTTCTATTGTTTCTCCAATTGATCTCAATCCCTAAATGCATTGCCCAACTTCGTAACTTCCTTCAAGACATCACTGGTCTTATCGGTGACTTGGTTCAAATCCTTGATTATCGACTCGCTCACCTCAGAAACAAACACTCCACTCTCATTCCACTTTTCGTTTAACACCTTTAAAACATCTTCAAAGCCAACCTTCCCGATTTTGGCGTTCTGGCCGAATCTCTCAACTGACCAATCTTCCAACTTGTCGCATATTCTGGTTATGGATCCGAAGGCAGTGATTTCCGCTTCTTGCGAAAATGACGTTCTCAAGTTTGGGTATTCTACATCTGGCTTATACACCACAGTTTCATTGACAAGCAATAAATGATTCATAGTCAAGTTTGAAGACTTAAGCACTAAGGTCTTGTTAATAAGATCTACTTCACTGATCTCCCTAACGTAACTGTGTTCTTCGCCACCCACTATGAATCTGAGCCAAGAAGGAATGGCTTGCTTGCAGGCAATAAGTCTTTCAGTTCTCAATGTTTGTCTTTCGACGTCTATTTCTCTACTCAAAATATCCACAGAGACTACGTGAGATGCATGTTCGTTTGGGTATTTCTGCCAGTTTGCGGCGGTCACTTGATCCCAAGGATATTCGAATGAATGTACCGATTCAAAAAGCTTCATTTTCTGTCTATTAATATCAACTGCTAGGCACTTACTAATGAAAAGAAATCTAATCTTAATTGAATAATCCTGCGCAATGGGCGGCCTTAAGTATAATTTTCCCTTTTTCTAAAATTTTTTTTCTTTTTTTGAAATTTCTTAATTCACGGAAATTTAAGGATCTTGTGCGCGCTTAAGGATCAGCAGCACTGCGCACTTAAGGATCAGACTTAAGTAGTAGCCGAAAAAAAAAAAAAAAAGAAAAGACTAACTGGTCAGGTGAACGGAGGTAGTCGGGATGGTAATTGCCATTGCTGCTGTGGAGCAGTATATGATTACATATGATGCACAGTGGTACGTAGAATATTCTGGATACGAGTATAAATTGGCAGTGGTCAATAGAGCTTGTTCTCTACGTTCTACTCTGCACACTGCACTCTTCCACCTACCGTAGTTAGGTATACGCTGAGTGAGTACTGAATTGTCACATGGGACCCGAGAGCCTGCGACAAGTTCATGCACTGTCTACCGTCTAATGACGCGCCAAAGAAAGTAAGCGAGAAAATAGGCTGCAAATTGTGTATAGTAAGAAACGATAAGCTGAGAGCTGAGCCAGTGGTTCAGGTCAATTCGATTGCACAATTGATACAGTTACATAGATGTTAATGCATTACTCCTTTCCTTTTGTTACTCTACGCTTGTTACTAACTGTCATGTAGGTATCAATGCATTACTCCTTTCCTTTTGTTACTCTACGCTTGTCACTAACTGTCATATAGATATGCATTACTCCTCTCTCTTCTTGCTGCTCTACGCTCGTTACTAACTGTTATATATACACTGCGCATTGCACCTTTTCATTTTGCTCAAAAAATCATTGCACTCTTCCCTTTACTACTCGAGCCTTGATTGTTCTAACCTCGAGTCGTCTTCTGAATCCAGGAAATTGGACACGAAATTGTTCTCGTCTACTGACTTGGTTGCGCTAATTGCGTCCCTTCGTATTGAACCTCTTTGCCCCTCATCATCACTCTTGTCACTTTCAGTTACATATTTACTCAGCTTTCTCTTTTTCAAGTTGATCTTGTCCTCCGGCTGAAATGGAGATGTTCTCCTGCGGTCGCTGTATTTCACTTTGCTGCTTATTGCAGCTGTGTCATTTACATATGATGTGTAAAATCTGTTAAACAACTTAAAAGTCTCTTCTGAGATAGTAATGGTTTGCAGTTGGTCAGTTGCAGGACTAACTTGTGACTCAAGTTTACTGTTTTGTCCATTTTTGAATGCCTTGTACAAAAATGGTTGAATTTCGTTCAAAAATTTCCTATCAGTGTCTAAATCTTTCTTCAACATTATTTTGGAGTCATCTTCCTTTCTACTCTCCAAATCAGAAGCTGTCTTTTTGAATTCGTTTTCTTTGTACTTCAAATTTAGCTGGATGAACTCAACAATTGCTCGCATGGAGTACTTTTTATTGAACTTCCTCTCATTTAGTCCTTTTGTAAATTCCTTAATCAAAAATGACTGCAACTGTGAGCTGTCAATTTCATCCTTGGGATTCAATTTGATGATTGCCTTGGTGATAGTTCTGATGAACTGGTATAGTTCCTGTTCATATCGCTTATTGATCAATCTCCTGGAACTATCTGAAAATTGTAATTTCGATTTCAAATCATCCGGGATCAAGGGACTAATAGTACCAGTGTTTTTAGCACCAAGGGATTTAGACTTGCCGTTGTTCTTATTTCCATCATTCAGCTCTGTATCATCAGAGAGTGAAGAAAACTGCTGTAATGCTGGGTCGTATGCTAATGCTTGGTGAGACTCAAAGTCTTGATCAAATAAATTTGATGCTTCGAAACCTAACTTATAGAATATATTCATATCCCTTTCAGTTTGCACTTTTTCGGTAATCAAATCATAATTTATCTTCAAATTATTGATAATTCCCAAGGAATCCTTGAAAGCTTCTTGCTTGTTATAGACAACCCTTGTATCTTTGTAAAACTTATTGAATAATTTCATTTTCAATTGATACTTGGTGAACCTTTCAAATCCGATGGAGAATGGTAGTCTCAATTGATTTCTATGGTAAATGGAATTAGAGGGATCATACTTGGAATTGATGAATACTAATTTAATATTGTAAAATTTTTGCAATCCGTATTCTCCCAAACCGAAATGCTGCCAATGAGTATCCAACAACAATGCGATTGATCTTCCCTCGGTGCCTAGCTTAATGTCCCACTTATGCAAGAAGTCCCTCAAAAACTGCCTCCTGTTTAAACCTTCTGGGTCGTAATACACATCCTCGGCTTCCTCTTTACTACCGTCTATAACATTGCTGATAATCAATGGGGGAGGAAAGTCTGTACCGCTCACATTCCCAACAATACCAAATGTTACTGTGAATTCTTTCCGAAGTTCTTCATATAATGAAATACTCCCAATTTGTTGTTCAGTGGTGTCGTGTTTCTTGATATCTCCGTTCAATTCTGCAATTTCATACAACGTTTCCAAATCAAATATCAATTCATTGAATTGATATATATTGTCGTGATGGTAGTTACTGAATATCCTTTGCAATCTTTCCTTTTCCTGAACTAGAAGCTTACTATTCTTATGAATCTGCAACTGCTCTATCAAATTGTCTTGAATCGAATCAATTTGATACTTGATAATTTTTTCTTTAAAGTATTGGGGCCAACTTTCGTTGTCAATTAGCGTTCCATTTAGTAAGGTTCGGGCAGCTTCGGCACCTTCCAATTGCAACTTAAATTCATTGAATTTGAGTAGTATTTCCTTATCTATTGGAGAGTCATTAGGATGAATCAACAATTCTTGAATATAGTAAAATTCCAAGCATTTAATAATGTTTTCATTTTTGGCAAAAAACTCTTGAATTTTGATCATGGATGGTTTAATTGACTTTCTGACCTTAGTTAACGACTTAGAGTTGCTGCTCAACTTCAAAGCATCTTCCTTGATTTTTTGTTCATTGGCAATCCAACGGTTCAAGGAGGATCTCGAGATTGAAAATTGTTTCAATTTGTTAAAGTGTTTAATGGTATCAGACTGTTTATATTTCGGGTTCAAAGATACTTGATAGTTATGGAAATTGAGAACATTGGCTTTCTGGGTAAGATTGGCCTGGGGAAGCGGAGGAATATCTGCAGAATTGTTTGCAATGCCAATTCCATTATTGTTTGCTTGCATGGGGCCCAAGTCCTCGTCAATTGGTCCTTCGACTATCCTTCCGTTAATCAACATGGTCACTATTTGTTTCCCTGTGGTCTAAGAAGAGGTGGTTGTGAAACGAACTTTTAACTGGGACAAGTTTTGATTATCGTTCGGTGTAGGGAAAAATTTTCCCGCGCGCGAAGCGTAAGCAAAGTGCAACCAAAATCTTCAGCGTGAAGAAGAGAATAAAGAAAAGAAGGGGCAGTTTAAATGACGACCTGAGCTGTAAATTCCTTGTAACTGAACCTAGCCCTTACTTGTACACACACTGCACTCATAGTAAATTCACCAATGAATTACCTTCAAAAACCATTCTTCTGAATAAACCTGCAAGTGCTCTGTTCTTCCCCCATATATGTCCTGCATATATCCCCATCTTACCTAATTGAGCCTAGACTTTACAGTCTGACTAAAAAGCCATGGCAAAAGGTATAGCTCCAAAGAACTGGTACAACTCCTATAAGAACGCCACTTACAGATCCTTTTTGCGCATTTCTTAAGTGATACAGATCTAAGCAAAGCTACCGCAATGCTCAGAACTTCAGCAAGACGTTTGTTAAGCTCGACAGCGGCTGCCCGTAACGCTGCTGCTGCCGTTGCCCCAAACACATCGAAAGTCATACCTTCCAGATTCCAAACGTCGACTTTGTCGAACGGATTAACTGTAGCATCAGAATTAATGCCAGGTACTAAGACTGCAACTGTAGGAGTATGGATTAATGCAGGCTCAAGAGCTGACAATCCCAAGAGCAGTGGAACTGCTCACTTCCTTGAGCATCTTGCCTTCAAGGGAACCACCAAGCGTACGCAGTTGAACTTGGAGTTGGAAGTTGAGAACATGGGGTCACAAATTAATGCGTACACCTCACGTGAAAACACTGTATACTACACCAAGTGCCTTGACAAGGACATCCTGACAAATGTAGAGATCTTGAGTGACTTGTTGACCAAATCAAAGTTGGACCCAAGAGCCATCGAGAATGAAAAGCACGTTATCATCCAGGAAAGTGATGAAGTTGACAAAATGTACGATGAAGTGGTCTTTGACCATTTGCATGAGATCACATACAAGGGCCAGGATCTTGGTAGAACCATATTGGGACCCCGTAGTGTGATTAGAGCCATGGACAGAGATAACTTGGTCAACTACATCACCACAAATTATAAAGGTGATAGAATGGCATTAATTGGGGTTGGAAGTGTCAAGCACGAGGACTTGGTTAAGCAGGCCGAACAATACTTTGGTCACATACAAAAGAGTGATACTCCATTTCAACAAAGCGGCGGAGATTTACCAATTTTCTACGGTGATGAAATTAGAATCCAGGACGATTCCTTACCCCAAACCTACGTCGCCTTGGCAGTCGAGGGTGTAAGCTGGTCTGCTCCGGACTTCTTTACTGCCTCTGTAGCCAACGGGATAGTGGGAACTTGGGATAGATCCGTAGGAATTGGTAGTAACTCGCCATCTCCATTGGCATTAGCAGCTGCAGGAAATGGTAATGGACAACCGGTAGTCAACTCATATATGGCATACACCACTTCGTACGCTGACACTGGTTTAATGGGTGTGTTCTTTGTGGCAGAGAAGGATTCTAATTTAAAAATATTCACTGATGCGGTTATGAAAGAGTACTCCAGATTGAAGTCTGGTTTGATTACTGATGATGAAGTGGAAAGATCTAAGGCACAATTAAAGGCCTCCTTGGTGTTGGCTCTAGATGATTCCACTGCTATAGCTGAAGACATTGGAAGACAATTAGTTAACACGGGGCACAGATTATCTCCAGAGGACGTTTTCGAGAGAATTGAATCGATCACCAAGCAGGATATCGTGGACTGGGCCAACTACAGACTTAAGGATAAGCCAATAGCTGTTTCCGCCTTAGGGAACCTTAAAACATTACCTCCATTATCTGAATTGACGAGAGGAATGTCTTTATAGATTTAGATATTAAGATGAATACATGCACATAGGATTTATTACCAACTGAAAGAATTCATTAATCTTGTATAAATTAGAAGTTCATTGTAAAAAAAAAATAAATAAAAAAGAAATATACCTTGTTCTCTGCATGTTAATGCCCCTTGTTCATAATAGTCTCAGCAGCAGTGTCAATGTGATCCTCATCATCAGCTTCATCATCCGATTCAATAGCTCCAGATAGGATACTTTCCAGTGGAGCACGCTTCATAAGCTCTGGAGACTTGAAAAGCTTCCCGATGTTATCTATCCATTTGCTACGTTTATCCAAAAGCGACCTTAATCCACTATTTACAGTCTGTTGAAGTCCGGTCGTTGACTCACTTGAACCTGCTCCTGTTGCACCAGGAGTAGAAGCAGCATTACTTGAACTATGAGCGTGTCCCTTCTTCTTTTTATTCTTTACTCTCAATCTCTTGATATATGCTTGGTCAACCTGTTTATCCAAATCTTCTAAGATGGTGCAATATTCCTGGAAGGCTAATTGGTCATCAACTATTGGTATTAACTTCTTCTTGTTTTGTCTATTTCTCTTGTGCGTTTCGTGTAATTCTCTTTGTAATGCACGGAGCTCGGCGCATACTTCATCATCTTCTCTATTTTTGATCCATTCATCGTTATCAATGATGTGAGAGCCGTCTGCTGAACCTTCTCCATTTCCTCCTGGACCTTCGGATCCTCCACCATTGTTAATGTCTCCGGCACCAGTTCCAGAACCAGTACCGTCATTACTGTCAGCACTTGTACCTCCATTTATAGAGTTGCTGGCTGCTGTATCGTCATTGCTATCGTTAACATTTTTCTTCTTCCCATTTGGTAAGTTCATAAAGATACCAATATATTTTAATTCTCTTTTTAATCTCTCTTCTATGGAATGGAAATCACTTTTTTCGCTGGTTAGTTTGTAGCTTTCGTTGTTTAGGTCTAACTGCGTAGCGACATCGATGTCGGTTGGTTGAGGCACAGGCGAAGAAGTCAAGTCGTCGTCGTTGAAATTTTCTTCGTTCTTTATGTCATCGCCATCCAACTCACCGCTCTCGTTATTACATAATATGGCGGATAAGAGCCTAGATGATAAGGGTCCACAAGATATATCTTCCGTGTACAACTTATCATCGCTCAAGTTATCGATGGAGCCCTTAGGTAAATATGAATCTGGGCCCTGTTGATAGGGCGAAGGTGAGCTTATTTTGTTAGCTAAAGACAGATCTGCAGCAGTCCAAAGGTCAGCGTAGAACGGTCCCAATTTAGGAATAAGGAATGGAGTAGTTGCTGGGTCATAGTTGTTCAACTTTTCGTCAAACCCTCCGATCGCTGGGATAACGTATTTCTCTTTCAAGAAATCTATGTCTTCTGGTACAAAAGGTCTGAAGAATGATTCAATGTACGACTGGAACGTGGTAAATTGCACTTGGTTAGATGGCGGTTTATTTTTGGAGAAGTCTGTGCTTGGGATTGGTCCTGGTAATAGATCATACAAATCATTCTCAGGGTATGAAGCAACACCGTATTTCTTCTTCAAGTATTCCTTACCGTGAGTTTCGAGTCCGTTATTCGACTCTGAGAAGAGTCCTAGCTTCGCTATTGCTTCAGCAGGAAGCGTTTGAGAGGTGACGAATTCGGATTTGGGGTTCTTGAGACGTGTGTCGTTCTCGTGGGTGTAATGGCCCCTCTGTTCAGGAGGGAGAATTTTATCTACCTTGCTTCCATCCTCGTGTTCGTCACCATCATCGTCGTCATCGCCTTCGTTAAAGTCATTATCATCTTCATCCGCGTCCACATTAGCGTTCTCATCTTCAAATTTGATCTCCTTCTCCTTACCGTATGCTTCGCCATCTGTCTCCGACTTGACCAATTTCCTTCTCTTTGCTAGTCCAACGTCATCTTCATCGTCCGTCACCGATGGCTTTCTCTTGTTGTGAAGGGGTACGTCGTCATCGGCGACTTTATCGTAACCTGCTGCACCATTGGCTTTGTCTGCACCACTAGCAATACCATCAGCACCGTCATCCTCAGGCTCTTCGTCATCTTCTTCCTCCTCTTCGCCTTCTCCTTCTGCAGCATCATCCTCTTCATTGCTATTGGCATCCTCGCCATCTACCACACCGTCGATTTTGTCCTTTCTTTGTTCCAGTTCAGGTCTGTCTTCTTCATCCTGATCAGGCAACCCAAACCTCTTCTTCTCCACTTCTCCACCATCCTCGTCACCTTCGCCATCTCCCGCAATTTTTTTGATTTTCTTTAGTACCGACTTATCAATCTGCTCCACTTCCAGTAATTGTCTGTCCAATTTGCTTAAAAGCTTACTCAAGTTCAGGAGTACACTTATCTTGGGCACAGACTGGATATGGTCACCTTCAAGCACTCCTACAGATGAATCATACGTGAGTCTCAACTCCGTTATAATATCATCGAGAGTCGTCGAAGCCATTCTTAATTAGTCCCTCTTGCTGTAAACACTCTTCTTACCCTTCTTTTCGGCTCAATTATGGGTTTGATTGATGGAATTGTGTCACTGAAGCTGTGCAACCACTGCTTCACCTTTCTGGCGGTGTATTTTTTTTTTTTCAATCATGGCCATGTTTATGTGCAGGATTTCTATGTGCAGGCACGCCAAAGAGGTATAACGGTCTTTGCTATTGGTATAGAAATATTATCATCATCTATTCATCTCTAAATACTTATATTTACATGTCTCTCCTTGTGTATGTGTTTGGAAGTCGTATCTCTATAGCCCAGTCAAAAATTTTACAGAAATCAAGTTGGCATGGATCAGGTTAATGAACATTCACATGACGCCTTTAAGGTGAAGCACGTACCAGTAAATCCCTGTCAATATGGATGGACTGTTGCTATACGGCTCCGTTGTTTATGTTCTTTTTTCTCTCTTTTCCTCTTATGGTTCGTATGCCTTGACGTACTCGGCATCTTTCTTGTCCTTCACGTCATTCACCAATTTCCTTACAATCTTAAACTTCTGGACTGGAGCATCTTGGGGTCTTTTCCATTCTTCGGGAAATTCAAACTTTGGTCTGAATCCCTGAATGTGCATCTTGGCTCTGGTGTGTCTTGTGTCCACAGGTATGTCTTGGAAGTCGTCTTTAGCGATGTCCTTGGCCTCTTTCAACAATTTGTTAAAGGTCTCGACTAACCATCTGGCATTTTGGGTGGCTTCTGGGTAGTTAGAAGATGTGATTCTCAACTCGTCCTTGAAGTGGTCGAATCTCTGAGCAGACAAGATCTTGAATTTCCTCAGTTCCAACTCGCCCAAGTTCAAGTGCTTCAACTGGCAGATCAAGGTAACCTTTCTATTGAAGGCAGTGGCCTCATTCGTGAAGTCGTCCCCAAACTTCAACACAAATTGGGTTTCCTCGACTGATTTAGGAGTATATGGCTGTCTAAATTTGGCCAAGAGTGGCATTTCATACGCTGCTACGTTATTCAAGATTTCCAACTTCCTTTCCTTATGTGGAGTCTCTCCCTGTTTGATCACTGGTATCTTGTGCAACTGAGGTGCCCTTACAGGAACGTTATTCATGAATCTTTCTTTGAAGTGATCTAATGCATATACATATTCAAGTTCTGGAACTGTCTTCTTGCCAAGCTCAGTGGCTGTAGAGAGAATGGCGTTTCTCTCTTCATCGTTAGGAACGTATTTGTCGCCTAACACCGTCTTTCTCAACTCATGCAATTCGAAAATTCTATCAGCTGGTAAACCCTTCCAAGCATGCGGATTGAGGTATAAAGGATCGCTCAAAAGTATGGAAGCAGAAGACAAGGTTCTACGACCGATGATTCTACTACTACTTAACATCTTTCCTAGCAAAGAAGTGGTATGTTTGAGGTTCTACAAGAGATCTTCTTACAGCAGTTTTTTTTTTTTTTTTAGCTGAAATTTTCGATATTAAAAAATGTGTAGTTGGTTGGCGGACGACCAGTGAAAAGTGGATAAACTATGATCCTGCACGTAGTTTCTTCTAATGTGCAACCAATGTGCTCTAGCTGCAATTACACCGGTTCAGATTACTTTGGTGTAGACTCAAAATTTCAGTTTCAGCTATAGAAGTGTATATTTAGTGTGAGAGAATACAACAGAGCGCTAAAGTCATATATATATATATGTAGTGTAAGTGGATAGAATAGACCGATAAGGTCATATATGTAGTATGTAGTGTAAGTGAATAGAATAGACCGCTAATGTCATTTGCGCAGTTTAAATGAATAGAATAGACCGCTAGTGACATTTTCTTCCATTCTCATCCCATTATCATCCCATTATCATCCCATTATCATCCCATTATCATCCTCATTCTTATTCTTCAATTCCTGATTCATCTCCTTCCTCTTCTTTTTTCACATCAAGGTAACTTTCGGATCCAAGTACTCCCTTGACGTTTTCAGGTGCCTTTTTCTGGGACTTTGTCATAGCTGAAAGTATATCACCTTTACTTTCCGCTTCCCTATTTTCTACCTTTATTCTCTTCTTGGGACTGCCTCCATCTTCAGCACTATCGGCAGGTTTTTTGCGCTGGAAAAACAGAGTGATAGGCTTCTGTGGGCTCACCGATGGCCCCCTTTTCCTCTCTATCAATTCTGGGCCATGGGACCCTATCTTTCCAACGGCTTTCCCAACAATGTATGCATCTATATCCTTATATGCTTTATTCTTCTTAGTGTCTAAGACGGTGTCCATCAACAGATCATCCCAATCCCTCTCTGGATTCAACCATTCAAACCATTCCTTCGAGCCAGGTATCAACATGATCGGTTTTCTGGAATGTAACCACGACAAATCCTTTAAATCTTCTCTTTTATTCGTAGGGCCAGTAACTATAGCAAATGACGAGAAATACTCATCACTTTCATCCATCTTATAGTTGTAGTTATGTGAGTATAACCCTGCTAGGTAAATAAGAGATGAACTGGTTGAATGTATATAATATGGAATGTTTTCGTCCCTAGGAAGTCTTAACCACTCAAAATATCCTTGAATAGGTACTACACACCTTGTTTTCTTCTTATGGCTATTCCAGGTAGGCAAGGCGTTTCCCTTTCCCATGGATTCTTTTCTGCAGTTAAATTGCCTACCCTGAAATCTTTGAATTTCTTTAGAGTATGGAGGACCCGGGTTCCCATTTCGTTGCACAGGCTCTGGGTCCTTTGGTTTGGCCCATGACGGCACTAACCCAAACGACAGTGATTCTATTACATATTTGTAATCTACTGTAGGGGAAGCCTTATCAGTATTACTTTGGAATATGATAACTGAACTTCTGGTTGGAGGAATATTGTACGACGGCCTAAAGACACGATTTGGTTGGGGGTATTTAACCAATATCTCGACTATGGACTTAAAATCTTCCTTTGAAAAGTAATCAACTGAGGCAGATCTGTCCTCGTTGGCTTCTGGAGAAGCAGAATTTAATGCAACAGTGGAAACATAATGGTTTGGTCCAATACTATGAAGTGTTGGGCCCGAAGAATCTGTGCTTGCAGCGCTACTGTCTTCACTGGAACTCCCCTCACTTCCTTCAGATAAATCAAAGTGAGCAATTGCAGTCTCCATGAATTCCTCTGGTAAATCAACCAATTCCTATATTTTGTTAGTTTCTACTGCGCAGAATTTCAACCTATATTAAATTAACATTACTTACCACCGATAAAGCAAACCTACCACACATTGCTACGTTAATTGTTGATAAAAAGGAGTATCAACTTTAATAATTAGTCTATTTCACTTAAGAAAGGGCACTATGTCAGCCGCACCATGTATTGTCTATATACAGTATTATCTTCAAGTAGGTGCATGATTGCAACCATTACTGCGTCAAAGCGTGCTAGTCATAGAAGATGGGATACTCGGGGTCATAATGAAGTATATCCTCATCTTCATAACGTGGTTGGTCATCTTTTCCCATATTTTCATCATATGAATTTTCAAAGTTGTGAATGCAGTCAGGATCGTCAGAATAATGTTCCTTTTCTTCTCCATCAAAGAATTGAGGTGGCTGTTGAGATTTAGGAAGGAACTCGTCATATGAGTGTCTCTCCGGTAAATAATCATTTAGGGTGCTGTCATTAATATTAGCGACATCTTTAGAATTGCTGCCAAAATCGGTTCCTCTCTTCCAGCTCCTTCTTTTCTTTGTTTCTTGCTCATTCTTGATTTCTAATTTCCTCTTCTCTTTGTATTCACGGTATAACCTTTCATCACTTTCAGCAGCTTTATAGTCTTCCTCAGTAAGTTTGGGGTCCTGTGCTGTCCCCATATGTGTTTTTTCCAAGAATTTCGTATCGATTTGTTCTTTTTCAACCAATGCCTTGGGCAAGTAAGATTGGAATACTTTGCCATTTTCATAGTTTGGATTATATTTATAGTCTTCCCCATATCCTAACTCCTTCATCAAAGAAGTAGGAGCGTTCCTCAAATGCAACGGAATTGAGATATTTTTCAAGTCTGGGTTGTCTTTGAATACCGCTTGAGCATTGCGTAGTGCTCTATACGATTTTGTAGATTTGGGAGCCCTAGCAAATTTTGCTGTGACATGAGCTAAAACTATTTCTCCTTCGGGCATACCTATGAATTCTAAAGCATCCTTTGCTGCTATGGCAAATGGTAAACAGGATGAGTCTCTTAGTCCAATATCCTCACTGGCTATTACTATTAATCGACGAATTATGAAAAGAGGATCTTCTCCACCTTCAAGCATTTTAACCAAATAAAATATAGCAGCATCTGGATCTGAACCTCTTATTGATTTATGGAACGCACTGATTGTATCATAATGTGAGTCTCCACGCTTATCAAACATTGAATGATAATTCTTTGACAGTAATAGTGGTTTTAAGTTTTGTTCGTTAATGTTTATTACTCCGACATTTTCTGGGATTTTAATCCCAGACTCTTTATCGGGTTCAAATTCATTGAAATATTGATATTTAATGCCAGACAAATATGCATGAATAGATTCTAATATATTTAAAGCTACTCTTGAGTCTCCCGTACTCAATTTTGCCATATAGTCGATTGCGTCTTTGCTTAAATTGATCAAATGTAACTTGAAAACAACTGCCCTTGTCTTATTTACCAACCTGAGTCCTCTGCTTATTACCTTTACCATATCATCATGGCTAAGTGGTTCCATTTGAAAGACATGCATTCTCGATAGTAATGCATTATTTAAATTGAAAGATGGGTTTTCAGTGGTCGCTCCTATTATTGTCACTGTTCCACGTTCCAACACTGGAAGTAATATATCTTGAATACCCTTATTAAACCTGTGGATTTCATCTATAAATAATATCGTCTTTCTGTCTGTCAATTTCCTTTCATTTTCAGCGAGTTGGAAAACTTCACGAAGGCGTTTCACATTACCATCTACACCTGAAACCTCTATGAATTTGCCACTAGTCATCTTGGATATAATCCTTGCCAAGGTAGTCTTCCCAACTCCTGGTACTCCCCATAATATAAATGACGGTATATTATCAGAATCTATTAAATTACGGAGTATTCCATTTGCGCCCACAAGTTTTTGTTGGCCAAAGTATTCGTCAAGTGATTGGGGTCTAAGTCTCTGCGCTAATGGGAGCTTGCTTTCTCTTTGGAGTTGAGCAAGACTTCGGTCAGAATTATAGTTCTTATTTGCCAATTTAACGCCTGCATTTGCGTTGGCATTTGCATTCACGGTTTTGTCTGGTATTGGTATTGCCTTCGGCTCTGATTGCTCAATTTTGACTATGGACCTACTACCTACATCATCTATTTGCTGCGTCATATCCACTGCTGATGCAGCTGCTGCTGCTGCCTCAGCTTTCTTCTTCCTCTCAGCTATCAATATGCTAGTTAAAGAAGAAGTAGTTTTAACATTCTTCAGGTTCCTTTTAGGTTCAGTCTTTACTTTGCTACTTCGTTTCAATCCTAATATGTCAAAAGCATTCTTGGGAGCTTTTGAAGATAGAATCTCTATGTCATCAATATTCTGAGTAGATTGCGAAGATGATGGGCCCTCTTGAGATGCCTCTATTACAATTGATGACTCTTGCGTGTCCAAGCATTGATTAGCATGCTGCTCGATCTCGTCAGAAGGAAAGCTCTTTAGACATAACGGACAAGTTTCCATTGTATGCTACTTCAATAAGGGCCTACTATTAACAATTAGGAATTAGTAATTGGTTGATTTCGACTTAAGCTTCAAGTTCCATTGATATGCACGTTAGAAAAAATAAAAGTGATAAGCATCTGAAAAATTTATCAAGACGCGATCTGAACTCAGTTGTATAATTTAAATATATTCATATTCTTCTCTTCTGAACTCATTTATATCTTTAGCTATGACAGTTGATACTCTTTGGAATAAGATAAAGATATCTCCTGCTGAACTTTCACTTGAAAAAGTATTGAGATGCGGACAAACGTTCAGGTGGAAGAACATTAACAATACTTGGTCTTTCACTATTGAAGATAGAATCGTGCTACTTAAGCAAGATGAAGAAAATCTTCATTATTCTTGGTTAATGAAAGAGTTACTCGTTGATTCCTCTGCAGCTGCCATTTCTCGCCAAAATAATGAAACTCTTAACTTTATTAATGACTACTTTAATCTATCTATAAATTTAACTTCTCTCTACAAGCACTGGATGATCCAAAATGAAAATTATAAAAATAAGAAGATCTTAGGCTCCCCGTTTACTAAATTTAAAGGAATTAGAATACTAAGACAAGATCCATGGGAGGCTACGATTTCTTTCATATGCTCGTCTAACAATAATGTTAAAAGAATATCTAAGATGTGTGAAAATTTATGTACAGAGTATGGAACTTATTTGAATACATACAAAGGTGTAGACTATTTCACATTCCCTAGTGCAAAGGATTTATCTAGTTCTCCAAATGTCGAGACAAAATTAAGAGAGTTGGGTTTTGGATATAGAGCTAAGTATATATATCAGACTGCTCGTTTGTTAACTTCGACGCTTTCGATCAAGGAATTGAATTCTTTGAGAGAGTCAAGTTATGAAGACTCGCATAGTTACCTCTTACAGTTGACAGGAGTGGGACCCAAAGTCGCAGATTGTATTTGCTTGATGGCCCTAGATAAGCATGATATAGTACCTGTTGATACACACGTGTACCAAATTGCTATTAGAGACTACAAATTTAAAGGTAAGAAAGATTTAAAGACAATGAACAAAAAGGTCTATGAGGATATCAGAGAATATTTCAAAGAAATCTTTGGAGAGTACGCAGGCTGGGCACAATCTGTATTATTTGCATCTGATTTATCCGACATGAATAACGGAATAAATGTTAAAGAAGAGGTTATAGTAGAAGCTAAAATAACATCTACAGTGGTAGATATTAAAGAAGAGATCAGTACGGAAATTATAATCGAACTGGACAGTAAACGAAGAAGAGTCAGAAAGTAATGCTTTTTTTCGAGACAGTTTCCCCTTTTTTGTTTTTTTCAAGACGCAGCCCAGTTCAGTTTACAAAGTAGCCAGCTTATATACAAATAAGTAATAAATAGCAAAATTAAAGAGTTGTTTGGGAATATTTTAAGTAGTCCGCCAGAATTTGTGGGGATACTATTCACGAGTACATTCTTCTTAACTCCCTTTTTGTATGAATGTTCAAGAAATGGGCGGCTGGTGTAGTGGTTAACATTTCTGCCTTCCAAGCAGGAGACAGGGGTTCGATTCCCCTGCCGCTCAGTCCTTTTTTTGCATCATTTTTTCCTTGTAATTCAACACAATTGTATTTTATGGTTAGCCTATGGTATCTTCTTGCCAGTAATCAAATAGAGAAAATTCAGGAAAAAGGAAGAGAGTGTTCGAAATATTGAAAAAATAGCCTAGTCCCGAGAGGCACATTAGCAGATTTAAAAGCGCAGTCTACCAAAAGGCAAATAGCTCTGGTTTCAAATACTAAAAATACGAGAATATATTTCATTATAAAGAAGTGATGCGACCATAAGTTTCCTAGCACTTCAAATATGCTGTTAACTTTTCCCATCTGTTTCTGTCATTATAAACAGATACAGACTGTATGGAATTAGGCTCTTCTGTTCGGTGTGTGTCAGTTTACAGTTTTCCAATCAGAAATAGGGCGGCTGGTGTAGTGGTTAACATTTCTGCCTTCCAAGCAGGAGACAGGGGTTCGATTCCCCTGCCGCTCAGTCCCTTTTTTTTGCAAGATTTGCTCTACACATTCTTTGTAAAAAGCTCCAGCTCCCACCGGAAGCCAGCCTGTAGCGTATTCTGCAGTGATTGGTAAGATACCAGCATCAAATGCCTATTTAGAGGGAGCATTTAGGTATATATTGAGCAATGTTATTCTCTTTGTTCATGGGATTTTGTCGAAATGAGAACTCATTCCACAGGCTCAATTCTTGGACTTCTTAGAATAATGCAACATAGCTTCCATTAAATTAGTAGTACAGCAATTTACATGATTAAAATGGAAGATAAGATTATAAAAGTACAATATTCTAACTTTTTTGGTATTGACTGAAATATAGGAAACTAACGTTCATATTCCCGCTTTACCTTTCGAATACTACAACTTTCACAGTTCTTCTTTGTATCTAATTATTTAGTAGTTGTGTACGATAATTCGCAATATGAATAGTAAAACTCTTTTTGAGCAGGAATTTCGAATTAGGACAATACTATTGTAACAACTCCATAGTTGAACCACTGCAGAGTGCATGCCATAGTAAATAGCAAATGCATACGTTCAGATGTCACCGTATACAGAAAATATAAAGAAAAACAGCTGGCTACATATTCTGATTTGAGAAAAAAGTTCATCAGAGGGGCGGCTGGTGTAGTGGTTAACATTTCTGCCTTCCAAGCAGGAGACAGGGGTTCGATTCCCCTGCCGCTCAGTCCTTTTTTTTTGCAAGTGTAGAGAGTTATGGTACGACTATCACTCTTGAAGATCTTAGAACTGCTTAGGTTATTCACTTGTCAACTATATGCTTCATTCTTTATTTGATTTGGTTGTGATAGGACTGCGTGAATATAGTAATAGATAGCTTTTCTTTATACTTACAAGGCTGAAGAGAGCTGTGAAAGACATGCATTTATTTTTGTAGTAGATTGCTTGAAAGCAACCCTAACCAACGATGAACATGCAGATATCTCTTCCATACCTGAACATCTTGCTTTTCAATCTTATATTCTAGTGGCTATATACCAATAGATAGAACTTAATTCTTTCCGCGTGGAGTTCTCGCTTGCTTTACTTCTGCAAGTGCTCGTTTTCTTTCAGTGTGTTCTATCCTATGTTCCTCAATCACCTTAGAAGTATCACCTTTTCTATATACGAACAATCTAATGTACTTTACCATATGATAGTTCAACCTATGATCATTACACTGGAAAAGATCTTCACCATCTCTAATAGAAATAAGATCAAGATACACATCAAAATAGCCAATGCAAAATTCCTTTATTAGCTCCGGATCCGTCCATCGAAGTTTTTTAACAATAAGACTTCTTAATCTGAAGAACCCTTCTTCTAGGTTATACTTAATTCTTAGCATTTTATGTTCAACTATTCTGTCATTTAATTTAATATCGACTAACATCATATTGCGCTGACATAGAAACGAGAAGGAATTGGAAAACAGACTTAACTTCACTTAAATGCAAATGCAATACTAGAGGGCGGCAATTTAGGATCCGACTTGAACATGACCTTTAGTTGTGATCTAACCGGAATCAAACCACGTCTTAAGCGATAATGATCCTACCTTCAACTACTACTCGACACTATCTTAGTTGGGAAGCAGCCGATGCGGCGCACGTAATGATTTTAATGCATGCAAGATCCGGTGATACCAAGGAATTGAGTTGATCCCTCGTCATCGACCTAACTAAACATAGTAGTGGGAACACTCAGCAATACCCATTGTTACAAAGCTCTTATCTAATTTGCTTTGCAGTGTTAGCTTTTGCTCGTAAGCTCAATTACAGAGTAAATACATAAAAATCTATTTCATAAATAATTCTTCTATTCATAGTCAAATTGACATATTTCGATATTTCCTAAGTAGATAAACCAGAGGCAACTCCTGGTTAGATCACAAATCATGAAATGCTCTTCATTCATATCGAATCATTTCAAGCTTGGTGATAAACTTCTCATTTTCTAAAAATCTTTTCTTATATGATTCCAAAACTCTTTTGTATTGTAATCTATGATCATATATATTGAAGGTCAATGGTGTTTCCTTAGTGATACTCCAAATATTGAATATTTCCATAAGGTCTTCATCATCTTCTATTGATACCAAATCTATTTCCGTGTCAAATACGCCAATGGAATATGTTGTATTTCGAGTTATGTTAAACTTTCTTTCGATTATCTGTCTCAAGTCTAGTAATCCATTGGCAATGTTGTATCTCAACCGAAACTTATTTGTATTATTCAAGTAGTTTACTATAATAATGCTGTTGAATTCAGTTGTCTTTGGCCAGGAGAGCTTAACTTTGGTGGTTCTATTGTAAATGACAGAATCATATGAGGGCAATGAATTCTCCAATTCCATGGTAACTTGTGTGTGAAATATAATTATATGTTCTTGAATGCCTAGCTTGAAGTACAAATATCCTGGGTTCAATAGATTCTCAAGAGAAAGAGAGATCTAGTCTAATACCTGCTGATAAAAATAATCTTGCTTATTCTTAAGTATTATTTTGTTTAAATATGTTTCTTATAGCGTCGCTTAAATTATTGCTGCATCTCTTCAGCCTTTTTGGAAGTATGCGGTGGAACCGTCATCTAACTGTCATAAATTAGGGATTGAGTCAGGACTACTGGAGCTAAAACGGAGAGCGTGGGTCAATTTTTCAATAATATGAGTGATTTAAGACAGAAAAGGTGTAATTAATTTGCACAGGAGCATGTAGATATATTTGCTTTAAGTAATCAGAGCAATGCTTAGTGTGCCATTTTGCAAAGAGTAAACTCCACACTACGGAGAAAAAAAATAAGGAAGTTGAGTTTTGTAGAGAAGGTAAATGATTCAAAGTTATAGTATTGTCTAGTGTATTTGGTATTTATCAAAAATAAGTAGATGGGTCAGCTTCGATTGCAAATATACTGATTCAATGGTGTTGCTATTGAGTCTAAAGGTTCTACATGAATCTCGACCAGTCTCAAAAAAACTGATGCACGTCTACGCAACACACGTAGACTAAATCAACTAGGGGGGAGTACCGTAGATGGCTCTTCTTTGCTCATAAACTCTTTTCTTATGAAAACTCACGAGCTCTTCTTCTTTTTTTGTGTCGAACACATAGAGTTCTCCTATTTCCTTGTGCTCATGGATTTGCACCCATTGAAACTCCTTCAAATCATCGTCATCAGCGATATAGAGCAAATTATGATACTGATCAAAATACCCAATGGAGTAAGCACCGTATAAATGAGAAATGCGTAGCTTCTCTGTTATTTTCGCCTTGAGGAGCCTTACTCCTGAATTTGCTGAGTACTTCATGTAGTATACCCCACTGTCAGTGATATGGGCAACGATTTTCGCATCTTTATTGTCATCGTCTTGCAGATTGCCAGATTCACTGGGAAGCATACTTTTGAATGGCATACTAGTAGAGCCCGGTATTGGAATTTATGAGAACAAATGTTGGGACTAAATAATAAGTAGGTACCATGCCTGGTAATGATCACCCCTAGCATTGAGTCCCAGTATGTATCACTTTAGTAGTTGATCGATAGCCTAAATTCGCATCAAAGCAGCAACCGACACCACCGCCGCATGGTTCGCTTATGCATGCGATGAATGCAGCACCTAATGAGGAAATCAGTATGACCATATAATAAAGTCACACTCTGGACCCGAAAGGAGGTATATGTAATGTGCAGCCGCATAGGACTAGCTGAATAGGGTTCCCATGTAACGTTATCGGGCACGTTATGGAAAATAAAGCATCATTCCAGCGAAAAATTCCACTATGGGGTGAGCGCTCTCTCTCCGGCGCTTTGCATAAATCTAACTCCGATGCACATTAATACACGTTCTGCCTTTCCTCGAATACACATTTATCAAGCAAGAGGACTACAGCAGAACTAAGGTAAAATTCTACTTTTCAATCCAATTTTGGAAGACTATGTAGTTTAAACTTTAAGCTTTGAGCAAAGTTCATGATTAGAAATTAATTTGATCTCCCAATTACACGTTTGATCTCGTGCGTTGCCCCGGGAATGCTTCCAGCGCAAGAACACTGCTCTAGGGATCTGGTAGCTAACAATATGTAGGACTTCTGGTAATTCATTTCCACTGATTACACTACGCTGCTCCCACCTTACAATTTACACATAGCAAACGAAATATTTTCTGACTTAACTAAATTCAAAAAAGACAATAATATTATACAAAACAAATTTAATTTGCTAAAAAGGTTGGGTTGAAAAAAAAGAACAATGTGCGTTATCTAAGATAAAACATATTGAGCCTTACCACCAGTAACACCAACAGTACAACCATCAGTACCATCACCATTGTACTTACCACCGGAGTAAGTACAAGAGCCACTGAGAGTAGCGGAACCATCAGAGACAATCTTGACGTCGTAACTCAAGGAATCGTAATTGTTTGGGTTTGGGATCAACGATAAGTATGAAATACCGTTAGCGTAACCAGCACCAAAGTTTAATGGAGCCCAGTTTCCGTATCCACAACCAGAAGTTCCCCATGTACAACCAGTAGTCCAATCAACACCAGCTTCGTTGACGTAGTATTGAGCGGAGGTGGAGCCACCTTGCCAAGTGTAGTAAGTGGATTGGTCAACAACAGTTAATGGTAAAGTAGAACCACCAGTGACAACTGTTGGAATAACCATGTTTTCAGTACCTGGGTAATCAGTACGACAAATAGCAACGGTTTCGTCAAGCTTGTTGACAACTTCTGCCGAGTCAACACCCCATTCACATAAGTAGTTGCTGCTACTGGACTTGTACAACTTACCACCTTTACATAATAATCCACCAATGGAAACACCATTAGCTGGTTGAGAAGATGGCCATTGAGTCTTGGACATACCTGGTTGACAAGCGTAGGAACAGTATGCACCTTCCTTACAGTCACCTCCGGTGGATCCATCGGAGTTTTCGATACCGGACCAACCACCGAAGCCCAAGTGATCTAAGGCAATAACACCTTGACCAGATGGGAAGGAGCTACATGAGATAACACCATCTTCAAATTCTTCAGTTGGGTCCACGTAAGCGGCTAAGTCACCATAAATACCCCCTGATGATGATGAACTAGAGGAGGAAGTCGACTGGGCAGCGGATGAGCTAGCCTTGGTAGAAGTGGTTTCTTCGACAGAAGTGGTTGAAGCAACTGCAGTGGTTAAAGTTGACGAAGTGTTTTCAGTGTCTGAGGTAGAGGTAGAGTCTGCTTCAGTAGATGCGATAGCGTCTCCGTTTGGATCAACAGTGACAGTGACGTATTGGTAGTCGTAAACGACGGCTCTCTTGTGCTTGTGGTGACCATGAACTTGGGTGGAAGAACAATCGTCATCAGCTGCTACAGGAGCTGCCAAAACTGAAAGTGCAGTAAAGGCTGCAATGGATGCCTTTGAGAATTTCATCTTGCTTGCTATAGATTATCTAGTTAGTAGTTGAAAGGAGTGACTAAAGTTAAGTATAAATAATCTTCTTGCTGTACAGAAAGAAAGAAAAGAAAAAGAGCAAAAAAATAACAAAGTGTCAAAAAAATGAAGAAAGTTCGATATTTTAAACTTCATGGTCCATTTTTCGCACGTTTAAAATTCTATCACCCAAAGATAAATATAGGTTTTAAGCCTTGATGTTTGCCAGGTAACAAATCAATCTACCCTGCTATCCCTTGCCCATAATAAACAAGTGCTTTATTTTTATTTCCTGGTTTTGTATGCGGGTGCAGTATTTTGTATGAGACATTTCGAAACATTCGCGACTTTGTGGCATATTTTCATGCAAGTGGGCGTAAAAACAAGAAAAAGTATGCATGTTTGACGATTGCGAGAACGAAATGCTCGTGAAAAAACCATGAAGTGTGATAAATCTGTAACGAATGGAAAACAAACAAGAAGGAAATAAACAAAAAGGGGTAAACCTCACAAAGTAGCTCCTGTCAATGTCAACGGAGACTATGAAACAAAGTTGTCAAGTAATGAATTAACTAAATCAGGGTAGTTGCAGTTTAGTGGTGGACAGTACTATGGCAAGGTTTCCAAGTACTGCTTTGTTTCATTATAAATAGCTTGCTGGTAGTGGGCTACCTGCGCGCCTCGTTTGTATTTCCCGCCCACCAATACCACGCTACAGTTCACATTGTGGTATGACAGGGTATTTCTCTTCTTCTCATTTCTTTGGTTTTTGTTTGTAGTAGGCTTAACCAAATTTTGCTTAATTCTCTCTTTCTTTTTTTTTTTGGTGTATTCACTCGTTACTAATTTGCACCTTCTGAAACATGCAAGGCTAATTTATACTATACGTCATATCTCTACAATATTCAATAAATATATACATACTGCTGTAAAAGGAACGACAGGTTCAAAAAGAAAACCGGACAGCTATGTTTGATGTTAGTTTAACAGAAGTGTGTTTGTAAGGGAAATTTTTGAAGGGATTGGTGCCAATTTAAAGTAAATTCATTGCAAGCATTATTTGGGGCTACTCAATTATTGTAAGGCTCTGGTACGCGCATATTTTTGAACACGTCCAGCATATATCTGCATGAGAAGCCAGCAAGAAAATGATAGACAAAAGAAATAATACTGACGTACAGGGCTCAAGTCCATATCTCAATACAAAGAGTCCGAGTACTATGACAAGTTTACCCCATTCTTCACCTAAACTAAGTTTCGCCTTTGTTTTTTTCTTATTGTTTAGATATCTTTAGTTATTTGTTGCTTTTGTCCTCTTATATTTAGAGTGTAGCTTTGGGATCTTTGTAGTAATTGGCTGGACTGGACCCAGTCCCTACCAGACCAAAATAGTTTAGGGGTGCGATAATTTTATTTTTTGCCAATGCTGGCCGCTTTAGGCCCATATTGGTCGATTTTGAGAACAAAATCATGCCAATCAATGTACAATGGCTTAAGCGAGAATGGTTTTTCTTGCTAATCTCTTAACTTTCGGCAATTTGATAAAGCGAAATGATGTAAAGCTATGCAAATTAGATAAGTCAAATCGAACAGATTCGATCTCTCATTTAGTCTAGACAAGTTTTCGATCCTGCTCAGTAGGTTGAAGCGTCAATATGCATGTTAAGAGCTTCGTAAACTATCGTATGAGTATCTACATGTAAAGCACCTTACTTTTAGTAATGCATAGAAAGGTCTGGTCTTTGGTCCTAGATCTTGATCCTGTGTCCTTTGTCTTGGCCCTCTCGAGCATGTTATTCTCAAACTTCCAGAGAATTCCATTTTCCCTGTAGATAACTTTTGACTGTATTTGAACTGCAACTTTAAATTGCAAAACGTTCATTTTTTCAGCTTTATGCAAATTCCGATAAGAAATAGTTAGTTCACATTTTCTATGCGATAACCTGAAAATAAAACAGAGAGATAGTAGAAATTGAAAAGGAGTGAGATACAACGAATGTTATCTAACCAGATACTACAATTGCTTCTTCAAATGGTGGCTGAGCACACTCAATACACGCATCGCTAACCTTGTTCTGTCAATAACTGCTGTGTGAATCTCTTCAATCTATCTCCATCAACCTTCTATCAAGAACGGTGTAAATCCTGCATATTAATAACACACATATATTTTTCGTACTTAGAATTTATGCGATGCGCCCGATGACCTAACTGTAAGTAAAGCGTTCTTTCACAAGATAGTTTTAACCATATACAGTTGCTATGCCAGGGGAGATCGTAGCAAAGGAATCGAAAGAAGAGACTATAGATTCAACTCTCAACACAGAAAATGAAAAATTGAGCAATATTCTGGGACAAGATCTAGAAAATGTTGAATCCAAATCTGTGGAGAAATGCGATGAGCAGTCAGAAGTAGAAGGTGAGAGCAGCTCCTCAGAAGTTGGCACAAATGTACCTCGAAGTATCAGTTTGTCTACTACAGAGCCAGTCGGATCTGAGATTTCTTCAGGTAAATCCGATATCCCTGAAGTGGGGCAGGCTGTTGACATTATGGATCTTCCAGTTGACCCACAACACCCGAACACCCTTAATGATGTCACTGAAGAAGTCACAGAACCAACTGGTAAAGACGAAACTAAAATAGACACTGAAAGCAAAGTAGATCATAAAGTGCAGATTGATAATGTAGACGCTCACACAGAAAGTCCTGAAGATTCCAAAGCTGTCGTTGAGGCTGAAAAGGATACGAAGGAGATTCTTCCCATCCTCCAAAACCCACCATCTACCTCAGAAAGACTTGATGCATTCTCGGACGATGAGATTCAAATAGACGAGAACCTCTCTTCTGACTCATCTGATTCAGATGCAGATTCAGGCTCATCCTCATCCTCAGATTCAGATTCAGATTCGGATTCCGATTCAGACTCTAATACAGCCTCCGACATTGAAGCTACGCAAGGAGATGACGATGTTAACGACGAAGACGAAGAAACTTCTACTGGCCCTATAAAGTCTAAAAACGAAGTTGCGGACGAAGCCGCTCCTGCGTTACCTCAAGATTATAAGATTCCGGAGAAAGCACCACTTCAACTAATTGGGGAAGTTTCAGGCTTAGTTGAAAGAAGTGTAATCATCAAGGCCAACACATCAGGAGAGTTCCGTGTTTTGAAAGATAATTCAATTCTTTGCTTTAAAGATAGAACTTTACTTGGTCCATTATTTGAAACATTTGGTAGATTACAGTCCCCAGTTTATAGAGTTAAATTCAATACCGAGGAGGAGTTCAATAAGTTCAGCGACAGAAAGGGTGCAGAGGTTTACTATGTTGTACCTGATTCCCAGTTTTTATACACCGACACCATCAAATCATTGAAGGGTACCGATGCAAGTAATTGCCATGATGAAGAATTGCCTGAAGAGGAGCAAGAGTTTTCAGACGACGAAAGAGAGTTAGCTGCTAAGCAATTGAAGAACAAGAAGAGGAAATCTAAGGGAAAGGAAAATGGTACCAGTGATGAAGCAAAGGACCAAACCTCAACCAAATCTAGGAAAAGACATCATGGAAACAACAGTAACAACAATAGCAACACCAATAACAATAATAGCTTAAGCAATAATGGTAGCGATAAAAGTACTAGTCAAAATGCCAATTCTGATGGACCAGATGTGTATCAGCCGTATGGTTACAATGATCCTCCTCCAAGGCCAAATCAACCTCCTAGTACATTGCCAAACACGGTACCCTCTTATCCAAATATTCCACAAAATCCTCTGCTAGTTCACCAGCAAATGTTACAATTCCAACAACAACAGCAAACATATTCGCAGAATACAAATCAGCACAGTCAGTACAATCAATACAATCAGTACAATCCAGCTCAGACGCAAACTTATCCGCAACATCAAGGGTATCAACAGCCATACCAGCAGCCATATCAACAACAGCAACCTTACCAGCAACAAATGGCAAATCCATATTTTCCACAAGGTCAACCAACGTATCAACAATTTCCACAACAACAACAACAACATCAACAATGGAACCAACCTCAAAACGAACAGGCGTCACAAGTCAACCACCAACAATGGAACGACCATCAGACCCAACAACCTGCACAACAATCTCAACTACAACAGTTGCAACAATTACTTGCTAACCAATTACAACAACAACAGCAACAACAACAGCAGCAACAACAAAACCCATACGGTTACCCACCTCCGCGCCAATAGTTTCTTATATATTTAGAAATCTAATTGTACATATTAGTCTTTCCGTTAGATTTATTGTATTATTCTTATCTATACTACTCTATTTACATTCTCGAGCTCCTCTCGATTCTATTTATTTAACATTTCCCAAGCTCTCGATGAAATCTGAAGTGCATGCTTTGGAAATCCTGCCATTTCTGCAACTTCAAGAGCGTATGATCTTTTGCTGATTCCTGGCCTGAGTTTATGATCTAAAATAAATTTACCTTCTCCTCCCTTCACACCTGTTTTGTAATATTTCACTTTTGATTGATCCATGTTGTCTTCGTTAAGCAATTGTTGTAATTCTACTCCGTAATGAGTAGCAAACATGGTACGACATTTGTTAACAGTCAAAAGGCTGACCAAAGCCCCATACGCTATCGACAAGCCTTCCTTTCCACTAGTTCCACGACCTAGTTCATCAACAATCGCCAATGACTTTTCAGTTGCATTTTCTAAGATGTTACTAGTTTCAACCATTTCAACCATAAATGTGCTTAGATCTCTAGAAATGTCGTCAGATGCACCAATTCTGGTAAAAATTCTGTCCACTAAGCCTAACTTACAACTTCTTGCAGGAACATATGATCCAATTTGAGCAAGAATTACGATCAAAGCATTTTGTCTCAAGTAGGTAGACTTTCCTCCCATATTTGGACCAGTGATAACCCACAATCTACTAGATGAAGAGTTAATATTAGTGTCGTTTGGAATAAATAATTCACCAGATTGTTTCAACCCATCTTCTACCACAATATGTCTTCCTTCATTAATATCTAATTTGTTTTCTTTAGCAAATTTTGGTCTGACAAGGTTGCATTCAAGTGCAAGCACGGCAAATGAGGAGGTTACATCTAAGAAGTCAATCTGTCTTCCAATTTCTCTAACATCAACAATTTCATCCAATGCTTCTCTTCTTAATTGCTGGATAATCCTTTCCTCATGCTTGAAAATTTTAAAGAGCACCCGTTCAATCTTTTCCTTTACAGTATGCCATTCATCAGGTTTGATTACCAAGGAAGTTTGTCTTTGTTCCTTGATTTGATCCAGGTCAAACAACGAAATCACATTGCTGAGCGACAGCTCACTGGCTTTCAACTGAATAACATCTAAGTGCTTACCGTGTATTGCTTTTTCCACAATTTTGATTTTGGAGCCAGTGGCTTCAATCTTCAGAACAATTTGACTGAAAATAGTACGTTCCTTTAGTAAAAGCTTGGAATATTCGTCATGTGCATCCTTCAATTCTTTATTGAAGGTCTTCTTAACGGAAAATTGAAATGTAGTAGGAATTGTAGGGGCAGATGACGAAGGGCTCAGCCTTTTCACTTTTTTTGTAAGACGATACTTTTCAATACTCTCATCATACTTTGAAGAAACTACGCCCTTTATATCTTTCGACGAAAGTTGAACTACTACTTCATTTTCTTCATTTAAATTCTCATCATCTTGAAAATGCTCTGTCTCCGGCTCGATCTCGTCCACTTCAAAAGTATTTAATATTCTCTTGGCTAATTGTGAAGGTATTTTTGTTTTTAGGACATCTTCTAGCAAATGTTGATATTTTGGTTGAACCTCAACATGCATCAAGTCAACAATCTCTTCAGCAGTTTGTAAACCAGATGCAATAGATTTCAAATGGGTAGGAGTGTCACCTACATTTAAAGATAATCTTTGAATTGATCTCACAAAATCATCCATAGCTGATAACTTTTCTCGAAGCTTTAGTCTTAAAATGACATTCAGCTCAAATGATTCTACAAAATCTTGTCTCCTTACCAATTCATTTTTCTCTAGTATGGGTGCATTTATCCACTGCCTAAGCATTCTAGTACCCGAGTCAGTCATGGTTCTTCGAATTGTTGAAAACAATGTACTCGCAGTGCTATTGGAAGCGACAACTCTTGTATTTAATTCCAATGCTTCTCGTGTACGTGGGTCCATTTTTAGCACTTTATTGCTCCAATGCTCACGGGGGAAATCAAATACTGGCTTGCTCTCAGGTAAGTTAGTGGCTATGTACGAGAGTATCATATGCGAGGCCGCTATTTGTTTCTTTGTTAAATTATCTAAGCTTCTGACTAGCGATTTTCTGTTCATATCAAAATGAGTTTCTGCTAAACTCAACATAGTTTCGGTGTATTCTTTTTGGAATCGAACGAAAAATCTATTCAAATCTTTCAACCAAGAATGCTCCTTTAGGTAAGGATTCTTCTGTAAGCTCTTCGGTAGTATAATCTCGCTTGGGTTGATCCTGGTGATATCTGACATTAACTCTCTTAAAGTTGTTTGCTGAACATTAAACTCTCCCAATGAAACATCACACCAAGCCAAACCAACCTCTAGTTCAGGGTCTAGTTCTATATATTTGGAATCTCCAATTCCACCAGCTGCTCCCGATATTTGTGGAGGTAAGGATATGGAGAGTAAATAATTGTTTTGATTGAAATTCATAAAAGATTCATCTATAAGTGTCCCCGGAGAGACTATACGAGAAACTCTTCGAAGCAACGGCATACCACTTATTGCACCTTCGGCTGTAGATCCATTTCCAGCATCTATTTGATCTACGATGGCAACATTTTCACCAAGGTCATGTACTAAAATCTTGACATACTTCTCTAATTGGTAAACTGGAAATCCAGCCATAGGAACTTGGAAATTTTTTGTAGTTCGAAGGGCCACTTTTATGCCTAGCTTAGGTCCATATTCTTCTGCTTGATGGAAATATAGTTCATAGAACGAACCAACTTGAACCAAACTAACGCAATCAGAGTTTTCATTGACTATTTTCCTTATTGCTTCTTGCAATGGGGTCAATGAGTTATCATCTGTTCTTCCACCTCTATCCCAAGATTCGCTCTCTTCTAAATTCGTTGGCTCGGTAATTTCCACAGCTACAGATGCTTTAGATTTCGCCTTCGATTTAGTCTTTTTGGTTGATTTCAGTATGGGTTTCAATTGTGTTTTGAAGTCATTCCTACCTTCTTCATCTACTGGTACGAAGCTGTTGTTCTTAATCTCGTTTTGAAGCGAGTTTAGCTTACTGCTTGAGCTTGCAGCACGAGTCCTGTGCCCAAATGGAAGCAATCTCACCTTTGGGAAACATCTGGATACCAATGAGCTTCCCTTCAAGCTGATATTAGCAGCATGAACCAACATACTACCAGATCTGATTAATATCATACATCCAGATGTCATTACTTTCGAGTATCAGGTAATAGGATCGACCGTAAGCTAACGGTCTATCTCTGATCTTGTATCCAGATATTTCAGTTACATGCAGGTTCAATGTTTTCCTTAGAGGGGACGCGATGTTGATCTGAGCGATGGGCTAGGTGCTAGGCAAAGGAAATAAAGGACAGAAACACAGAACTGTTCATATTTCAACAGGGAGGAAGCTAAGAGTGAGCAGCGATTACGAATTTAAGTTTAATATTAGAATTGTATATTACTATATTACATTAATTTCTCAAGTTACCCATTTACTTGTTGAATCATCTTAGTTCAACCAACCCTTGCAACTTGGAGCCCCACATAAACATCTAATTCTCTCCTCATCGTTTGTTTCCCTCTCAAACTTATAGTCGTAAGTCAACTCCTCGTTTGCGTTGATGTCTCTCAAAGCATAGATGACAATACGTTTCTTTCCCTCTACCTTAATAATCTTAGCTGTACAACTAGGCTCACAACAATGATTGATAAATCTAGCGATACCACCTTTCTTAGTAGCATCAATGACGGTATTCTCATCAATTCTGAAAAGGTACGAGGAACCAATACCTGTTTTCAAATAGCTCTTTTCACGGTGTTCTGCAACTTGCTGTCTAATAGATTCACCCACATATTCTATAATCATTTCCTTGGCAGCAATAGGTTCAAGGGCGTACAATCCCCAATTATGAATAGCAGATCTAGCAAAAGAAACTGGTTTCTTTCTTTTGGTCAAGGCATTAAGATTTAAAATATCAGTTTCACTTCCCAACATTTGCTTTTGAGCACTAATATCAGCGACAAATCTTCTATTGTTTGCTCTATTCACACGAGAACTTTGCAATAATGAACCATCACCTGGAGTATCGTTGTTACTATTGTTGCTGGCACCACTATTGCCCATTCTGTTTCCATTTAGGTCATCATCGTCGCCATTAGAATTTCCGTTTATCTTGCTATCATCATTAGTACTAGTACTATCGTTTCCGTTATTGTTGTCCTTTTCATTGATATTTGCATTACCACTATTGTCATCAGTACCATTACTTAGACCATTCAATTTCTCCATATACCTATTATATTCATCTAAATCTTCGGCATCAGAATCATCTTCATGTTGAATAGTTTTTATTGGCTTGTTTATCTTACGCCTATGAGGAAGGTACTCAATTTTAAGTGCGTCAGGAATTTTATGAAAGCCTTCGCTTTTGAAGCATCCAGATAAGTTTTGAAGTTTGGTGTCCATTAAATCAATATTGCTATTGATACTGGCAAGCTTTAATGTTGCCTTTCTTTCTTCCTTTTGCTTCCAAGCCCAATATTCAATATTCAGTATATTCTTTGCTGCTGGCGTGTCTTGAAGGACTTTCAAAGCCAATCGTATATCTTCAGAGTCTCTGAGGATGTGGTGAAGATTGTTTAATTCTATGGCATTAGTAGGATATTCTTCGAAGACTGTCCTTGGATAATCCAAAGTTGGTTTATAATTTTCTTTGAATCCGGAATAATCAATTTCTTCTTCTTCTTCTTCGTCTTCTTCTTCTTCTTCATCTTGTTCATCTTCATCTTCAATTTCGAATTCCCCAGCTTCCTCGACTTCTTCTTCCAATTCATTTCCTTCTTCAAGGTCTTGGGTTTCTTCACTTTCTTTCTCATCGCCATAGAGGACACTTTCCATTTTCTTAGATTTTTTCTTGATAGTTGCCTCGATGGGTCCTTCATCTAAGGTTCTCTTTAAGGAAATTGTTGGAGTCGAGGATCTACTCATTTCTTCCTCATCAGAATTATCAGAATCATTAGCATAATTAAGGGCATGCTGCATAGGAATAATTGCTTTCTTCATCCTCTTGGAATCAAGTAGTTTCTTTCTGAAGGATGGTAATAAGGGAACTTGCTTTTTTTGAACAGGTTTCTTCTTTTGAACTTGAGGCAACTTCGCAGCTGCAGCAGCAGCCAATTCATCCTTTCTCTTCTGTTCCAAATCCTTCTTAATCCTTTCTTCCTCTTTCAATTTTGTCATATATACAGGGTATTTATCCGGATTCAAGGAATCGAAGACGGCTGGAGCAATAATTCTTTCACGAATATCCTTAGTTAGGAATGCCTGAAATTCTTTAATTAAGATATTACTTGCCTCTTCAACGACATCACGCTCCAACTCAAATTTACTATCATCTACCTCATTATGACCCCCCTCTTCATCTTTCCAGCCTTCAGGAACGCATAATTCCATAAATAACTGATACTCATAAAATCTTCTGCCATCTTCGTTGTTGAAACAATTTTCACATTCATTAATCGAATTGAAGACTATATAGAAACCAGTCTTGTCGGATAAAACTCTAGTCCAATCATACTTGTTGAATGTTTTTTTAATATCTTGTGCAAGTATTTTCTTTGCAGGGGCATACTTATCGTGGATAAGAATATAGGGCCGGTCTTTGATATATTTGTTGAGGTCTTTCGGCATAAAGCAATTGGACAATACTTTATTATTGTTTCGAATGGATAAAATGGTCATGTTTGACTTAATATGCAATTTCTTGGAAGATGCACCTAGAGCTGAAGCCTTTTCCGCATCTAACTTAATTTGCTTTGCCTTGGCTCTCTCTTGTTCCAATTGCCTTTGTTTTTCTTTGTCAGCGATTGCCTTGGCCTCTGACCTCTTCTTTTCTTCCAATCTTCTCTGATCTTCTATTAATCTTCTCCTTGCATCCTCCAACTTCCTCGTCTCTATGCTGAGCTTCTTTTTAAGCAAATCTTCATCGTTAAGGGCAATCTTCAAATCCACTCCGTCAATTTTAATATTTCTGCTATTCACCAAAGATATTAAGTTCTTAGCTAATTTCAGAGCTTTCTCTAAAGTACCTTGGAACTTGAATGTGACTATACCCAACGGCACAGCGTTGACAGGATCGTTGAAAATCTTTAGATCCTGTATGGGACTGCCTCCATGACTTTTGAAAAAGTTCACCAAATACACCTCGCTGACTGTAGATGGTAAGTCCCATACCAAGAGCTCAGTTACTGGTGGAGGACCGATAGAATCCTTGTCATATATAAACCTGGCCTGAGGTAATTGTTTAAATGGGAACTTCTTAGACCTCTTGTTGGGCTTTGTAAGATAGGTTGAAGCCAACTTCACAGATTTTCTTGGGTCTTCTACTGTCAAGGTCAAGTCATCACCACCGTTGACTCTGAACTTCTTTTGCTTAGTTTTCTTCTCTTCTTTGGATAATGTCTTGTCAAACTCAGGGTCATATATAACCTTGAAGGTCTTCCTAGGATCCACGGGTCTGCTCCTAGGAGCTATTAGAGAAGTGAAGTCTGAATGATGTGAAAGCTTGAAGAAGTTCTCATCGTGTGGGTTTATCCCCGTTATGGGGTTGGATCCCGATAAGTCTTTCTTTACTGGTGGCCGAGACAGCTGCTGCTTACTAGAAGCTGAAGAAGACGACGATGGTCCCGAAGGGAAATGTCTACCGTTCGACTCTCGGTTTCCACTCGCACTTCCGCTTCCAACTCCATTTCTATTCCCACCGTGCTTCTGTCGACTATCTTTCCCTCCATAGTAGCCCAGGTATCCTCCTCCTCTTCCCTTGTAACCATATTTAGATTTGTAAGGATGATATGAAGACATGATGCAAAAAACAGAAAAGAGATGAACGATACCAATAAAATAAAATAAACTAGATGCAAATACGAATTAAATATGTAAGTAAAATTCCACTCTACTGTTCCCCTTCAAACCTCTTCCTATGTACAAAACGAAGGAAAACAAATACAAAAAAGGGTTCCTCCAAACCTGCTGTCCACTTCAGCGAACGATAGAACAAATATACTGTTCAACTATCTACTCTAATGGGACGGTAATGAATGTATTCTCGACTAGAAGTAGATCAGTATTTTTTTCGGTTTTTCGTTTTTGGCGTCCTTGTGAGATAAACATGGTTGGACTATATACAGGATTATATACAAGGGAGGTGAGAGAAAGCCGTTTGGCAGTTTCATGGTGCACTGGGGTTGGCAAGCATACGGTACGTTACAGAAAGTAGATTATTAGCAGGTTTTTGAAAAAAAAAAGCAGCGTTGTTTAATTTCTAAATAGTGTACATTACGTATAAAAATTTCTTTATATCAGATTTTGTATAAAGATGGTGGATTGGAAAGAGAGAGGGGGATGCTCTAGGAACAAATGGGGGAACATTGGGTACTGGTGTATTTTCATGCTGGTATGGATTCCATTTTTTTTTTTTATATTTTGGATTTTACAAGTGCATGTCCCCTCCTCACAATGGATGAGTAAAATGAATTGATGATGGAACTAGGAACTAGCAGATTTACTTGGTTCTAATGTGCTTTAATGGTCCAGCAACATGGTAAAAGTTGGCAGAATACTCTTTCTTTCTGAAGTGCTTCTGTTTTGGTTCTTGAACGTAGTGGTCCCAACCTTGACCTTGAGCAAATTTGATTGCGGCATCTTTATTGTCAAACTTCATGATAGTACCTTGCATGTAGTCTGCGGTTCCCTGGTAACCAATTAAGTCGTTTTCCCATCTGTTGCCAGCACCTAAGACGTCCCAGTCCAATTTCCAGTGGTCTCCGTTGTGATGACTGGATTGGGTGGCAGGCTTGGCTTCCTTGTAGATTCTCACCACTCTTTTAGTGACTAAATCTGATGGAGCTCCAGACACTATTTCCTTTGGGATCTGAGCTTGCGAAATGGCGGCGGATGGTACGGTTTTTTGCAATATTGGGGTTAATGTCGAGAAACGACGAACCAATGGGGTTCTAAGAATGGAAGACATGTCTATATTGATGGCACGGTTAACAGTATAAGAACACACTAGCATTGATTCCATGCCAGTTCTAAATTTTTTACACTCAACTTTTTCGCGTGTAAGTGCAAATTGTGGAATTCTGGTTGGTTGGGGGAACGTAGCGATTACCCGGATATCTTGAATGTATGTGCAGGATACTTTTTCAGAATGGGTTTGGTGGTTAACCTTAAACTAAGTGTAGTCACGTAGGTATGAGTAGGTATAGTCCTATCGGAAAGAGTTGTGTGTAGATAGATTGTAGTAGTTCTCAGAAAACATGTCGCTTCAAGTCACACAGTCAATCAAAGACATAATACCGACGTGTCCCGACCCCATACCACCGCAGCTCATATCTCATATTGACTCTTTGTACAAGATAAGTCTTCAGAAGATTCCCAATCTACCCAATAAATCGGAAATTGCAAGGTATCATATATGTACGTACTTTGCGATTGAAAAGCTACAAGACAAATTGGATTTGCCAGGTCCATTGAAAGATAAGATTCCTGTATCCCCAAGGCATTTGAACAGAGTTCTTGATGATTTTAGGGAGAATGTGCTAGGCATGGCCAGAGAGAACTTAACGCCAGTTGGGACGCCCAAGAAGAATCGCCAACAACAACAACTGCTGGCTGGACCTGGAACCCCGTCGAGGAATACACCCAAGATATCATCACCATTAAAAAAGCTACAACAGCTCAAAGAAGATTTGCAAACCCCACAAAAAAAGATGAAGATCGAATTCAAGGACATTGAATCTCCATTCAACCCTACACCTCAAGCAAATAAGAGGGCCGAGAGTCCTTCAGTTAATAGTAGTCCATTTAAAAGTAAAAGATTGGTAACGATACCAGAGCTTATAGCATTTGCTAACCATTTCTTTATCCCTGCCTCTGTCACCCCAAATATTATCGTTTCTTATAGTAACCTTCGAAGCAAGTTTGCAAAGAAGAATGAATGGTTACTTGCATGTGGTATGATCCATACAGTGTATATGAGGATCAACCATCAAATCATGAATAAGAAAATAGGATCCAAAGCACAATTTGAGGATCAAATCTTCCAGTACCAGAAGGGAGGACTTATGAAGTGGAATGTACTTGTTTGGTGTACTATTGTTGCAGATATGTTGAAGAACGAAATATGGTTGATTGAATTGGAAAGGAATTACTCTTCCAACAGGTTGCATTATGTTAATTTGATGCAACAGGAAAAGGAAGAGAGGTGTAAGTTTGGGATCGAGGTTCACTTGAGGCGATTTGGGGCAATGATCGATCCGTCAGTTAAGTTCACCTCGGCATTACAGCAGGAATACTATGACGTGTGGACGGATAAAGTGAAGGAGAGGATTTCGAAAGAAGAAGAAAAACGGGCTAACAAACGAACCATTGAAGAAGCCACCAGATAACCAATAGATACAGAGAGTGAGCGAGGAGTGATTGGTGCGACAGCTTTTTTTCCTGCGCCTTTTGCTCTTCCAACTATTTCACAAACTGCTCCCTTATCGTTTGCATGAGCTTTACTAGCATATTGCTTCTACTACTTCTCAGCACACCCATGCATCAAGACTGCTAGTATAAACGGTCATCAGACCAAGGATAGTCATAGACATTAATACATACACACTTTTTAGGTTATTTTCTCAGTGCAACTGTTTCAAGTATTGCTACCCGAGCACTTTTCTGTTCTTTTTATTTCCACTCGATCTATATAATTTTACCCACCTTCTTCTATCTTACTCGTCAAGGACCCTGTGGTTTCCGTCTGATCTCATGATATTTTTGCAGCTATCGCTTTAACCTGCACAGTAGTTTTTCACAACTGCGAGTTTGCGTTTGCGGTGCTTGAGAAGAGCTTGAAAAAAAGCTGCCTAGTAGGTTGAAAAGTTTTAGATTTAGGTGTAGATTTCACTTATAGAGCCAAGTTTGACTCTTTTATAGCTCGATTTAGTATTCTGCTTTGTAGTTGTTATCCAGAAACGATTTTCAGAGAAAAAAACTTCGAGTTCATTAAGAAAAATGGGGGAGAAAAGAAGACTTTCAGAAGAGGAAACTGGAACCTCCAACAAGAGACTCGAACAGGACGTTGAAGCTCTCTCAGACTCAGGGGAGTTTGAAGTTTCTTCTTCCTATGAATCTTCGGATGAACAGATATTTGATACTTCGATGGTCTCGGGCGCAGGAGGTGCAGGGGGAAGACAGTTGACTCCAACTGGAAACAACCAATGGCAAGAGACCATCACTAAGGTTGTGAAGTCCGTGGTGTCGATTCAGTTCACTCATGTCACAACTTTCGATACAGAATCAGCACTAGTAAGTGAAGCCACAGGGTTTGTGGTTGACGCAGAAAGAGGATTAATCTTAACAAATAGACATGTTGTCGGACCGGGCCCATTCTGTGGGTACGCAGTTTTTGATAACCACGAAGAGGCCGTGTTGAAGCCGATATATAGAGACCCAATCCATGATTTCGGATTCTTGCAGTTTGATCCTAAAGATATCAAGTACATGGAAGTCTCACAGCTAGAATTAAGGCCGAATTATGCCCAAGTTGGTACTGAAATCAGAGTCGTGGGTAACGATAATGGTGAAAAGTTGTCCATCTTGGCTGGTTTCATTTCAAGATTGGACAGAAACGCTCCAGACTATGGTATGCACACTTACAATGATTTCAATACAGAATATATCCAGGCAGCTGCTAGTGCTTCAGGGGGCTCTTCTGGTTCTCCTGTGGTTAACATGGATGGGTATGCAATTGCTCTCGAAGCTGGTGGCTCCTCTGAGGCATCTACTGATTTTTTCTTACCAATCTATAGACCATTAAGAGCATTACAATGCATTCAAGAGGGTAAGCCGATCACCAGAGGTGACATACAAGTGGAATGGCAAATGAAACCATTTGACGAGTGTAGGAGATTGGGGTTGAGCTCAGATGCTGAAGCAAACGCAAGAAAGGCATTTCCTACAAAGATTGGTTTGCTTGTAGCAGAAATTGTCCTCCTGGAAGGACCAGCTGCTCCTCTGGAGGACAATTACCTTATTAAGGAAGGTGACATCTTAATTTCAATTAATGATGAACCGATTGCTACGCATGTGAGAGTAGATGAAATCTTAGATGAAAACGTTGGTAAGGAATTGAAGTTTACATTACAAAGGGGTAGTGGCGAATATTTCCATCAATTGATCACTATTGGAGATTTACACAAAATTACACCTTCAAGATATGTTGAAGTTGGTGGTGCTTGCTTCAACGATTTATCATATCAAATTGCCAGAAATAATTGCATTCCAGTTCGCGGAGTTTATATCAATGACCCATCTGGATCCTTTGAGCTTAATGTCAGCGACAGCGGGATGTATATGCTATTATCTATAGATGACATTCCTACTCCAGATTTGGATACCTTCATCCAAGTTATGAAGACCATTCCAGATCGTAAGAGAGTTTCCATATGTTTTAGAGATGTAGCTGGTGTATATGGTGAAACTATCCAAGTTATTTATCTCGATAGACATTGGAACACTACTTTCAGGTTGTCCCAAAGAAACGATAGTACCGGATTGTGGGACTTCACTGACCTCTTGGGCAAAGACGAAGAATTGCCAAAATTACCAGCACCAGAACCTCAAAACGCCAGATTTATAGATATCCCATTTGAAGAAGGTGATGGCGAAAGTACTCCTGTCAGTCTTGCTAAAAAGGGTAATTGCTCGAAGTTGTCAAGATCATTTGCTCAAATTAGAGTTATTGCTCCTATTCCATTAGACTCATATTCTCATATGAAGGAAAGAGGGTATGGTATTGTAATTGACGCTGAACACGGATATGTATTAGTGTCACGTAAATTCGTCCCTCATGATATGTGTGATATAATAATAACCTTTGCAGAATCTATAGAAGTGGCTGCAGAGGTTGTTTTCTTGCACCCTCACCAAAATTATGCCATTATAAAGTATGATCCACTGTTGGTATTGGCTGACGTTAGAACCCCTGAATTCAGCGACAAACCATTGAAAAGAGGTGAGAGAGCATTATTTGTTGGATATAATTATCATTTCAGACTTGTCACTGACGACGTTAAGATTAGTGCTATTGCATCCTACAATATTCCTGGGGGATTATATCCTGCCCGTTACAGAGGGACCAACTTAGAGTGTGTAGTTTTGGATACAAAGATATGTCAAGATTGTGACACTGCTATTATCACGGACTACGATGGAAAGATCAGGTCCTTCTGGTTAACTTATATGGGAGAGGAAGGCGCCTGCGAAAATGGTGGTGATAGATTATACCACATGGGACTTGATGTAACAGATGTATTACCAATCATAAGAGGTTTGCAACAGAATAACAAATTACCTATGAGAAAGAGTTTGAGAATTTTGGATGCTGAATTCTCGGCTATTACAGTAAGCCAGGGTAGAACTAGAGGAGTTCCAATGGATTGGATTTCCAAATTTGAAGGAGAATGTCAAGATGAAATTAAATTTTTCAATGTCAGTAAGCTTATAGCACCCCCACAACCACTTTCTTCCAAATTGTCAAAGGTGAACCAGTTTAAAATAGGTGATATCGTTTTATCAGTCAATGACAAGCTAGTTACATCAATGAGAGATCTTTACGTTATGTATGATCAAGAATTTTTGAATTTCAAGGTCATAAGAGAGAAAAAGGAGCATGATCTTGTCGTATCAACCATTGATACCGACCATTTGAACACTTCACAAGTTGTTGGATGGTGTGGTATGATCTTACAAGAACCACATTATGCAGTTCACCAAACATTAACAAAGTTGCCTTCCAAAGTGTATATAACCACAAGACTGCCTGGTGGTCCAGCAGCTGCATATCAAATATCAAGTTACAGATTTATTACTCATGTCAATGATCAAGAAACAAAGGATTTGGAGACTTTCTTGAATGTCGTAAAGTCAATTCCTGACAGCACTTACGTTAAGCTCAGATTAGTTTACGACAATATTCCTGAAGCATTATCATTGAAAACAAATTATCATTATTTCCCAACCGGTGAATTCAAGAAAGACCATACTGGTAAATGGGTTGAGGTTGACCATGAAAAGATTACTGAAGATCAACACTGAAATTGAAATCAAAATGAAAAGCTCTTTAATAGATGGAATATATAGATCATTACTAGTACATTTGACGCTTACACAGTAATCAATAAAAGAACATTTCTGTAGGATTTTGGGAGAAAAGGTTGAAAGTACAGTACGACTTTTTTAAAATTTAGTCCTTACTAGGAGATATTTAATGTAATACCGAATTTCTTTTCGAAAAAACCAATCGTCTTTCCAAAGATTTAGCTCTCTTACAACTGCCGATTTCAACAACCATTGTATCAGCCTATCCAAGCTTGCAAACCTCTGGAAGATGAGGAAGTATTTAGTTTCTTCAATATCCTAGTACTGAACAGAAACAATGTCTGCAAGAACCGCAAAAGAATAGCACATCTAAAGTTCAACTCATCATTTCTTTTTCGCTAATTCTACATTTTTCCTGATATTATTACGTTTAGTTACACTTTATTGATTTCTATGTACAGATTAAAACATGACGGTGAACAGAAAGTTCCTATATTATATGCGTGTGGCTAATTGTTTTTTCGTCAACTTTGCGAGATGACCCCCCTTGGTGGTAACTTTAGAAAATCCGTCTAATCCTCCCAAAGTTCTTTGACTCCAACCACCGTTACCGTGGTTTCTGCTCGCAGATTTTCTCTTTATTCCTGTACCAGTGATGATAAAACGCTTTACAGCACCCTTGTGAGATTTCATTTTATTTCTGACTTGCATCATTGGCGAAGCCATAGCTTGCTGCCTAATAAAAGCTACCTTCAATGTGGATACGATGGAGCCAAACATGATTCACGACGGGTGTAGCAGACTACTAATTCATTCAATTTAAGCATCTGATTTTTCACATTTTGCAAGTTTTTTGAGTTTTTCATGTTAGCGAGAAAAGTGAAAAACGGACTGCACACGACCTACGATATGCCTATAGATAAACGCTAGTGGGGGCCCTTAGTCGTCCTCTTCACTGGTGGAATAGTCATCGATACCAGGTAGAATGCTGGCTTTCTTAGGTTCTACTGGCTTTTCTTCTTGTTGAGTACGTTTTTCCCGATTTTGAAATTTTTTGGCCTCTGGAAGTCGCTTTTTCCTTATTTTTATAATGCTTTCATCTCCATTAAGAATTGCTTCAGTAGCAGTTGCAGCAACCTTTTGGGTCAATGGGACAGTTGCAGAAAGAGGTGCCTCATCACTCCCGCTTCCTTTCCTCTGTGCTTTTGCTTTCGCTTTCTGAATTCTGAACCTCTCAACTTCAAGTTTTTCGAAGTCTTTGTCCCTTGACTCCTTCGCCATCTCTCTTTCTTTCAACTCATTGTAGAACTGGGCAGATTTCTCGTCAAGCTTGTATGAGGAGTTTCTAGAGGAAACAAGCTGAGAGAATTTTTCACTTTTTTGGGCTATTGCTGAGTTAGTATGGTGCTATAGCATTGACTGACACTAAGGAGAGGATAATTTTTCAAATATTCTGGAGAAAATGATACAATACATACCTCTACTTTCCTGGAGCTGTTCATATAAAGTTTTCCTTTCGGATTCGTCTTCTTCCGCAATTTGATTAGCCACAACTTCTCTTTCCTTCAAGATTTGAGACTGAACTTCAGCATCGCCTTGAGAATTCTCTTTTACAAAGTCGGGCATCTTTAGGGAATAGGGCGGGCTGTCTGGCTGTCTACGTGAGATGAGCCTATAGCTGAACTCACATATTTATCTTTGGTTTGTTTCTGCACTGAAAAATTACGTCATCGCGTATTCAGATACGGTCAAAATAGATGGGTGCAAAAATTGTCAACTACATTATTATTAAGTACATATTGAGTTCTTCTTAGCTCGTGTTATATCTCTAAGTTGTATTATGGGAAAAGCATCTTGGCTCATCGAAAACAGGATAGAAGTTGTCCTCTAGCACAAATCAGAATACATGGGCGCAAATACCGTCAGCTACATTATCATTAAATATACAGTAACAAGTGCTTCTCGTTTATTTTTTTTGTCTAAACTAATAGTCCGTCATCTCCATGTTATATTCCAAGCTTACACATTTTGGGAAAAGTATCTTGGTTCATCGAAAACATGGTAGAAATGTCCCCTAACACCATCACCTTTAAACAATGAGGGGAATCTTAAGCCTTCTTCAATTTCATTCTCGTGAACAAAATTGTTCCCGTACAATCTCTGATCGTTAACATCAATTTCCCTTTCATGGCCCTCCAATAACTTGAATTTGGCGATTTGCAATTCAGTATCCGTGATTGTGGATCTAGAAATTCTGGCGTAACCGACTTTCTTCAACTCTCTGAAGAGAATGTATTCACACCATCTATCCCAATCTGTGCTGTCAATATCATGCATTCTTGACTTCTCACTGACATATGTGTTATAATTGCCTACCAAAGGTTCAGTTACTAAGTAACTTAATAAGACCAATGGCCTAGTAGAAGAAGCCATAATTTCCTGAATACCCAAAGATTGTAACCTACGATCTTCAACGTCTTCTTCCTGACCAGAGTGGAAAACAACAACATCCACCAATTCTCCGTACACATCCAAGGTAGCATGAATAGCAGGGGCTAATTCTCCAACAGGGGAAGGTAAAAGGTGGTGTGTAGAATTAATAATGGGGAACTTAGATAATAATGCTGCACCCCATGTATGCTTGTTTGGACCTGGACCATAATCAGCATACATTCCCAACTCTTCAGCAATTTTTTGAGTAAAGTCTCTGTTTCCTCCAATAAGTCTCTGAGTGTCCAGTTCCAAAAGTCCGATAACGTCTACTTGTGCATCTCTTATTAAATCTCTCATTCTAGTTTCTGAAGACCACATATCGTTGTCCAAGCCGAAATGAACACACCAAATACCAGTAGTGAATGATTTAGTGGAAGCATTGTATGGTTCAAATGGTTGTGTTGGGGTACGCTTAAATTGGATAGCAACTGATAATGAAAGAAGAATAGATAATACCGTCAAAGTTTGCCTGAATGTGGTAGCGGTGGCTTTAGTAATCTTAGTAGCGACGGAGGACTTTAACTTGTAGTTCAAGACCCCGACTAAAATCATTCCATAGGAGGTACCCAAGACAATATCTGTTCTTTCTCTGAGGACCCAACCAGCGGGGACAAAAGCATATGCAACAATCCAAATGGATGCCAACGAAACTAAAATATCTAATAAAAATGTCAATGAGAAAAGTAATCCTGGATTGTAACCGGCAATTGATTTCCAGATTACGGGCGCAATGGATGCCAAGTAGGTGGTGTAAACACAAGCGCCACCATATCCAATCCAATCGGGGTATTTATATAAAGTGAATGCAGAAATACCTCCCAAGATCTGGTAAACAGAAGAAGACGTAATTGATGGATTAAATTTAATGGCTATAAGCAAACCAATCATGATCGATCCAATATTGAAAAGAGCTCCAGAAACTGGAGTTGGTCCATTAATTGGATATCCTTCCCATGACCAGAGGGCCAAAGTGGAAGAATCACTAAGGAATGAATGAATGGAAAAGAAATAGCCTGCAAAACCAATTGCGGCAAGGAAGATTGATCCACCGCTGTTAATCGCCTTAGTACTTCCAATTGAAGACGACGAATTGAAAGTACCAGGAGTTAAGAAAGCAGCAGCCAAGCCAACGAAAATACCAACAGCATTCCATCCTCCATTTTCAGAGTGCATAATGGGCCAAATAGGATTATTGGAATAGCATAAAAATTTGAAAACAGATGTAGCAAGTAGTCCCAGTACGAACAGAATTGCATAAGATTCGAACTTTTTAGGTTTACTTTGGAATGAATGGAATTCACTTACCAACGCAATTACCGCAAATGCTGTTCCAACAGTAATGATAGCCAATCTTTGCTCTGGTTCTTCAACTTTATAAGCACCAACACCACCCAAGACACTTAATGATCTAGCGATAAATGGAAATCTACCGAAGAAGCGTCTTAAAGGTGGGATAGTGAGGAAAAGAGGGGCAACGAAAACTATCGCAACTACAGCTTCGTAACCTGAGAGGCCCAATAGCCATAAGGGGAAGTACCACACACAAAGAAGAAGGGAGGTTAACACAGTCCAAAACATGTAGGAATTTACAACATTGATAAAGAATTCAACCAAAGTAAATTCATCATCAGCGGAGGAGGAGGAAGAGGCAGCAGCTACGACTGTCTTCTTAGCCACCTTCTTTTTATTTAAGGTAACACCATTTCCAGTTAAGTGGATTTCCAAGTCCTTGAACTCAATGACACTCCAAGAATCAAAGGCAACGTCCAACAAGATCAAGGCCCATTCGAAAAAGGCGTATATTGAGTAGGCGCCGGCTCGGACGTGGACTTTGTGTTGGATAAACCAGTACACCAAAGGAACCAAAGTAGCGAAGAAGAGAGAACTAGTCAATGATCTGCCCAATTTAATGGTACTACCTTTAGGCAGTGCTAGCGAAATTGTAACCGTCCATGGAATGGTCAACACTATGTATGCAATCATAAAAATATCGTGCCAGTCGTGATCATCAGTGGAGGTGATATAAACCCAACCACCACAAGTGAACGTTCTCACAATTCCAGAAATTAAGGCAATGTGTGATTTGATTGGAATCTTGTCGTTTTTCTTGTTGCTTTCCAAACTTTTAAGAAAGTTGATGAAGATCAACAAAAACCTGGGGCCCGAGGTTAAAGCTATGAAGATCTGGAAGATCGATCTTTCGGGGTATCTGTCACCAATTGTCGCAGACACTGATGGGAACCATTCCTCTGGGTAGCCAAAGGATGCATTCTCCACGATCTTTTCGTAGTGCAAGTAGCATCCAACTATAAGGGCAGATATAAACGCAGTGTAGGCTGTAGTTGCGTGAGCGTAAGCCACAAGGCTCGCGTTGAATGAGACTATGCTCGAAGGAGGAACAGCAGCAGCTGGTTCCACTTCCTTCTGGACCGCAAGATGTGGCGAGGACTTCTTTTTACTAATTGGCATACTGCAATTGAGGAAAAAGAACCGGCTGAAACAAATAAGTGGATAAAGTAGATGATAAATCAACCTATCGTGTATTCAACTTCTACGTAATTTTTTTTTTTGTTGACACCAAATACGAAAACTGAAAAATTACTGAAGGTTCACGAGGTTCATTACCAATGGGGAAATTGAACGCTAGGTGAAACTACTGGTGTGAGGTATGGTACAGTGCGAACGTAGATTCAGGCACCTGGTTGGCCTAGCAAGTGCGAGGTTGCCGAGAGATCCACGAAAAGACTGCGAGCCAGAAAGCCCATTGTGCCTTGTAGGCTCTGGAGCAGCAGGTAAATTGCACCCAAAGAGCCAGCTTCATGGGGCTGTAGCGGCTGTACGTGAAAATGCACTTTAGGTGAGAATGGGCTGTAGCTGTAGGTGAGAGAATACTGTAACTGTAGGTGAGGAAGTGTAGAAGTGTGGAGTGGGATGGGCAGGTGAGAAGTGAGAGGTGATATGTGATAGGTCAGAGGTGAGACGAGCTCAGCAGAACCAGTATCAATATGATCCTGTGCTCTCTACTCCATACCGTGCAACCACTGCTCCTCCTAACCACAGGGACCAGGTCTGCCTAGGCTGTCTATCTACCTGATTGTTGCATCCTGCATGTGCGACTCCAATTTCAATTTTTTCAACTGCCATGGAGGTCGTGCACCGCGGCCAATTGGTTATCCAGTAAAAATTTGTCTTTTGGCACTTACATCAAATGAAACAGAGGTGGAACACACATCAACCTTAGGTGACAGAAAGCAAGAAGACAAAATGGGTAAGTAGGCGCAGAGAAGATCGCAAAGACATACGAGATGAGAAGCAACAGAAAAAGTGCGACTTTTGACGGTTAAAAGTGTGCAGTGGTCTGTATTACCCTTGTGGTACGCCTAGTGTTGTTAGTATTGATATTTTCATTATCACTATGATCATCATTATTGTCATTATTGATCTTTATTTTTTATTTTTACTTTCATTGGTTTCCATCCACATACTAACCTAGCAGCCTTAACTGATTACTCAAACCATCAAAGACACGAACTTGTCTCCTTCGATGACATTGACTACTCAAACTTTGCAGATGTAGAAAAGGCCAGGGACTCCATGTTGAGAGAACAATGGATCAGAACTCAATCCTTGAGAGTCACACATGAAGCTTTGAGAAAGTGTAACTTATATCATGAACAAGATGCACAAAAGAACTGCAGACCATTGGTATTGAAGTATATGAAGATGATCGAAAGTTACGGAGTGCAAGGTTACTTGGGCTACCAAAAGAACGATCCATCTAAATAAGTGCATTAGACCGGAAATGGACATGGGGAGTGGAGAGATCAAAGTACCGGACCGGATGGTGAACGGTGACTTGCGGAGGCCGATTTTAGAGGAGAAGTCTCCTACTGAAAGGAATACCGTAGTAGGTAGACAGCATATCTTGCCACTGAGTGGATGTAGTGTAATATAAACGCATAGAAAATGAAACAAATACATAAATGAAATAAACATAGAAAGTTTGAACGGAAGGAGAGAATTCTTTAGTAGCATTGGCTCGACTATAGAGAGATGAGCCGTGAAGTGTGAGAGGTGAAACATGAAACAGTCTAAGCGTAGACAAACGGGAATATACCTCGGAGGGATGGAATATCCTTGCAGCTATGAAACACCGGCTGTACCACCCAGCAATGCCATCTTTATCTCTCTAGTGTTATCATCTCTCTCTCTCTCTCTCTCTCTCTCTCTCTCTCTCTTCAGGACCTCTCTCGCTAATGCACTGCCTGCATATAACCACTTTTCTTGCCGGAACTGTACACTTGTTACGCCTATGAAACAACCACACTACACCATGAGCGATATAAAAAGGGGCACTCACTGACGTTCCCCCATCTTCCACCACCGCCCCAATAACTCCCTCTCACCTCAATTCCCTACCCTCTCTCTCCCAGCGCAGTAACTCACACCTTCCGTTCTCCTACCTGATCCAATAATCCTGCATACAACATTCGTGCCCAATACAATTTCCGGCCAATGAAATCGCTCCTTGTCGCTCCAACTGCAGTTCGGATCTCATTCGAAATTTGAACAACCACCAAAAAAAAAACGAAAAATTGAACCCAAACTTACAACAGGTGCAAGTTCTTTACATAAATAAATAGAATACCATGTTTCGTTTAGGTGCTTCCCAAGTTGCCCGCTCTGCCGGTGCACAAGCTAGGTATGTAGAAGAGAAGAAAAAGAGATGAAACAGGACATTATCGTGAAGAAGTGCATGGTCCACAAATGTAGGCAAGGGTGGAAAGAGTAGGCACCACGGAAAAAGACCCGAATGAGTGAAAAATGAATTGAATCTGGGGGAACTTGGAAATGTATTGGAATTGTGTTCACTCATGAGTGCAAACGAACTGAATCAGATTGGAATGGAGTCGAATTGAAACGAATTGAGTCAAATTGAGATGAATTGAAAATTGAGCCGAATTGAGACCAATGGATCAGACTTAGAATGGCGCAGTTGAGCCAGAGTGCTAGCACAAAGTTAATTAGCTGTAGCGTGTGATAGCACATATTCCCAGGAGACGTGTACTTCTTTCACTCCAGATTGTCTTCAATCTCTTCTTTCCCCGTTTAAACAATTACTAACATCATTATTATAGAAATTATGCTACTTTACGTGAAATTGAAATGCGTCTTAAGTCCATTAAGAATATTGAAAAGATCACCAAGACCATGAAGATTGTCGCCTCTACCAGATTGAACAAGGCCCAAAGAGCCATGACTGCTTCAAGAGTTTTTAACAAGTCTGACTCCGAGTTCTACCACAACACTGAACCAGAATCCACCGACGATTCTAAGACTTTACTTGTCGTTGTTTCCTCTGATAAGGGTTTATGTGGTTCTATCCACTCCCAAATTTCAAAGGCCGCTAGAAGAAGATTCGAAGAATTAAAGGGTAACGCTGATCTTGTCACTGTTGGTGAAAAGGTCAAGGCACAATTGTTAAGAACTCACGCTGACAACTTGAAGTTATCTTTCTCTGGTGTCGGTAAGGAAGCACCAAACTTTTACGAAGTTTCCTTAATTGCTGATGAAATCAACAAGTTAGGCCAATACGAAAACATTGAAATCTTATACAATAAGTTCGTTTCCGGTGTTTCTTTCGAACCAAGTCAATTCTCAGTTTTCGCTGCTGATGCCATTGAAAAGGCTCCAGGTTTGTCCAAGTACGAATTAGAAGGTGAAGACACTGCTACCACCTTGTCTGAATTTTCATTGGCCAACTCCATCTTGTCTGCTATGGCTGAAGGTTACGCTTCTGAAATCTCTGCCAGAAGAAACGCTATGGACAATGCTTCCAAGAACGCCGGTGATATGATTAACTCTTACACCATCTTGTATAACAGATCCAGACAAGCTGTCATTACCAACGAATTGGTTGATATTATTACTGGTGCTTCATCATTAGATTAGAAAACATAAGAAAAACGCAATGAAATAAGAATAAAAAATATAAAAGTATATTAACAAAATAATAAAAGATAACGATACGAATCAGGTGAAGGAATACCCTTGTAGATTAATAATTTAAAGAATCTCTACGCTTCAGTGTGCTTTGTTTATCTCCTTTTAGTCTATTGGCTAAAAATTTAAATATAATATTACATCTCCACCCTCTGAATCTCTTAGCTATACCTCTAAATAGTAATTAGTCCAATAGCTAGATGTTGCCAAGCAACCACCTTTCAATGAATCAGCTGATTATCACCTAATCAAGCTTCACCGTTCCATAAATTTTACTAATAAATACAAAACCAGTAATCAAACCAACAGATCCACACGCCAACGCTATTAATCCACTGACTAACGACATGTAAGCAAAGTAAAGTAATATACTCACAAAATCCCTAACGTTAAGCATACAGAAGAAATAATAGAACGAGTAGGCGAAAATATACCAACCAATTGAAGCTCCAACTCTAAAACAGAGCCAATACCAATTAGGATTTTGATAAATTGCCAAAGACATGTAACATGCCAAAATGGTTGATTCAGCTATAACCACCACTATTATCAATATGGTGACTAAAAGGAATCCGTACATGAAGTAAAACGTTGTCTTTTCAAGCCACATTGAATTTAAGATGAAAAGCAATTCAACATATACGATTCCGAAGGGAATTAGTCCGAACACCACCGTACTGAGCACAGGTTGAAGAAATAATGGCATCTTTCCAGCTTTCTTAGACTTCCAATTTGGTTTATCGTCATCTTTACTAGACTTCTTATCGTTAAAGAAAGTCAGTATAAACGATTTCTTATCGAATTTAGTCCTATTTCCATAGTATCCACCAATGATACCTAACGGTAATTGGAATACGAAAAATATGAGTATCAATACAATAAATGTACCAAATGGGATGGCATAGGATGAGGATTTAGCCCACACGAAGAAGTTCAAAGTGAAAATTATCGTTGCAATTAATATTGGTAAAAATCCACTGAACAAGATAGAAAGTCTAACGTACTTGGGGGTATCAAATTGTTCATTTATATTCTCGTTGTTGAACATTTTGTGTAAGATCACACCCACAAATGAAGGGATAAGCGATGACATCACGAAAAACGTTATGGTAAGGGAGAAGAAAGCCCCCTGGTGATTGTTGAAGAACATATTGGCTGGAGAATTGTCAAGAGAGAATTGCGAGTTTATGGTGAACATCGTAATTACCCCAACAACAACTATAAGCGTCTGCACACCAGATGAAACGAAAATTGAAAGAATCAACGAGAAAACAGGTCTATTATAAACTTCAGATATCAAGGACTTCCAGTTAGAAGTGCTTGGTGACGTTGGCGAAGTAGGAGTTGTGGTTTGCAGATCGTCACTGAGTGGGATATGTGGGGTCTTCGACAATTTTTGTAAGTCGGACTTCAACACCTTTGCTAAAACCATAGCTACAGCCAACGAGAGTAGAACGAGCAATACTATGGAGTTGATAAAGGAGATCCAGTGGATGTGATGACTCTTTCCACTTTCTCCCTTGTAGTACAAGTCCCATCTGGAATCATAGTCAATGGTGTTATCTTCTCTCCAGTAGATCGCATACGTGTATGGGATTCTTGTCTTACGTGGGCCCTTTGGCTGAGCTTCCAGCTGCTCCTTTGCGGATTTCGGCACCTTCTTCTCAAAGGTCAATGCAAAGTTCTTGAAGTTCTTAGAGGTTCCGGGGCATAGTTCGTTGTGAACACTCTTTGGGTAAACCTCAAAACCAACGATGTTGTAGCCTCCTTTCACCTTCTTATCCTTGTGATACCTGATAACTAGCATAACATGGTTGTAGATGTAAGAGATGTCGTCTTTGCCGACAAACCCCAAGGGGAACCCAGCAGCATAGTACTTGTTATCGTTGTTTCCGCTCACAAACGTCGTGGCACCGGGGAGCCCATCGACCGACCAATGTACCACGTAGCCTTCTCTGATCAACTTATCGGCCTTCTTCAAACCATTGTCCTTCGTCATAAGATCACAGAGCCTGAGGCAGGGCGCGTCCATGCCGAACTTCAATTCGTAGTTAGACTGCCAGATCCTATCGCCCTTCAAGATCTGGCCCAAGGAGAGGGCCAAGGGTTTGGGTTCGCTGCCTGGAGGACAAACAAAGGGCAAATCATAGTAGCCAAAGGGCAATTGCGTGTTATCCGACTCAACTTTGTTCACCAACAACTCTACCTTGTCTCCAGTTTTGTACGAGGTAGCCTGGTATCCCAAATTCACGCCCAAACAGCACGGGGAAAGCAAGATTAGCAGCACAAGCCAATGAATACATTGTATCAAGGGCCTCCTCATGTTTCGAACTACACTGCACTCTATGAATTAGGGGTATTCTGCTGTAATCTAACACGGCTAGTCGTACTAAAAGGCTAGAGGAATTATCCCAGAAGCCAAACAAAAAAAAAAAAAAATAGTCGAAAAAAAAAAAAAAACTGTGCAAAATGGTGCGGCTCCTGTAATCAATATTGCATAAGACAGAGAACGAGTACAGAAGTAGAAAGGGCAAAAAGGGTTCTCCGCAGAGCCCCCAAGGGTGGAAGCACTCGTATTAGTGGTAAAAGCGCTTGCTGCGTGTGGGATATGGAGCGACTCGTACTAAAATTCTGTACTCTACGGTGTCTATAGTGTCTACATTGTGTGTTCCTGCTCATCTTGCATTCGTAGTCTGGCGGATGAGAAGGCTCGTTTTTCGTGAATAGCCTCGAATTTCATGCACCTCAAAATCTTGCTTCTATTTTTCCAGAAGAGGGTTGATGGGCAACGGGAGACAGGCAAGCAAGGGGATGGGAGAGAAAGCAAGAACGAGAGAAAGCAGGTACACGGCATTACCCGTAATTATGTAGATATATACGTGTATTTAAAGAGATACTTATATATATGTCTACATATGTATATATATATGTGTATGTGTGTGTGTTGTAGATGTGTATAGTATTACGTACTACTTACTTGCTTTATTCGTTTTCTTCCCTGGTGTAAGGTCGCGGATAACAGCCATCTCAGTACACCCCTACTGCCAAGTGCTCCTACCACAGGTCTGGCACCACGTTGGCTGCAAACTTGACAACCCAAGGTGGTATTGGGTCTGCAGAGGAAGGTGGCCTTACCCAGTGCGTACTAAAACTAGTTCTTTAACGATTCCATGGCCTCTCTTATCAAATAATTGCCCTTGGGGTCCAAATTTAATGCTATCGTAAATTCTCTTATAGCCTTGAATTTTTCATTGTGAATCTTGTATAGTTGTCCTAAGAGGAAGTGTACACTCGCTTCGTCTGGTGCCATATCCTTCAATATTTCAAAAAACTTCAAAGCTTGCGTAAATTGTTGCATTGAAAACAATAATTGTGCCTTTTTGAAAATTGGGAGTGGGTTTAATGGTTGCAATTTATTCGCAAGCTCATATTGCTTTAGGGCCAACGACTTCTTACCAATTTTCTCTAAAACCATCCCCACACAGCAAATCAAGATTATATTTATCGGGTTGATCGATACAGCCTTACGGAAATGGTAATCTGCCTTTTGGTAATCGCCCAAATTAATGTACACCATCCCAATCCCGTACAACGCATTGTAGTGCCTGGGATCATTGAGTAAACTTACTCTGAAATTCTCTAACGCCATCTCATAGTTATCATTGCTAAAATATTCATGTCCCTTCAAGGTGTACGCATACGTAAACAGATCATCCAATTTCACAGACTTACTGAAACATTTGATGGCTTCATCAGGCTCTCTTGCTAAGGAAAACAAATTACCTATAACACACCAAGTGATCGCATGCTCAGCATCCAAATCATATAGTTCATTAGCCAAGTATGTTAATTCGACTTTTTTATGTAAATGCCATAATAACGTCAGGTAGTATTCCATATCTTCCAATCTAGTTCTATCCATTTGACGCAATTTGGTGAAGAAATATTCACTTTGTTTATAATTAACAATTTCGTAATGCAACCTACCCAATTTAGATAAAACCCATGGAGTCTCTCTTTCATTTTCAGGTAGCAGTTCAAAAATTCTAATAGATTTGTAGCAATCGTACTTGGCAAAACTTTTAAACCCTTTTGCAAATATTATGTAGAGTGATAGCAAGTACCGCTCACTATTTTCGATCCTTCTTCGTATTACAACAGGCGGGGTACTTCCATTATTGCCACCATTAGCTACTGTTCCCCCAGTTATACCTCCCACATTGTGACTGCCAGTAAATGTGTTGACACCCGATATTCCTCCAACTTGAGCGGAAAATGGACCAGCAGAAGGATCCATCGAAGATGAGTTGTTCCTTTTCAAATGGGATCTTGAAGTACTTGTGTTTTCAGTGCCCAGGCTTCCAGAAACTCCACCGCCACCCATTGAATTGGTATGACTACTACTATTGCTGCTATTATTATTGTTGTTGCTAGTACTGCCAGCTATACCATTATCTTTCAGAGTTAATCTTGAAGTGATCTTTGAAAAGGAAGTGTCTCGCTTATTCTTAGTAATAGAATCTATAGGAAAACTTGGCTTGGTGAATATGTCCAATCTTGAATTTGATTGAGGTAGATTGTTATTATCAAAATGGCTACTTCTTCGTAATGGAGCATCTAGGAAGGAAGTTTGCTTGGGTGCTCTAGGGGTTGATATAAAGCTATCATCTGCATGAATAGTCGGTGGCTGGCTAGGTGGAGTCGCAGAGAATGGATTGGATATGCTGCCACCGACTCCTCCAAGCCCACCTCCCGTTATCACCTTATCAGTATTTGCTTTAACATTCCCACTACTTATAACCTCTCTATCTATACCAAAAGACAGCTGCTGCTCCTGAAATTTATAAAGCGCCTTAACCCTGACATTAACACCCAATTTCGTCAACTTTTGGAATGCCTCAAAGTCGAATTGGTTGTACTTCAAGCACTGGCTGAAGCTCAATGCAGAATTCTTCACATCGCCACACCCACTGTATAGATCTCCAAGTAAATGGTATACGGAAGACAGATCAGGCCCTACATGTCTGCTGTTTTCATAGTTTAGCTTGCTTTCCAGCGACAGAAAATAGCTACACTCGCTAAACACTGGTTCCATTCTTAGCAACTTATAGATTCCCTCTTTGTATTTCTTCAAGTGAAGACACAGTCTACCAAAGAGATAATTACACCCCAAGTGATCCAGTTTATCAACTAAATAGTTGAAGCATGCCTTGTACCTTTTCTTCTTCAACAAAGTCAAGCAGTACAAGTAAATAGAATCCAAGTTTCCTGGATCGAGAGCCAAGAGTCTTTCACAGGCAAACTCTGCATTGTTATAATTAAAGTTATCCAAAGAATGCAATACTATCGATCTTAGATGCTGAAAGAGAAAAGATTGATCCGGAACATTCATCTTATAGGCACCAGATACAGTTACACACCAATGTTATAATATACTACAGTCCACTATTACTTTGTGGTAGGAAAAGCTGATGCGAGTTGGTCGAGATCCGATTTGCTTTTGATATCAGTGCGTATTTGTTTTTGTTTACAAAATAAAAAAATGGAGAAGGTGAAAAGTTGAAAAACGTACAGTTTAGTTGAACAATGTTTGCTATTTATCAATGGAAACATAGTGAAACGTAGTGTGAAATTATAAATGGAGAAAACGAAAAGCTGATAGGTTTATATAGAGTCTAGTTAAATAAAATACTGGAAAACTAGTACTGTTTATTATCGTAAATGAGCACATGCTGTACACTTTTGAACGAGAAGGTGAGAGAAGTCGAAAATGCTTACAGAAGTTTACTTAAAAAAAACGCCAATAGTGTTTTAATATCATAATTGAACACATACTATACACTTTTACCGATCGAACAGATACTGGTTATTATTTGCAATTATAAGAGCTTTTTTCCTTTCTTCCTCCTCCTCTCCTTCTTCCTTTTCTTGGAATACTAAGAGTATTATGTAGCTCTCTATTAATTCTGCTTCTTAGGTTTTATCGAGAATGAATGATTGCCTGAACCATCATTACTATAAGCCATCATCATCTTCTCTCCGTTGATTGCCTTCTTTTTGCTTCCACTGACAATTCTACCGTTGCTATTCAGGAATATCAGCTTTGGTGTGGTTTCTCCAGTAGGTAAGAAATCTTGGGTTTTGTTACCTTGGGAGGAAGCTGGCGATTGGGTAATGTTGCTGCTTGATGTGTTTGCAGATTGTATCAATTGAGAGACTCTTTCTCTCTCTCTTTCACCACTTTCTCTAGTTCCAGTACTATCTCTAATACTTGGCCCAGAAAGGTCTCTGGAGTCTCTAAGCATAGACCCATTGCCTGATTTAGGTGAAAGTAAACCTGAAGCTAACAAGTATGGAGAGGCAAATCCTCCTTGATTGGAAAATTGTGGTGTAGTTGGAGTCTTGGACATGGAGCTAGATGATGGTTGTCTAGATGGATTGGTGTCAAGACTTAGCGAGGGCTGACCACCACCTATTGAGGAGCCTGCACCGCCAGTTCCTCTACGATTTAAAGATGGGAGTCTTCCTATTTGGTCTGTGTTAATAACAGGAGAGTTTTCCTCTGAGGTGAAATCACTATCAACTAAATATTGCTGTTTAGGATCTTGCGTCAGGGATAGGTGTTGTTGTTCTTGGGTATAATCATAGCCACCTTCTCTAAAATAACCTTGTGCTCTTAACTCTTCATCTTTCAATTTTGTTTCCTCTCTTGCCTTTGCAAGTAGTTCTTGGGCCCTACCTAAGGTAACAGTGGGGGTAGAACAACTACTCACAACTGGAACAGTATCATCAATATCAATGGTTGCAGTCATCAAAGCTTTAAGCCAACCTCTCATATCTTCTTGACTTTCTACTGCAAAATAATGGGTCTTTGGTTGGGTAAATGTCAATCCTTTTTTGAATCCTGGAGCAGGTGGTACTATCTTGAAGCAGTATCTACCAAATCCAGTAGATGATGCATACATTGCAACATATTTATCATTAGAATTAGTTGCATCATCAGTATTAATAGGAATAACTTTGTGAGCGGTTATATCAATCAAACCTCTTTCCTTCTTGTCTTTCAAAGAGGTAAAATACAGCAATCTAGTTCCATGAAGGGTAAAATATCTCGATCTCCATCCAATGTTGCTACCAGATTTTTTTGACATCCATCCACTATATGTAGCCTGCTTGATGGCATCATCTGGCGTAATATGTCTTATACCTTCCTGGAAAGCTGAAGTCTTCAGCTTTTTCAGCGAAGTTATATTTTTGAAATTCTGAGTGGATGTAGTACGAAGTGTTTTCAATCTTGATATAGCTGTAGAATCGGAAGCCGAACGCTTTTCATCGTCAAGAGCTGCCAAAGGAGGAGCAGGAGCAGAGCCTGGAGCAGCTAACTTTTTATCCGAATTCTTTTGTCCAAGGCCACGGTATGAAACTGATTTCAGTTTCTTAGGAGATAAAGTAGCCTTGTCTATATCAATTGCTTCTACTGGGGAAAGATCTGAGTTCTTGGTTGAGCGACCAGCTGGTGTTTCAGGATTGATGTTGGCTGGTGATATTAATGCATTGCTAGTTATGTTTTTGGATTTGAAGTAATCACCGGATTCTATATCACGGGGTGCACTTCCGAAAAAGGATGAGTTTCTATTATTTTGTGGAGTAGATCCACCGCCATTACTTTGACCACCTTGCTTGGGAGTCTTTTCCCCGTTTAATGATAAATCTTCATTCGTAGAGAGGAACAGGAATAAAGAAGAGTGCCTTCTATGATGGGTATTACCACCTCCAGAAACTTGTGATGAGTTTCTACGATGGTGGCCAAGACCATTCGAATTCTGTGATTCCTTTCTGCCATGGCTGATAATAGAATTATCGTAAATAGAAGAAGCTGGACGACTTAATCCATTGAAATTCGAGATCCCTAATCCAGCATTTGATGCATTCGTTCTAGTCATGTACATGTGACCAGAAGTTTCCGAATCTGCATTATTGTTGTTACTCGTAGCTCCTCCAAATTTATATGTCTTGTTTAACGGACTTGGAGCGTTAGGAGGAACGGGAGCTTTCCTGGGAGACAAGAATGCCATACTTTTCCTTTTATCTGGGGTCGAAATCTCCTCGTCCTCATTATAGCTATCACTTTGTGGTGGTGGGGATGGTCTACTGGATACATTATCCATTGATTGAGATCTCTTCCTTTGGTGTTTCATGTAAACTTCGCCAGCGCGAGAGCTTGTTCTCAACATGTTATCGGAAGACGTTAATGGAGCAGAAGGCATCAACTGGGATGTGGACTTGTTCTGTTGTGATATGAAAGTGGTATTGTTCAGGTTCGACTGAGTGAGAGAATTCGACGTCGTATTGAACGAATCGGAGTAGTTGGATGTATCTTCTGGAGCGCCAGCAGACTTTGCACCGTACGGGAACGATTTCTGGGGCAGAAGGAACTTTGACGTGGATGGAGATGCTTCATCATCCAAGACCGAATCTGCACCAGAAGCAGCAGCTCCTGGTCTTCCTGGAGTTTGGCCCGGTGTCCTTACTTCGGCACCTCCCGATATGCCCTTCTTCAACTTTTCAATCTCTTTGTAGATCTCAAACCTCGTTCCAAAAGAATCTATGTCTAGTTCCTTTAAGTGTGCCAAATCCAACTCAAATAAGATGGTTCCGGTGATCTTGTGTCTGGCAAACTTCCCTGCGATGTTCAAATCGAAGCCCAATATCATGGCAAAGTACGTGGATACTTGTTGCGGTGTCCAGTTCAAGGCATCTAGTGGGTCCAAATCAGTTAAAGATTGCGTCGAAAGACGATTCCCGTTTGCTGAGCTATTCTGGCTAGGAAGATTCTCTACAGTTCCATTAGGAGTGCCGGCGTTAGAACCCTTGTTCGAGCCCTTATTGGAGCTCTTGTTGGAAGCTCCGTTGGAAAAAGAGCCATTCTTGGGGGGGATTACCGGTATTATGCCTTTGCCAGGCTGTTTGGGGCTATTCTGCAACTCTTGGAGCGCCTTATCGATATCGGTCATGCCACCAGATGATTTTCTGATGGCGCCGTTACTACTGCTGTTGTTGTTACTGAAACCACTGGTGCCAGAGCCCTTGTCTACGGTGAGCCCATTCATCTCGTCAACAAGCTTGCTGACATTCGTCTGGCTGTTGGAGTTTGGCGGTGTTGCAACCCTTCTGGACCTCAGCCTGAGCAACGTATCCGGATTTTTGGGCGTATGAAGCAACTGCGTGAACGTCTTGGGGTATAACCCAACGTCATTAGTCAAGAGGTTCCGCCCCATGTACCATCCATCGTTGTACTCGCTATCATCTGCGAGGACCTCCACCTTGTCACCGATTTTGAGGTTTAATTCGTCCCCCAACCTGGAGTTAAACTGCTTCACACAGAGATATATCGACCCGGAGATCTGTTCGCTCATGATATACTGTGATTGTGTGTTAAGAAGCTAGTGTTGTTAAGGATTAGCTTCCTTAAGTTTTTCTTATTTTTTTTTTTGTGAGGCAATCGCGTTTATCTTTTTTTTTTTTTTTTTTTTTTTTTTTCAGTGTTCTTTTGGTGCAGTCCAGTGTGGTTGTATAGCGTACTGAGATGGGGAAGAGTAGAGGAGAGAGCTGGACAGGAGAGAAGAGAGGGAGAAAATAAGAAGAGAAAAGAAAAGTGGTTTTCGAATTAGGTAATGCTACGCCGAAACGCGGGAAATAGGCGCTGTCCAGATAGTTTGAGCTCTTGTATGGAGGAAGAGAGTGTGTGTGTGAGGTGTCTAGCAAACCGTTTTGGCAGTGCAATTTGAACAGAAAATAACCGAAAAATAGCAAAAAAAAAAAAAAAGAAAGGAAAATTTTGTTTCTCTTCTGGACTAAATCTGGAATGTCGTGCACGGGCAAATACATGATACATGGGATTGTAAGGGAAAGGTATGGTTAGGTGGTGGGTAGGTGGGAGAGCAGCAGAAAGTTGTTTTTGTTATTGTTTGAGGACTGGATATGGGTCAGAAGCAGCGATACCACGCAGAGTTCACCTTACCATGCTCTAAAGAGTGCAATGTGTAGTGTGTAGGGTGTATAGTGCTGTGGTTGTCCTGGGTATGTTGATGGAATAGAATTTACGTCCGTATGCAGGTCAGCGGCCTACCTGTCATGTACAGATATGTAGCATACAGAGCATACAATAGCGTTGTGTTACTTAAGCTTTGCGCATACAGAGCACCATTAACTTTTCAAGAGGACACGATTATCAAACTGTGATATTGCTTACATTTCTTTTTACAAGATTGCAAGCTGCGTGACATTGCTAGGTTTTTCTTTCCCCAGAGGACACGATAATCTGTTCTTGATGCTTGCCAACCTTTCATTTTGAGCACGATTATCTGATACTTGCTGTACCCTTGTGGCTTAAATCTTTAGTAGAATTCACCTTGCAATAGAATGCGAAAGCTAATCTCGTCAGCGCGCGCAGCGTGATGCGAATTTGGAGCTGGGTGGGGTTGGGCACGGTATCATATTCTCTTGTTGATGGACACTCCTCTTGGTAGGTCTCTTCTTAGTGAATTTCTTCTTAGTGGATCAGCTCTTGCCGAAGTCTTTTCGTGGTTCTCGTTCTCGTTCCCTTCTACCTCTGTCCTGTCCTACTGACTGCAGCAGTGCAGGCTACGCCAGGTCTGCGTCAGGCTTCTTTGTTTCTTTTTTATTTTTTTAAACTCTTTTTTCTCTGCCTAGGGCTAACGGTTTTATGCACCGCATTTAGAAGGATCCGTCCTTCAGTAGAGACCTGGGGGTGCTGGGCTCTGTAGAGTAGGCAGTCTAGGCTGCTGAAATGTGGGATGTTGAGACAACCGTAGAGGTAGTAGTGTCTCTGTTCGTTTGATTTAGTTGAAGCAGCTTCCTTTCTGTTTCTGTTTCTGTTCCTGTTCCGGTTCCAGTCGTCTTTTTTCGCTTTCGCTAGTACATCACAACACCTTATCTTCCTAGCACACACCTTACACCCTTTACAGACTATTCTTTTTTCTCTTGTTACTGTTTTTTAGGGGATTGTGCCCTAAAGTTTCCAGATTTCCAGTTTATTAATTTTCTAGGTCTTATAATCATTATCGTGTTATTTCTAGGCAGTGTTCTATACTATTTTCAGTCATATTCGTGAGATATTCACTAGCGTCTTTGGTTAAGCCATTTCTGCGAGGTAAGCTGAAAGGCAAGCAAATCAGCAAATCAGCAAATTTAATTCAATTCACTAGAACCCTTTGGTTGAGTCCTTTTCTACAAATTAAACTGAAAGGCAAGAAAATCAACCAATTTATTCTTACCCCGTGAGATATACACCACAGTCTTTTGGTTAAGTCCCATAGTTTGTGAGAAGCTCAATACAGCATTTACCCTTTCTACAAGATAAGCTGACACCAGAGCCAATCAGCTAGTCACCCAATCCATTCATAACTCGTAATTCACTTGACATAATGCCTCCTGCTAACTCCTCGGACGACGAAACAATTGACAGCCCATTAAACCACATCAACCTACTCTCCGAAGTGATCTTGAGGTCAGAAGCCAGAAGTATCCGAAATCCCAATCGGTATAGCTCTGTTTATGGGTCGCAGTTGTACGACATAAACACTAACCCATTGCCTTCACAGATAAGAAACATCTACGACTTGGAAAGTGATGCAAGCGAAGACGAATACATAGACAATGACATCGATATAGATGATGATATATCTGATTCAGATATCAACTTTATCGACGATGAGTTGGAGGAACTGGATCCAGAGCTAAGTAGTAACTTGAGATCTGACATTCAGTCCAATGAGCACCTTTTGCTTTCACTGGCTAGATTCAATCCTACAAATACAAATACCCTTATACCTGATTCGGGGCTACCACTAAGAAGGAGAAACGCTCTTAGGAACCGACCGGGCACTTCCAGAATGATACGGTTACCGCCACCCCCTCCTGCTGCTTCATACCCTGTAGTTGCTGGTGGTGCTGGCGCTGCCCCTTCTCCGTCTGATCTAACGGTCTCTAACTCTGGAGCTAGAGATGCTTACAATGCGAGGTTTGGGACGACAGCCACCACCCGTAGTCTAACCCTGCCACAGCTGCACTACCAGGGTCGCGCAGCTTTCCAGCACCAATTCAATCCTACTTCTTCCTTAAGCGGACGCTTCCATTCTAAGTTGTCCAATTTCACTGAGGTGAGACATTACATGAAATTAATGAAATCAAACATCAAAGACCTTCGAGGAGAAAAGCTAGGAATTTCACCACTATTCTCGCAGAAATCTCACAAACATAGTGATTATCCGATAGGCAGTCTAAATATTGGAACAATGGATGACATTCTAGATAAGGTCAAAGATAAAAGAAGTAGAGATGCGGTTTCAATGTCTTCTCCGGCTAAGTCGACCAAAATTTTTGACTCTCTCTCGAATCCACTAACTAGCGGCAATCGAAAGAGAAAGTTAACAGAAGGTGCCCCTAATACTAATAAAAAACGGCAAAAAGTTAATTCAGAATCCGATTCCCTTACTCTTGATATTCCTTCTCCAGCAATAGAGTACGGAACGAAAGTAAATATTAATGAGTTACCATTCAACGATCTCCAAAATATAGTCTCTGGGAAAATGTTCTCGTCTCACTTTACAAGAGGTTGCCAATATTCGCTATATGGGAACCGTGATGCTGAAAACAGAATGCTGTTATCTTTGACTGATGTTAACTATGAGACGGGAGAGGTATTTGGACATTTTGATGCCAAATCTATTGACTTTATCTTCAAGTTCTTTATCGGTGGGCCATCATCCAGGAATGCTGGACTTTGGCTCAGAATCACTCAATTCAAGAAGTTATTCAAGAAATATAAAGAATTTCTTGATGATTCCGATATCAGAATTCCAATAACTGGAGAGATGATAAATTTCCAATCTAACGATTTAAGATTTCTAAGCCGAATTAGAGAAAAAACAGATGAAAGGGCTACAGGTAGCTCTTCTGGCAGAAATGTAGTCAAATCAGAAGCTCAGCAAAGAGCTGCCATGTCGAGTAGAACGATGATTCAAATAGCAGAATGGTCCAAAATAGAGCCCTTCAACCAGCTTCACCGTGCCTATTTGCACAAAGATGCATCCAAGGTGTACAAACTACTAAAAGAGCACCTTAAAGAAGTTTCAAGGAAGACAGATGATAAGAACTTTCTGAATGATACAGCAGAATATATGCTTTTACACCAGAATAGAATGGAATTACTAAATATGGCTCGTACCATTAACTATGAGTACAATACATGCAAGATCAACAAAAAGGATGAGGCAGTACCAGAGCAGCCTCTGGAGCTGCAACTTCAACTGCAGCAGCTGCACCCAAATCAACTGACGAAAATACCTCAGAAGAGCCCCGATTCAGAAAAAGAAATGGAAAACAAAAATTTGGATAGGAAGTATCCTGATCTCTGCAGCAAAAGCTGTTTAAATGAAAATACGGCTTTACGCTTGGCAAATTATATAACTTGTGAGGATAATTGTTTGCTTAATATTCATTTGAATTACATATTGTTCACAGTGACTGTTGATATTAAAAGCCTACTTGACAAGCTCCTTCAAGAAATCATTTATAAAGCTTCAGTCAAGGACCATTACTTAAAGTTTGGGATTCCGAGTTTGGGCCCCTTGAGAGATTCTCAAAAGGCAGTACTTGTCTGCTCACTTTGCAGAAAAACTGGAAAGATTTCTGTTCATAATACAAGACCCTTTCTCGAATATACCAACATTTACTATTTGGGGCTGCCTGGCAGTAGCAGATCGAGTTATTTCCCAACTTACTTCAGCAGTTCGTTTTCCTCTGATATCTTTGAGCATGTTTTCTCAGGGATCAATCTAGGAACCAACTCTTCCGATGAAGATGTCGATTTCTATGGTGGTCTCGGGATTAAAAGAGTATCAAAGAGATCATTTTTCAAGGATCCATACCTCCAGAAAAATAAAGAAACTACTTTAACTGGTGAGTTGGTCAAAAGTATTGGGTCAACTTATAAAATGGCCTAAGTCTCCATCAAGGACAAAAATACTCAGGATAAGTATTATAAAATCTTCCTGGTTTGCATGATTTCTACGTGTAGCTTATTTATATACAATTAGTTATCTAGTATGTTTTACTACACTCAAGTTGTTTCGGCTTTGAAATACAAGTCATAAAATTTTTATTGCATTTATTACTATTTACATGTTTGCAGTTTGTTGATTTTCTACCATTTACCCCAACCTCCAAAGCCTTCTCTTCTATCCTTCTTTTTTTTGTTAAAAAAATCACTCCTACACTCCTTGTAAGCGTCAAAAAAGTCCTGGCACACCAATTTGTCCTCTTGGTTACGCAATACACAATTTATAGATGCCTGTCTACTCTCCTCGCAAGGGTCATAAAACTTAGAAGGTTCTTTCATCGCCCAACGATACTTATGACGGTGGTTTTCTGGGTTATCAGGATAAAACTTGTAATTCTCCACTCCTCCCTTGGTGAAATCAACTTCAGACTTTTCCTTCACAACTTCGTCAGTTGGAGAGATGGGCTTTAATTTGCGGAGAAGTTTTCCTTCGGTGATCGAAGAATCTGTATTGGAACTGGCGTCACCGCTGCTCTTGTCCCTGGTATCAGGCAATTTTTTCGGGGGTTCTTCAGACATTTGTGATACTCAACAGAAAACGTCAACAAACAAAATTTCAAAGAAGAGCTGTCTAAAGAGAAAGAGGATGAAACCTTCCTCAAGCATACCCAACCAGTGGTATAGTCATTGACATCCATATTCGGTCACGTTATCATAGACACGTTATTGATCGCACGTGCACGTTTCTATGTGCACACCCGAGATGGAGATGAGTTTACTATGGTGAAAATGTCATCTTAGTCAAGAATGGATCAAGAGTCAATAGGAAGAGGCATATATATATATATATATAGGACTCCTTGTGGTGCTGAAGTTCATAGTAGTATATCCATTCAGATCTTCAAATTATAATTTGAGGAAAATTTTCCGTACTCTTTGTAGTTCTTCACATTTTGCATACTATGGGATCTCCAATTGAATATCTTGATGGCTCAGACTCCAGACTATGTCTGAGGTGTGCAACCGAGAAAGGAGTATTAATAACAAGAAAGGAAGTGTTTTGCAAGGCTTGTTTCATCAGATTCATAAGAGGGAAGCAGAGGAAACAAATGCAGGATGAAAAGTACAAGGTAAAGTATGGAAAAGCAAAGGAACTTGCAGCCTTAAATCCTACCAAGATTTTACTTGCACTCTCCATGGGGATTTCTTCGTTGGTTTTGTTTGACGTTATTGCTTCTTTATTACAAGAGCAAATGGAAATGCACAAGGGGAACACAGGGTTTGAGTTGGTAGTCCTTAATATTGATGAATACGAGCTAACTAGCCTAAACAATCTGATCCAAGCTGTTATTCCAAAGTTAAAGTCATTTTTCAGCTACGTAGATATTTCTTTCAAGGTTTTAAACATAAATTCTTATATATTGGATGAAACTCTAATTAAAAGGATAAGATTGTATCCAGATTTCCATGCTACTATGACAGACCTGGATAAGAATGTATCTTCAGGCTTAAAAGACTTACTATTGAGTTGCCCCAATAAGTCATCTGCTGAAGATTTGTTGACCATAGTCTTTGACGAATTAATACTTCGTACTGCCTATGTAGAGAATTGCAGTACTGTAGTATATGGTCATAATATGACTAGAATTGCAAATGAGATCATTGCGTTGACGGTGAAAGGAAGAGGATCTTCCATTCATGAAAAGGTATTGGATCATGTAGTTCATTACCAGGATAAAAGCATACAAATAGTTTACCCTTTAAAAGATGTATTGAGAGCTGAAGTCGAAGCATACTGCAATTTGATAGGACTTTCCGACTTAAAGTTGGAATCAACTAAACCTAAAGCAACTATTAATAGAAACATGACCATTAGGGACTTGACCACAAATTATTTTAACCAATTGGACGCTACTGGATATGCTTCAACTGCATCTTCAGTTGTTAAGACTGGAGAGAAACTTGGCCCACCGAAGAATTTTGAAAGCTCAGGTAGCCAATCTATAACCCAGTGTCAAGTTTGTGGTATTGATATTCATCAAAATCCTCAAAATTGGCTTAAAAGGATTACAGTAAATGAGCTGGCGCCTCTTGTTACTGAAGAAGATGAAGAATATCTCAAGCTATACAATGAAAGTAAGTCTGCTATGGCTTCACTTGGGGAAACGGAAGAATCTGAAGCAATTACAAATCCTTTGGGAATTTGCTACGGTTGCATTGTTACTTTGAGTAGCATTAAGGCAGAAGATGGGTTTTTATGGCCAATAAGGAATCTGGCACAAGAAAAGGAGGATATATTGAATGAGTATATACTTACTGAAGATGAAGAAGAATAAATAGAGTGAATAAAAGCTTAAGCTAATCAACAGATGTAAGTGGAGGATTTCTCTTTTAAATCCCCCTTATCAGGTTAACCCTTTGACAACACGGGTGCAGCAGGCTTACATATGCATGGAACGATACAGTCTACAAAACGTTCGGTCTTTTCCTATTGTTACGAGGCTGATGACTTACATTGTGAACACTTTTTGAAAAATTGTATTTACTTTTGTTTATTATTCTCTTCCCTTAGTTCTGTAGTTATACTAGATATTTATGCAATACTTATGAAGATTTTCCCCAGAATTTCTTCATACTTCTGATATTGACCTTAATTAAGTCCTTTGTCTTCATCGAGAAGATATCATCAATTTCTTCTAAAGTCTTGTCCTTAGTTTCTGGCATACAGAGAATTTGGTAGAAGAAACCCAAGAAAGCAATACCACCATAGAATCCTAATGTTAAACCAGTGTAAGTCATAGCTTCTTGCATACCTGTGAAGTTATAAGTGACTGTGAAAGACCATAAATATAAGAAAGTAGAACAGACGGTCATACCAATGGATCTAGTTCTCAAATCGAAAGATTCTGATGGTAAAACCCATGTCAAACAAGCGTAGGAACCGAAGAAACCCATATATAAGATAATACCGGTCAAGTAGACTCCTTCTGCAGCTTGTAAGTTCTTTTCAATATTAATTAAGTAACCACCACCAACTAAACATAAACCAACGAAGAAACCAACAATATTCAAACCCCAAACTCTTCTTCCGAATCTATCCATGAAGAGAATAGCTGGAATGGTACCGATCAATAAGGAACCACCCCCTACTAATGACATGAAAACAGAGTTCTTCGTATCGAAACCAATATTAGCCATCAATGTAGACATATAGTACATGACGGCATTCACACCTGTCAATTGACCTAAGGTAACCATAATAACTGAGTATACCAATGCTCTTCTGTTTCTTGGATTCAAGAATAAGTCTAACCATAATTGAACCTTGCTTTCGTTTCTGTTAGCCTCTTGTTCCTGGAATGCAGCCTGTCTCATCTCTAAGAATTCTAACTTATTCTTTTCATCACTAATATCTCTCAATCTCTTCCAAACATTGTAAGCTTCACCAATCTTACCTTTATGGACCAAATAACGAGGAGATTCTGGTAAAAAGAACATACCGACGAATAAGATGGTGGAAAAGACCAATGAAGATCCTAACATGAATCTCCATCCATGAGGAACATCGTAGAAGATAGCGGAAACAGCGTAACCCAAGACTTCCCCTAAAGCGATATTGAATTGATACATGGAAACTAAGTTACCTCTGACATTAGCTGGAACGGATTCTGCGACGTAGATACCGACACATCCACCTTCAATACCCACACCAATACCTAAAATAAACCTACCAGCGTACATAATTTCAGTGTTAACTGCACCAGCACACAAAGCAGCACCAATAGTATAGAAAACACAGGAAATGATAATAGACAGCTTTCTTCCAAAGTACTCATTCAATGGTGTCATTAACATGGAACCAGCCATAGCACCAAGAGGCATAAGAGAACTAACTAATGAGGATTCTCTGGAAGTTAAGTGAAGAGCATCAGGTAAAAACACACCTGCACCAGAAATTAAAGACTGATCAATACCGGAAAGTAAACCAGCTGTACAGGCAAAAGCACCTAAGAACCAGACCATATGTTTCTTGTCTTTGAAGTCAAGTTCGAACTCCAAACTTAAAAGTTTTTCCTTGAAGGTTCTGTTGACCTTACAAGCTGCAGCTTCCTGCTCAATAATAGCATACTCCTTAGCGAAGTCGAAGTTTCTACCAACTTCAGCGGTATCGATTTTGTCGTAGTTATCTACCTTAACAGATCTAGCAGAGCTAGATGACTCTAAGTCCTTTTCAAAAATACTCATATTCCGAGAAAAGTGTAAGAGGATTCTTTTCGTTTAGTGAGTTGGATCGAAAGTCTTGATCCAAACCACTCAGGGAGAGAGGGAGAATGTGCTATTTATATACGTAGCGACAGGTTGATAGGTTTGTAATCTTCCACCTAGTCACTACGCATGTCAGACGCAAGCTGCAACTCCAGAAACAGACAGTGGGGAAGTGCATTGAAAAAGAAAAAAAAGTCAAAAAGCCAAAAAAATAAAACCTGGAGGTGCATGTGCGGTTAGGTACCAAAGTGACCAACAGAAAGCACCTGACATACGTATATGTTTTGTTTGAAAGGTAAGATGACATTATCATAACCAAACAAGTCCTACATTGCATGCATGTCATCATCTCTTCCCCCAATATAAGAAAAAATAAAGTTATTTTCTATAGAGTTTGCGAAACCGGATTATTCATGCATGGTTATTTCGAATTATTTGGTGAAGACCCGGAAAAACAAGAAAATCCCCCGCCCTCCAAGCCAAAAATATGGACCACCTACAGCAATTACGTCAATTTAGGTTTCTGTTCTTCGCGTGTATCATGCAATAATGTGTTGTCTATTGTTGTTGGGAAAATAGTAGCTGGGTCGGATACCTTAAATTTATCCAGCCCAGGAACCCATTTTCATTTAGAGGGAAATAGTGAAAATAGTAAACAAAAAAGTAATACTTTAAATACTAGAAAATTTCTTATTGAATTCTTGCTTAAGGTGGACTTTCAAAGACGAGAACTTGTTGTCAAAGTTTCTTCCACAATACAGACATATTAAAGGAGACTTCAAAATGTCCTCCAATCTATTTGTTTCTTTTTTTTTGGTTTCGGGAGAGTGAGGAGATTTTCCAGCAATTAGGTGTGAGAAAGGTGCATAGATATGGTGAGGCTTATTTTCCGGCGCTTGGGGGATTGTCTCGGGCGGCTCGTCAGCCTTTCGTTCCAAGTCGTCGCTTTCACTAGCGCTTAATCCAGATTCTATGTCTGTATCAGCTTCGGACTTTAGCATTGCTTCCTTTTCCTTTTCCTCTTCCTCTTCCTCTGAGTTTTGTCTCGGGTAAGGACATAGTTTTTCAAAGTCTACAAAGAAATCTGTATTAAACGAATTGTAGTGCTTCTTGTTTTTTAGTCTAGGAGAGTGAAAATCTTTGGATATTACATGGATATGTAAATTTTTCAAACTGGGAATGGAATGTACTCCCACCTTTAAAAAAGTGTTAATGAAGTTCTCCCCATCTAATTTGGCAAAAGCATCATGTTTATTTAAGTTTTGCCTTAAAATTTCTTTTGTCAATTTTACGTAATTTTCTACTTCCCGGTAAAATATTTCATTTTCTTTGAAGGCATAAAGTGGATGCTCATGCGTATGCAATTTAGGCAAGATTAGATAGTGGAAGGTTGATTTGGGGTAAAGGTCCCTGATAATTACTACGTCTTCGTTTGACCATAGTACCTGGTCTTTATGCCTTTCCGGATTATCTAAATATGTCTGAAGCGCATCCCGGAAGCTCATTTTTATTTTCGAGTGGGCAAGAGAAGGAGTCTGTATCACTTTTTTCTTGGATTCAGGCTTAGTTAAAGCAGTCAAATCTATCAATTCTGACAAAAAGAAAAACGCAAAAAAAAAAAATCAATAAAAAAAATGGATGTGCTTGCGCAGAGAGTGCAAGAGATTTACGAGCTTTTCTCCTCAAAATGGAAAAACAAGCGAGCTAAATCTCCATTTCTTTATGCCTGGAATCATCAGCCTGTAATAGTTTAAGTCAAAATTCTGGGCATCGGTGAGGCTACTATTTGGAGATTTAACTTATAGCTTATATTCTTTCTGCCCCAACTCAGTAGGATTTTAATTTGTTGAATCGAAGAAAATAAAAGTGGGAGCAAATCAAAGGTGGACTGAAAGAGTGGGGGATGCAGATGCTGCATTTCAAAAGGGAAGAAATGTGATGTACTCCGGATCTGAGCCAACATTGGGGAAGTGCAGATTGATACGCATCTTCAAGCTATAGAAGATCCTTGAGATAACTTTCCCCTAAAGTTTGCCCTGGGAATCAGAATTGACAGGTTTGTCATAGTTAAGCCCATCTAGCGTCCATCCACCACCCATAAAGAATTGACAGAGTGGAGTAGTACCGGGAAATGCTTGTGCAGGTCATGTGACTGAGAAAGTGGAAAAACAGAATTACTGCGCTTCGAAGTTCAAGCTGGTACATTTACTACGCACCACCCACGAAAGCGGTAACTACAAGAGAGGCTTGGTGTGGAAAACAGAGGAAGGATCATGGCCAGTTTGACGTGGATTTTCGTAAGTAACCTGATTATTTCAAGGTGTTTCCTGCAAATCCCTCTTCTGCGCAATAGATGTACAATGCTACATTACAGTAACTCCATGCATGATTTCTAAAGGTCGTGAAGGAACAGTAGGTTTTCACTGGCGCAGCACACCACCTCCCTTCCGACGGAAACATATACGTAGGAACTACGTACTATGAAATGCGTCAACAATAGATTAGCTACGTAGGCGAGCATCGGACGCGCTGGATAAGCAATTTCAACTGAGATTCCGATTCCGATTAAGGTGTATTGTGTACCCAGCACTATTTCCAGGCAAAGTACCGAAATTTAATTATAAATCGGGCTACCTTTCAAAGAGGAATGACCATCGCCCAAATCATTTAACAAGGTTTAACATCTTAAACTGGTGGCACTTTATCCTATTAGGTTTGGCTAACTACCAGAGATACTAGAGACGGGGCTCGTGACTAGAGACATACCTCCCCCAGATTTCACATTTGCAGTGCCTGGCTCGGTGCACGACCATTTCCTATTGGCGACGGCAAGCAAACATACCAATCTTTTTCCTTTAGTTTGTGCGTTTTGTCGTTTATGTCATGCTTTCTGAGCGACTGCGTGCAGGAATGCTTCCGTATACAGTCACCATAGAATAATATTGTCTTTGTGATTGGTTTTGGCTGTCCGCACTCAGAATTTTCACGGTTTTTCTGGGGAAACCAGAACGGCCCTTAGGAAAAAGAAAAAGAAAGCAAAAAAATATTAGAGCTATACGATAGTACTTCGCTACGATAATACGAACAGAACGTAACACAACAAGAAATAAAATAAAAGTATACACTTACCATTGTCTTAATTTGTAAGTATCAGATCTGGAACTGAGCCGATGGCCATCTTCTTCTTCTGCTAGAGCCAGTTTCAATAATTTGAATTGTACCGACATTCCGAAAAAAAAAATAAAAATAAAAAAGAGCACAGAAAAAATCTTCCCCCGCCTTTTTCTCATTTCGACTTTCAGATTTGTTTCTAATCCTTTTCTTCTGTAGATTGGAACAAGTGCAGAAGAGAAAGCGTTTACCAAGTGTGAAAAGTAACGAGAAAAAGTGTGTATACGAATATCCGGTCCGAATACTAAGCATCTGCGGTTCTATTAACACAAGTCCTCAAGACACAGCTTGAGCAGAACCGAAGGGAATCTGCCATTAAACTTTAGATTCTCGGTCTTTTTTTTTTTCGTTATTGTTTTAATTTGTTGAGAAAGGAGAAGCTAATTACAGGACCTAAAGCAGAATTCATAGGCCAATCCTGACTCTCTTCGAAACCCTAGAAACCCCCTTACTAACATCCCACCCTCAAGCTACCCAAACTACTTTTACAATTCGTCTTTTTCCACCAGCTTACTAAAGTATCTGCAGTTGGAGATACACATACTATTTATCGCCAGCTAAGAATCCTCTATATAAGGCACATTACCCCATATTTTATCAACAATTGGCAAAACTCCGTACACCCACCCAAACCTAAAAAGTAAAGGTAAAAAAGCGAGCCAAAAAAAGCCAAAAACCAAAAACCAAAAACTTGAGCCACGCGATAGTCAGCCATTGAAAGCAACGCTGAACTAGTACAAAGTGTTGTAGAGAGTGTATTTATTTTCATCTAAGGGAAGAGCATGTTATTGCAAGTTCAACAGTTACATCAGACTAATATGGAATTTGGAATCAAGAGCGAACCTATAGACCATCAGAGAAATGATAATCTGGGGCCTGGGGACCATGTGGTTGGCGCAGCAAGCAACTCTTTGGGGTCGACCACCACTTCTACGAACTCGGAAAGTGGAACTACATCGGGGGGGAGTCCCAACGGAGGTGGTAGCGGCAAGAAGAAGAAGAATATTCCCGTAGAGTTGACAGCTTTCGGGACCACGCCCTCGGGGAAGCCGAGGTTGTTTGTGTGCCAGGTTTGTACCCGAGCGTTTGCAAGGTTGGAGCACCTTAGACGTCATGAGCGTTCACACACAAAAGAAAAGCCATTCTGCTGTGGGGTGTGTCAGCGGAAATTCTCCAGGAGAGACTTGTTGCTACGCCACGCTCAGAAGTTGCACGCTGGATGTGCAGACGCTATAACGAGGCTCCGGAGAAAGTCCATGAAGCGTAGTGGGTCTCAGTCTCACGATTTGGACATGGATGGCATGGATATGGATATGGAAGATGATATGGATGAAGGCAGAACGCCAGAAGACATGAAGAGTCCAAATGGTGGCAGAAGAGCCCCTTCTGGGCCAATGGACTCGGTTCAATTCAATTTGAATTTGTTCAACCAGAAGAAGTATCAGCAAGTCGGTGGTGCGCCCCCTTCTACTCCAAATTCTAAATCTACCAGAAGTGGATCAATCAAGGACGCTACTGCTTCGCTCCAGAGACAAATGTTCGATAGAAAGAAATTGGTCAAAAACCGTGGTGCTTCATTCTCTGCCCAATCTGGAGCAAACTATTCCATTGGGCTATCTGAATTCAATGAATTGTACCCAGGTGCTGACAACGTGGAGTTCTCTACGCCTCAGATGCTTCCTTCCTCAAATCATGATGAGAGTTGGTTGAATAATTTGTCGACAATTCCCGGTATGACTGGGGATAGTACCTCAAATTCTACTCCTATGCAAGCTAGCAATTCTATTCGTAATGAAAAGCACAATTCCATAACGTCTCTTTCATTGGGCGATGAATTACCTCCAAATGTTTCACACCACGGATCGTTTTCCGTTCCAATGTCTGGAAATCACGATAGAAGCGACAGTCTCAGCAGTGTTCACTCATTCCCCACTTTTGATATGATGGGAATGTATATGGGTCCTGACAAACTGTTGCAAAATAAAATGCAACAGCAACTCCAGCAGCAACAACAGCAGCCCCTTACACAGTCAGTACAACAATCTCAACAACAAAATCCACAGAATCAAAATCACGAAGCCCCAAACAGCAATCCATTAAGATCTAATATGGGTTCTTTGCTACCAGAACACACATCTGGTGGCGACTATGGATACTCATTTTATGATATCCCGGAGAGTATGCTTGGGGCAGCAAAATTTGAGAACTTCAGGCTTCCAATGGGATTGAGCACCATTAAGCAAGAAGAAGAAGAAGAATTATTGGAACAAGGTGGAAACTACAATCAAAATACGCAACAACTACTGCAACAAAATCAATTTCAAAATCTTTTTACTGGATCTCAAGGTCAGCACACGAACGGTAATACTGGCAACAATAACACGAACAGTAGGAAAGGGTATCATAGTAACCCCAACCTTGATTTAAACTTTTTGAACGATATTGGAGAACTTACACATGAGTACGACGTCAACTCCAAGTTCATGCCCAATGGATACTCTTTCTACGGTGACAATACGTCTGTCTCATCTTCTGGAGTGGATACTAGCTCACCACAAAATTCCAGTACACCTCAAGGCGGTCAATATTTTGGTAATGGAGCACCAGAGAATTGTTTGAGTCAAAATCAGTTGTTGAATATTGAAGGTACTAAGGCTATGTCTCCACTGTCCCAGCCAAATCAGAAGAAAAGAACTTCTCATTTCAAGCCAGGCAATTACAACAAGAACAAGTTGTTTACGAATAACATGAGATATATGATCAACAAAGCATTGGGTAAATATCCAATAAGTGGAATCATGACGCCTTCTATTCCATCAAATGAGAAGTTGGAGTTCTACTTGAATAATTTTGTGAACATTTTCCTTTCCCACTTTCCTTTCATACATTGGCTGAAGTTAAATGAATATGAAGTAATGAATATGACTGCGAATGAGGAATTGACAAATGAAAGTGCCAGGGTATGTTTGCCATTGTTGATAGCGACCATCGGAGCGTTGTTGACCAACAATAAAAACGATAGTGAGCATTTGTATGAGGCTTCAAGGCGTACAATTCATATTTATTTGGAAAGTAGAAAAAATTCTGTTGATGATACGACACCTCAGCAAACTGGCTCACAGCAACAACAATCTCATGTCTCCCCAGGACTTTCTGTTGATGATTCACTTGCTAACCCAATTAATGGACACAAAGGCAGCAATGGTGCACCAACGAACGACGATAAAAAGATCCCTCAATCAGTGAACCCTCTTTGGCTTATACAATCCCTCACACTCTCAGTCATATATGGACTTTTTTCAGATAACGAAAATAACGTATATATTGTCATCAGACAATTGAACGCATTGAATTCTTTAGTTAAGACCAGTGTTAAGAGCAATAGAACAGTTTTGTTTTCTATTTACGGTGAAGACTATGAAAACTATTTGAAATGTTCTGGTGAAGCTACTGATAGTGTTGCTGGAGGGAGTCCATCAAAATCACTCTTTTCCTACGACGTACATGACGAAATTAAATTCAAGAACAATATCAACATACAATCTCAAAAGAGAATTGTGTTTATGATTTATAGATTGACCAACTTCCTTCTTATGATGTATAATGTTCCATTGACTCTCAGTATTAATGATTTAGGAACCCTTGATGCTCCAAACAAATCTGATGAATACTTATGGAATTTCAAAAGTTTCCAACATTTCCAAGAATATAAGCAACAGAATAATTCAATTTCTATTGGTGAGTTGTTAGTAGAGTCATCTAACAATAAGATAATATTCAGAGATGCTCTTTTACTGATAACGAAAAATTTCAATACCAACCAACCTGCTCCTCACTTGCCATTGTTTGAAAAACTTAAGAATTTATCACTCTTCGGTTTCATTTCAATCATTCATGGGATATTTGAGATCAAGCAGTACCAAGAAATGAGAAATGTTGACGTTTTTATACTTCTTGATAATTTAACGAAATTTGTTGGAAAAGAAAATGGAAGATACGAATCTCTTAATAAAGTTCAAGAAGATTTTGAAAAATTGGATTATGCCTTATTGGCCAGTTTCACAAAGGTTTCATCACTAGTTAACATCAAGTTAGTAAAGGAACAAAGTTGGTTAAGGAATTATGACGAGCTTTCCAAAAATTTCAATAACTTGTTGATGAATATGAATAACATTAGTGATTATGATTATTTGAGGATTGTTGATAGTTGCATGACCATCTTAAAATTGATTTTATTCAAAACAGAAGATGCTGAAGAAAGCCAGCAAAGTGGTGGTGTGGCTGGATACAATAACAACGCTGTACGCTCGAATAGCTTTCATAACTTGGTTAATGAATCATTGCTTGGTATGACGGGTACTGGTGATGGATATGGCAAAGTCCATTTAAGCAATACATCTACAGAATTCGAAAAGTTGATGAACTTGAAAGTTTTCTTTGAATTTGATAATCTGAAGGCTTCTATTCATTCTCAAATGCTTTTCCATATATTTACCATATTTTCATTGTTTTCCACCTTCATGATTAGGAAGATGCATTTTAAGAACAGTGGAAACCATATTATTAATGAATTCCAAGGGCAGATCAATGAATATGATAAGGAATTGAATCAAAGATTTGACTTTATATTAAGAGTCTTGGGCAAGATTGAATCATTCTTGAAAGATAAATATGAAAATTTAAAACTTGATAGCGATTTTGCAAGTTTATACTTGTACAGTCAGAACGGCGTCTTCACCAACACTAATTACAGTTTAGAGAAATCATTATACATTTTAAAGATTGGTGAGTTGATATTGGGATACATGTACGACACCAATATTAAGGTTTGCATTTTCCAAAAGCTTAGTGGAAGTTTATCACAATTGAGAAAGTTTATGATTGATAATGAGGCAAGAATACTTAACTGATAAAGCTATCGATTGTAATGTGTGGAACGCCATGAACGAGAAGTTGTTTAAAAAAAAAAATTAAAAAGAAAATTGGTCCTTCCATGGATGCAAAGAATATTTATAAGGAATTGTTTAAGTCTGCTTTTATTTTGAATAGTACTATACTTATTTATTTTATTTATTTTTGTTATATAGTTGTTATAATGATGTTATGATTTCAAAGTGTGTAAGTATGCATTCAACAGGTACATTAGTTGTTTGAAGACAATGGAAAGAATGGAGAGAAAATACGAATGAAAAATTAAAGTTGGCGCATCGGAACTAAAAGATTGAGCCAGGTAAACACTTCGTTACTCTCTATAAGGGTACATTTGTTAGTTAGGGAAATGAGTCAAGTGTCGAGTTTTATTACCCCTAAATTGGTACATGATGCCCAATTTTCACTATCCAGTTTCGTCGCTTTAATGTTTCTTTTATTTCACTATGCATTGATAATGAGACAACTTCTTAGAGATCCGTACATGGAAACCAAGCTTATATTGGCACATGGTTCGTTATTCGTTTTAAACCTAATTGCTACCGGATATGTCGTGTTGTATGTGATATATCCATATGTTTACAGAGAAGAGCTTCTTGAAGAGAAGAAAGCGGATAAAAAGAGCGAGTAGTACAACTACAATGTGTATAGGAAAGCAATAAATTGAAATATATGTACTACTATCTTGTTCGATCAGAAAATGAAAGTCTTCAAGTCCATTCTTCATACGTAGACTATGTTCATACTTTAACTAAACCTCTAGTCAAGTAAGGGCCGTAGAACCCTAAAGCAACAATGGAAATCAAGTTGGCTAAAGATGAAATGCCATGAGCAAATCCAAACCTTTTATTCAAGGCAACCAATTCTTCAGTTGGCTCTGCTTCAGCTCCTAATTCCTTCTGTAACTTTGTTCTTTCTTCCTTTATTCTTTGACATAACGGCAACAATACAAAATAATTCACTGCTCCGGCAATTCCTGATGCAGCTAATAAACCAATACCGAAAGGGCAAAGCTTGAAAGGAGCTGTAAGTCCCAACAAGATAGGAGTGGCAGTCTGCGCTAAAAAATACGTGGGGAAGATTTTGTTTTGCAAGTTTCCGAAGTCCTCTCTCCTCAAGTGCTTAAAAGCAATTGGCGAAAGAATAAAAGAGTGGAAAGTCGAGGCTCCAAATATTAATGAGTATATCAATACATGGTATGGAGCAGAAGTATTCAATCCTAATTTAGCAAACATTTTGTTTATGATTCAAGAGCAATCGTTAGTCATTGGATATGAATTGAAGTCGGAAATTTCATTATAGTCGCATTTTCATTCACTAACAAAAATGTGGAACAACTTTATAAAAAATGTGTTGCACATCATGCCATTTCAGTTAAGAAAAATGGAGGAGTTACAATTCATATAGTTCTACCGTTTATTTCATTAATTCTACTATCTTCATATATATTATACACACCTCCTATCATTCCTTTATATTTAAAGAGAGTCAATCATCTTAAAAATCGTAGAAATTGCATTGTGCTGAACTTTTTCATTCGATACTGACACACTCTTGGTCAACTCTTCGTAATTGTTTACTACCCAACTAAAATCACTCTGTAATCCGAGGCTTAAGTTCATTGAGCTTCCATCTTCTCCACTGTGTAAAACAATTTCAGTCAATTTTTTCAATTTCGAAGTGTGTTCATATTCTTTAGCTGCTATTTCTGCCTTCATTACGATATCTTCTTGTATTCCGCACATGGAAGCAACATTCATACCAAAAGAACCAGAAGCGGAACCTTCTTCTAGCTTGTACAAAAAGGTGATATTTCTCGATCCTGCGCTATCAGCAATAATAGCCATTCTTAATGGCATGATTTTTGGATGTGTCTTAAAGGAGAGTCCCAATGTCCCATAATGGGTTGCAAAAAACCCTAATGATTGGATGTGGGTACTTAAATGGTACAACACAGATTCTGCAATTGCATAACCATCACTTGACGAACCTCCACGTCCCAATTCATCAAGAATAACCAATGAATTTGGAGTTGCATTGTCAAGGATTTTCTTTGTCTCGGATAATTCAACAAAGAATGTTGATTTACCTTGCATAATATTGTCATTGGCACCCAATCTGGTCATGATCTTATCAATTGGAGTTAACTTGGCCAGTTCGGCAGGAACCAAACAACCAATTTGACTGAGAATTACTGCAAGACCAGTAGTTCTCATCAAGGTCGATTTTCCGGCTGCATTTGCACCAGTTAATAACCCAATTGAAGCAGATCCTCCTCCTAACTTGACATCATTAGGAACAAAGTTATCACCAACAAAACATGGGTGCCTCAATTCCTTAAAGTCAAGCGATGCATTTCCAGCTTCTTGTTGATCAAATTCTGGCCTACATGAAGGGTAGCCAATAGATTCCGATGTTCTTGTAAGTGCGACCAAGCAATCTAATTGGGCTAGTTTCTTGATGGTACTGATCCAAACGTCATAGTTTTTGTCAAATTTCTCGTACATCCTGAATCTCAAACCTTCGCATAACATCTTGTGTAGTTCTCTTTGTTCCATCAAGGATCTTACCAATTTCTTGACTTCTGGTGACCAAAACCTCTTAACCTTTGAGGTTGATCCCATTTGCTGCCAATCTTTAGGAATATTCTTAACTTTTGTTGGCATTTCAATCAAGAAGATTTCTTTACCTGAATCTCTAAAGCAAATTTCGTGTGACTTATATTCCTTCTTGTATTGTTTCAAGTATTCACCCAATTTTTTCTCCAAGTTGTTCATTTTTGCTTGTGAATCATCGAACTCAGCATCAATTCCACTTTCTGGTACTATAATATCATTCAATGCATTATCTCTACAGAATGCATCGGACCAATCATTGATACATTCAGATAAGTCTCTTGGGAAACGATCAATATAAGTCTCCAAAACTCCTGCACCCTTCAAATCGAATACTTTTGCTGTCAAGATTAATTTCTCAATTCTTTCAAAACCTTCTACCACTTTCAAGAAGTCTTTGAATCTTAAAGTCTTCCCATGTACTCTAGCAATCAATCTTTCCAAATCTGGTAAATCACCCAAGCCTCTTTCCAAGACGTCTCTAAATTCACCATTATTCATCAAAAATTCTACTGAGTCGTACCTAGAATTAATGTGTTCCACTTGGTATAAAGGATTTAAAATCCATGTCTTCAACATTCTCTTCCCAAATGGTGTAATAGCACGATTCATTAGCTTAAACAATGTACCTTTGTCAGTTCCATCAAAAGAATTGTTCAAGATTTCTAAGTTTGACAAGGTTATTCCATCAAGAAGCAAATTTGTAGTACTTGTTGTCTTTTGCTCGTCATATTGATGAATGTTACCTAAAGTCATTATACTTTCATCTAACTTCAAATTTTTGAGATAATGTAACAATCCTCCAAAAGCATTGAAACCGACCTTATATTCGTCTTTAAATTGCAAAAGGATTTTGGGGTAATTGGTGTAGTCGTCTAAATCAGTAGCTTCATAATATTTACTTTTGACTAGTTCTTCCAAGGTAGTATCGTAGTCCCAAAATTCAGTTTCGGGATTCAAGTAATTCCAAATGATTCCACTAGATGAATGTTTTAAAATCTTCATAGGAATTGAACTCAAATTATTCTTTTCACATATAATTTCTTTGGGTTTAATTTGAGTGATTATTGTGTCCAATTTGTTGCATTCATCTATGTCATCCTCTTCAATTTCAATCATTTGTAATTCTGAAGTGGATGTATCGACAAATGCTAATCCCAACTTTTTCCCATCCTGTTTTATACTTAAACAGTAGATTGCCATATCATCAGTAATCATATTTAAATCTGTTAAGGTTCCTCCAGTTAAGACAGAGGTCAATTCTCTTTTGATGATTTTCTCTTCTTTCGTGTTACCTCTCATCTCCTTAGCTAATAAGGTTTCAACCTGATCGACTTTAGCCACTTTGTATCCATTACTAACAAACTCCTTTGCCCAATACTCGAAGGACATTTCCGGAATACCAGCCAATTTCATATTGGCCCTACCACCTCCTGCAATTTTCAAATCAAACTTGGTGTTTGCGATAATTGCATCATTTTCATACAACTCATAAAACTTACCCTTCTTGAAGAAAACAACTGTATCCCACATTTTAGACTTGATTTCCCAATATTGCTTCTCAAAATTGGTAAACTTGGCCCAAGCCGAGGATGGGACGTATAAAGTTCTAGAATCATAGTCCGGATCGTCTACTGATTTCTTGTTTGCGTCCTTAATGTTGACAAGCCATTGATATCTTTCCTCATTTTCCTTGTTGAAGTTTCTCTTAGCTAACGGACTGGTCATAGAAGCCTTGGAAACAGGCTTAGAAGCTGTCTTAATAGAGTCTGGGACATGAGTAGAATTAGAGTTGAACTTGGCTCCAAGAGCGCCTCCCGTCGCTTCTTCTCTACTTGATCTCCTGTCCGATGTGTTAGTTTTTGGTTTCGTAGATGGAGACGACTTTCTCTTAGGTTTAAATTTCACTATTTCCGTGTCATCATCCTCTTCACTCTTAGCATCCGATTCATCTTCGTCTGGTACTATGAAATCGCTCATATCATCATCATCATCTTCCTCCTCATCTTGGATCTTGAATTCATCTTCTTCGTCATCATCACTTTCTATGATTTTTCTCTTTTTTACATTTACTTTGACGCTTTCATCTTCAGAGTCTGATTCGATATAGCTCACTGACTTCGAAGCGGCTCTACGTTTCACTACAGGTGTTATTTCCAGTTCAGTCCCCATATCTATAGCTGACACATTTCTTTTGCTTACAGGTGATGATTGAAGCATACTGCCCTCCTGGGGGGCATTCTTCTCCTCTTCAATATCCTTGATATCTTTACCGCTGCTCTTACTAGGCTGCTTGCTCTTCAAAGGTGAGGATTCGAAGCTCATCTTCTGAGTCGACAGTATAGTACTCTCGGTATCTGAGGTAAGAGGAGTCGAATGGATCCTCGACGAGTCGTCATCCTTATCACTATCATTCTTCATTGGCGAAGACTTCGCAATGCCGGCGATGGTAGCACTCTTAGCTTGTTGGGGCTTAAAGAACGACATTAGCGACAGTTGCTTCATCTTGCCACTGCTTGATGGCTTCGCTGAAGCTCTCTTCACAGGTGTTAAAGTCATGCTTACTCACTAGTTTTACTCCACTAGTCTAAAGAAAGAAAAGCCAGACGATTTTAGGGTAATGAGTTTACAAAGTGCTTTCCTTAGTGAAAAAGCGTGTAGCCATATCTATGCGCGATTCGCGTCTTGGTTTTGTTTAGGTCTACAGAAAACAAAAACAAGAGACTGCTCTACACGTGAATGTGAGAAGTGTATGTAGCAGGTCGGCTGAAAAATAACATACTCATAATTAAAGGAAGATGTTGCTAATTGATTTCTGATGAGGGAGGGAAGGTTTAAAATAGTTGATAGTAATTTAAAATGAGTTATTCCTATTTACTGAACACCAAATTTTTTCTCACTAATGATCACTTAAATTGTGTAGGTACTTCATCATCGAAAGTGTAGCTTTCTTCTGGCAGTGCTTCTACACCATTGCCCCCCACATTCTGGTCAACCAAATAATCAGACCGTGACCTTGAATTGGGTATACACTTAGTCCAAGGTGCCTGTCCCACCTACACCAAAGTGAAGCTAGTGGTAGGCATAGATTATGTTGTTCGTGTATGCAGGAAGATCGGCAATTTTTACTGCTTTTCTGCTGCAGCATCTTAAGCAGTCTCCTTCTACCTCCATCACCTGATTATAACTTCCATTCAGTTTGGTGATATTTACGGTTTTCTAAATCCTTATCATACATATGACCTATTGGTTTAAAGTCGCTTCTGGATGACCTTCGATATAGAGAAGGAGCTTCTCATCACCAATCACCGCACTTCAGAAATTCCGCTTTTTCATAATCATGTAAGAGGGGTTTTTGCTTAGCGCGAAGATTGAATCTGGAAAAGCGGAATTGGATTGAGTCTGTCAGCCGCATAGAGATGTACTCTGTGGAACACTTTTCAATCCCAGCCTAAGTAACGGTTGCTGATCTAGACTTCAGGTGCCGCTTATAAAGTAGCAGTTGCGCTTGTTCACCGTCCAAGATATGAGTGTAGGCTTCATACTATGTCGCCGAAAAGAGAGTATTTGCTTAGTAGAATGCGCTAGAAGAGCGAAAATGCGCCAAGGTAGTTAAGTTGCAAAATATGGAGCTTCTAAAGCTCCCGGGCTCCCCACTCGCCAAATAGACTATAGACTATCGAAGATCTTCTTCAGTCTAGAACCTCCTTGTTATTTCTTCCAAAATACGAGATGGAAACTGACTTGTTCTATTCACGAGACGCAGAATTATCTCTACGATTATCTAAATTGATTATGTCAACATAAAGTCTACCTTGAACTGCTAGCCTGACCAAATCCTGATATAGGATGATTTGTTGTGCTAACATAATGGGCTCCTATCAAGTGTATCAATATCACCTGGTCCTAATTAAAATTTTCCTCTTTCTGTGGTATCCTTGTCCTGTAAAAACTGTAGAAACAGACGCTAACGCACTAATTAGGTTACCTATTTCTACTATGGAAATATTTTCTTGGAGTTCATTCTCCCTTGGTACTCTGCATTGACATTTACTGTGCCTTTCCGGTTAAGAATGCAGGATATATCACATTCACTGGATACTATTATCCTCGAAATAGTACACCGCATATCTATATACTTTTCCGAGAGGGGATCTCCTTTAGCGCATATTGTTGATCCGGAAAAGATCTGATAAGAATAGAAGCCGCAGGATTTATTTGGCTTCAAGAGTCCCAAACCTGTCCTAAAGTTCAAAATTATGACTATCTATTGCCGCTACTAAATGGGCATTTGCGCTTTATTGTTCCATCTCATTTCAATTGTGTGGAGAAAGCACAACGATTATCCATCATCACTAACTAGCTAGACCAGTTTGTTATAAATCGTGTAATCTTGATCCTGTTTCTTATCGATCAGATTATTCTTATATCTGATTATTCTTATCAATCTGATAGCTATAAATTACTCGAGAATCTCTGGGTAACGAAATAGCTCCATAATAGATCTGCTGCTTTGTATTATACAAAATGGCTTTCTTAGAGAGGCTTACTCAAATAACAGACTTCCTTGAAGTTCCTCACGATAATGAACCAACTATACTTCAAAATAAGGACTTGGAGCCAATGCCACCAAGTAGAAGAGTATGGGGATATTCCTAGCTTTACTATATGGACGTGGCTGACTGGTTCAGCCTTATTGGCATGTGGATTAAATGTTGCTAATATCATGGGTGCGATAACAATTGGAAATGTATTATTCATTCTGTATACTTGTTTCAACTCTGGTCCTGGTGAAAAGTTCCATATAGGTTACACTGTGTGTCAAAGAATGATATTTGGAATATATGGTTCTGGAATTGGAATTCTAATTAGAGTTGTTCTCTCTATTGTGTTTTATGGGTCTCAGAGCTGGCTAGGAGGTCAAGCAATGGTTGTCATATTTTCATCATTCAGTAAAAATTATATGGATATGGAGGACACATTCCCTTCCTCTTTAGCTATGACATCTAGAGACTTCATTGGCTTTGTTGTTTTTCAGATTCTTCTGATGTTCTTTTTTTTAATGAAGCCAGAAAAGATGAACAAATATGTCAATTTTGCTTGTCTGATTACTGGTGTTGCCTTCGTTGCAATTTTGATTGCTTGCTTGAAGAAGAATGGAGGAAGTCCAGGGCCCCTTTGGTCCCAAAAATCTACTTTATCTGGCAGTCAGACAGCTTGGATGTGGATTTACACTATGTCTATTTGGTTCGGTGGGCTCTCCCCAAATGTTACAAACCAAAGTGATTTTTCACGTTTCTCTTCATCAAAGACGAAGATGTATTTGGGAATCATTGTCTCCATATTCGTTGGGGGTACATTTGTACCACTTGCCGGTATAGTAGCAGCCTCAGCTACTGAAGAATTATATGGAGAGGCACTTTGGTTACCAACTGATATCTCTTTAAGATGGATGGCGGATAATTATTCCAGTGGATGTAGGGCTGCAAATTTCTTCCTTGGATTCTGTTTTGCTGCCTCCCAGTTGACTTTCAACGTCTTAGCAAATGGATTCTCTGGAGGGATGGACTTGGCTGGTGTTTGGCCAACGTACATTAATATCCGTAGAGGATCTACAATCACTGCATTGCTTTCTTGGGCAGTGCAGCCATGGAATTTTTACAATACATCATCTGTCTTTATCAGTGTCTTGGGGTCCTTTGGTGTGTTCGTCACACCGATAGTTGCAATTATAGTCGCTGATTATCATTTCGTCAGGAGAGCTAAAATTCCGTTACTGGATCTTTACCTGTTAGAATCAAGCGGTACATTTTATTTTACGAAAGGTTTCAACTTTAGGGCAATAATAGTCTGGTTGGTATCTTGTATTCCAGGTATCCCAGGACTCATAAAGAGTGTTCGCCCAGAATTCAAGATACCTGTAGGACTAACCAATTTCTACTATGGTAATATCTTTTTTGAGTTCATATGTCCATTAATTCTCTACGTAATAGTCTGCCTTATTTTCCCAGTAAAGAATGCTGGAATGGTAGATAAAGTGGATGTTTTCAATGCCTTTACCCTAGAAGAATGTGAGAAGCTAGGAATACTTCCAAATGACACCATAGAAAGCGTAGAAGTGTCTGACATCGAAATAATTTCAGAAGGTAAAGTTCTGCCTACCGTAAAACAGTTTTCTGTTTGACTCAAAGTCTAAATAACTACATAGAGAATACCTAAACAATGAATACTATAATTAAAATACGAATAGTCTTTACAAAGCTTACTCTACTGGTAAGAAGTGTTCCGTACACCTTGCATGAGAAGTCAGCCGCATTGTGAATTTATGGTCCGCAGGCTAATCCGTTCCATTTTTGACATCCCGCCATTAATTTGGAATTTGCGCACTAATGTTAGTAGCTACATGGGAGCGGCTCGGGGAACCTTAATGAAACACGGAATCTATCATCAGACATGCAACTGAGCCGTACCTTGATAAAATATAAACTTCGATGGCTTATCTCACTCAAACCTCTCATAAGATGATGCGTCGTTTCATTGCGGAACTAGTATTTGTCCAGTTTGTATATATATATATATATATGTATTTGACATGAAGGTGGTTCCAGGAGTATTTGTTTAACAGTAGGCAAATACTTAAATTTTCAGAAATGACTTACTCAGATAGGATAACTCGATTGTCAAAGTTTCTTGAAGTTCCTCATGATACGGAGCCAACTATACTTCAGAATAAGGACTTGGAGCCAATGCCACCAAGCAGAAGAGTATGGGGATTTTTCAGTTTTGCGGGTTATTGGGGAAATCCAAACTTTACAATTGGCACTTGGCTGGCTGGTTCCGCCTTGATAGCTACTGGTTTAAACGTCGGAAATATTATGGGAGCGATAGTTATTGGAAATGTAGTGTTCGCTATTTATACTTGCCTCAATTCTGGTCCTGGACAAAAGTTCCACATAGGTTATACGGTGTGCCAGAGAATGATCTTTGGTATATATGGTTCTGGCTTTGGGATTATCATGAGAATTATCCTTTCCATAATCTTTTACGGATCTCAGAGTTGGCTCGGATCCCAAGGATTAGTCGTCATATTCTCTTCCTTTAGTAAAAGTTATATGAATATGGAGAACACTTTCCCTGATTCCGTAGCTATGACAACTAGAGATTTCATCGCCTTTTTGGTTTTCCAGATAGTTCAAATGTTCTTCTTCTTGATGAGACCTGAAAAGATGAATAGCTATGTAAACGTTGCTTGTATGATCACGGCTGTTTCATTTGTCGCAGTTTTGATCACTTGCTTGAAGAAGAATGGAGGAAGTCCGGGGTCTCTTTTAAGTGCAAAGTCAACTTTAAGCACAAGTGATACTGCTTGGATGTGGATCTATACCATGTCCATTTGGTTTGGTTCATTGTCACCAAATGTCACGAACCAAAGTGATTTTTCACGTTTTGCCTCCTCAAGATTGAAGATGTATTTGGGTATCTTTGCTGGAATTCTCGTTGGAGGCACATTTGTCCCCATTGCAGGAATAGTTGCATCTTCTGCTTGTGAAGAACTCTATGGCGAAGCTTATTGGCTACCAACTGATATTTCTTTAAGATGGATGGCGGATAATTATTCAAGTGGATGTAGGGCTGCAAACTTCTTCCTCGGATTTTGTTTTACAGCTTCTCAATTGACATTTAACGTGTTGGCCGACGGGTTTTCTGGTGGTATGGACTTGGCTGGTGTTTGGCCAAAGTACATAAATATCCGTAGAGGTGCTATTATTACAGCGTTGCTCTCATGGGCAGTTCAACCATGGAATTTTTATAATACGTCGTCTGCCTTTCTCGATGTCATGGGCGCTTTTGGTGTCTTTGTAACACCAATAATTGCTATCATTGTTGCTGATTTTCATATCGTTAGAAGAGGAAAAATCCCATTACTGGACCTCTATCTGTTAGAAACAGATGGTACTTTTTACTTCACCAAGGGCTTCAACTTTAGAGCTTTTGGTGTATGGGTAGTTTCCTGTGTTCCAGGTATCCCAGGACTTGTGAAATCTGTCAAAGCAGATGCTAATGTACCGGTTGGCTTAACTAACTACTTTTATGGTAATATCTTTTTGGAATTTATTCCTCCATTGATTCTTTACGTGATAGTTTGTCGTATTTTCCCAGTAAAGAATGCTGGAACGGTAGACAAATTGGATGTCTTTAATGCATTCACCTTGGAAGAGTGTGAAAAGTTAGGAATACTTCCAAATGACACCATAGAAGGGGTCGAAGCATCTGATATTGAAATAATAGTAGAAGAGAAAGATATGGCTACAATTAAACAGATTTCAGTATAGTTCGAAACTACACATATATATTTTATTTTAATAAGGTTTTATTTTTGACTTCGAAAACAATAGTAAGATGAAAGGGCAAAATTTAACGAGATGAATTTTGAAAAATGAGTGAATGCAATGCTGAATTGGTATATCTTTTAATGAGTAATAAGACTCTTAGTTGACGACTTGTAAGGCAACACCGGTGCCTCCAGTACATTCCTTTCTTGACAAAGAAAACTTATTGTCACCAGATGGGCAAGCCCAGAAACCGTCACCACCTTGAAATTGCAAGTCATCATTTTCAACAGAGAATCCTGTTGATGCACTTTGTTGGCCCCAAGGGTCAACATTACCAATTTCGCCGGTGTTTGGGTCAACATAAACTCCTCTTCCATCTTGATCGTGCAACGAACCGTCAGAATTAAATGATAAAGTTAAATCTTTTCCTTCATCCCCACCAACAGAGAAAACGTGTGGGTGGGAATCTACCTTTTTCACTGTGGCAAGGTGAACGTTACTTCCAGAATGAATAGTTATGAGTCCAAAATTGCTAGGTTCATCACTTGGAGCTTCTTCTTTTGGTTCATCTTTCTTTGGTTCTTCTTCCTTTGGTTCTTCTTCCTTTGATTCTTCTTCCTTTGATTCGACATCTTTTATGTCAACTGCATGTAAAATGACACCCAATCCATCAGTACAATCCTTAATAGAAATAACATAGCCGTCTTTATTTGCATTTGGACAAGCTCTGTAAATCTGCTTTCCATCGTAGGTCAAGCTTTCGCCATCAAGTCCAAATGAAGTGGAAGCAGTGATTCCATTTCCCTCTTCAGTAGCAACACCAGCATCGGTAAATCCGAATTTCTTTCCATCGCTTCCAGCAAAAGAACCGTCATCATTCAAGGTGAATCTTGCATCTCCACCGCTACCAACATAAAGTGTTGGGTCGTTGTCCTTAGTGAGGACAGATGCGTATTGTAATTGGGAACCAGAACGAATAGTAACTAAGCCAAACTCCTTTGCTGCTTGAGCAATGGCAACCAAAGTTAAAAGAGATAAAGAAGCGGAAATTTGCATTTTGTTTTGTAGGTATGTATGTTTGCTATTTGGTTTAAAAGTAATCAAATATGAATGTAATGATTAATGATAAGTAAATATCAAATCCAATTTAGAAGAGAGTTTGAGAGGTTTATATATGCTTGGAATATACATCTTGGTTGCAACGTTTCTAACCTAATGTAATGTAAGAATTTAATAAGTGGTCAGCAATGTTAAGTTTTCTATTTTAAGTTAGATATTTCTATACCTAAATTTAGGATTAGGTGCATCATTTTAAGTATTACATCATTAATTTCAAGCTATGGATAAAACGTATTTCGGTTATCTTTCTATCTAAAGAGTGTGATTCCAAGATCTCACTACGTTAAGTTCAACTTTTCGCATACACAGCAAGCCTACTAGACAGTGTGCTCTCATATCATAATATAATCGTCCTTGGTAGCTTCCTTACACAGAGTGTCCCTTTACTCACTTAACCAAAGTAACTCACATTTTTGCACCTATATGAAAAGTGGTGATGACTTGTATAATTCCAAGACTTTTTTTGCAGCAAACGGAAATCCGCACACCAAGAAATTATTTGTAAATTGGTTGCATTTTCTGTGCTATGAGCCGCATGGCACAGTTACACTCTATTTTTAGAAGATGAATTTTTGGTTCTTGTCATGTACAATCAAAAAAATAGAAACAAATATTATGCACCATGACAACATCCTGAAAACCTGGCAAATAATTGTCATTACCGAGATCATCTTTACATAATTATAACTGTAATGTAGTGGCTTATTTATTTCTAAGCCAAAACGTTTAAGTATAATACGGTTTGGAAATGAAAATTGTTGAAAATACGAGGAGATGAACAAAGCAATGTTTAACAGGTAGTGGATAGAGCGGGTCTAGCACTTACACCCTAGTGCTACTTTGCTACTTTGAAGTTGTTATTTACTAAGAATAGATCATCAGTATATTAGATTAACTATTTCTTTTTAAATTTCCGCCTGGGACTACGTCAATTCACATAAATTTTGGGTTGTTGAAAAAGCAAGTTCGTTTTTTAGATCTGAAATGCTTAGGCATTTGAAATGTGGGGTACAATTAGTCGGATCATCGATTTACTTCATTATTTCAATTAAGTATTCTCGTATGCCGAGGTCATTTTTCTAAATAAGCCGTTATTTCTTTGGTAGTGGTCTTTGCATAGCCACCACGGAGAAGTACAGATGGAAATTCCAGAAACATCGAAAGTTGCATTTGCACCTTAATTGCGAAACTAATAAGCACAATAAGCTAGAAATTTACTTCGTTTGGTCAGACACCATCTAAAATGGTGATTAGCAAGTACTTCCATCTAATTTGTCCTTCCATATTTCTGCTATTTGCAATATTTGGAGAATGCCAAAGCTATAGAAGCTCACTTAAGAATTTTGAAGTTTTAAGGTTATCTGCGAAGACTCATCATGATTCAATTATACTCCAAGAATTAAGCTTGGCTCATGACTCAAAGCATTCATTGGCACCATATAGTACTTCTAGAAAATGCATTCAAGATTCAATCATCACGTTTCATATCAAGGACTTGAAATTGGTAGACGAAGAATTCGAAGGATCTGAGTGTAGATTAAACACCAAGGAAAACTATCAGGTCATAGTAAGTCCTACACCACAAATTCATTTAAAATTACACCAAGATATGTTCAGACAAAAACCATCCCATTATAAAGACATTGAGAGCCACATAATTGAAAAAGTTGAGAATTACCCAAAACTTGATTTACCATTTTATGACTTTGAGAGCTTGAATTATGATTTAGAATGTCCTATTGAGTACTTTGAGATTGGCCAAATTAAATTGAGGCAATTTTCCTTGGAAACTATTCTAGAAAAAAATGTTAAAATGTCACCTTCCTGTGGATTCAGCGTTTCAGATCCGGAATTCGATGGTTCAATAACAACCTTGGAAACGCTAAGAATTCCTATTAACGGGACATTTCAGTGTGTCAATGGAAGAACCTCCACTTGTAGAAGATCGATTGCACAGGTTGCTAATGCAAGGTATAGATTATTAGATTATATTAAGTAGAATAATGCAATTAGGCCACATTTACCTTACTTCTTTATTCAAGAAATATTTCACAACATCTATAGCTCCTAATGAATCCTCACCACTATCATGCTCCCCAGTTTGGATAGTTCTTCCAAGGAATGTAAAACATAAATATTGTAACGAAAAGCGCATCAGAGGGGATGTCTTGTACTTTGGATATAGTATAGCCGTATCAACGATATTATTGTGAATTATTCTCATTGCATTTAAATCGTTTTCAAGTCCGTGCCCGACAAGTATGGTATTCCTGTCCATCACTTCATTGAGCATTACAAGATGATCTTCAAAAGAAACTGCCTCATCTTTAATCTCAGCAACTCCTGACCATTTCGTATTCAAGTCTATAACTTCACCTTTTGGCTTAACGAGAATATCGATAACTTCTTCGCCAGTCACAAAATCAACAGCGGTGGTCCGCAAAAGCTCGAATCCAAGAGTTGTATATCCCATCTCACAATCTAGGCCCAAAGCTGCAAAGCTTCGTTTATTTGTAGGCAAATCATTAGTATGAGTAAACGGAATTGCATCATGCAATTCCTCGGGTGTAGACCATTGATACACGTGATGTTCACTAACACTGCATTCATCACAATCTCCAACTATTCCACCACAACAAGTCCATGCTCGAACGAAGTTATCCTTTTTCCTATTCCTCCCAGAGTGGTAAAGACAACGAGTTGGTTTCAACTGATCAGCAAGTTTAAACTCTTTCCCGCACCTCTTACAAGGCCGCGTGTCATCCAAGTCTGATATTGCTGTAGGAAATGAAGGTACATCAACAATATACCCAAATCTGGCCAATTTCTCCTTCGATATTATTAATTCTCTTAATCTGGAAAGAAGTTCTTTCTCATCAATTTGAGTACTTTTCTTATTCTTCTCAGGATTACGCTTTAAGTCATAAACAAACCGCTTTACTGTCTGTGCGTACGTGTTTTTGGTGCTGTCGGAAGCAATTTTGAACTCATCTTCAGTTGCTTGAAGAATTGGGGTTTTAAGTCCAGGCGTAACTTCTCTGTATACGTCCACAATCAGCTGAATGTACTTTTTACGTTCTTGTATTGGAGCTGGGTTTCCATTCACAATGTCTCTCGGTAATATAAATCTAGGATCTCCCTTAACATCGCTATTTTTTGCATTCAATCCATTAATTATCTTATTTAATCGATCTTGATATTCTTCTTCGGATTTACTTTCTATGCAGATGCTGTACTCTGCATCAATGGCTACCTTGTTCGAATTTGCCAAGTGCTTCACATCTTTGAAGAACTTGGCCAACTTTCTTGCAGCTACTGTTCTCAGCTGCCTCGATATTTTCAGAATAGCTACAGATTTAGGTAAAAGTAGTGAACTCTCGTTTTCTACTTTAGCTCTCTTGGTTGCATTTTGAAGCTCCTCTTCCTGCCCCAATGACCTTTTTTTGCTCTCCGGGTGTTTGAATATGCAATTGACTACATCACAGACAATGTTTTGCTTCAATGAAGGGCACTCTATCTTCGAAAAGTACCCATTCTTAGGCTTGAACATAGCTTCTAGTCACAAGTTTAGCTTCTTTACCTGAACCGACCAGTTTCCTCGAGTTCACACTGATATACATATAGCTGTATTGTATGCAGGAAGTGAAAGATGAACGGACTATTCACTGCAGTGAAGTAGTATCAACCATTTTCATAGCAGCACTGTCAGTATAGACATCGAAGTCTACGAACTACGTTAATGAAAGGTAGTTTATATATGTTGAGCTATAGTTTGGTCTGACATGGTAAAATGGTACAACCCGAGTGCCCCCAGCATTTGCAGCCAGTAACGAAGAACTGCAAGCGAACACAAGGAACTGCACTAGAGTAAAGACCGAATGAAGTGGATGTACACAGTCTTAGCCAATGTATAGCAACTCTTCACGTCTTGACTAACAAGTCCAGATAGCTTTTTTTCTCTTACTGTTGCCCATAATTGACTAGTCAAGACCTTATCATACACTCTCTAGTAAGTGTGATTACCCGGATACGCTCTGTAGCCCTAAGCATCTCATCTCTATGCATCGATCTCGGTACAGTGTTCCTAACCACAAAATTTTCACTATAAGTAGAGCTCGAATTTTCCAATTTTTAGATGTTTTAGATTTTTTTCTTTGTCGACGTACTTCATAGGATCATTTCTATAGTTTACGTCCCTCTTTGACTCTTCAAAAGAGCCACTGAATCCAACTTGGTTGATGAGATGATACCCTTATACCCTCAAAGTGAGAATATTATTTTAGCTTGTCTGTGGTCCTTAGCGACCTAGTCATCTATCAATATTTTGCCTTTTTCTGTAGGATTTAGTTTACTATTTCCTTAATAAAAGGAGCGATGATCTTTACCCTTTTCTGTCTACTTCTTCGGTTGTAATAGGTTAGGGTGGGTATAAGTGGCTGTCTGACAAGTTACATCTAGTAAGGTTTAAAAGCTTTACTTGAGAGTAACTGTAGTCAATTATCTGGTTGCGACGTCGACATATAGGAACCAATAAATGGAAATCAAGAAAGTTTTGATATTTGTAGAATGTAGAATGTAGAAAGGAGTTTTATAATTCCTTATAAAATTCAATTGTTTCGTGTGTTCGTATTTCATCGTTTGGAGTATTGTACCTCTAGCTCTGGCCATGGTGTCTTTCCTCAGGTAGTACGTCTAAACCTACTCTACAACTACAGTTATACCTTCGCATCAACTAAGATTTGTGGTACTTTTATTAGCTTATACAATTCTAGATGCATCCTTGGCTGGATATTCATACAACTTATAGTAATCAACAACCTCTCCATTCAAGTTATTCTCACCTTCAATTGGTAAATAGAATAAATTTCTCCAATTATACTCACCCAAAAACCAAAAATCACACCAGTTCTTTCTCCATCCATAGTCGCTAGGCACTTCAAACTCATCAAGAGGGTTATAGTTGTGCGAAGACAGAGCATTAGCATCATTGCTTGATTTGAAAAATGACTGAAAGAAAATCTTCACGGTTTTCACGAATTGATCCAAGCCGATTAATTTCATACAAGTCTTGAAACCATCAGAATTGTGAGAGTGGACAGGACCAGAGTGGCTAGGTTTCTCTGTTAATAATGAGAATTCCCATGTAGTTATACCTTTCAAAATTTGGAAAGTTTGAGTTAGCTCTAAAAATACAACCCAAATTAATTGAAAGATACACCAAATTAATAAGTTGAAGTGGAAATTATTATGCTTGTATCCAACGCACAAATCATCCGAAAGTAAAGAACATTTTTCATTTTCATCGTCGCTATCGTATCCATCCACTCCACCTTTGTACTTGTCGAAAAATTTCAATGTAATATGAATATAAAGAATAAGGCCGAAATTTAAAGAGTAGACAAACGCCATGAAAAGCTTATGGTTTCTTACTCCAATTTCATTGTAAACCCAAGGGCAGTAATGATCAAATCTAGCAACAAGCTTGTTGGATGATCTTGAGTATCTAGACCTAAGTGGTTTCCTAACATGAGCTTCAACGCAAAAATTATTTGAGTCGAACTTCCCTATTGCTGTCAAATCTTGAATCTGCTGAAGGATGACGCTATTGTCACTAGGCGTAGGAACATATCCAGGATTTATTAACATAGTTTTGAAGAAAGTTCTAATAAATAGAAAGATAGCACAACCCAAAGTTACATTAGTGAAAAACAGCTTCAACCATAGTACTGGCAAAATGTTATAAACCCACACCAAGATAGCCCAAAAGGCAGTAGCTGAGAATATGCCCGCTAAAAATGGAGATTTGGCAATAGCTTTACTTTCTCTAACGTAAATTGGCAATATGAAGTTGTTTAAGAACCAAAAGGAAACAAATAGAATTCCAATTGACAATGCAAGTTTAGGTATGGCATAGCCTGAACTAAAGGAACAAATGGCGAGCACTGAAGGTAACATGAGATATGGAAGGAAAAATGTAATAATTTTAGCAGCCTTCTCATCAATAAATCTAGAGTACGGCTTGTACACCCATCCATTTGACTCATAAATTCCGCAATCTTTTAGAACCGTAACCCAAGTTTCATAACAGTTCATGTCCTTCGCTATTTCAAATGAATCCTTGCCCTTATCATTCTTTGCAAAAATATCTGATTTAGCTTCGACTAGCGCCTTCAAAACAGGTTTACTTCCTCTCATAAAAGCCCAATGTAACGGGATGAATAATGTGTTGTCAACTTTCCCTACATCAGCTCCAAATTTAATTAAGGTATTTAAAGTGAAAATGTCACCCTGATATGCAGCCCAATGTAACGATGTACGATTATTATCATCCACTTCATCGATGTATATTTGTTTACTAGTGCCAGATGCGTTGGCACAGCAATTCAAAACAACATATATCACCAACATAATGTTCAGAGAATGTACCGCCAAATGCAAGGCATTGTAGGACTGTGCATCCCTTAATGTGGGATCAGCAGAGGTATTGCTAAGTAAATATTCTACAATATAGGTTAATCCATTACGACACGCCCAATGCAAAGGGGTGGCTTTCAAGTCTCCACCTTGAATATTTGGATCAGCCTTGGAATATTCATTTTCACATAAGTACTTTACAATCGCTAAATTATCATTGATTGCAGCCCAGTGAAGTGCTGTTACTTTATCTTCAAACGTATCATTTGCTGACACTGTCCTAGAAGAAATTAAGTCTTGGACAATGGGTAAATTACCCTTTTGGCACGCATCCATAAGTGACGTTAAATCTGGATTTTGAAGCTGTTCTTCTGACAACTTATTGCCTATGTCAACATCGCCATTCGACTCCAGGTTCTCGGTTCTATCTCCGGCATCGCCATTTAATTCAGTCATCTGTATATTATTTAGATCGTCTTTGTCGATGTCAATCAATGCATCTGTAGATTTCAATGAGGCTACATCTAGTGATCGTACATCCAGGTGTTTGTCACCACCACTTGACAGAATCGATTCACCAATTGGCTCAGAAGACGAATTTTCCGTTACTTTTAGTTCACTCATAATGTAAAAACAAAAGAGCTAAGTATACACTTGAGTTTATTACCCCAGCCGTACAAATTGAAGTGGTCACTACAGAAAGAGGTCGACTACATATAGTGCAAAGTTTCTGAGTTCTTTGATCTCGTGCAGCGCCCGCATACACCAAAAAAAGTTGATGTCGGTATGCACACGAATTAGATGGAACTGTTACTCGCTTAATGATGGCCCACGGAATACTATTGATATATGTCATTTTAGATGCTATTCTTGGTGGGAGTAAGCTGATAATAAGAGTCTTCTAGAAAATAAGTGAAGAATTGGTGCATTCTTCCAGGTAAGTTGTGCTTAGCAAAGAGAACCATAAACGTTTGCAATCAAGATTTGATCGCGATTACGAGTTAAAGGCGCAGTGTATGCAAATGATCATCTACGTATGTATGCATATTAAGTATGGCGGTCTTTTCTTATTCAAAGTTTATTCAAAGTTTATTCAATATTATTTTGACTAAATACTAGTAAATAGTATAATACAAATTCTCGTGTGACTGTTAGCATTTCACTTGCTACAAAGTCGAAATACAAAAAAAATGAGGGTCCCCTACGATTTTTGCACCCACAAATGTCCTTCTAGGTTTCAGTCCCAGTATCATTTTCAGTTTCCTGGTACCTCTTATTCAAGCTCTTAACACTTTTAATGCTCTTTGAATCGTCTTCAAATGAATTCACAGCAGTGGAGTCTGCAGTATCAACTGAGTGTGGAAGTACAGTGTGGGAGCTTGTCTGAGTGGTCGCAGATGCAGAAGCGCTAGAGCCAGGGCGCACCAGGCTGGTATTCAACAGGGTGTTCAGGGTACTCTTTTTCTTCTTCTGAATTGAATTATATTGATCATTTACGAAATTCTTAATCTGTTCACCAGCCTTAATTGTGCCAGGTACAATTTTCTCTTCAAAAACTGGTTGTACTTTATCGTTGATAAAGCTTGGGCGAACTTCATTTGGCTCAATGAGCCCCAAGTTCTTTTGACCAACTCTTTCAAGATGTTTTTCAATAAGTAAGAAATTTCTTGAGTTAGCCTTATAACCAATTTCAATCAAGTCTCCTACAATTGGAATTAAACCAAGCAAAAAGTCAATTAGAACGTTGAAAATGAAGATAAAATGGATGTCTAATGGCAACCCATCCTCTAACTGCCTGGCAGCGACAAGCATAGTTAACGACCAATATGTAGCTACAATCAGACCTGCTATTGGAATTATTCCTACTACATTTGACCAACCAAACTTAACTCCAAGGAAGTTAAACCACATGTCATAACGATATGCTTTTTTCCTAAGGGTGTCCAAGACATCAATATCTTTGGTAGATAATCCTGCAGGAGTTCTTCTCTTAACTTTTTTTGTACGTTTGCCCTGTTCGTCTAATGGGATGTACTCATAGTAGGGATCCTCGACCCCAAATTTGTTTAACTGGTTGTCACGGAGGAGTCTGTTTGCTAAGTATTTAAAAACGAATTGAGACATACTATAATCTGGTTACTGAGAAGAAGCATCTTCTAAACCTTTTACTTTCTGTAAGATTTTTATAAAGTAGCTAATTTACTTTAAGGTTGCTCCTAAGAAGGTTGCTCGTTCCTGCAGCTGGCAATCTATGCATCATTCGTGTGACTTTTCATGCACGAGCAAAGAAATACGAATTGCTGCATATTCTTTCTTGTCCAAAAGAACATTTTCGAGCAATATAGGAGTTCCATATCCCTCCAGCGATGTACTATTACAGTTTAAGATCGCCGGATTTCCGTGAGTACCTTTGCTAGCTTCTTCACAGCTGTAATTGTCTCTGCTTCTTTCGCGACGTTCATGAACATCTCGCCTGGGACAACACGAACGTGAACGAATGTTCGTAAATATTTTGAGCAGCTACATCCCAATTTCAGGTCCTGGACTGATGAAATTGTGGCATCTGCTTTCTCGGTTACCCTCTACGTGGTTCTTAATGTCACCAGTCCGTGACTATATGACTTACTCAGGGCCCATTTTCAGAAGCATGACATCGTGCATAATAGCGGTACCTTGAAAAAATCATTTCAAATTCGCCTTCATGGCCAAGTTGGTAAGGCACCTCACTAGTAATGAGGAGATCGTCAGTTCGAATCTGGCTGAAGGCATCCTTTTTTTTTTGTGAACAAGCGCTCTCTTCAATTGGCTGCAAATACAAAACGAACTCACTAGCGTAGCTCTTGAGCTGATCTAGACAAGTATGTCCTCTGAAATGAGTCTCTTGAAGTCGGAAAATAATGATTACTTTGAGAAAGGAAATGTTGCTCTGGAGAAGAGCGAGAGTGACAAGTTATTAAATCCAGTATTGAACAAAAATAGCCAATACGCTTCTTGGTGCACTGAAAATGAAGCACCACTAGAAGAAGCTGACATCGCATTAGTCTTTGAAGAGATTGGTTCCAAATATGGGTTCCAAAAGGACAATGTTGCTAATATGCTTGATTTCTTTATGTGCCAACTTGACTCAAGATCCAGTAGAATGTCGTGCCAAAAGGCTTTATTGTCTTTACATGCTGATTACATAGGCGGCCACCATGCCAACTACAGGAAATGGTACTTTGCAACTCAATACAACATTCAGAAGAAAAAGAGTAGAATGAGTTTCAAAGACGGTCAGAGATTTGATATCAGCTCATCGGAAGCTGCAGAGCTATGCTGGAAGACATACCTATCTGAGCTTCCGGACAAGGACTATGTCATTCAAATTTGCTTGTACTTGCTAATCTGGGGTGAAGCTAACAATATTAGATTCATGCCTGAATGCATCTGTTTCTTGTACTATTGCGCATTTGAACGGTACTATTCAGCCGATACGGCAAATGATTCCATCAATGCACATGATAAACCGCACTCCTATCTTGACAATGTTATCACTCCTTTGTATAACTATATCGCAACTCAATCGAGAAGGGCCGACCAAGAGAAGGATCATTCAAACATAGTTGGATATGATGATATTAATCAACTATTTTGGTATGCGGAAGGATTGAATAGAATTAAATTGAATAACTCTTACTTGATGGATTTCCCTAAGGAGGAAAGGTGGAATATGCTAAAAGAAGTTCGATGGGAGAAAACTTTCACTAAAACTTACCGAGAACGGAGGTCATGGTTGCATGCCATCACAAACTATAGCAGAATATGGGTGATACATGCAAGTATGTACTGGTATTTCACCTCGTTCAATTCTCCAACTCTTTACACGAAGAATTATGTGCAACTACTAAACAATCAACCTCCAGCTCAAGTAGCTTGGTCTGTCATAGCTTTGGGAGGTACCCTCGCCTGTATGTTACAACTTTTTGCAACCATTTGTGACTGTATACTTTTCAACAGCTGCATCATTAACCAAGGAAATTGGGTACGATTCATTTCAGTCAAGTTAACTGTATTGACTGCACTATTTTCCATAAACATCACACCTTCGATATATATTCTTGGTTTCATTCCTTTTGATGTCTTTTCAAGATCAGGATATATACTATCAATCGCCCAATTTGCTATATCAGTGGCAACCGTGTTATATTTAGCGGTGATTCCAAGTTCCTCGTCCTTTAGAAGTAACCGAGACTTTAGCTACTTGACTTTTACTGGGTCTTTTCCTAAGTTAAGTTTCAACAGTCGGATCTATTCTCTTATGCTCTGGATTTGCATATTTTCTGCAAAGTTTGTAGAATCTTATTTTTTTCTAACGTTGTCATTAAATGATCCAATAAGAATCCTATCAATTATGAAGATGAAGAGGTGTTATGGGACTGAGTATCTCGGTAGTCTTATATGTGAGCAGCAAGCTAGAATAGTACTAATTTTGATCTTGCTAGCTGACTTGGTATTGTTTTTCCTTGACACATACCTTTGGTACATTATTTGTAACTGTATGTTTTCAATTGGTTTATCACTTTCACAAGGGGTTTCTGTGTTTTCTCCTTGGAAGAATATTTTTATCAGGTTGCCTGAAAGAATTTCATCAAAGATAATATTCGGCGATGGAAGTGGGGATACTAGAAATGAATTGCTCTCTAATATTTGGAACGGAATCATTCTTTCGATGTATAGGGAGCACCTTCTTTCCATTGACCAGGTGAATAAATTGGTGTACCAAAAGGTTAGTGATGGAAAAGATTCTTATTTTGTCAGAACTCCATTATTCTTCATGTACCAAGATGATAGTAGTGATAAAATGCTGAAGAATGACTTTTTCAACGAGAATCATGAATCTGGAAGGAGAATCTCATACTTTGCACAGTCAATATCATCCCTGATGCCAGAACCAATTCCTACTGTCGCAATGCCTGCTTTTACCGTTCTAGTGCCCCACTATTCAGAAAAGATTATTTTAAGCTTGAAAGAGATCATTAAAGAAGGAGCCAACTCCAAGGTCTCTCTCCTAGAATATTTAAAACAGCTAAATCCCATTGATTGGGAAAATTTTGTTACTGATACCAAAATTCTTGCATCGATTGATTCGATACAGGACGAACTCTTGCCACTTGATTATGGGTTAGATGTCCTTTCGTACCCCACAAGTACAGCCTCGCAAGTAGACTTATCGAAACAGCATTTAAAAAGCTCAGTTGATGATTTACCACTTTACTGTTACGGTTTCAAAAATGCTTCATTTGAAAGCACATTGAGAACTAGGATATGGGCTAGCCTAAGAACTCAAACTTTATATAGGACTGTTTCTGGCTTTTCAAACTACCGGAAAGCTCTTAAATTGTTGCATTTTTCTGAAGGAAATTGTAGAAATACAGCAATTGATCAAGTTGAGAGTGAATCAGAATTAGACTTTCTTGTGGATAGGAAGTTCAAGTTAATAGTTGCGATGCAAGAATATCAGCATTTCACCAATGAAGAAATGAATGACGCTCATATCCTTTTTACTAAGTATCCTAATATATTAGTATCTTATTTGGAAACAATAAAAAGTGATGATGGCGGCATATCTTATTACTCAAATTTGCTCGATGTATCAAACTCAGATGGCTCCAATAATTATGAAGTAAAATACCGCATTAAGTTATCAGGTAATCCAATCTTGGGTGATGGTAAAGCAGATAATCAAAATAGTTCGTTGATATTCTATAGGGGAGAGTATATTCAAGTGATTGATTCGAACCAAGATAATTACCTCGAAGAATGTTTAAAAATAAAGTCTGTACTAGCGGAATTTGATGAATATGATCTTGAAGACTTTTCGACAACACAATACCTGCCAGGTATCAACTATGATCTGGCTTTTCAACCTGTAGGTATACTAGGAGCCAGAGAATACATATTCTCGGAGAATATGGGGGTGTTAGGCGATATTGCAGCAAGCAAGGAACAAACGTTTGGCACTTTATTTGCTAGGACCTTAGCTGAAATAGGAGGAAAATTGCACTATGGGCATCCAGACTTCTTAAATGGAATATTTATGACTACCAGAGGCGGTCTATCAAAGGGCCAAAAGGGATTGCACTTGAATGAAGACATTTACGCCGGAATGACGTGCATATCAAGGGGTGGTAGAATCAAGCACTGTGATTACTTCCAATGCGGAAAGGGCAGAGACCTTGGATTCGGGACGATATTGAATTTCACTACCAAAATTGGTGCCGGAATGGGGGAGCAAATATTATCAAGAGAACATTACAACTTAGGAACGCAGCTACCAATTGATCGTTTCTTGACATTTTTCTATGCCCACCCCGGTTTTCATTTGAATAATCTCTTTATCATGCTCTCTGTGGAGTTATTCATGTTGATACTAGTGAATTTTGGAGCGTTGATTCAAGAATCAATTTCATGTGGTAAACAGGTTCTATTCACTGATTTGGAGGAACCTTTAGGCTGCTACAACTTGAGGCCAATACTAGATTGGATCAATAGGTACGCATTTTCAGTTTTGATCTGTTTCTTCTTATCATTTTTGCCTTTGCTATTCCAAGAGCTCATTGAAAAGGGATTCAAGAAATCAGTGAAAAGGATAGCATTACATTTACTTTCCTTATCACCTGTATTTGAAGTATTTGTCTGTCAAATTTATGCAAAGTCATTGCGAGATAATTTAACATTTGGAGGGGCAACCTACATCGCCACTGGTAGGGGAGTTGCCATTTCCAGAATATCTTTCACTCTACTATATGCAAGGTATGCAAGCATTTCAATGTATTCCGGCTCCATTTTCTTTCTAAAGGTGCTTTTTGGAACTATCACTGCATGGCAGCCTTCATTACTTTGGTTTTGGTTAACCACCGTATCGTTATGTGTTGCACCTTTTCTTTTTAACCCCCATCAATTTTCTTGGAACGAATTTTTCTTGGATTATCGAGAGTTCTTAAGATGGTTGAGCAGAGGAAACAACAGTTTTCATGGGAACACCTGGACTCGACATGTGAGAGGTACCAGAGCTAAATTTACTGGCATCAAGAAAAGGACGAAAACTGGGGCTCGAAAGGAACGGTCGAAAAAGCGTGCATCTCGTTGGAATGTATTCGTAGATCAATGTTTCATTCCCTTGATCAATTCCACTTTACTCATTATACCGTACTTATTCATCAATTCACAAAACGGTGTTCAAAATCCGAAGAGAGTAAATGTGTTATTGAGGTTACTAGTTTTGGTTATATTTCCTTTCATTTTAAATGGGGTAACAATTCTTGTGTTGTTCTCGCTTTCATTTATATTCGGAACACTACTTTCATATTGTAGGTTCCTGACCTTTCCTGGGTTAGTTGCTGTGATTGCACATTCCATGCTGGTCTTCATTTCGTTGCTCAATTTCTTGGTTCTTTTGTACTTGCACAGCGGAAGTCTCCCAAGAGTCTTGTGTGGGGTAATTTGCGTTCTATCGCTACAAAGAACTCTCATTCTGATTATCTCAACCATCATGCTTTCACGAGAGTTGGATGACGACGTGGTCAATCGAGTCTGGTGGTCTGGCAAATATTTCACTAGTGGGTTGGGTTTTTTACTAACAATGAGTCAATTGATCAGAGAATTTCCAGTTAAAATCATCGAGATGCAAGTTTTCAGCTTTGATTTTATCTTAGGTCATTTCATCTTATTTGCAATGAGCCCAATCTTGTTTATACCATTTATTGATAAGTTGCATACGTTGATTCTTTTTTGGTGTTTCAATCTTCCATGTCCCAAGAAGATCCTACCGAGAAGAAAGAACTTAAAGTTGAAAAGATTGGTGCTAGGATATTCTTTACTATTTTTCTCGAGCTTGTTGATATTCGCAGCCATCATAGTATCTTCGATTTTAGTATCAGTCGAGTTCGAAACGGTGATGCAAAACTTGCCGTCAATGGGGAATTCCATAGTGGATTCACTCATTCAACCTAATTTCCAAAACAACAATGATACTGGAGAGAATGCCCCAGATTTTATATTGAGGAGCACGCCAGACATAGTGCCAATGAAAACTATCCTATGAGAAAATGTGCAGCTGGGGTAACATAAAATAGTTAGGGTGAGAAGAGGAGCTATCAAGCGAAAGATATATGATGAGAGCCCACTTTTAAAATCTTCAGGGTGCTTGTACAGTGATAATACATGATAAGAGGATCAACTAACTTCCCAATTGTCTGTAAGTGGTCTACAACAATCTAACAGTGCAGATCATAGCGGTCTTCGTTCCATATTCAAAATGGAAGTATCAATTTTTGGTGTACGGGTGTTCACGTGATCACTACAGATTTTCCTTTATTGTTTGTTTACCAAAAGGTTGATGAAGTATAGAGACTAGATCAGAGGTCTTAGCAGAAGCAACCAAGACAGCTGGGATGGCGAAATCAGGTACAAGGCATACTAAGAATGACTTACTTGCGAAATTTCAGGACCATGAGGATCTAGAGGACGGGTTTTTTCAAGACCAAGACGGTGGTGAGTTGGAGGCCCCCACGCTTCGTGGTGGACAGCAAGATCTTGATTTCTATCACATTGACGACAACTTCAAGACCATAACGATACGAGACGACGAATTGGCTACGATACGAGAAGGTGCTGGTACAAAAATGAAGAAAGATGAAGGTGTCAGGAGCATGTTCAATTTGAACCGAAGTACAACACCCACCTTAAGACCAAAGGAAAGTAAAAGATATCGACAAGAGAACGAGGACGACGACTTCTTGGATGGCTTCGAAGGCTTGTCACCTGGTACTTTGTCCACGTCTTCACCCAAGTCCAAAACGAAGGGAAGCAGGAGGATGTCATTGTCTGAATATAGTGAAGAGGTGGAGACCAGTGATACTGACGTGACGTCTGAATTCAACGACGCAGACATTGGAGATGTAGATGATATATTTGGCTTTGAAGAGAGTGGAGTGTACAGTAGTGGTGGTAATGGTGGAAGTGGAGGAGGAGGAGGAGGAGCTGGTATCCCCAAAGAAAGTAAAGCAAAGGCGATTCTTCAACTGAAGAAGAAAGAATTACAATTGAGAGCTGAGCAAGAAGAGAATGAGTTGTTGATGCAAAGACATGGCAAGGGCGGGGCTGGAGTAGTAAATACCCTAAGATTAAAGGATTTCCACAATTATAATGATAAATTGCAAATCGACATGGATGCGCTTGAAAACGAAAAGACTATTAACTATGAGTACACAAGAGACGAATATGAGGACTTTGAAGATGGATTTGATTTAAATTCACCACTCAAGATACCGACGAAGTCTCGGAGTGGCAAACATAGCAGTGATGTAGCAAATAGTGGTCGACTGATCAGTTCGAAATTATCTATGCCCCAATTTGATAAAGAATTCAAGTCTAAGCCCAAACCAGCGATGAAGAAATACAAATCTATGATGAATGTTAAAGGCGAAGAAGAAGATGAAAGAGAAGAGACAGGAAGTCACCCTTTTTTCAACAATAAAAATAATGACATTATAAGGAAATTGAACAGAATCCCATCCTTTTACTCGAAAAAGCAGCAACAACATCAATATCCAGTTCAAGAAGACAACGACCTTCAACTTGACTTAATAGAGGAGTTAGAGTCCAACAACGAGAAATACAACACTAATTTGGATATGGAAATGGAATATAAGAAAAAGAAATTGTTAGAGAAGTACATGGAGATAACTAACCATCAACTTCGCAACAAGAGAGAGAGGACTAAAGATAAAAAATTCGCTAATAGCCCTAACAAGAAGAAGCTGGGGTCCTCACTTGGACTAGTAAGATATCTTAATGATGATGGTACGCATTCTGTGCCGGTCGCAGCGCTAAATTCTAAGACCAAGATGAAATTCAACCCCGTAAAACACAAATGGGAAGGAAATGACATAGACCTATACAAGTTTGAAGCAATTAAATCTTTACAGACGACCAAGCCAAGATTAATCACAAATAAGGATTATAAGAAAGATAAGCTGGATGTAAAGAAAAAGATAGTTGGTAGTACATCGTCTTCTTCTTCTTCTGGTGAGAAAATTGTTGGAAACATGAAGTATGACCCCGAAGCTATGAAATGGGTTAATTTGGATGAAGTAGAAGAAGATGACGACATATTCGATGACTTACCAGACTTGCCTATAAGGAATGGCAGTAAAAACATAAGAAGTGGCTCGGGAGTTCCCTTCCCACTGTCCAAGAGTCATCCTAATCTTCACAAATCATTGTCTTCGTCTACTTCGACATTTAGAAAAAGTGGCAGTGCTAAATCTATAATGACACTACTTAATGCATCTCCACCAAAGTTCCCCAGTAGGACCACAACGAACCCATCTTCGAAAATCCGTGGAGTCAGCTCCACCTCTGCATTTACACAAAGAACCGCATCTACTGCTTCCTCTTCTTCTTCCAAATCTTCACAAGATTCCAACCAATATGATGATACCCTGATCCAGCAAGATTCTTTAATGGAAGAGTTTTTCATTGACGATAAGCTAATTGAAAAATTCCATAAGGAAGAAGCGAAGTGGATCAAAAAGACGAAACATTGGTTTCAAGAAGGAGAATCTTTTGATTTCAGCTCTACGCCATTTAACAAGGATTATTTCTGGGAAATAAGAAAAATGGTTACCGATGAGGAGAATTAGTATATATATATATATATATAGAAGAGAGGAAGACAAGAGTACAAAGCATTACAACTAACAAGCTGTAGACACTATATATTCTTCGTTCGGCTTACCAATCTTCTCTGAGGTACTCCCCTAAAAACACTACAAGTAAATCATTTAAAATAAAAATTTTATATTATAACCGATGTTGAAATCCCAAACTAAACAACTCATTTTTAAACCCCCTATTCCTTCAAGTATAGAACTCGGAAGGAATTAAACAATAAAAAAAAAACGACATTCATCATTTAAACATAATTCATATCAAAACTATATAAAACAAAACAATTTGAAAGAAAGGATAAATATCCTTACTTTAAATTACATTAATGTTGAATAATGTAATCTATAGAAAACAAAGCATCAACAAAAGAATTGAATAATGCAAGAGTGGTACTAAATTAGATTTAGTACTTACCACGGAATTCCTTGGCAGCTTCAACCATATTGGTTAAAGATTCTCTAACTTCAGGCCATCCTCTGGTCTTTAAACCACAATCTGGGTTAACCCAGAACTTGTTGGCTGGGTAGACCTTCAAGATTTCTTCAATTCTGGTGACGAATTCTTCCTTAGATGGGATTCTTGGGGAGTGAATATCGAATAAACCTAAACCAATGTGGTTAGGGTAGTTGGAGAATTCTTGAATGTAGTTTGGATCGTCCTTCTTAGAGAACTCGATGGAAACAACATCAGCATCTAAGGCCTTGATGTGGTTTGGATCCAAGTCAGAGTAACAGAAATGGGAGTGGATTTGGGTAGAGTCTTCGACACCGGAAGTGGCAACTCTGAAAGATTGAGCAGCCCAGTTCAAGTAGTCAGATCTTTCCTTACCAGCTCTTAATGGTAAACCTTCTCTGATAGCTGGTTCATCGACTTGGATAACAGTAACACCAGCTGCTTCCAAATCGTTGACTTCGTCTCTGAGAGCTAAACCTAATTGTAAGGCTTGGACTCTACCAGAAACATCATCTCTTGGGAAGGACCATCTTAAACAGGTGACTGGACCAGTTAACATACCCTTCATTGGCTTGGAGGTGATAGATTGAGCGTAGACAGATTCCTTAACAGTCATAGCCTTTGGTCTAGAAACGTCACCAACAACAATTGGTGGTCTAACGTATCTGGAACCGTAAGATTGAACCCAACCGTTAGTGGTGAAGGCGTAACCTTCTAATTGTTCACCGAAGTATTGAACCATATCGTTTCTTTCTGGTTCACCGTGGACTAAGACATCTAAACCGATTTCTTCTTGGAATCTAACAACGGTTTCGATTTCCTTGTTGATGAAGGCTTCGTAATCTTCAGCAGATAATTCACCCTTGGCGAACTTGTTTCTGTTGATTCTGATGTCCTTGGTTTGAGGGAAAGAACCAATGGTGGTAGTTGGGAACAATGGCAAGTTGTACTTAGCTTGTTGAGATGGTAATCTGGTTTCGAAGTTAGACTTTCTGGTAGAAAGAGATTCGTTGATGGTGGCTAATCTTTCTTGAACCTTAGGGTTAGTGGTGATTGGAGATTCTTGTCTAGACTTGATAGAGGCAGCGTTAGCTTCTAATTCCTTGGCAACATCATCACCTCTGGCGTTCTTGGTTAAGACAACAACTTCATCCAACTTTTGGGTAGCGAAAGAGAACCAGTCCTTGATGGTAGCATCTAACTTCTTTTCGTTGGCAAGATCAACTGGGGTGTGTAAAAGGGAAGAAGAGGTGGAGACAACAACTCTGTCCTTACCTAACTTGGCAATAGCCTTTTCAACGAAAGCAGCGGCCTTGGAGTAGTTGGTCTTCCAGATGTTTCTACCGTCAACGATACCAACAGATAAAGTTTGCTTTTCGTTTAAAATTTCGACAACTTCTTCGAATTGTTCTGGGACTCTGACGAAATCGAAATGGTAACCAGCAACGGAAAGATCCTTGATGGCAGATAAGTTTGGTCTAACGTCACCGAAGTAGGTGGTTAAGACTAATTCTGGGAGAGCAGCGTTAGAGGTGAATTGATCGTAAGTAGCCTTGTACTTAGATTGGATAGATTCAGGTAAATCTAAGACCAAGATTGGTTCATCGATTTGAACTTGGGTGGCACCGGCTTCCTTCAACTTAGATAAGATTTCTTCGTAAACTGGCAAGATCTTTTCTAAAAGGGAGATTGGTTCCAAATCCAAGGAGTCCTTGTCGGACTTACCTAAGTATAAGTAGGAGATTGGACCTAATAAGACAGGTCTGGTTTCAATTCCGAGAGCCTTGGCTTCCAAGTATTCAACAACTGGCTTTAAACCGGCTTCAGTGTTCAACTTGAATTCAGTGGAGTGGGAGAAGGTTGGTCTAACGTAATGGTAGTTAGAGTCGAACCACTTAACCATTTCCAAGGCGGTAACATCGACAGCTGGAGTGGAGTCAGTGGCCTTTCTTTGTAAACCTCTACCCATGGCGAATAAAACATCAATTGGGGCCAAGTTGTACTTGGTGTATCTGGTTGGGATAACATTGAATAACAAGGATAAATCCAAAACTTGATCGTAGTAGGAGAAATCGTTAGATGGGATGATTTCAACACCAGCAGCCTTTTGCAACTTCCAGTTGGTTTCACGCAATTGCTTACCTTGAGCCAATAAAGCTTCAACGTCAACCTTACCTTGCCAGTAAGATTCAGTTGTTTTCTTTAATTCTCTTTGACCACCAATACGTGGGAACCCTAAGATTGAAGAAGCGACCATTGTTTAAATAATAAGTTCAGTTATTATGTGATATTTTTATATATATATGAACTAAAATATAAAAAGATTACTAACAAGAAAAAGAATTTTTCACTCCCAGCCCTTTTCAATTGGGGGGATTATGCCCTGTATTTATATTTCACACGTTTCTTAAGTTTCTAGGAGATTCGACGAAAAATTTTCCAAATTTTCTTCTGCATGGTGAAAAATTTCGGTGGTGCATGAATTTTTTAATGGTAATTGGAAGTATGGAGCTGAAGGTTTGATTGTTGGAGTAGGAACGAGGAAGGTGTGCATAGGGAGGAAGTTATACGAGCCGATTCAGGCGGTGGAAGTTGGGAGGACAGTAGTGTATGGAGGGACGGGTGCGGGCTGCGAATAGAGCGAAGTGTGTAGAGAGATGAGATGGGTGGAGAGATGAGGAGAGGATAGAGATGAGAGGAGGTGAGAGGAGAGGAGAGGAGAGGAGAAATGAGATGTGAAGAGAGATGAGGTGCAATGAACACAAGTACTGGGTGATATACTAAGAAAGCGCACACATTGGTGTGGTTCCTCATTTCGCATCCACTGAAACGGTCTACCTTAGCCTGCTTGGGCTCGTTTCACCCACTGCTAAGGCCCTATTGGCTTCTCGTCACTACACGTGAGATTAATCGCACGTGTAATTAGTTTATTGACTCTGTCTATATGGTACGCTTCTATGACTAACGAAGCATTGAAAAAAAAAAAAAAAAATGAAGCTAGTGCGCTCGCGCCGGTTACGGAACACTGTGGCAAACTGCTACCAGTTTAAGCTATGCGATGGGATGGAGCAATTGAGCAGCACGGTGCCCTTCTGAAGACAATTACGGAAGACAGCTACTGGCCACTTCGTGCTCTTGTCTGCCATAAAAACAGAGAACATATCTTTCTCGAATTGCCTGTGGAGCTCATTCTGCTGGTCTGCTAATCGCTCCGAGTTTGGCTCTCTCACAACAAGCGCACGGCTATACGCTCGTTTTCACATGCTTTCGCTGAACTCGTTTTGTTGGACACCACTGATCGTATACTGCGTAATTGGCTAGCAGTCCTCAGCTGGAAATGCACTGCTCAGATCGTTAGGTACTGCAGGGTACTGATCCACCGTTCCAGTTCACTTCGATGCCTGGTGCGCTCTGGGGCCGATGTGATATACGAGATCCACCTAGCAAACCATCCGATACATGCAACTTTCCACTATCCACTATATACCTCCGCTCCGAACGTACTGTTATCTCACACCCTGACAACATTATGTCAATTTCTACCTTTCGTAGTTTCGAACCCATTGCGCAGATAGCGCTTATTTCAATCTCTCTCCGGATTAACTACGCTAGACATGCCTGCGCATATTTAGCGAACCCACACGTGCATTCTCATTACTCTGCACCCAAAATCTCCACCAGCCAAACCTGTTTAACTTGACTGGCACAACCTCTTCATCTTACACCGTTGTATTCATAATTTTTCTTGATTTATTTGAAAATACGATAATTAAATACTCATACATAGAATTAGAGATCTCGACGTTCAGTTTTTTTATTTCCAAAAAAAAACACCATTGATAGGGGAAAAAAAAATTTTGGCATCAACCAAACAGTACAATACAGCAAGATCAATGGCCTCGGAGTAGCACACCTATAAAAACGATAACACTCCTTCTTCGGTCATACCTTCCGATAACACACATTTCTTCGGTCTCCACTTCTTCTAGTTCGTTTCAGGGAATGTATCACCTCTTTCCTTTCTGTTTTCAACAATCTTCTTGATGGTTGCATCGCTATGCAAGATACCGTATCTTCTGTACTGCTTAACCAAATCCTGGATTTTCAAATCTTCATTCTCGTTTGAATACTTCTCAAAGAATTCACCCAAAAGGGCAAGATATTCGTAACTAAGGGCAAACTTAGCATCCTTCTTGTTCAACAAGTCCTTAACAGAAGTACTGGACTTGTTATCCAAAGGAGTATTGAAACCTTCTCCCTCACCAAGGAACACACCCAACTTCTTCAATTTTTCGAAAACCCCGGCCTTGTGTGCAGGAACCAAACCACCATGCTCCTTGATCTTGTATTCTCTGAAGAACTCCTTATATTCATCAGGAGAGGCTCTTCTCGAACCAGTCCAACCAATTGCTAACAACTCTTCACGGGTGATATCCAGCAACGTTCTGACTGGACTGGTGATGAATGGAATTCTTGCACCAACTGGGTTGAATGCACCAGTCCATAAGATCATGAATACCATTGCGCACTTCATGAAGTGTAAAAAGAAGAACAAAAATTGAACAGGGACACTAACCGGTTCTAACAAGTCATTAATAATGGCACTGGCCCATTTTTCTTGGTCGAAATATTCAGCTAACTTAACCAAACCATAGCTGACTTGATTAGTGAAGCAGATACCAGGGGTTGGGGAGATATAGTCGGGCAAATCCGTGTACAACCAAACGAGCAAAAATGAGACAAAACTGTAAAACCAAAAACTTTTCAATTCCCAAATTGGTATGATTAATTGACCAGGCCAGCACTCATCTGAGATCTTGCTGTTCAAGGAAACAACCTTGCCAAACTTTTTCTTATCAGTGTCATAATCGAACAAAAGAGAACCATCTTCAGTAAGGTAACCTGGTGAGGTAGAAACCTTATAGCCCAAAGGAATAGACAGATGGAAAATCGACGGTCTTAATGCAATTGGTAACTCAGTAAAAATACGATTTAAATCCTTGAAGGTATCAGTTGATTTCACCTGGAAACAATAGTCTTTATCAAAGTCATCATTAAATCTGATGTATACTTCTAAGTACCCAGTTTCGGACTCAGTAACATCATCCATAAGCTTTTCGTCCGACATTATTCTTTGTAATAGTTTATTTATATATATATATATTTGTGTATATGATATATATATACCTATCTGTATGTATTAGCTCAAGAACGGAGAAGAGTGTGCTACTTTTTTTTTTTTTTTCGGGGTGCCACTCTCTAAGTACACTGAAGAATTTTTCCTGATTTTCGGTGGTTGGACGCAATTGCTGGGGTGCGGAGAGGTGCTAAATTCATAGAGAAAATCTTTTTTTCTCCCTAATTTACTGGCGATTTAGTGTGGGACCACTGGACTTTGGCGAATTTTACCTTTTATTTTTCCAATTGTTCCACGACAATGCGGGGCAAGTGGGAATTTTTTGCGGAGGGAAGTTTCTAGCAGAACGTTATACGTAGAGCATCTGGAGCCGCGCAGTAAGCCGGTGTTGAGCAGTAGTCTACAATTTTCCGAGAGTGTGTGCACTTTCAGATGAGGAAGAGATGGAGCTGGAGCTGGAGCTGGCTGGAGATGGGGCCAGGCACTGTAATGATGGAGAGAGTATGCGAGAGTGCAGCTTAGGAGGTTCGTAGAGAGTACACTTTTGTAGCTTAGGAGATTCGTAGAGAGTGCACATTGTAGCATAGGAGGCTCGAAGAGGGTGCCACAGGGTAGCATAGTCGTAGAGATTACCATAGGGTAACAAAGTTGGTAGATATTGAAAATTGGTACATCGACAACTTGTACGGAGAACTTGCAGGAGAACTTGCAGGAGAGCTTGTATGGAACTGTTATTAATGATGTGCCGTGACGTAGTCGACGAGACGGTGGGCCGAGTGCTGTTGTTTTCTCCATTTCCCAACTGATGCATTTTTTTTATTTGGTTTTTTTTTCACACATTGACGAGAACATACATACACGAACAGGTATAAGACGGCCAGGTGCATCAATACGTGAGCAAATTTGCGTTTGAAAACCCCAGCGAGTATGGTAGACAAAGTACGATATCGACAAGAAAATAAGTGAGCAAGTAAATAAATAAATAAATAAAGAATTAAATTAGTAGCTTGCACTTCTTGGCTCTACTTTAATTGATTTTTCACTTTCAGTGAAGCGTACGCACCAGAATCCTACAAGCATAACCTCAACTACACCCTACAGCCAGAGAAACACACACCCACTCTCTCCCATTCAGATTCTTCCAAAATTCGCCCTTCTAAATCCACTCGCTTCAAACTCACTCCCTTCAAATCCAATACCCTCTGCTACATCTAATCCCATCGCACATACCTAGCTTGCATCCAATTTATCCTATTATAGCCTCGTGAATACCTGTCAAAAGTCTCTACCGTGTCTCGGGGCGATGTGCCGATGCACCAGAGTGCTTCCCAAAAACCGCGTTCACCAGGCTCAACTCTCAACACCCGTACACCCACTATACTGGGCAGATCAAGTGCACGCAATGCGATATATTTACATACACTACGTTTCCCGTATTTACGTTTTACCCAATTCGGCTGTGTCGGACGCACTCGTGGTTATGATACACCCCTACACCCCTCCATCCGTCGTAATCCTAAGCCATGTCAAACTGAAAAATCTCACTGCTTCACCGGGTAACCCAACTGGTTGGACGATTTCCCGTACTGTTTCTTTTTTTTTTTTCACTACTGTCCCAAGGACGCAAAGAGGCTTCAAGGTATAATAGGCGATTTGTCTTCTTTTTTTAGAAGGGCTTAAATTTTTTTCTGTTACGTTCGTCTTTTCTCCTAATTCAAGCTTAGTATATAACTTTTGGTATTTCCTGTGAAGTTTTTGAAAGAAAATTATCCACCATCAAAGTATTTAAACTAATTTATACTTTTTTTTTTTCTTAGAAGGAGGTATCCGTTAGGAGCAAGTACTCAGATTCCTCAAAAAAAGTCTAGGCAAACACCGACACCCAGTGTAATTAACCTTTTGACACATTCATTGTTAGAACACGCTCATACGCTTGGCTGTATACATATATATATATATCATATTTCATAGGTAGGATACAGAAGAAATGCTTTTCAAATCTATCGCTGCCACTGTTGCTTCACTCGCTTCCTTGGCTTCAGTCTGTGCTGAAGATCTCCCAGCCATTGAAATCGTTGGTAACAAGTTTTACTACTCCAACAATGGTACTCAATTCCTCATGAGAGGTGTTGCATACCAACAGGATACCGCCAACTCCACTTCTTCGTTTAGTGATCCTTTGGCTGACGCAGCCTCTTGTAAGAGAGATATCCCATACTTGGAAGAGTTACAAACCAACGTTATCCGTGTTTACGCGCTTAACGTTTCCCAAGATCATACTGAATGTATGAGTCTTTTGCAAGATGCCGGTATTTACGTTATTGCCGATTTATCTGAACCAGATTTGTCCATCGACAGAGATGACCCTGAATGGAACATGGAATTGTACGAAAGATACACCGGTGTTGTTGATCTTTTCCACAACTACACCAACATCTTAGGTTTCTTCGCTGGTAATGAAGTCACCAACAACAAAACCAACACCGACGCTTCCGCTTTCGTTAAGGCCGCTATTAGAGACACCAAGGCTTACATCAAGGCCCAAGGTTACAGAACTATCCCTGTTGGTTACTCTTCTAATGATGACTCTACTATCAGAGGTCCATTAGCTGACTACTTTGCCTGTGGTGACGACGATGAGAGAGCTGATTTCTTTGGTATTAACATGTACGAATGGTGTGGTTCTTCTAGTTACTCCGCTTCCGGTTACGAAACTATCACTGAATTGTACTCTAACATCACCATCCCATTGTTCTTCTCCGAATACGGTTGTAACGAAGTCACTCCAAGAACTTTCCAAGAAGTCGGTACCTTATATGGTGATGATATGTTGAAAGTCTGGTCTGGTGGTATTGTTTACATGTACTTCCAAGAAACCAACGATTACGGTTTGGTCAGTATTGTTGACTCTGCTGTTTCCACTTTAACCGATTTCAAGAACTTGAAGTCTCAATTACTTTCCATTTCTCCATCTTTAGCCACTGTTGCCACCACCGCTTCATCCGAAGGTGCTACCTTATCATGCCCAACTGAATACTCCAACTGGGAAGCTTCCACTGACTTACCACCAACTCCAGATGAATCTATCTGTAACTGTATGGAAAACTCCTTGACCTGTGTTGTTGCCTCTTCAGTTTCTTCCGACGACTACGCCGACTTATACGCTTACGTCTGTGGTGAAGTTTCCTGTGATGGTGTCACCGGTAACGGTACCAGTGGTGACTACGGTGCTTACTCTGGTTGTAGTGCTGAAGAAAGATTGAACTTCGTCTTGAACTTGTACTACATAGAATCCGGCAACGACGCAAGTGGATGTGATTTCTCTGGTTCTGCTTCAACCAAGAGCGCTTCCACTGCCTCTTCCTGTGTCGCCGTCTTGCTGTCTGCTGGTACCTCTGGTTTAGGAACTGTGTCCGGTTCAGTGACTTCCAATGCCAATGCAGGCTCTACCACCGGTTCAGGTTCTTCATCATCATCCACTGCTTCCTCCACCAGTACCAAGCTGTCAGGATCTATCAAGCAAGTCAGCTTTGATGGAGTTACCAAAGGATTGATGGTTATCGTTTCCGTTGCATTAGGTGCAGGTGTTATCTTCATGTAAGATAATGTGTAATAAATAAATTGTTAGATATAAATATAAATAAGACTATTAAAGATAGATTAAGCACCAGTGTATGCTAAGGGGATGGCCTCCATCTCATTTACTCCGTCACCACCAGCTCCTTTCCTCCGATTCTTCCTCTCCTCTGCCTCTTTACCCTTGTGCTGTGGTTGCATTTGCCCCCTGCATATAGTCCCAATTTTTCATTACGTAACCAATTTTCCTTAGTACAAATTGAGTTTGCCCTTTTGGAGAAGGTACCCTGAAGAGTCCACTACAGAGAGTACTAGTTCAAGGAAAAATGGCCGAAGAAGATCTTATCAACCAATTCACGTCAGTTACCAGCGCACCTAGACATCTTGCAGAGCAATATCTTGCCAGGAACGATGACAATTTGATTGAGTCAATTGAAGACTACTATGCGAATGCGCAGACTGCCACCGGAGGAGGAAGCAGTAGTATAAGCGGAGGAGAAGCGAAGAAAACCAGTCAAAAGTATGTATATCTGAGTTAATATGGGACGAGTGAGGTCTGAAGAGGAACATTGAGAAGAAAATGATGGCGAATTAGGCAATCTGGGCAAGGAACGTGGGCCCCATGGGATTCTCTAGACGGTGATGGTTCGTTTGTGGGGCGGAAGCACAAACCATGAGGGAGAAGGTCGAAAGTGACGCTTTTTTGTTGGTTTTCACTTCTTTCAAGCCTTTTCTGTGTTGAATGGACCCAAGGATCCAAAGTAGAGTAGTTTCAGTTCGGAGAATCGGTGGAAGGGTGGTAGGATGGTGGTGCTGTTATGCTCCTGTACTGAGACTCTGCTGAAAGGATCTCAGCTTGGGATGAGAGATTTTGGACCAAGGGGACTCTTGATTCATGTTCTTGGCCTTTGAAGAGTTGCCTCTCTCTTAGTGTATTCGCTCTTAGTTCTCTAGTTATCAACCAATACTAACATTCTAGACCTGCCGGTGGGATCAGGACCTTCAGAGATCTTAACCAAGAAGAAGATGATGAAGACGATAAAACTAATACAAATTTCTTCACAGGAGGTGAGAAATCCGCATTGCAAGTCGAGGATCCCAACAAGAAAGACGGCAATGGGCGTGGATCTGGGGCCAGAGGAAGCGAGAGGTCCTTAGTCGATCAAATTTTCCAAAGAGCCAAGGAGCAAATGGATCAACCAGATGATCGTCCATCAGCTAATAGAGACGACGATGACGATGAAGACAGCGAAGATAATACCCCAAAATTCACAGGCTCTGGGTTCAAATTGGGTGATGGTACTGAGCCATCAACTGAAATTAAATCTGCAGAGGAGCTTGGTGGACAAGGACTGAGAAAAGTGCCAAGTAAAGTCACAAGAGAAATTATCTTCTGGAAGCAAGGATTCACGGTTGCAGATGGTCCGTTGCATAGATATGACGACCCTGCAAATGCTGCGGTTATGCAAGAATTGAACAGAGGTAGAGTTCCCATGGCTCTTTTGGATGTTGAATTTGGACAGGACGTAGATGTCAGCGTTTACAAGAAGACCGACGAAGACTGGACACCTCCAAAGAGGAAAGTAGGAGGATTCCATGGCCAGGGCCAAAGATTGGGATCACCAGTTCCGGGAGATGTCAATGTAGACCAAGCAGAACCATCGGGAGTTGCCGAGTCGGTTTCTTCTCCTCTAGCCACTGAGCCTGCTACACTGTCTGCTCCAGAAGGTGAAGAAGGAGATTCGTTGGTTCAAATTAGATTTGCCAATGGTAAGAGAACATCGCACAAATTTAATTCATCGGACGCCGTGTCAGTTGTGTATGACTTCGTCAAGACGCACCCAGATGCTCCGTCCGATTCAGCAAGCAGACCGTTCATCTTGTCGCACTCATTCCCTAAGAAGCCAATCGAGGATAGCCAAGAGGTCACAGTGGCAGAGGCAAAATTGAAGAATGCTGTGATTGTTCAGTTCTGGAAGTAGAGGGGATTAGATTGTGAGATTGCGAGATGGTCAGGGAACACTAGCCGCTGGTAGATAGAAAAATACACATACGACCAGGCTGTATATTGTAAATTCGCTATGTAGATGTAACAGTGCTCTATTCTGAGCCAGACCCCATTGATTTAACTCAAGAAGTAGACCTGTAGTGTAGAGCACACGATACCTGGAGAAACCGTAGCCCTCATATGCACTGAGCTTTTTTTTTTTTTTTTTGTCCTCAATTTTTCAAGCTCCGATATGCGATGAAGCTTCTTGATGGATGGTTAAGGCAACTTTGATAAGATAAAGAAGAGTGAGGAAAGTAGAAATATATATAGTAAGCAAGCTTAAATGATACAGCATGGTGAGACTCATACGACATACGAATAGAGGGTTGTTCACAATACGACAGGGCTTGTTAGAGAGAACCCTGATTGGTGGGGTACTGAGAAGCAGCATGATGCGTCTTAGGATGTACCTGAATCGAGGGATGTTAGATGGAATACCTGGAGATGAGATAAAGAGACAAGATGTAGATGAATCACAGGTGCAGATGAAGGGAATTTTGCAAAGGAGCCCAATATTCTTGTCTAGCAAATATGAGACTGGTGGTCTGAAGAATAAGGTACCCGATGCCTCTGTACATTGCAATGAGCCTACGGACGTGCGACTTATATTGAATGATGGGGTCTCCAAAGTGCCAGTTCCTGGTTCTGTTGTAGAATTTGACGCTGGCGAGAGCAACTGCAATGTAGGAGTCGTTCTAGAAGCATGTAGCACGAAGTTTAACGAAAATTATAATAAGCTAACCGTCTTGTCTTTGAAGAACGAGATCTTGCAAGTGTACACCCAGGATGTTACAATTCACTTCCACGCTGTGGTAGACCGGAAAATGATAGATGAAATCTCAGTGGAGATCTTGAAATATAGGCGTCATGAAGAAGAAAGCAGGGTCAGATTACAAATGGTCGGTTTCATAGAGAGGTTTATCGACAACTCTGTCGCCTTACAGAAGAGATTGAAAGCAGAGAGACAATTCGATACCGTGTATTCTCACTATAGCCAGATGCACAAAATAACCCCAATTTCTCTTCTAGATGTCATAACGTCCATCAAGCTTAGCGATACTGTAGCACTTGATATAAGCGACACCTTATTTGGCCATTGCACTTTGGTTATGGCATGCCACTTGGAGTTGGCCAACGATCCCACGAAATGGATCGTACCAAACTTGTATAAGAACAATAGGTTTACCAATGTTGCTAGAGTCAATGGATCATCAAATAATTTGGTGCCTCCAATGAGCTACCTTGCAAATTCCATGGTGAATCATGATTGCGTTGCAACTTTACTACAGGAAAGGGAGGATGGAGCCTCAGCATCCCCAACACCATCATCATTTCTAGCACAGTTACTCATATCTCAGTCGGAGCAACTGACTAGAAAACTGTTTATGGATTTGACGTTGTATTTCACCTTTTGGGAAGGGGCCAAGTTTAAATGGGCAATTGATTCAATGAAGCTTTTCGTTGTGTACCCACATCCTGCAATTGGAAGGGCCCTTGAACAAATATTAAGCATCGAGGAAACCCACGCAACCCCTTCTAACATTTACGAAGCTTTGAAGAAACTAGGTGTGTACGAAGATGATTCTTCGGATGTATTCTTGTCAGCCAATATGCTAGGAGAACCCAAAATAAAGCAGGTATCTGTCAAATCAGCACAAGAGTTAGTTCCATCTGAATTAGACATGGCGCTGGAAAGGCTTGCAGAAGACTTAATTGACAACTTCTCACATTTAAGGGACACATCTAGGTTTTATAAAGATTTAACTATATATGGCCTCCCTTCTTCCAGTGGAACTAAGTTCGGTTTTTCAATTGAAAAATCAAACGTTAGAAAGTATTGGATAAATATCCATGTTCAAGATCCAGCAACGAGAATTCCTCCATCGAGTCAATTATTTCTGATGTTGGCTAGTTCAGGTTTGAGATCTTCAATTCAGAGATTAGCCGGAAGAGACTCATTGGAGATGTTCAGTAAGAAGTTTCTCGAACAATTTGAGTTCAAAACGCAAAATATAGTTCAGCAACCTGAATTTGTATCAGTTGCAGATGAAAACCCTTTAAACTCACAGGAGCTAGCTTTTCAAAATACAGATCAGTTAAAAACATGCATGACAATATCATTTGCGTATTATCCATACGCCAACGATCCATTCGATAAGTTATCAGAAAAGGTTAAGATGAGTTTTGATGATATTTCTAATTTGGAGGTTAAACGCATTTCTTCTTTTGATGCTTTGGAGAACATCTTACATGGGAAAACTGAATCTGGGGAAGGGAGTGGAGGCTTTAGATTATTTAAAAGAAGACTGCTTTTATCACCTCAACCCACGGAACAGAAATTCACCCTTCTCAATGATAAGGATGGGCATGATATTAGATTTATTTATAATGTTATGAAGACTTATTCAAAGGTTAGAAACTTACGAGGAGCTTCTTTGTCGGATTCAAGCTTGGAGAGCATGATTGATTCGAACCTGGAAGCCTTACCAGAATTATGTGGATTCTTTTGTAGAGAAATTCAACTGCTCAGTGAAGACTTAACAGCGCATTATTGCTATAGAAATAATATTCCTGTTTTCGGTTACAGACAAGGCACGTTAGTTTCAGATCCTGAATTGGATGAAGTGACTAATTTGGAGACTATGTTTCAAAATAAGAGTGATAAGACGAAGGAAGCTGATCTGGTCTTCCTCTCACACAACAATCTCTTACTTCCAGAATTTTTTGCTGATACTTACTTCCAAACGTTGCTTTGTAGAGATTCTAATGGAAATACGCCAGCGGCAGCTAAAATAAGTGGACAGAATTTTCTCAACAAGACTCAAGTCGAGGTATTAATACTGGAACCTAGTTCAGAGGAAGAAGAATATGTTGATCCATTAATTCAAGAGGGATTTCTACTTGGATCGGTTAATGTTTTTGAACTGACATCAAAATTTTTATCGTTGATGAATCAGTATCAGATTCTAGCGTTCATACATTCTTTGGCTAAGAGGAGATACTTTGAGAGACTCTCTTACTTGCAACAAATTGAACAATTTCGCTACCTCAAGAGATTGGGGTACCCTACTGACGGACCACTCCCATGGGAAGTCTTAGATGACGAAATAGTCAAATCTGACAAAGAAAGTGCATTTAAGAATTACTTCACGGCAGCTCATAAAAAGTTTAGGAAGTTGCAAGAGTTTGAAAGCAACCTCATGAATGATATAGGAGCATCAAATATAATCGATTTCACATGCGTCTTAACCAAAATCAGTGGTAAGTACTTGGATGATAAGGTTCTTGCCAATGCATATTGCCAGCAACTAGGAATCGAAATCGAGGTGTTAGTCGGTAGGAATAGGACCGTGACTGTGGGGAGTTTCATTGAGTGCGACCGAGTAATATACTTGGATGCCATTGGAGGCAGGCTCGTTTTAGGAACGAGTGAAATGATATAGAAAGGTGATACACGGTGAGGAGAATGTATATATATATATAATAGAGTAAGCAGAAGTACATAGAACAAACCTGCAAAGGTAGAGACACTTCAGATACAGAAGCATATGCATATAATATAGGAGTGTCAACACACAATAAAATAGACATAGTACACTATAGTATGCGCAATGTAGTAATTTTTCGGAGGAAAGGAGGCCCTTATTTCTCATTAAGTACAGCCTTACAGCGAGGGCCACTCTACGTAGAACACGGCCTGACAGCTGGGCAAGCATCTTCGCTAACCAACAGTACCTGGAGCATCGCTCTGACGCACGAAGTGCTGCAATCCATACTGATTATATAAGTTTATATGCAGTCCACCTACCATAGCCATCTGAGCCAACTGCCAGTAAGGACAGTAAATCTCCACCACCAGCTTCTGAATGGAGCCCAAAATTGGCCAAAAGCTTCGTTTCTATCCACTCATCAAGAAAGCGGCCAAAAATCTACCTTAGACCCCAGACTGTAGCTGTGACATCTCACCTCTTCCCCCAGCAGCATTCTCGGATCTGAATTTTTTGACTCACACTTCAAAATCTGACGCACCAAATTGACGCACGAACATATTTTTTTTTGGCAGCGGTTGAAAAATTTCAGCTCACATCTTCTTTTGCCCTTACTGTCTTCGTAAGCACTGTGTGGATCCGAATATGTTTGTATGTATAGCAGTAGAGTGGTACAGCTGAGTACCAGTGTGGTTGGGAGGGCGAAAAAATCAAGAAAAACGAGCGAATAACCACTGGTATTGGTGTAGTTCGGACTTTTCTTCTGGCTGTGTTTGTGATGCACAGGCTCTCTCTCACACTGCTCAACGTTCTCCAGGTTCTCTTGTCTTTATACTAACTTGTAAATATTGCAGGCCGATATCCAACCTTCACTTACATCGCTTGGTTCTATCATCGAGAACAACAAGAATACCTTGACCGCTCCCGAGCTCCCTAATCTTTACCCTATCTACAAGTACGTCACTGTAGATGACCTTAACACGCACCAGGCTTACCTTAAGTTGGCCAAGTTGAACGATCCCAAAAGAACGCCTTCGTTCATCTTGGAATCTGCTCCAAACGGTGACACTGTAGAAAGATACACATTCATTGGCTACAACCCTCGTAAGATCATCAAGACTGGTGACGTCGAGGGCAAGTATGCCCCAGGGTATGTCGACGTAGACCCAATCACCATCTTAGAGAAGGAGTTGAGCAGCTACAGACAAGCTCAATTGCCCGGTATCCCCAAGCTCAGTGGTGGAGCCATCGGATACATCTCTTATGACTGTATTAAGTACTTTGAACCAAAGACTAAGAGAGACTTGAGAGATACCTTACAGTTGCCTGAAGCTGTGTTGATGATGTGTGACTTAATTGTTGCCTTTGACAATGTCTTCCAGAGAATCCAAATCATAAATAACATCCACGTTGACGAGTCCACTAACGCTGAAGAGCTTTCAGCAAGGTTCGAGAAGGCACAAGCCGAGATTGTCGAAGTGGAGCGTATTCTTAAGTCAGATGCTGACGCCTCTACCATAACACCAATTCAACCACCTATCAAGCCAAACCAGAGTTTCACTTCTAACATTGGGCAAAAGGGTTACGAATCACACGTTACCAACTTGAAGGCGCATATTTTGAAGGGTGACATCATTCAAGCTGTTCCATCACAGAGGATTGCAAGGCCAACGAGCTTGCACCCATTCAATATCTATAGACATTTAAGATCCGTCAACCCATCTCCATACTTGTTCTACATAGATTTGGTTGATTTCCAAATCATTGGAGCTTCTCCAGAGTTATTAGTCAAGAGTGATGACCAAGGAAAGATCATTACTCACCCAATTGCTGGAACTATCAAGAGAGGTGCTACGTATGAAGAGGATCAGGCAAATGCAGACATTTTACGTTCCTCGTTGAAGGACCGTGCTGAGCATATAATGTTGGTGGACTTGGCTCGTAATGACGTCAACAGAGTATGCGAACCAACCTCCAACAGCGTTGACAGATTATTGACCATTCAAAGATTCTCTCATGTGATGCACTTGGTCAGTGAGGTATCAGGAACCTTAAGACCGGATATGACTAGATTCGATGCGTTTAGATCCATCTTCCCCGCCGGAACTGTGAGTGGAGCACCCAAGGTGAGAGCCATGGAATTAATTGGAGAGTTAGAGAACGATAAAAGAGGTGTTTACGCCGGGGCAGTAGGACACTGGTCCTATGATGGTAAGACCATGGATACTTGCATTGCGTTGAGAACGATGGTCTTCAGAGATGGTGTTGCTTACTTACAAGCCGGAGGGGGGATAGTGTTCGACTCGGACCCATACGACGAATACATTGAAACGATGAACAAGATGAAGTCCAATAACGAAACAATTGTCCAAGCAGAAAAGGTTTGGATAGAAAAGGTTGGTGTTGCCAAGGACTAAACAAAAGGGATAGACTAGTTATGAATTAGAATAATAAACGTACAAAAAGTAGAATAGAAAGCCGGGAGGTCACACCAGTAACCACCACTTCAGTAACCACCAATTCAGTAACCGCCAATTCAGTAACCACCACTTCAGTAGCCACCACCACATTCTCTTGAACGCTCTCCACCTGCCTCATCTCTCATCGCTCGTCCCCATTAGGCTAAATTTCAAATGCCTGCACGTGACGTCACGTGAGAAATTCGTCGAAGATCATCGATTCGACGCTTCTCCCAGCACGGCCCAGACGACAACAACCACAGTGTAGAGACAGGCTCAAGACCGTTAGTTTTGGAGCAGGAATTGCCAGTACTATCTCCATATACCAGATTATCAAGTAGGGGAAGGCTACCTTACAATAATATAGCGGCCAAATAAAAAAAAAACGGTTCTAAACAAAAAAATCTAAAACTGAAAAAAAAAAAAAAAAAACATCTCCTGGTTCAAAGTAGTAACTCAATCATGGAAGATATAGCAGGTGCTAAGAATTTCTCTCGGACGCCTACTTCTTGGGATGCGGAGGATGACATTCTTCTTATGCATTTAAAGGACTCGCAGAAGCTCGGGTGGAAGGAAATTGCAAGTCATTTCAACAACAGAACGCCCAACGCTTGCCAGTTCCGTTGGCGTCGTCTTAAGCTGGGTAATTTGAAGAACCCACCCAAGTCATTGACAGGTGCAGAAGGTAAGGCTGGGCTGTCGAAAGCAGGCTCGACCACACCAGGGCCCGTGGGCGGCATTGGCCTTAAAAAGAAAGCAATGTCTCCTTCCTCAATGGGGACCCCTTCCAAGTCGAACATTGGCGGGGTCGTTGGAAGCGGACCGTTTGGGTTGTCACCTGGAGTCACCTTCACTGGGTACGACAACAACGTAAGCAATGCATTAGCAGGTCTCAATGCTTTGCTGAACACACCAAGCAATATCTCTACGCCTGGTAGCTATCACCCCTCGCCTATACCCAGCGCTATAACGCCAACGGGGACGTCCAGTTCCAGCGGAAGGCATAACAGTTTCGGGCTGCCGGTGTCGCTAGACCCTCAGCCACCGCTGGCTGCGGCAGCAGCAGCAGCTAATAATGGAGGTGGGTACTATGCTGACATTCTGATTGACCCTACGATGAACTTGCCTCACAACCAGCCACACCCACACGCCGCTAGAAGCGTGAAGGGAGGAAGCAATGGCTCTGGTGGACAGAATGGAGCAAACGGTGCAGGTTCTGGCTCTGGAGGACAATCCGGACCCAACACTGGAGGCGACAATAGCAGAAGGAATTCCACTCCTATAGCGTCTTCATCTTCGTCCTCTTCAGGAAAGGAAAGAGAGCACAGTGCCAGCGGTCAATCATCGTCTATAATACACCACAGGAATGGAAGTATAGTGGGACCCTCGTTCCATAGTAATTCCATCATACAGATCGTGAAGGACGAAAGAACGTCTATATCGTCGCCCACGAGAGCTTCCGTGTCGTCGTTACCTTCGAAATCCATGAACATACCGCATCACCAGCTGAATAACAACGCCTTGGCTCATTTGCCAGTATTGTTTGGAACCGGTGGGAGCATATCAGGGCCGTCCCCAAACCCCAGCATCAGTGGAGCCAGTGGTCATGGGGGAAGTGTTTCGCAACAAACAGTCACGTCCTTAAGAAACGGGAGTGTTGGAAGTGCCACGGCATCTGGCGGAGGCAACAGTGGCGGGAGTGGTGGATACTACTCCCGTTCCGGATCTGTCGTTATCCCATTTAATGCTGAAAAACGTGAAGACTACAAGATCGAGAAAAAGTCCAACCTGGCTATAGCAGCTGCGGCAGTGGCAGCAACCACAAAGCATCTTCAAAACCATCAAGCCAAGCCCAGCAAGAAGGCTGCCTCGAGCACCAACCACAATAGTAAAGATAGCCACAATAGTAAGGCTGGCAACACTAAAAACGGTGCAAATCTATTCAAAATCCCCTGGTCCATGGAAGAAGACGAACTTTTGATAAATCGTCGTAACCGAGAACTTTCATTTGCAGAGTTATCGATACTACTCCCACAAAGAACGGAAGGAGAGATTTGGTCTAGAATAGATCATTTAGAGAAGCTCCGGAATGGACATCGTGCGTCCAGAGTGAATAGAAGAAGACAGTCACTGATTGGATTGGATGATGTTGACGATTTCTATGATGTGGAGGATGTTATGATTGACACAGACGACGAAGATGATGACGATGAGGTGTTGCTAGACGATGACGAGACACTAGGAGGTGGGCCCGTACGAAGAAAGAAAAGAAGAGCCAGTTCTGCGGTAAACCCACTTAGTGTTGATAGAAGGAGATTGAGATAGGGCCCCAACTGGAGCGGCTTTTTCATCTACTTCTTCTGTAAAAGCCATGTATTAAATAGCGTTAATAAAAGTAATCTGATAAAGAGGTGGTGTAGGACTGTGGTAGAAGTATGTTGTGTGAAACCTGGGTATCTCCTCTCCTTGTATCAAACAATATGCGAGCGCTTAGGTCTTCAGCTTCGCCCGCTCAACATAGCTTACACAGAGTATATATAGCTTATTACGTGAATTCATAGTTCTATTATCAAAGATATGTATGTACATAGCATTTTGGCCCTTGGTACAACTTTAAGTCCGACGTTATTTGGTCTGGGACAGCCTTTGGGGCAGGTCCAACCCCACCCTGTAAACTGACCAGCATAAAAATAGCCTATTATAAGAATTGATTTCTATTATCGAAGATACAAAATGTAGGTAACTTCTTAGTACAACTTCAAGTCCGACGTTATTTGGTCTAGGACAGCCTTTGGGGCAGGTCCCAACCCCAACACTGTAGCACTTCCAGCAGCAATTTGGGTCCTACCGGCATCGTGCACTATATACGAATTCACTCCAAGTGAAATTGCTTGTGCATAGAGCATGTCCATTTCCTCTTGGTTGGGTACTTGAAGAGTAATCTTAGCCTGTCCATTTCCATACTCCCATCTCTTGACCATCTGCTCGTTATAAGCTTCCGATTCTGGATTGGTAATCATCTTATAGAGAGCCAAAGTAGCATGCAGACACTGAGCAGCGGCCTTACCTTTCCCCATTTTCAAGTCCTGGCGCACAACGAGAGTCATTCTGACTTCCCCTGGGACTTCATTTAACAGGGTTGAGTTCACTTCGTATTCAGAAGCAATGGAATCATCACTGTAGTCTTCGTCATCAGTCTCAGAAATGTCGCTTGCATTGCGCTTCGACTTCTTTGGACGAGGAGGAGAAATACTTGCAAATAAGTACTTCCCAATTAAGATCCCAGATACCAAGGAAACTAATCCAACCGAATAGCAGTTATGTAAGCCCATTTATGGAGTGTTGAGTGGTCCTAACTACAAGAGACTGATCACATAGCAAGAAATTTAAAGTACACAACTTTATTGTGCATGAGTCGGCGATGCGCGCGATGAGGCTCAATGTATCTGGGGGTGCTTCGAGAAGGTAAGCAGCCTTTGTGATGCTGATAGGAGTAGAGTAGTTACGGCGAGAAGAATGGAGGAAGAGAAGGTGATAGGTTACTCGAGTCATGTAAAAGATTTGTATTTGAAATTTTAGATAAGTGCTGATCTACTATTTTAGTGAAGGTGTATGATGAGCAACTTGGATAGCTTCCATGCATATACTTTAGGCTGCAATTTTTGATCTTAACAACTACTACTCTTCTTAAGAAGCCTTTCTGTATACATAACTTTTCGCCTAGTTAACTTATGTAAACTATAAGGAAATTTCGTCTAAGGCTGCTGATAGCTGGTGCAATCATGAGTTTGACATGGTTACTCGATTAATGAAACTGGAGCGAGTCTGCATCCTTGCATACCATTCGATAAGAGCATCGCACTCTTCAGGTATTGGTACTTTCAACATTGCACCAAAGATCAAGCCTCCAACAACCGTGATGTCGGCCATTGAAAAGGTATTCCCAGCAATAAATGGCTGTTTGCGGAGTACACTATCGAAATAATGCATTCCCTTTACCGACTTAGCACGTTGGTGGAGCCCCCACTCGTTGTTTTGGTAAATCTCCACTTCTGGTCCCAACCCAGGCGTACTGTTGTGAAAATAAACACTAAAGGGATCGAGGAGTTCTATTTCAGCACGATGGTTCATCATGTGAATGATCCCTTTTTCTTTGGGGGTTACACCGGTGAGCTTTGGCTTACCATCGAGATTATCAAGGTACTCTGTTATGGCAGTACACTCGCTAAGAAATAACCCGGGTTCGATTTCCAAGACTGGTAATGTTCCAGAGTAGTTCTTTGCTAGTAAGTCAGGTTTTTTGTGTTCCCCTTTAGTAAGATCGACAAGAACATACTCAACTAGTGACTGAAGATTATTCTCTGCCAATGCCATACGAACTCGAGTCACGTATGGCCCACCTGGGAAATCGTAAATTTTCATTTGACCCATTTTTTTGCTGTTTTATTTTGCACCCATGATTCAATATTTGGTTTGGAAATCAATTCCTACCAATATATATATGTTTGTTTTACATACATACGGTGTGCTCTAGATTTCATCCTATTTCATCGCTGAGATGCTCCTTCTTTAACTTGTATGCACTGTTCCAATTGCCGATATCATAGTCGGCACTTTTTCTACTTTGTTTGTCAGCAGTGATTCTGTTAGGTTTGTCAGCATCTAAAACTGCAGCAACAAAGCGAGAAACGATAACACATGAATACCACACTAAATAGGTGATAGGAATCATTTCTGGATGAGAGAATGTTCCAGTAAATGAGTACCTAAAAAATATTGCAGATTACTAAGATGCATTCGAATACGCATAGCAGTGCACCCTATAATAACTGCTAACATTACCTCGTATAGAATCTAGTGGATCCATTTGAGGATGGCAGACTGCAAGAGCCTTTTTTTCATGTGGGGAAGTACATCAGATTTGCCCTCCCTAACAGCTGAAAGACCTAAAAGCCGGTTACGTATCACAGTGCAACATATAGTTTCAAAAGAGCCCTAATTGCTCTATCAGAATGCATGGGAGGTGCAGACTTTCCATTTTATTTACAGCTCCAATGTGTTCTATTTCATTTTTACAGTTCCGATGCCTATGATTCTTACTCATGCTAGATCGTTGTTTCATTCTACATCGTCACTAATACTATGCCAATACCTTACTCTTCTTCACCTTCTTCTTCTTCTTTTCCACTTTCAGACTGTAATCTCTCCAGTTTTTCACTCTTACGTCCCTGTCGTCCTCCCATTTGGACTCCATCTTCTTCTTAAGTTCCCTCTCTTTCCTTATTTTAGCCAATTCCTTCATTTTCTGAGCTTCCTGCCTCTGTTCAAACTCCTTCTCGATATTCTCCAGTCGTAACTCCTCTTCGAGTATCTTTGCTACCAAAGATTGAACTTCTACTTGACTGACACTCTCAGTTTTTCTGCCAATTGTTTCGTTGGCATCCTTGTAAATTGCAATAAGTCTCTCTTTTTCGTTAACTAACGATTTGGTTTCTGCATTATCTACATCTTCACTACTGTCACTATTATTATTACTACTGTTTAGCACCAATTCGGCTCTTTTTAATTTTTCAAATGCTTGAGGTGCCTTAGGATTACTGACTTTATCCGGATGAACTGATAATGTCTTCTTTCTATACGATCTTTTGACCTTGTTTGCTAATTCATCGTAAAAATCATCTTGTCCCAATTTCAATGGGTCAATCTCAAGAATTGCAAAATAGTCCCACCTACAAGTGGACAAAATTCTGTCTATTTCATGATCTTTGTTCAAAGCAGACTGTTCAGCATTAAGTATAGAATCTACAGACATACCGGATCAATTTTACGTTAGTATACTAGCTCTACAAGAAAGAAACCTTTGGGGTATAAGATTCAACTAGTGTCTGCATCGCGATTTCCATATTGGTCAAATGGTCGAGTATGGATGAATGAAAAAATATGTGAAGAAGTAGTTCTTTTGAGCTACGCTGTTCATATTGCTTATATTATTGGTCTTATTGCTGTTTCTAATACATGAGATCTATTAGAAAGATGTGGAAACCTCGCTACTTTGATATTGGTGTTAATTTCTCGGACTCTATGTTTCAAGGTAGGTACCATGGATCTTCTGAGCCAAAGCATCCTCCCGACATAAGCAGAGTTGTAGAAAGAGCCAAGCTATTCAATGTTGAAAACATTCTCATAACTGCATCTTCTATAGCAGAAAGTAAAGAACACTTCGAGTTATGTGAAACTTACAAGAATTTCCATTCAACCGTTGGTGTGCATCCTTGTACGGTCCAGCAAGAGTTCTACTCAAGCGACATTTCAGTCGATTCGCAGCTATCTAAACTAAGTGAAATTGCTACACAAGGAATTAAATTGGGCCATATCAAGGCATTTGGTGAAATTGGGCTCGATTATGACCGATTGCATTATACTCCAGTCGATCAGCAGAAGGAAATGTTTCAAAAGCAATTGGAGCTCTTTACTTCGCTCAAGTTGGGCTTACCATTTTTCTTGCACATGAGAGCAGCATGTGATGACTTTATTAGTATAATCGAGCCATTTGTGAAGAATTTTGCACTTCGTGGTGTCGTACATTCGTTTACTGGGACAGAGGAAGAGTTAAGAAAGCTTTTGGAGTTGGGGTTCTATATTGGAGTGAATGGGTGCTCTTTGAAGACTGAAGAGAACTTGAACGTCATAGCCAAGATCCCAAAAGACAAAATTTTAATTGAAACTGATGCTCCATGGTGTGAGATTAGAAAGAGTCATGCGAGCCACAAGTATATTAGTCCGTACCCCAACGTCTTCTACCCAGAATTGCAGATTCAAAATGAAACAAGTGAACCATCTGTGCTCTCTGGCGAACCAGATTCTAGTAACAGTAGTGCCTCCGAATCAAACACAACCAAGAAGAAGAAGAACACTCCCAAGCCGAAGGTTACTATTAAGTTTGACGATTTTCTTCCATTTCCTGTTGTGAAAAAAGGAAACTTTTCCAAGCATGCAACGTTGGCCGAAGCTCATGCCAAAGAACATAATAAGGTGGAGAATCTCTTCCTGGATGCAACCGGTCCTCTTGCATGGCCACTAATGCAATCAAGGAATGAGCCCGTGTTTGTAGGATACGTTGCAGAAATCTTATGTTCCATATATGGGATTCAAGAGGAAAAGGAAATCCAGAAGTTCATAGATTCTGTTTATGAGAATTCGTGTAACCTTTTCAATCTACCAATTCTTGAGTAATAGATACTAAAGAAAATATTTATTATTAATATACATAACGATACCTTTCTACTATACAATTTTCATTAATTTCTAATTAATACCGCCCGTTTTTGCGCTCTTTTATATGTACATCGGAAGATGAAGAGTCCGAGTCTGCATCATCAAGATCTTCTTCGTGTTCATCTTCCTCCTCCAATTCCTCATCACCTTCATCTTCTTCCTCTTCTTCATCCACACCACCAACCAACTTTCTTCTGGCAGTCCTCGTATCCAGTTGGTCCTCCTCAGGCAATTCAATGTCAGATATCTCTTCAAATTCAGAATACTCCTCGTCCTCTTCTTCTTCATCATCTTCATCAATTTCTTCCTCCTCTTCCTCTTCTTCTTCCTCTTCGACTTCCATGAAGACTTTATTTTGTTGCTCTTTCAAGCTCGTGGTTTCAAGACCGCTAACTTCAGTTAATATGCGTTTTGGTACATTTGGAAGCGATACCATATCTGGATGGCAAACTATTAATGAGTCCTCATCCTCATTTTCAATTTCATTAGCTCCATTTGCCTCAGCTCCAACGTTCTGAATTTCCTGCTCGATTTCTTTAAAAGCTTCTTCTTCAAACGAGAATGGATTATTAATATCATCTTTGAGAAAGTTCACAATATGAGAAATACTATTAGAAGGAGTGGCAAGTAGGTTAGTTTGGTTAAGAGGAATGGTCGGAGCACTATTTATACCTCCAGAAGGTCCAAATAACATTGGTTTCCATATTAGTTTACTTTCATCAATCCAAACATATCCTTTTTGTTTCCACTTTGCTATTACTGCGTCGATGATCGGCAAATTGATCATTATGCCAAATTTGCCAGTTTTCTGGCTCCGAACAAGTGATTTCACCTGTTCCATACCAACTACAACATCGGATGGAATCATACCAGTCAATTTCGAAATAGAATCAATAGATAAAGAAAATTGCTTTTCATCCTTATACTTATCATACAACTTTCTCAAAGTGAATGCAATTGTGACTTTCCAATAATTCCTGTAACTCACCAATCCCAAGTCACTTAATGGTTTCTCTGGCGTACCGAATTTAAATTCCCTCCTACTTAGTAAATAACTGAATGAAATCAAAAAGTTACCATATCCTTTTCTTTGATAAATGGGGAGTGTTAGGATACATGAAACGTTATAGTCGCTGTTGTTAAGTTTTTCTTTCAGAAAATATCCAACGAAATGATACTTCGATTCATCTTGAGAATCAATCTCCGTCAACACATAAAAGATAAATGGCTCAACGTCATAGTACAAAGTCTTCAGGTTTAAGAATAACTTTGCTAAGAGACAAAGATTCTGGCAATAGTGAATATTCTTCCTCCCGTCAACTTCCCAAACCAGTAGTTTTTGCTTCTGATCACGATATATTTCAATACCAGGAGGATGGTGGTTGGATAAGTTGCAATTCTTCAAGCTATGACGCTCAAATGAAGTTGGAGAATTCATATACTTGAGGCAAAACTCACAGATATACAATTTGGGGCATTGAGAATATTCTTCGGGGTAGGGAGCAGTATACCAAGTGTCGATTTCAAACTCTCTGAATTGAATTTTAGAGATTTTGCTTCGATTGGTTATACGACTGCCTTCATCCTCTTCAGCAGCTGCTTCTCCTACATCATTGGTTGTTTCGGATTGCTCGCCAGTTTCCAAACTAGCCATTTTCTCTCTAAGAGCCTCTCCCTGCTGAAGCAAAGATTGGAATAAACTCCTATCTTCTTTGGTAGGATCAGTTTCGTTGATGATACAGTCTGGGAAGGGAAGCAAACCCTTGTACGGAAGTTCTTCAAACGGATCTACATCATTCTGAACTTGGTTACTTGAAAGTTCTACATGTTCACTGTAGTCGGTGGTATCGGATGTGCTGTAGTCAGCCTCACTGACATACTTGTTTACGTCAGTGGCCATACCGTTAGCCATTTCTAATTCTTGTTGCAACTTCCGGAGTAGATACTTCGATAACGGCTGGCCCAACTTTCTGGGCCGTCCCCTTTTCTTTAACTCTGGTCCATATCGCATCTGAGCTGGAGAAAGCAGATACCCGTTCAACTGTCCTTTGTGGACAGCACTAACTTGGGTAGTACGAGGATGACTGTGGGTATTGTCGCCATTGGCTACTGGGCCATTCACCGTAGTAGCGGCGTGGCGTTGTATTACGTTCAGTTTTTTGTCCATGGGTATCTTGTATCTTATCAACACATTGAAATGACGTGAGGACCTGTTTACCACCACCAGTGGAGGCATCCCAGGCTCAAGCTGTCGCACTCTATCTCTACCACCGTTTGCCAATCTGCGCCTGGGTGTAGTGCTACTCCTGTGCTGGCTTTCTTGCTGTTTAATCAATGCTTTCACTGAGTACGTCGATATTGCCGAGTTCCTTTTGCGTAACGACCTTGAACCGTCCGAATTGGAGGACAATTCAGTCCCCTGATCTGCCGGGCCGCTGCCGGGACCAGCAGCTACAGGTATGGCGTCGCTGTAGAGGGCACCAAGTTCACCTAAACTGGTGTTTTCTTTCTCCGGTTTGTCCAGCCGCCCATTGGATACGTTACTGATACCAGCCACTATATCAGAGAAGATCCTATTGTCCGGTATACGCAACAGATCCAATAGCTTTTTCATTTTGAAATATTTGTTAGTGATCTATCTAGTATGAGTTTGTGTACTGCACATAAATCTGATTCAGCCCTAGCAGTTATTCTATCTACACCCCAATACAGGATCTTGCTTTGGTCTCAATCTTTGTGATTCTTCTCAAGAGGTGGCACTCTTGCAGGGATTCAGAAGGTTGAGAGTCTCCTGTTTTCTAACAGCTAAATAAGGCAGTGATGAGTTGGTCAGTCGGAGTTTTGTTCTGAGCAGTGTTGATCTTTGGCAGTGGGAGAAAAATCAAAATACGGTTAGAGAAGAGTTCTATATGCAGGTGCGAAGGGCTGATTAAGAGCTGAGAGCAGAGAGTGAAGGAGCAGGAGATGTTGGGAAAGGAGATGAAGATGGTAGTGAAAGGAGCTGAAAATGTGATTTTCAGGTCCTGATAGTGTGCAAATAGAGCAGGGCCCTTTTTTTCTGTAATTTTTTGCCTTTTTTATGCCTTTTTACTTTCTCTTCCAGTTGACTATTTGCTTCAGATGGTGGAGATATTCAATATGCACTAGCTAATTTGCACCCAATCAACCGGAGAGAGAATAATCCGAATTAGTGCATTCCTTAGATAAGAAATGCAGCACGTCAAAAAAGAAACATGTATGCTGGAAGCATCAAGTATGGATACTTTGGGGAATATGGAGAGAATTTGGCCCGCATTCGAGTTCATATTGCCAGTAGAAGAAGACCGGATCCCACTTCAATAGCCGGGGCCCGCCCTTCGCTGGTCCACATGAGCTTAGCTTCTTCTTGGTTTCAAGGTGCACCTTTGGCTATTTTCCTATTTCTTCTGGCTTGGCTTCGTATTTTTCCATCTCGATGCGTACTAAAAAATTGCTGCAATTTATGGGATGAGGTCCATGTGACACGGCACGGTGTTAGTCGAAGCCGTCTGGAATGCGCCATAGTAGCCAATCATATCGAGTTATTTCAGCCCATCTCAAGCAGACTGGGAGTGTGCAGCTATTTATTTACGTTTTCGAAGGTTTCTAGATTCGATACCACCGAGTCCAGTTGGCCTAGCAGCGCATTTTATACTACAATCTACAAGTTCAAGCTGATGATGCCGACAGGTGAAGCAGTCTGATGAGCAAGGCTGATGAACAAGGCTGATGAAGCTGACAGACGAGACATGCCTTTATCAATGCTAGCTTGCTCTTCTTCTTCTCCTTTTCCTTTTCTTACACTATATCTAATGAGCGAGTTAATAATATTAAAAAGAACAACTTAGTCTAATGACACGCAGATGCGTAGTTTATATATAATAGTAGTAATAAAATAATAAAAAGATTAAATGACATTTGACATAAACATGTCAAAAGCAAACTAAAAATAAAATCAAACAATTAAAAATCAAAAGATGGATCGGGATAACATTCATAAAAATTGTGTCTCATGACACTTGTCGTAATCATATCGTACAGGGATGAGTTTAGTTTTATTTCGTCTCTACTACTTTTTCTCTTCCTTCTTATCTTTATCATCATCTTCTTCTTCAATTTCTTCGATTTGAGCGTCTTCACTTTGTTCGCCATCATCTTCTTCGCCTTCTTCTTCACCAACTTCACCTCCTGACATTCCGAAGTGTGCCAATAAGGATTGAGCTGAAGAGGTATCTAAATATATGACCCCGTTTTCGTTCGTTATGGCATTGCTGGCGAGAAGTTTTTGAAGAGAAATGGCTCCGTCATTGGCCAAGGTCTTGTTATTACTTTTTTCATCTTCATCGATGTCTTCATCTTCTTCGTCGATTCTTCTAGAAGATGCAGCAGCAGGCCCAGAGGAGGAAGATGCAGCTCCATATCTAGGAGTAAACCCACTATCGTCTGATTGCTGGCCAATCAGGTAATGGTCACCGTATAAGTCCTTATATATGGAATCGTATGGAGGACTGACATTTCCTAATTCTTTTATTGAGCTATCACCTTCTACTTTAGCAATCTTAGCGTTAATCTTGTCGTACCATTGATCTAAAGTTTCATTTTTGCTTTCGTCTAAAAGAGCTACAATGACAATAGACATATTATCACATCCTATTCCGGACCCATCACTTGTTGGGGCACAACACAATTCCATGATTTCTTCACAGATTTGAGTCAAAGGCTTCTTTTCCTTGATCCCTCTTCTAACACATTCAACACATTGTTGCGAGGTTAAACAATCCCAGATCCCATCACAGGCCAAAACAATAAATTCATCCTTTGATAAGTCAATGTCGTGCTTGATAACATCAGGGTAACATGTGACAATTTGTTCTTCAGCAGGTAAGTCAGCGTTCTTCTTGAATTCAAAGTCACCAATACCTCTGGATAACGCCAAATTCCCATTAACACGGCCCATGTCAACGTAACCGCCCGCGGAACAAATTCTAGCCTTCTCACCTTCGTTTGAGGGCTTGTGATCGTAACTCAATGCCTTGGCGAGACCATTGATGGACATGATGGTTCTCAGGTCACCAGCGTTACCGCAAAAGATCGATTCGGGGGTTATAATACACAGAGTAGCTGCACAGCCTGAGTCGTCGTCTCTCATGTCGTAGTCACGGAGAATGGCCTGATCACACGATAAGAACCCATCCTTCAACGCCTGGACGTAATCCTTCTTTTTGTAGGCGTCGGTGGAACGAATTATACCGTGGAGCTTCTTCCCGGTGAAAATAGCCGCCTTCTCACCTCCATGTCCATCGTACACACCAAAGAACGCATTCTTGTCGCCATTGGCATCCGCGGAAACGGCGTCCTCGGTCTTTACATCCCCGTCTTCATCGTCGTCTCTACCTTCAGTGGTGAGTTTCTCGTCGCCCAATTTCAAGATCGTAGCATGGGCATCCTCCATGTTAATACGCCACCCTTGCATGCAAGAGAGCCCGTACGCCAAACGGGCGTCACCGCCCTTTTCGGAGTGCTTTTCTGTAACTGGTTGCGAAAGAATCTGTCCCATTGAGTCTGTGTTGTGTCGATATGAGTATCTGTACCTTAATTGATGTGGTTGTTGGTTGTTTGTGACTCTTTCGGCTGTATCTTTAGATCGTTGACTTTTTTTTGTAAAAAAAATTTGGACGTTCGCTTTTCTTTTTTTTTAGGCTGTCAGGTCCTGCACAGAGATCTGTAAGTTAGTGGAACAGAAATTGATCTACTGACGTATCCAGGGGGGGGTGGATAGGGTAGTATAGGGCAGTGTGGTATGAAGAAAAAAGATGGGAAAGAGAAATTATTGAGTCCTTTTCTTTTTGCTTAACGGTGCTATTTGGAATCCAGATCTGAGGTTTCTTTTTTTACAAATATTGCTGTGTGGTTTGCTAATCGCTGTCCCCTGAATCTGTCTAGGGTTCGCTTGATTTGAGTGTATTTCTTTTTTTTTTGTCTTTTCTTTTTATTGATTTATACGCACTCTTGCGTAGTAGAGAGGTGGACGATGGCTACGTCACGTGGGGTTGCAACCGCAAGACTAATCTGTGTTGACCAGCTCTGCTCTCTACACATATACTCTATCATAATCTATTCCAATCACTATATCTTCTCTCAGCATGTACTAATTTATCACAGTTCTTCTGGCTCTCTCTCTGCTTACTTTCGCCTTTTCCTTCTCCTTTTCCTCCTACTGCTCTCTCTCTGCTTACTTTTCACATTTTCCTTCTCCTTTTCTTCCTACTCTCTCCAGCCTTCACTGCCTTTAGTATAGGTCTACACTCTCTTAAACAGGTTCTTACATTGTTGTCTATACAATTTTTTTATCTTATCTTCAATCTCTCTTCTTTCCAGAGATAGTTCTCGTTCTCATTCTTGATCTCATTTCGTTCTCACTCAATACAGTTCACTTCAATCATAGGAGCATATATCATAATCATAAATACGTCATCATTAGTTGCGTTAGAACTTTTAAGACTTTTCTTTAGTGTGAGCTATTAATCTAGAAAATTGTTTCAAGCTCATATATATATATTTATTCATTTCTTCGCTTAAGTCTTTCGTCCTTGGTTCTTAATTTTCTTTATCTTATCTTTATTGTCAGTCGTTCATTTTTTTTTTTTTTGTTGTTGTTTTTCTTTTCTTATTTGGTTCGTTGTGTTGCATCAAATTGCATCGTATGGCTTGTTTTCTCTATCATTGATGGATTATTTATCATTAACACGTTAGTAATTCATTTGCAGTTTCCTACAGTTTATTTTCCCCAAATCCCATTGGCTGGCCCATTACCCCCTGCTGTCGACGAAGATGAGGAATTGTTACCAGTGGCTCCATTTGAATCGTAATTCTGGTTCAATTTTAAGCCACTGAGCTTTTGATGAACTCCATCATATTCATCTTGTTGATGTTGAGGTGCTTGCTGCTGTTGTTGTTGCTGATGCTGTTGCTGTTGTTGCCCGTGATGGTGCAATGAACTGAAGCTGCCAGTCAACTGGGTGTGTTGTCCGAATGGAGCAAATCTTGAGTTTATATCACCACTTCCTGGCAATGGAGTTCCCGGCTGTGAAAGTTGAATCCCTGCACCGCTTCCTGAAGGATTGAAGTAGTGGTGATGTTGTGGAGTTGGAGATTCGGCACTAAACGGTGGCGTGGATCTAACATCTACAAACGAACGGTTATTGGATGAACGGAGCAACGCAGCAGCCGATGTTGGCGTGGATGCCTGAGGTGCTGGAACTGATGAATTAGATCCTTGTTGTCCGCCTTGTTGTCCGGCATTTTGTGATGGGACCAGTGGTTGCTGGTGAACATGCATATTAGAATGCTGGGGTTGCGGAGAGTGGTGCTGCCATCCATACTGCCCATTGGGTGGTCCTTGGTATCTTGATCCGTTGTTTCCTTGTCCGTATTGAGGAAACTGCTGTTGAATTGGAGTGGAGCTCTGTACGGGTCTATTTGGAGGAGGGATGCTTAATGGGATGGCTGATTGTGATTGCGATCTTAAAAGTTCCGGTGCAACACTTGAACTAGCACCACTGGAGTTTGATGTAGCCGTAGCAATTGGAGGTATTCCCAAATTAAATTGGTTTAAGTTCATCATGCTTGATGAATGCGATGGAGGGATTACCTGACTTTGCTGTTGACCCTGTTGTTGATGCTGTTGTGATTGTCCTCCTGACGATGGTTGTTGCAGATGGAGCGTGTGCTGAGGAGGAATGGCCAAGTTAGCCCTCGTAATTGGAATCTGTCCAGGTTTCCTTCTGATGACAATTGTTCCGTTGTCGTAAAATTCCAAAAGGTTCAAGTATTGCGATAAAATACTCAAAATCTTCCTTTGGTTGATGGTCAATCCGGTCAGGAATGCCAACTCAAACACCGATTTGGAGATATCGTCTCTATAAATTACAAGTTGAGTGTAAAGTTCTAAGATTTCTGGATCATTGAAATTGATTTCAGTAGGAGGTGGAGGCGGGGTGTTAGGCGATGGGTACATAAGGAATAATCTTTCAGTTTGCTGCTGAAGAGTTCCAGTTCCGTTTACACTGAGATTCTTGGTAGCTGCTGTTGTAGATGCAGTGGACATGAGAGAAGCCAAAGATGCATTGGATGTCGATCTATGTTGCTCTTCAAGCTGGCCGCGTTTCTCTCTCTTTTCTCTTTCGATGCGCTCCCTTTCTTGCAAGGGGAGCATTTTCTTGTATTCAACTCTGAGCTTTCTTCCACCGATTTCTCTGCCGTTCAACAAGTTAACCACCTGCGAAGTTTCGTTGGTCAGGGTGAAATTAGCAAAGGCCAACCCACGGAACACGCCGTTGTCAAAGTGATAGTTGAAAGCGTAAGGGAGCGGCAAGTTCAATTTGGTCATCACGTCAAGTAACTGCTCCTTTTTAATGGCGAAGGGGATGTTCTTGATGACTATCGCGGTGGGGATTAGTTCGTCATCAGAGTCCGAATCGTCATCTCGATTCGAAGTATCAATCACATTGGGTGAAGGGGAGCTGACTGACTGCGTGGCAGCTGGAGGCCCACCAGGAGGAGCTTGCCCGGAGGCACTAGCAGCAGCAGCAGCAGCAGTAGCAGAATCCACTACGGCATCATCACTGGCAGAATCCTTGGCCTGTTGGGCCTGCTGTTCGACCCAAGGAGCTACATTGTTCATGCTACTAAGGGTATGACTGTTGATATTGTTGTTCAACCAGGACGGTTGTAACCCTGCTCCCGGTTGAGACCCTCCTCCGGATTGGCCAACATGGTGACCAGACTGACCAGACTGTGGTTGGCCATGGATCTGGGCCTGCAGGGGCTGGGATCTAGCCTGATTTATCCGCTGATGTGATAATTGAGGAGTTGTACTTCCATACGCTGAAGAAGCGTTCTCGGAGGTCGACGATAACGACGAAATGGAAGGACGACGCTGCATGGGCCCCAATTGGTTCGACGAAAGGTTTGGAAGTTCCATCGTTGCGATTGCGGTTCTCTATATATGATCCTTGTTTATCGGGCTATCGTTTTATCTTTTTCTGACTTTTTCTGACTTTTTTTCTCTTTTTTGCGTTCTTTTTTTCTTGTGTGTTTCTTTTGGTTCGAAAAACTTCACGTGGGCGGTAGCAGATCAAAAAAAAGGTGTTGGAGAAGATGGTAGTAGGTGTAGGGAAGTTGAGAACAGTGATTCGGGCGCTGGTAGAAATGGGCTGCGAAGGGAGGGGAATTGAAGGGAAGGGAAAGGGAAGGGAAAAAAGAGCGCAAATGTAACGCTTCTGAGTGGTGAGTTTGTACGGGTAGGGAAGGATTGGGGTGTGTGGGAGCGTGTGGGAGTGTGAGGCCGGTGAGCTGGTGGCTGCTGGGGAGAAAATGGTGCGTGTGAGCAGGAGAAAATGGCGAGCGCAGAGAGTGCGTGGGAGAGCGCAAACGTTGGAGAGGGCGAGTGATAGTGAGAGTGAGAGTGAGAGTGAGAGTGAGAGTGAGAGTGAGAGTGAGAGTGAGAGTGAGAGTGAGAGTGAGAGTGAGAGTGA